CCGACTGTACATGGCCTCTGCCTCCGCCAGCTTGCCTTGGGCGGCGTATAGCATGCCTAGTTTGTGCAATGTCCATTCCATGCCCCCAAAATCCATATTACTGTTCATGATAAACCATCTATGTCTTGCCACATGTTGAAGGAGCCTCTGCTGAAGGAGCCACCACTTGTCTACATCCGTGTTAGGAACTTCAGATGCTACACAAGTCAGAGCTAGCCGCGCGAGGCCGTCGTCCCACCCGCCGTTCAAGACAGATATCGTCCATGAGTGCACACAGCTATGCACTCCGTACCCTCCGGACCCAGACGGTTGGCCAAGGGAAGGCTCTGGGTGAGCCAGGCCGTATTCGCAAAGCAATCGCACTGCCTCATTGAAGCTTACTTTGTTCTGAGTGAGCTTCTGTATCCACTCATCGTCCGTGGAGCGTGCATGTCGAATAAGTTCAAACCACATGTCTTGCTTATCGAAATAGGCCCACAGCTTGAGCAACTGGGCTGACGCCGCATTCTGCTTTCGTATTAGATCAAACGTGACCTGCCATGTTGTGTATAGCGACCGGTCTTCGTATGAGCTTAGCGTTGGACTCGTTGCCTGGAGGTCTACCCATGATTCCTCGTACAGCCGGAGATACTCCGCGAAGCTGTCGGTCACGTGCTCGAGGTAAGCCCCAGCCGTGGCAAGAGCCAGAGGCAGGCCATCAAGCTTCGAGGCGAGTTCTCTTGCACCGGAATCTGTCCTGTTAGCTCTATGTCACTTGTTTTGTATTGTTCTAACACACCGTTTGTGATACCTTCCCTTCCAGACGTGTTCGCCAAGATCTTGAGGCCGTCCTCTAGGCCGGTCAGTTTCTGAACATGGAGACGCCGACCTTGAGTGACTCTCGCTGAGCGTGTCGTAATGATAATGGATCCTTGGTCACTTTCCGGCAGATATTGACGTATGTTGACTGTCGAACGGTTGGATTTATTTGAAATTCGAGGGTTATCGTAATTATCGTAAATTAAGAGCCAACGTGTATTTCCATGGAGATTAAGCCAGGCTTTAGTTGCAATAACTACCCGATTAAGGTCTCCTTCTAAGTCCACGCTGCCGAGCATTTTGTTCGAGGGGTGAGATTGTAGGACTTGCTGCGCGATGCTATGGAAGCTGAGCTGGAGGGAATCCTCATCATTCGCATTTAGCCAGAAGATCGCCGTGTGCTTCTCCTTATGCCGTCTGATGTATTCGACTGCTAGTTGAGTCTTTCCTATCCCTCCCAAGCCGTGAAGAACGACTGCCGCTCGGCTACTGTGGCCGTGGAGCAGCTCGTGCATCTTCGACAGCTCCTGCTCTCTGGCCACAAATTGTGCGGCTTCAGGGATCGATGCAAGGTTAAGCCCGACGGCATATTGTTCGGAATCAACACCTATGCCAGTCAGTCTATTGCTTCATTTAGCACACCTAGGCAGAGGTCCACTTACCCTTGTACAACTTGTGAATCTCTTCCTCCAGCCGCCGGTATGCTCGGTCCCTTCCCTCTCCATAGATCAGCGCCATAGAAATATCGAAAATCCCAAATAAACAGTAGACTTCGTCCTCTTCAATCGTAGTACTGCGGCGCTCTGCCCAGGACCTCCGCTCCTTGATGCTGAAACTCGACAGTGCATCGCCTCGGAGAGCAATCTTTGCAATGCCAGTAATCTCGTGTATCTCAGACTCTAGTGATGACTTGCTCCCAAGTCGCGCACCCTCTGAGCTAAAGAAGTCAACCAGCTTTGGTGCGATGAGCTCTTGAAGCGTCCAACCTCGAGTGAACCATCGGCTCTTCCTAAGTGCCTCTTTCCATGCGCTTTCATCGTCCATACTGTCGGCTTTAGAAACATTAGGAAGGTAGACGTAGCAGCGCGCGGCGTCTTGATACCATCGAAACATAGAGTTGATCGCCGCGCTGAGCTCGACCGCGTTCGTCTTGTCGATGCAGCAGGTGTCTATCCAGAAGTACTGCAGTCCATCAGCCGCGGCCTGCCTCGCGCAGAACTGTATCTTCTTCCATCCAGCCTTGCTAGCAGCCTTGCTCATGTCCACGCCGCCTTTCATGTCTTGGAAAATGACCTCCTCCTCTCCCCAAGTATGTGAAAGTATTGCGTATGCGGGAACATCGCTATTGGTCGTTTCGCGGAAGACGATGCCGCCGTCTGGTCTACGCTGCAAGAGGCGTATGAGAGCCATGACTATAGGTCAAATGCCATCTCATGGCACGCGCGACACGTGTGGCTCGTTAGATTCATTCAGTATATCGGTCGGCGCAAGAAACCTGGAAGTTAACGAAATAGAATAGGGCGTCGAAGGACAAAAGGTGATAAGACGGCACAGTCGTGGTTGTACGCGCTGCCCGCCAGGCTGCATCATGGCGTAGGCTGACCGGTGAGGCGACTCCTGTCGCCTCAATGTCGTTAAGAGCCTTTAGCACAGCACCAATCCTTAACGTAGGCTATCTTGCAAGCAATACGGAAACAAAGTAATTAATAAAAGTGCAACATGCCCAAGCCATTAGCAGCGCCAGAGATGGACCAGCCACAGGCCTGGCTTGCTCTGCTAGTGTGGCCGGCTTATGTCATTGAATCCTGACTTACGGAGAGAACTAGATTAACGTTATTAGAGTTAGCGTTGAGTTTCTAAGCAGTAATAGATTACTGAGTAAGCGCCCTCGGGATAGCCTACGCTAAGAAGACCGTATACTCTCTAACGGAGGAACTTTACAAATCCACATAATAGCGGTTTGGGAAGTACAGAATACGTTAGCTACCCTTAAAATCATTGTTACAGCGGCCGAAAGGCTTCAAAAGAAAGTAATATTAGTGCTATCGCAGTGCAGCAGGGGTGAGACGTTCATAGTGTTGCAGACAGATGCAAGTAATGATCAACAGCACCGTGGATGTGTTGTAATCCTAGGCTGCAAGCCGATATTTCGGGTTTACTATATGAATTACGCTTATAGCTCAAGCATGGCTTTCAGCAATTGTGTGGTGGGTGATTAATCATTCTTGAAAGTTTTCTATGTCTGCACGGGGGGTTTTCCGTCACGTAGGGGGGGACGTTAGGACATCGAGAAGACCGGGTTTGTACGAATCGCTGCCCATAGATCCTAGGCTCTCAAGGCTGCCTCACAAAGAGGCTGCATTTAATAGCCCCGTAAAGGTACCCATTCAGTCTCAGCCGTATTTGTCATATTGCGATCAAGAGCTGCAATGCTGTGACTCTTAGCCCGGAGGAAGGCTAGCGATCATTCTGTCCCCGCGCATGGAAAGCGATTGCAGATTTGTTCGAGAAAGCGTGGTTGTGGCGGATATGGACGCTGCCCGAGATCGTACTCGCTCGCAGTGCGATACTTGTATGCGGATCTCGGTCTTCTCTGTGGGACGACTTCGTGCTGGCATATGCTGCGTGGCGAGAGGCAAGGGTGCCAAGGGTAATTGGCCATCTGAGTGGGGAATGTCAAAAGATGCTGCACTGGCCTGATTACGCTGCTGGCGCGATTGCTATAGTGCTGAGACATGCCTTGCGCAAAGGCCAACGAGAAGATTTTATGAGCTTGATACCTCGGACTTTGGCTTTCCAGTGCACTGATCCCAGGGACAGAGTATATGCTTTGCTCGGGCTGAGCGAGGGTGGTGCGATCGACATCCATGTCGACTACAACAAGTCGTTGTTGCAGGTGTACACTGATCTAGTGGTTGCTTTAGCGGCACAAGATGGGAATCTTTCCACACTGGTTCATGCAGGCGTCGGCACCAGGGCTTCGGGTTCACTGGCTGATATGCCTTCATGGATACCTGATCTTGGTAACATATCGAACAGCATCGATGCTGATGCAGGCTTTGCAGCCGGCACCGGGAAAAGTGCGAGGGCCACGCTTTCGGTTGATTCGAATGTGCTTTCAGTACAAGGGGTATTTGTAACATCAATTGATGAGGTGGAAGAACACGACTCCCATGGTGCTTTCCCAAGCCAGCGTCGCCCACCCAACCGGACTCCCTCAGCTACAAGTCTACTTCAGGACCCTGATTTGTGACGGAAACAAACGCGCGCTTCGCGTGGAAGACTTCGACTCCGCGGTGGATGCCACGGATTTTTACGCCCTAGCCGTGGGATTCCTGTACGTGATAAGCCATGTTGAGCGAGAAGATACTACGGCAGCTACATACTTTTTGAAAACGTCAGACGACAGTGAAGAGTCAAGCCAGGCTGACCTTAACGAAGAAGCTGTGCATTCTCTTAGCGATTACGACGAAGATGTGCAGTCCGTTAACGGTGACGAAGATGTTCCATCCTTTGACGACTACGTCTCTTTGTTCGCCGCATGGACAGGTCGTACCTCCCCCCTTCTCTCAGACCACGAGATCCTCTCGCCCTTCCTCGGTCCCGCAGAGTCTCCGCTTCGACTGCATTGGCCCGTCGGATCAGAGCCTCACGTGGGCTTTGATCACCGAGACGCGTTCAGTGAAGCCCTCGCCCTTCGCTGTTGGAAGTCGAGCTTTTTTATCAGTAAGAGTGGCTATATGGGATTGTGCCCCCCTGGTACTCGTAAAGGAGATCTGGTCTGTGTAGTTCTCGGCAGTGATATGCCACTTGTCTTGCGACCGTGTAAAGAAGGTCATCAGTTGGTGGGACGAAGCTATGTCTACGGGGTGATGCATGGAGAGGCGCTGGAACCGACGATGAGGCCCGCCAGATTGAGAACTTTTAGGCTGAGGTAAGGCGGGTTCTGCAGAGTGGAGACTGGCGTTTGGAATCTCGAGTAGGTGCATTATGATGCGGCTACGAAGAGTAAAGATACTGAGCACAGAGCCGCACAGCGCGCTGCTACCTCTTCAGAGCTCCTATGCTCCCTACCACACTATCCAAGCTACCACTGCAACCTGAAACCCTCTTTCCCAACTTCAATCTTCTCACCATCTCACGCCGCAACTACCTTTCCCGCCTCGTCCGCTTGAACCCATACCCCAACCCCCTTTTTGTCCATCCTCATCCCATCCGTCCCAAACACCTTCAACGTCTTATTGAAGTACCGATCCGTGACCCTCAAATTTGGAGTAATCCACCAACCCCCCTCCGCTCCCTCCTTCTTCACAGGCACAACCACATAACTAACCTCCTGCCTGCTCATCGGCAAAATCTGCAGCGTCTTGAGCTTTGCGCCGCTGAAGCCAAACTCCTCACTCGCCTCCATCGCTAGCTCAAACGTCAGGAAGTGCATAGTGGGGTTCTCGAGGGTGTAGGTGAGGTGGATGGCGGAGGAGATGGAGGGAGACGGCGCGGCGGACGCGAGGACGCGGGGCTCACCGCCGGGAAGCTGGATGCGCGGGATGGGGATCGTGGTCATAACTGTGGGAGCGGGGTCTACGTCTGCGTCTGCGTGTGGGCCTGCGCGGCGCCAGAGGACGTTCAGGCTGGTATCGATGGCGGTAGGGCGGCGCTCCTCGAGGTTCGTCTTGCGGATGTCGATGGTGAAGCTGTGGGCGTGCAGGGCTTGCGGATGCATGGTGGCGTCGGCGGTGGGGATGGAGTCGAAGTCGCGGGTTACGGAGCACGTGGCGCCGCCGTGGACGGCGTGGGTTTCTACGGCGAGGTCTTTGAGTTCGAGGCTTTCGGTTGCGTATGAGGCGATTTTGGCGGTGAGATGCCATTTCTGGGCTATGCCGAAGGCGTCGGAGGGGGCACCGGGGGCGGAGGAGAGGGAGAAGTAGCTCGGCCAGGGATCGGGGTGGACGCGGGGCGTGAGCTCGTAGCTTGTTTCAAAGGGTGATGTGAAGACGATGTCTGCGATCATGATTTTGGAGATGGGGATGTCGCGGTCGCTGAGTAGGTGGTAGAGGACCTTGACCTCGAGAGCGTAGTCGGCGGGGTCGGAAGGTGCCGTAAAGCGGATCTTTTCGATGGTCTTTTCGCCTTGGGCGAGGCGCCCGACGACGTGCCCTGGGAGGTCCATGTCGTCGTTGTCAATAGGCGGCGGGACTTCTTTCATAGGAGACGCGACGTCGCGGATCCAAGAGTAGCCCAAGGAATCTTTAGAGCGGCCGAGAAGTCGGACTTCGAGCACAGCTTCGGTGTCCTCATCTTCTCTGTTCCAAATTTCCATGGCTAAGGTGACAGGCTCGTCGGTGTAGTAATGCTCTCGCACATTGGGCAGGCGAACCTCCATCTTCGGAGGCTTGGGCAGCACTTTCACAGTCGCCCCAGAGCCTGTCTGCAGCTTCCGTGGTTTGATGGTTATTCCCCATGGTATCCACCATTTGGGCGAGAGGTTGAACGGCAGGTCGTTGGTTGATACTATGAGGTCGAAGCGCTCTGTTTCTATGTCGAATTTGGAGCTCATTACTTCCACTTCACCTGAGTCTCGGAATGTGATCAGGAAACTGAATACTTTTGTTTGACCCGGATGGAACGTTAGATCAGAATTGCCTGCCCATCGTGGTTTTTCGGTGGAAGAGGTCTGTTCTTCAAGGCTGCAGTCGAAGAGCCGCGAGTCGCTGCTGGAGGCTGATTCGCCTGCTACATGCGATAGTTGGATTTCGCTAAGACTTCCCTTAAATTGAAAGGCGACGTTTGACAGCGTTATAGGTGTGGATCCTCGTCTCGCCCATGACGTGATTGCAATTTGAGCGGTTAGCGGCTCGCCGACGTTGCCTTCGTTCTTTTCAAAGGTGAAGGTCGAAGATACTGAGCTGTTAGCGTGACCTGATGCGCAAAGAGAGGACACTTACAGCATGAAATGTAGTTCTCAGTGTCTAGATTAACAACAGTGTTGCCAGCTGAAGTATCGCGAGGAAGCGGCGCGAGGCAGTTCATCAAATCATGTTTGTACTTTGATTTGCCTGTGAGAACTGCCAGCTGATTAAAACTGGCGCGTATGTATTGATGGCTTGAGACTTACCAGATGAGTTGAGTTCCCACTCCGTTGCTATATATGTTTCGACGTCCCGAACACGCAGGGCACATTCGTGCATACCCCAAACTACCTCCGAGGCCAAGCTCCAAAAGCCTTCCTTCCGCCATGCCATATTCTCCCATAATGGTCGTAAGACTTTGAAGGCCTCGTCGAATTCTTTCACATGAAGCAGGGTTCGTGCAGCTTCGAGCTGCAGCTGGTGAACTTTTCGTTCCTGGCGTCGAGCTCTGAACTCATCTATTGCAGCATTGAGCTTTCCAACGATGTCCTTCCAGTGCTCGAAGCCTCCCGAAGTGCCTTGAAGAGGGAACTCCAAATGAGGCTCAGGGACGAGGTAGTGATCATACACTTGGTTTCTGTTCGAGACCTTGGTCGCGGGTGACATGCCAGGAGGAGTGCGATCCTCTTCGGGCATATCTCTGGCTAGCAGATATCTCCTCTTTGCGTGTTCGGCAGCTGATTTGTACCAGTAGCCCGCGTGATGGAGGAGTTCCCAGGGCGGTATACGCTCCCCAGTCGGGAATTGTTTTTCCGGCGGCGCGTAGACTGGGTTCATATCTACGCTGGGCAAGAGCTCTGACTCTGGTAGAGGATCGGTGATCCTGAAGACCCTCAGGTCCGCTTGCTGTATGAGCTGAGCCATTGTCTGGGCCCAAGTTGACTCCCATGCTTCCCAGCCGTAGTTTGAAGTTCCTTTCCCGCGTCTATCAAGGACGTCTTTCAACTTGGTCTTGTACTTGTGCCAGGTTTGCGCGGCCGAGGTGAGGTAGTTGTTGGAGATTTGGCAGCGGACATGCCTCAGTGCTATGGTATCGGCGAGTAAGCGGATTTCGTCCCATCTTGGCGACCAGCTTGCAGTGGTCTCAAATATACCCTCTGGCCCAAACAGTATGTCAAGCGCGATGTTATAGTGTCGTTGAGCCGCATCCATCTCTTGTCGGAACTCTGCAAACACACCCAACTTGAACTCATACCGAAGACCCCAGCCGGGATACCCCAGTACTTGTGATGTGCCGCGGGTGGGAGGCGCTGTGGGTGGCGGAATGGTGCTCCTAGTTTTCTTCCGCCTTGCGCGTTTTGTGAGGTCGCGGTAGTACTCCACGCTGATTGGCTTCAAGGTGGTCAAGACGTTGGCGACAAAGGAACGAAGCTCGACCAGCGACGAGGGGGGAAGGAAGAAAAGCTGGGTTTTGGGGTCCAATCCGGTGTTCCGGCGTATGTTGTTCAGGCGCTCATCGATATCAGGTGCTTCGAGTACAGACTTGTCGCTCAGCAGCACTACTGCAAATCTGGTTTTGTATCCCGACCTCTGTATCTGCTCCTTGACCTTGATGATCTCTGACTTGAGGTGGTTGTCGTGGAGGCTGTTGGTGATGGGGTCGGTGGTGAATTCGAAGAATGACACAAAGACGGAAGGTATGTAATCTTGGTGTTTGGCGACCCATACTGGGGTCATGGCGCCATCCGGAAACACGGGCGCGCGTGGTGACAGCGGGGAGATGGGCGAGTGCAGGATCCACGACGTCGCAGCAGCTATGGTGGGACTGCCTGGCGGGGAAGTCTCCGAGGTGGTGGGCGCGTCAGCCTTCTTGGGGGGCAATTGAAAGTTCTGCCGCGTATAAGCACATGTTCATTCCACCTGTCGGCAATCATGGTCCAGCGTCTCACGGGCAGAGCGAGCGCGCTGCCTGAATGCCTACAGTCCACTGCAGACGGGCGCCTGGCCTACCCTCCCTACTGCCCGCATCCTGAACTTGGCCAGGGTGTCCCTCCGGTCCAGCCCATGCGCCTCCCATGGCGTGTGTGTGTTGTCATAGCTCAGGAACTCGTCCAACAGCTGTTGCGCGCGGTCGCTGGCAAGCTGGGCTATGTCAGAGGTCACGGCGCTGACGGCGCGGCCGGGCAGGAGCTCGTGGAAAGCGCGGCGTGGTTCGAGGTCGGGTTGCGTGCCCAGTCCCGAGAGCACGATGAAGGGGAGGTTGTGCACGACGTATGCGGGCGGATATGCATCCATGGCGTGCTGGGTGTGGCTACCTCTCCATCGAGGGACGGCGGGGCAGCGGGAATGGATGTCTTAGCCGCGCGGGGGGCTCTCTCGGGCGCTCTACAGCTCGACGCAGTGCGAAGGTCGGCGGTGGGCACGGATTGCTGCGTGCAGGGCGGGTTGCACACGGCAAGCTACGCATCTGCTGGGGCTGATGATGTCGCCCGCACTAGACCCCGGCGCGTTTCCGCTCTGGCTTGTGCGTGAGCGGCCCTGCTTCTTTCTCCCCTCCCACGCCGGCTCCAGCCAGACGTTCTTCCACGAAGCATCCCGCCCCCCGAGCGCTCTGCTGCTCGTCTCTGCGCGTCGCGAAGCTCCCCGCGTTTGCCTGGCGCCATCGTCACCCGCCCTCCCGCGCCCGCCGCGCTCGCAGCTCCGCCAGCATTCGCAGAAGCCGCGCTCGCGCTGAGCCGCAGTCGCCATGGCCGGGTCGCAGCAGCAGCAGATCATTGACACCATCTTCTCCATGAAGCGGAGAATACTGCGTCCCGACGACTGTACGCGCGCCTCCTGCTTCCTCGCTGTCGCCGCACCTGACTGACCTCCCTCGCCAGCCTCCGACAACGAAGACACGGCGCCGACGTACGGACCGCAGAAGCAGAGCCTGAAGCGCAAAGTCCACTATTCGCACCACGGCGACACAGACCTGGTCAACGGCCATCGCCCGTACAAAAAGGTGCGCACCCCGACAGCGCTGCGCCAGGGTCCACACTAACCGTCCGCCCTCAGAGAATCGAGCATGCCGGCTATCGCAGATACATCCTCCAGCGCAACCCTCCGCGATACGACCCCGATGGCGACATTGTCGAGATTGGCGACGAGGACGATGAGGACGACCTCTCGCCCGTCGAAGAGAATCCATACGCCGACATGCGCTTGGAAGGTGCGTGAGCTCCGCTCTGCTCGTGGGTAGCTTGCCAACTAACATCTTCATGCAGAACTGCTCGCTCCGTTGAGCTCCGCTGCCGATCTACCTACACACCCCTCGTATAGCGTCGCCTACACCTCCAAGCACCTCACCAACCTCACAAACGAAGCCGCCGCCATATCGCGAAAGGAGAACCTGGCCCTACGGCATGCAAAGACCTTGCAGTTGAAGTTTCAAGGCGACCCCAGCTTTGCGCCAAACGCGCTGGCTTCCCTGGCCCACGAATCTTTTCTCGACTTTGGGCGCGACCTACCCAACGGACGAGCGGCAAATGGCCCCGACGAGCACAGCAGAAAAGGCGCAGACGAGAACACAACCCAGGAAACCTCAGCCGCCGGCGAGGACGTCGAAATGTCGGACGCCACGCAAAGCAACGGCGCCCCAAGAATACAAGAGCCGAACGGCACGTCCACTTCAGAAGTCCAAAATGGCACATCACACGTCCCCAACGACATGCCTCGTGCCGACGACGCAGAACCCACCCAGACAAACGGCGAGCACCCGCCCTTCCCCGATGCAGACGATGCCTCCGACACGGCATCGCACAACACCGCACACCGCATGACCACGCGTCGGCAAGCTCGCGCCGCAGAGTCGCCCTCCCCGCCCGCCTCGCCCTCCTCCTCCGTCCACGAAGTCCACCCCATGTTCGTCTTCCCCACCGACGCCCTACCCGACCGTGACCTCGGGCTGCCCGCCGACGAAGCCGAAGATACCCGCCTCCTGCTCATGGCATACGTGCAGAAGCAAGAAGAGGTCGCGCGGCTTGCGGCAGAGCTGTTCTCTGGGATAATGGAGGGCGAGCGTATGAGGCAGGAGGTGCTTAAGATGGCGAAGGCGGAGGCGCATCTAGGCGAGATGAGTGACGGCGAGGATTGGTATGATCGCGAGGAGTGGCATTTGACGGAGGATTTAGGCAAGGGGAAGGACGAGGAGGATGACGATGCAGTGGTCACTGGGAAGAAGAGTACGCGGCAGCGGAGGAAGCCGGATAAGGAGGATCGGTAGAAACGGTCCTCTTACAAGAACGGGATGGCACCCAGGTAGCGGGGAGTGGGGTGGGTTAGTTGGTGTGATTTGGTTTGGCGGGTTCGCGTCGTGTCGCGCAGTAAAGCAATATACCCATTTTCCGTCTGCGTCTGCATCTGCGTCTGCGTCTGCTGTATTCTTCAGAATATGTATCTATTAATCACTCGTCTCTTCAACACCCGTCACACCTCCTAGCACACCGCTCACCGCAGCTCCACGCGGATAGTCCCCTCCATCCCCTCAACCCACGTCCCCACGCCCCTCGTCCCAGCCACTATCTCAACCTCCCTCTCCACCCTCTGCCCCTCCCCATCCTCTTCATCCTCTTCATCCTCTTCATCCTCTTCATCCTCTTCATCCTCGTCCTCGTCTTCACTCTCTGCCTCAGCCACATCCACACTTGCCTGCGCGGCAGGCACCCAGTCCCCCGTCTCCCAGACCAGCCGCAGCTTTGTTGGCGGGAGATCGAAAGCGCGGCCTACGAGACCGAGAAGCGTGTACGCCGTGCAGCGTGCGGGTATTTCCAGCACCGTCGTCTTCTTATTCCCTCCTTCCTGCTCTTTGAGATACACGTGAAGCTTGACAAGCCGCGCGGCCAGCGAGTTGGGATTCACACCGCCCCTCTCCCGCTCCACCCTCGGCTCCCCATACTCCTCGCACAGCTCTTTCCACCTTGGGTGGTCCTCCAGAATCGCCGCTTCGTCGGCTTCCGGCGCGTAGGCAAGCTCTTTGCCTATGAGCGAGAGGTAGTATGACTCTGCGTTGAGCCGTTCTTTGTCCGTAATCGGGGAGTAGTTGAGGATGGTAAGGCAGGACAGCCGCGCAATGGTCAGCATGTACCCGTCTTCGGGCGTCATTTTGCGGCCGTCGGGCGTACGGAGGTGCAAGTAGAGCGGGTTGTGGCTGATGCGGAGTGATATGAGGCCCGGAAAGGAGGTGGGGAGTGAATTGAGAAAAGACCAAGTTGATATGTCGTTGTATGTCAAGTCCACTTCCGCCACACTCTTTGAAAAGACCGGGGCAGCATCCGAGGGGGAAGCCGTAATCGAGGAGATCTTATTGGACTTGAGGATGAGGCGGCGGAGGTTGGGGAGGGAGGTTAAAGGCGCGAGACAGGCGAGTGTGGGGAGCGCGTTGTCCTCTAGCGTGAGCGAGGTTAGGGTTGGTGTGAGGGCGTGTGGGGTGAGTGTGGCGAGCAGGTTCGAGGAGGCGGAGAAAGCGGTTAGGGAGGGGAAGAGGTGGGTTAGGGAGGCGAGGGCGGACCAGGGGAGGAGCGTGTCTTCGAGCTTGAGATCGGTGATGTGGGCGAAGGCGGAGAGGCAGCGGGGGCGCTCGGCAGGGGTTATGGAGGTGGTAAGGAAGCGAGTGCCGCTGAGGTGTGTTAGTTGGTAGTGTGGTAAGGGAAGGAGAGAGGGCGGGGCGTACTCGACTCGTAGGCTTTTCAGCTTTGCTAGCTGCTCGCATATTGACGCGACCTCCCTCCATTCTTCGAATAGGTTCCTACTCAGGTCGAGTTCGACAGCTTTCGGACACGCCTCTTCTACGTCCGTGAGCCCTTTCTCCCACTCATCCATGCCGTTTCTCAACCTCGCAGAACTCCTTTCCATCCGCAGGCCATCGAGTATGACAATCTTGAGCTCGCCAAGTTGAGCAAGCTGCTTCCTGATCTTGTCAAAGCCGACTTCTTCCACCTCTTTTCCACTGATTCGGATGGGCTGGTTGATCCTCGCCAGGGGGTCTTTCTTAAGGGCATTGTCGCCGGGCTTGGTGGCGAAGACAATGTGGATGGATGGGTCCTGGACTGGGTCTGAGGCATACTTTGCTTTGAGGGCTTCAGAAAAGGAGCGCGATGGGTCTGGTTTGCGGGCTGGGCGTATGAAGGAGCCTGATGTTGAACTTTTGTTGAGGCCTGTGGTTGTGGTCAGTGTTGGTCATGCGATGGCATGAAAGATGTTAATTCTCGAAGCCACGCGATTATGATTGTCGAGGACCCGATGCCGATCGGGTGTACCACGGGGAATGATCAATTATAGCGGTCCAATCCGTTAAAGTTTGAGAATTTGCTTGTGGGCCTTACATTCAAAATACCTAATGCCTCCATGCTCGCCAGAATGCTTCCCGCGTATGGGATCGTCCCACTCCACCCCCAGCCACTCGCCTTTCGTGCCTTTGACTTCTCCTATGTATCGAACGGTGCATAGCTGATCGTCGTAAGAGAGCCGCTTGCCGATATAAAATTTTGTAGCCATTGGTGAAAAGTAACACCGCGTGTGGGATGACGCGGGGCAGTACAGTCGCCTTAGCGAATTAATAAACGCTTAGAATGCTGGAGAAGAGGCAGAAGAAGACGATAAGAGCATTTCTGGTCACTGTTCTAGGAAAGTACGCAAGATGCTTGGGATGTGACTTCCATGTTGTTCTGCCTGATCCACGTGACAGATTCTTGGCGGCGGCGCGCTACCGTTCACTTTCGCGATCACGGTGACTACGACTCTGTGGAACTCAACTTCAACAATCCAGCAGCCGCGCCTTCGCAGCTCGCTTTGCCAGGCCACAATCTCGGTGTGAACTTCTCAGCTTTGATCACGCTCGATTAACAGACATCATTGACCAGCAGACATGGACTACCAAGTACGTTCTCCAAAACTTTATCGCAACCAACTGCTAACGCGCGCAGAATCGTGCAGGCTCCAAGTTCGGCGGCGGAGGTGTCGCATCGTCGTCCGCGACCAATGCCGACCGTCGCGAACGACTTCGCAAGCTCGCGCTCGAGACCATCGACCTCGACAAGGACCCGTACTTCTTCAAGAACCACGTCGGGAGCTTCGAATGCCGTCTCTGCTTGACAGTGCACCAGAACGATGGCTCATATTTGGCACATACGCAAGGAAGGAAGCATCAGACCAATCTCGCTCGCCGTGCTGCTAAGGAACAGAGGGAAGGCAAGAAGGACGATTCTATGCAACAAGGCTTGCTCGCGGGCGTACAGGTCAAGAAGAACGTCATCAAGATTGGGCGGCCGGGCTACAGAATCACAAAGGTCCGCGATCAAGTCACCCGCCAGAACGGGCTGTTGTTCCAGTTCCAATTCCCAGACATCACCCCAGGCATAATTCCCCGCGTGCGCTTCATGAGTGCATATGAACAAAAGGTGGAGGACCCGGACCCCAATTACCAGTACTTTATCGTTGCCGGTGAGCCGTACGAGACCGTCGCAGTCAAGTTGCAAGCTCGTGAGGTCGACCGGCGAGAGGGCAAGTTCTGGACGTGGTTTGACGAGGACAATAAAGAGTTCTGGTGTCAGCTTCTGTTCAAGACAGAACGAGATGAGCGTTTCAGCGCCGTCCCTGGCCTCGCTCCTGGACGTAAATGAGGAAACAGTGCTTAGGTTGCACATTCCTGTCCTCAAAAACAAATATTCAGCGACCAACTACCACACTAGCGTAGGGAACTGGATAGCGAGCGGTAGGCGAAGGGTGGCCGGCCCGGTAGAGATGAAGCTCATGACGAAGACTGCATGACTAGGGTAATACGACAAACCCAAAGTCGGAATATTACCGAGCTCTGCTTCGAGGCCCCGATCAGATACGGTTGAGTTATTTCGAGTGTAGGTAGCGCCTCAAACAATTAATGTATTACCGTAGTTGACGGAAAAACAGCCAACAGCGGAGAAATTCAAAGTTCTGTCCACGCACTAGTGATTTGATCTCCAACAAGTGTCCGCTCTGTTGGTACCCAATTACTATTCCCGCAATCGCATTGTAGAGATGCAGTGTTCTTCCACAGGGAGATTGGAGAGGCATGAGCGGCGCCCATTGGTCCGCCGGCATGGAACGACGACCTTTCCCGAACCAAGTCCGAACCCTGCAAGCGTAACGTTCTCTTTCTACGCGTCACTGGACCCGGACACGCTTCATGATGTTGCCTCATGGCTTAGGTGCTTGGTCGGTCATGCAGTGAGTGTGCTCCTTTCAAGCTCGTATGCGTATCCCACGTCAAATTCGCCCCAGAGTGGATCTGCATTTCTAGTATGAAAAACTATCAATGGAAGTCAATGGAGTTGCATTCGCACGGATTGTCCGTTGAATACAGCAGCGCTAAGAGCTCCAATCATCGCTCTAATGCAGAGATGTCATATGACCTTTTCTGGAAGGCACGAGCATGAACCCTGGCGCAACCTTGCAGCATTACCATGCCATGGGCTGATGGTCGACACATGACCGATGGGCGATAGCAAGACGCTGGTTCACAGTTTCCATTCGCTATGCTGAAGCCAAACATTGACGCTTCTTGCCCCGCCACACCTTCTACACAAGGTGGATCCCACCAGCCCATCTTCGGGTAATTTGTATTCTCCAGAGATCTGGAACTAGAACGATCGCCCATGCTGAAGCATACTTAGTCCCGTCACTTACATGCCCATTGTCAAAGGTATTCACCGGTGGGTGAAAGTGTTCGAGCTCTCGATTGCGGTCGCGTAGAACAGGATCAGGAAGCAACGATGAACGGGCGTGCTCCTTCCCACAGACAATACGCATGTACTGAATCCTTTGCATCGGCAAGAACCTTCTCCAGGCTTGTCTCATTCTAGCCGCTCGGACGTCCGTTGAAGCCTCAGGCTCCGATTCACATGCCATTCTCCCCTCTGCCAGCGCTCTGCCCTAGTGTTTTGCACTTGTTTGTGGTCTTTTGACTGTACGTCACCGATCTCCGCACTTTCTGGGACACCACACTGTCATCGGAACAAGCCGGCGCAAAACTCACCGCCAAAGCTGTGCAACGACGATCTGCAGAATGCTACTCGAGCCGACCCGAGCCATAAGGGCGATGCTGTGCTACAATCCACAAGCTTTCTCGTCAATTAGTGTCATGTTGGAAATGCCAAGTATATCTTAAATACCATTTCTACATGAAACGCTCGGAAGCCATTATATGGACTGGCCTGGAATCGACCATTCAACCACTTCTACTCATGGGACTTTGACGCAGCAGGCCTTCCAATCCCGCAGATCTGCCAACAACTACATACAGTGTCTCAAACATCCGAGGAGACATCCCAGGAAAGTGGCTCAGCCGGTTACTATTGGCGTCAGTACTGCTATCAGATGATCAACATGTTCCATGGCGGGGGCGTAGGTCAAGGCAGCGCGCCTAGTGGCAAATAGTAATCGCCTTGAACTCGCAATCGACCGTTTCAACTGCCTGTCAAACGGAAGCCTCGCTAATGCGTGGGAGCAACCGAGAGACATGACAAATGGACTGCTAATCGATGCGCCACGCTCGACTATAGCAAACACCCAAAAGCGTTCACTTCTCCTATCCGGACGCCAGTCATGGGGCTGAGTCTGTTCGACACGAGCAATTTATCTCCTACGCTGAACCGCTCTTCACTGTCTTGCTCGCACCATCCAGCTTAGGCGACTCAACAAAATATGATGCGAGTGATGGGAGCGAGACGACCGTTGCTTTCCTTTGTCTTTGCAAGGATTCTTCCGAAAGCCATTGTGGATACCCTGACTGGTCTGCGACGGAGACATTGCTGCCCCCTGTCTAGGACTATCACGAGGCGTACATACCAGTCAGTCGGTCCGTTAGGTCAAGGCAGATCATCTGCACGCTCGGCAGCGACAAGCGGACAAAGGCTGATCGTTGTGAGCTCTTAGGTTGACTATTGGAGTTTAGATACAATCCATGAGGAGAATCTTGAAAGCTCGTTGTGAAGTCGACATGGCAAGGTTGAAGTGAGACCCGACCCAGGATGTGCATTGGCCCACAGCGTACAAGCAGCCAAGCTGGGCTTGATTGATGCCGGGACCCTGCAGAAAGGCTCAGATGACAAAGTTGCAACTGAGACATGGACCACAGTTGCACACAGTTCCCGAGGACGCGTCGAAGCCGCGCCAGCTCCAGGAGGATGTGAGCTAGCTGAGTGAGCTGATTCTGGAAGATCGAAACGCCACTCGCATACGGATGATCCGAAGAGAAGAATACTCGTTTATTCTACGCTAATTTCAACTTGAATCAAGAACCAAGATGATGATGCTGGATTGCGGGCATCATCAAGTGCCATGTTTAGGTAGGGTGCGGACATGGCGTTTCACAGCCCCGCTAGGATGCTTCGGCGCCTGGTGCGGAAGCGATGCGAGATACAAGCATGGTACGACGGCAGAGATCGAGCACAGACAGGCTCAGTGATCCCTTGTCGGGGCGGGACGAATCGTGGAACGGGTCGAGCCTCGCGCTCACATCTCGTGTCCACACAGCGCAGAGGGACGCAGCGGAAGGCTATCGACTTACGGGCGGCCTACCCAAAGAGTAGGAAGAAAGGCCGGAACAGCGGAAAGTTATGACTGCCGTGTCGCTGCAATCATGCAGAGGACGGCGACTGCAGTGGCAGCAGCCAAGGCTAGCTTCAAGGGAAGAACGGATTGCGCCTCGAGTGGGCCCCCAGATTGGCCGGCAGAGGCGGGGATCGTCGCAGCCTCTGGACATGGGCAATGCTGGGGCGGGCGGGATGTGCAAACAGGCATTCGTGTGTGCAAGGCGGCCGGGGTGTCTATTACTTTCCAGAAGTAATAGACTGACATTGCTCGATCCGGCTGCTGCGGCAAAGGCGTGGGCGGCAGCACAGCTCTTTGGGAGTCAGACGATATGGCTGGCTTGATAGCAGCAGTGAATGCATGACCACGGCCGCTTATGCATGCATCTGCTAGGCTGCTGCAGGCTTGGGCCATGATTCGGCGTGACCAGGCTCAATCAGCAGCGTCTGCATGGGTGAGTGGACGGTGAAGGCAGCTGCTGCGCGGCGGTGCGAGGGCGGGCGTCCCGTTCAGTCGACGGCCGTCCGATGCGAGTCTAGCTCTGGGCGCAGGCGTCATGGAGAGGCAGGGCGCCGAGTGCTGTCGCGAGCAGACGTTGCGCTGTTGGACGGGACAGACATGTCGAGATCCGGAGCTAGAGGGCATGCATGCACGTAATGGAGAGCAGACGGGCGCGCCGCCGTACAGAGAGGACAGCCACAGGCGGGGGCTGCCCCCATGGCCGTGGCCTGCGGTGCTCTGATTGCTGCGCGCGCGCCCGCAACGCTGCAGCAGCGCGTCCCATACGCTCGCTACCGTCTCCAGAGCGGGCCGAGCAGCGAGCTGGTGGTCGCTGCTCCGCGCACGGCTGGGCTCTCAGCCATCATGGGCGGCCATTGGCATTTGGGGCATTGGGGCCTGGGTGATTCGCCGTACATATTCGCGCTGCTTGCCGCTGCCGTAGCCACTCCAAGGCTGCCGCTGCCCTCTCCACGCGTTCTTCCGCGGCCCGGGAATCTCGCAGCACGCATTGGGCGCTCCCGCTCTGTATCTGCAAGTCAGGATCAGGCTCCAGCCCGCGGCCATCACTAAGAGACCGCTGGACCCTACAGCGGCTACCAGCAGCTGTCTGGGCGGTGCATCATCGCGCCCGCATTCCACCGCCGGTACCATTCCTCCTGTCACCCTGTCATCCCTCCCACCGCCGCCGCCCTCACGTGGCAGCCTTACTTTCCGCTGCTATCATCAGGGCTGCTCCACTTCGCAGCCGACGCTGTCTGGTCCGCCAGCCGATCCGCTTTCTGCGCCTTGCCTTTGCGCGCGCCCTCGACCCAGTCTCCATCTGCACAGCGCCCGCGCCCGCGACTAGCTGCCAGCCTGTGCGACACCACGCCGACCTTGCATCATCCTCCGCTCCTGAGTCGCGCCGCCCCAGCACCGCCGTGCGCACACTAGCCGTTCGCCATCGCCGAGCAAGAGTTTGCGCTCGGATCTCTAAGTGCGGTCGGGTCGTCTTCGGTACAGTATCCACAAAGCTCGCCGCCTCTTCGCGTCCGTGACCCAACCCGCACCGCGAACCCAACCTCACCTCACCGCGCCGGGCACGTCAACACGGCCGCATGCCCAACAAGTCGCGCACCGCCCCGCGACTCGGAACCCTCCAGCCTCGCGACAGCAACAGCGCGCCCCGCGCCCCATTGGCCTGGTCGTGATCTCGACGCGACGACGAGCAACTACCCGCGAGCTCGGCCGCTCGCTCCTCGCCGACGGCTGGAATGTATTCTGTGCACCAGTATCCCGTCCAGACCATGTCCAACGGAGCTATTGGGAACGGTCTCATCATGGACCCCTCGGGCACCATCAATCCCCAGGCCCTGAATCCTGCAGGTACGCGACGAGCTTTTCTACCCACCAATGCGCGCGCAATCTGCGCAGCAGTTGCAAGACCCCATCAAAACCATCATCGTGACTGCGCGCATCCGTCCCATCCGCTGCCGCGCTCTCTGCTGTTGAGCTTGCTGACAGATGTGTGTACCAGATGTGCTCGGAGGAGCCCAGCAAAACGTCGCACAACAACCGACTCGGGGCATCAAACGTAGCCGCACGCCAGAGGACAGCTATGCCGATCTAACCACAGGCGAGAATGGAGACGGTACGTAATGCGCGTCCCCATTGCGACACGTCGCAGAGCCTCCCGGTTCACCTGTATCCACCTTACTAATGAGGAAGGTGCAGATGATAGCAGCCGCAGGAAACGCGGCCGACCACCCACGAAACCCACGAAGGTGTCCTTTGCTGAGAACGACAACCGTGGCTCGCATCCCCCACAGACCCCTTCGTACAATGCGGGAGCCCCACCAGTCCAAACGCCACAGCTACAGGCTACACCGCTCCCGCAAGCGTCTCCGCCCCAGGCATCGCCTACAGCCAAATCCACTCCTACCAAGTCTACCGTCATCAAGGCACTTCCTACGGTTAGGGACCACACAACTGATCAGCTGAACCCCGAGGGAGACGAGTACCTGCCCCGTGAGAAAGACGAGGCTGGCGAGAACAAGGTCACGCCGACCGGACACCCGCTCGACGGCAGAGAATACCGGTGCCGCACTTTCTTCGTTCCCAACCGAGGGAACAAGCTTTTCATGCTCGCAACCGAGTGCGCACGTATTTTGGGATACCGAGATTCGTACCTTCTATTCAACAAGAACAGATCGCTGTATAAAATCATTGCGACGCAAGCGGAGAAAGACGACTTGATTCATCAGGAGATCCTTCCATATTCGTACCGATCACGCCAAATTGCTATCGTGACAGCACGTTCCATGTTCCGGCAATTCGGAAGCAGGCTTATTGTCAACGGACGGAGAGTGCGTGACGACTACTGGGAGAGCAAGGCTCGGAAGCAAGGGTTTACCGAAGAAGACGCGGCAGGAGAAAAGAGACCTGGCGCTGCGAGGGCTCGCGAAGCAGCCGCAGCTGAAGCAAGCCACGCTGGTGGTCATCTCGCTTTCGCTCACACTGGAGCCTACACCGGCAAACTAGACCAAGACTACCTAGGATCAGCTGTGAATCCATTGCAACCGTTCGGCGGACTAACGCCTGCGCCGAACACGATGCCTACAGCGAACCCGGAACCTTTTGAGCAGCGGGGGACTACAGATTTGCAACCGCGAAACTACGCTGGCGTTCAACGTCCGCGACATGAAATGTCCGGCGTACCATATCAGGACGTCACGCGACCCACACCTTCAGGGGAGATCTTGAATCAGGCTGGTCAAACCGCTGAGTACAACAAGCAGCTTGAACAACAGAGGAAGAACCGCAAGCAATATCTCGACGACATTTGGGCGAGGCCACACGAACCACCGCCACCCACTGAGCGCCCAGGCACTGCGGATGCTAACAATATCACCCAAGCTGTGCAGGCAACGCAGTCACCTCATATCCCTTCTGCAAATACTGCGGTCGGTGTTGGCCAGTATGGCATGGCCGCTCAGACACCACAACGGCCTGGTCAAGTCGCAGGCGCTACCCCATACCGACCGCAGCCGCATCCCCAAGCCATGATGCCGTCACCTATGGCACAGCAACAAACCCCTATGAGGCCGGACCAGATGCATCGGCGTCCTCCAAGCATGAACTTGCCACAAGGAATGAATCCAGCTGCGATGGCACAGGCAGGTATGATACCCAACGTCGGGCAAAACCCAGGCTATCCACCGCAGCACATGTGGCAACAGGCGCCACCGCAGCCATCACCACTCTCCCAGCAGCACAACATGCAAGCGTATGCCCGCCCGCCGCAACAAAGTCCTCATCCTCAACAGTCGCCGATGCACGCATCGCCGCAGCTTCATCATACACAGAGCAGCGGTTCTATGCACGGCACGCCTGTGCAGCAGTATCAGACTATGAACGCCATGGGGGATCCAAACTTCTCCGCAATGGGTCAGAATCCTTACCAACCGAGCCCAAGTCCTCACCAGTTTATGCAGCACCAGAGCTCTGCTACACAGCAGCCTGGCATGCCAGGTTGGGCACCGAACCAGCAGCCTCAGCAGGGTTGGCCGACATACTAGGCGTACCATGGCTTATTGCCAAAGCCTGAAGTTCCTGATCCTTTCTGGATCAAGAGGAACACCGAGCAACAAGCATATGTTTAGAAAGCATCTTGTCGCCCGTACTTACCGGTGGACAGTGGCCAGTGATCAACTTTGGATGCCACACCAATTGTGTCAAAGCGCCGCCCAAAGGCAGCTACAATCATCACATCAGGGTAGCTACATTAGTCATCGCGACCAGCGCTAGAACAGGGGAATGTTCGAGGATTCTGCGCTTCGTCGGACCCTCTTCAGAGGGCTTGTACCCTAAGGTTCCGCCGGTACCCCACAGTGAGCATTTGCAACTACATGCTCCCGCATCACCTGTCTCGAGGGTGTCGACTTTTCCTGCGGTTTTGGCCTTTGCGCGATTTGTTATCAATGGCGTTCTGCGCAGTCCACACTCACGTTCTACTGGATACACATGCTATGACGCTTTCACGAGGCAACCTCTATGTCGATCATGTCAAACGATCAAGTGGGATCGCGCGCCGAATCCTCTTCCATGCATTTTGAGGAATTTTAGGCACCAATTTCTTTCCTGTACAGTTCTGCTTGGGTTCGCATTCACTACGCACATTCGGCATCTGCGATTTCGGCCCCTCGTTTGCTGTTCGCCCATGTATGCAGTTGAATGGGATCTATCTAGGAGTTTGGCATTGCACGCGATGTTGTGTGCATTTCTTATTTTGCATTGTCGGTCGAGCAGCGTGGTGGCTCACTTTCTTTCCACTTGGTTGGCTATACACATCACATCAGATTGTTCTTGCTTGTTTGGCATTACCAGTACCCCCGGTGATTGGTTGTAGCATCTGTCGCCCCGTACTACAGCACATCACATCACTCGATTCCCCGTACCATACCCTTCTCACACAGCACATTTTGCTGGAGTTCAGTTTGCGCGTCATCATCTCACTTCGCTCTGCATAGTATTGGGTACTCATCCTGGGCTGGAAAGCCGGATAGAAGTGGGCACATGTATCCACGGGTGTTGGATTGGCTTGGACGGCACGGGATGGCTCTGGGCGTCCGGAATGTTTGGATCGGACGAGGCAGCCGCGGTGCAGATGCGATGCGATGGTGGGACGGCATGCATGCAAGGTGTGCATTGCATACAATGCTGGAGGTTTCTTTGACCCCATCCCCCGAGTCCTTAATATTAATAATATCGTTTTCCTCCCTGCACGCCGTTGGCTTATGCGCGTGGTGTTATTGTCTGCTTGGGGGCCGAATTGACCTCGCAAAGTTACTTTACGTGCGATTGGTGGTGACTGGCTGCAAATGTGATGAGCAGCACAGCACAGAACAGGTGCTCGCAGGCTGATCTTCCAGCCGCACCCGCAATCAACCGTTCGCACGCAGTTCGCGCACAATGCGCTGGCACACCTCAAGCCGTCCCCCCCCTCCTCAATCCCAGTCATCCCAGATTTTGTTCAGTCCACTCGCCCCCTCGTCGCCCTGCTAACGTGATCTCCCCAACACGCACCCCGGCCCCCGTCGCGGGTTCCCATGTGGCGTGGCACAGTCTCCCGCACCCGCTGTGAGCGTGTTCAGCCGGGCGCTCCGTGACGTATACATCCGACCAGGATGCCATGCTGTTGCCACGCGATACGCGCGCCGGAGGGCGCTCCGACACGCGAGGGTGACTGTGCAGCTGGGTGCGCTGTGTATTAGGTTAGGCGCAGCCGCGCCACAGGTGTTGCTAGTTCTGGTGCTGGTGCTGATATGTTGGCGCTGGAGTTGCAGCTGGTGCTGGCTAGAGTTGGAGTTGGTGTGTGTGTGGAACTTGGAACGGACTGCGGGCTGCGGGTGGGTGAAAGTGGAGTTGGGATGAAACTGATGGGAGAAAGGCCCGGTACGGTGGGTGAGAAGTGGGCTCATCGCAGCGTCACAGTAGTGTGGAACAAAGGTTTTCGATGACGATGAAGATGATGATGATGGCGAAGATGCTGCAATCGCACGGCGCGTGAAGTGCGCGTCACGTCGCGTTGAGTTTGAACTTTGTTTGTTGGTCTGGTCTGATCTGGAGCGGCTGTCATGAGGTGAGCAGGTCCTTTTTTAGTCTGTATACATTCAATGCCTTTGGCGACGTCCTCTTTGTTCGGCGATGAGAAGCCGAATACGAAGATAAGTGGCGGTGCAAGTCTAAGTGTAAGAAATGCGACCGCATGCGGGTTTGGCTTTCCGCATTGGGCGAGTGGAATCATACCTAGGTTGAACGCCGGTGAAGGTGCGCAATGGGGTGATGGACTAGAAGGGCTCCACATGCTGGATGGAGGCGTTTGAGTACCGCTGACGGCGGCTAAGAGGTGGCTGCTATGTGCTAAGAAGTGTTTGAATGCACAATGACGAATTGCGTTGGTCGTCATGGCTGAGAGTGGAAGCCGCAAGAGGGGGGTAGGCGCGTCAGCTCTGGGGATTCTGTCAGTCACGAGAAGTGGGGGGCGGGCGTGCGAGCATCGGCGAACTCTGTTACAACATCACGGGAAAGAGTGGCTGTGGCGACGAGAGGGACAGAAGGATTGCTACCCTAAACGGACATGTGCTTCCTCATCCGGACTGACAGATAGCAGATCAGTATAGTCACATCCACGACTATTCAATACGGAGAACGCGAATAGTCGCGCCAGCCTCGCGTTGCTAAACTTTGTTAAAGCATCACGCGGCAACGAGACATGCAGGGCATTGGAGGACTATTTTCCCTTGGCCACTAAGCATCGCATACGCTTCGGCGGTCACCGTCAGCAAACGAGTAATGCACTACAACAAAATTTCAGAAAGCAAATTACCCTTTGATCGTGGCCTGACACCTTGACTCCCTCGGATCAGCGCTCCGAAGTGGGGAATGCGGGTAGCTGTGATATAAGGTTTATAGACGCCCCAGGCTAGTTCCCACGCTTTAATCTACTATTCAACTGCCGTAGGATGCATGATCGTACAGCACGCCTAGTGCCAGATATCGAGCTTGCGCAGTAGTGCTGCGGAGACGCCATCTAGGAAGTTCCTTGGACGCAACACGTCGCCGAGGACCCTTAACAAGTGTGCGAAGTGGATATCCAGACTGAGTTTTTGTATCCTGCAAGATCATACAGTAGTGTTTCCGGACATTGAATATCTGCATTAGTGTGTGGTGGAAAGAGTCCTTCCAAATTGTAGGGTCTTGACGAGTGGAGGAAAAGGATAGGAATATGCACATGTCGCCGAGGTACAACGTCGGCTTATGCATGCGAGCGCGAAGATCGTTGGGACATGCAGGTAGCGATGAGATGGGATCAAATCCCGGGGCTGTGGTGCTCTCTAAAGGGTAGGCAAGACATCACGGGGATGTCTGCGAGCTTTGGAGAGTGGACAGAGCACGTACCCTAGCAGACACAGTTTGGTGACGTCAATCAAGGAGTATGCTGACACTGGAAATACCAGTCGTTGACATATACATATCTGGTGTCTAGTCTTGTAGACCGGTAAATCTGGAGACTTGGACGACGTTGCTGAGCATCTAAAATCGAGTATTAAGGAAGCCGTCCTACGGATAGCATAGGTCAAAACTGCGATACATTGTCACATCTTGCACGAGCAGCTGGAGCATAGTCTTCTATCCACCTATAGTACAAAGATATACTCGCGACATCATCCACTTGTGATACAAATTTTTTAGTGTCTCTCAATCGTGTATATATGTAGATAAGTAATATCATTCGGGTTGGCTCTTTCATCGTGTTTTGCGTTTCGCGCCCGAGTTACAGCAGAAACATAAGGAAAACTGAATCGAACATCATCAACACCTTCAGGAACCCACAGGTCATTGTCACCATTTCCCAGACTTGTGGACTTGGACTAGCTTGGCACTTTACTGTCAAGACGTTCTGGCATTTAATCTTGATTATCATTATCGTCTTACCTCAACTCTATTCCACGCGATTCAGAACTGGCTACCCAGTCTCTTTACGAATGTATCACGATCCATCCTGTGATCCCATCCCCGCGCAAAATCCAAAAGACGCGTTATGTAAACCGCAAGGCCCGCCCTCGCTCCACCCGTCACTCCCATGCCACCCAGGAAAAGGTACCTCCCTTACATTGACGTAAGCCTCATAGCTCTCCCTAATCCCCTTAATGATACTATCTGGAGCTCTTTCGTCAGCGCCTCTCGGAGCCGCTCGAAGCCCTCTTCCCCCGGGAGTCTCTCCTCATTCAACCACACCCTCAGCATACCCTTCCGTGCTTCCCTCGTCCCGAAATTCTCACTCCTATTCGCAAAACGTATCCTCGTCCCAAAAGCCAGCGGGATGAAATTTGCCTCCATATGCGCATGCCTTGCTGAGAGGCGGCGACCTGAATGGCTCAATGGCAGATGTCAGAAAGAGGGATGTAGTCGGTTGTTCCACTGCCAAAGCAGTGGTACAGGGTTGGCGAATTACCGAAACGTTTGCTTGCATGTGTGAGTTCAACATGGCGGTAGTGGGACACCTACCGGATAACACGGCAAGATAATCCAACCCTGTACAAAAAGCTATACCGTACAACTCACACACTCATACGAACGCGGAATCGTGCCAAAATTAAGTATGGTTCTCCTTCCCAGGCCACCCACTTATCGTATTACCTGAAATAGATGTCCAATACGGGAAAACACGAGCTGTCCGTTGATCGATTCCAGAGATTCGAAGATACGATCTCAAATCTCATTGCCTCTCTGCAGTGCTTCGAGCGCCGCACCAACAAACACAACCAACACCGCTGTATACGCCACGGTAACAGAAAGAAACTCTGTCGACTTCCCCAATGACCCCTGCAATCAACCCAAACCTCAAGACTGACACAGATGTGAATAATAGCGCCGAGTGTGGCCAAGGGTATTGCACCATGAGGGCCATTGGGACGATGAGAGAAAATCTACCCGAAAGCGCCAATATCGCTCTGCTGACGTACCCACCGACCCTCTCCAGCTTTTTGTACCCTTCAGCAACTCAATGATCATGGTTGGTTTCTTCGGGTCCGAAGAAATCTTATCTGAGAGACATCCGTCGGGTCCGATGTCGTTTTGCTTGACCAGCTTGTCTTGTGGTGCGTTGAAATGGTTCCTCAGGAATTCAAGCTCACTCGTCGGTACCTGAGGGTCCTCACGATTTTTCTGGAGGGGTAACACTCTGTAGCCTCAATCTCGGAGCGCTTCGACTGTACACACAGCGAGAAGATCAGTTACATTACCTCTGAACTTTTTAGCTTAGCTTCTTACCATATAAGTGTACATCTCGCGTCAATTCACCTTCCTACGTTAAGTCGAGTGTGGGCTAGAACTTCAAGTCGAATGCGTGCTTCAAAAGGCGGCGTTGCAGAATTTTGAGGTTGATGCTTTGAAGTGTGTAGAGTCTGACTCTCGCAAAATTATGCTTTTCGTAGATAAGCTCGTTGGAGTAGGCGGCTTGTACATTCGCGAGGATGTTTTTGCCAAAGACATCATCGGGTGCTTGTCCTTCATCGGAAGCTGCGTGTGATCTCCCGTTATCAGTGAGAGTGTTCGGCTGCTACACGAGAGACTCAGCCTTGCCAGCGGAACGCGATCGGCCATAGTCTGAATCATGTGGAGGGACCATGGTTAAATGTACAGCATCGCTTTGACGCTCGAGGTCCGGGGCATTTGAGGGCTGCGGTGCCACTGTCAGCCGCTAGTTCTGTTTAAAGTCGCAGCGTGAGAGTCAAGCTCGCTGAAATGATATAATGAGCGAAAGTGTGGGTATCTATATGGTCAGGCTAAAATCGCGTCGTGGTGTTCGCCTCGGCGATGCTCTTTCATTCTTTAAACCGTGGGATGTTCGTCTAAGCTTTTGACGTGCGCGTAGGTAGCAGCGTGTGGTTGACGATGGGCAGGATTCAAAGAACATCACTGAACCCTGGAAGGAAGCTGCATGTGCATGCGATTGCATATGGTGTTTGATTGACGGATGGATGTAGAGCTGTACTTTGAGTCTGACCCTTTCACGGACTTAATATCTATTCCATACCTGGGCGTCATACAACCTCCATCGCCATTTCGCCCGCTGCACCCTCAAGAAGGTCAAGTTGCGCCGTGAACGCGTTCTCCAGGTCGACACCCACAGCTTGCACTGGCCAGTCGATGAGATGCCAGTTTTCTCTGCCTAATGCCATCGCTACGGTGACGATGAAGTTGGCACCCATACCCTCCAGCCACCATACGTTTCGCACTCTGCCAGCAAGGACAGCGTAGTGAGCCAGAATGACCAAAGCATACTTGTTCTTCTGCTCCAGCAGTTTCATGAATTCTCTCGAAATGCGCGTCGCCCACACAAAGATCGCCCCGCGGTCCTTCATCTGCACAATCTGACCGCCCTTGTCGCCATAGGCGTAGTCCACGGATGTTAGGAACGGATACTCATTCTCTGCAACAACTAGATGTGAGACTAGCGAGTATGTTTCTCTCAGGTAGAATAATGCTGAGGATAATGTGTCGGCATCAGTTGATTGGTTCGGACCTTTCCACAGCTGTTCTATCTCAGCGAGGCGGCTGTCCTCCTCCAGCGCCATGTCTGACTTTGGTCGTCTGTCTTTGGGCCACCATTGACGATTCGCAATGACGCTGAGTCTGCCTTTAATAACATGCTCCCAACCGGGCATCAGCACTGACCATGGCCCTCGGAGTCCCCATAGCGTTCGAAGAGTGGCCGCAAGCATCGTATCCACCACATATGGTGGTGGCACAATGGTTCCCTGCAGCACGCATGATCTTATGCCTTCCATCTCCTGTGTTGCGGTAAAGAAAAAGTAGACCGCTGTAAGTGTCGAACTTGCAAATAGTGCTGCAGCGTTTTCCGCGTTAATGTTATCTAGTTGAGGTCGAAACCCTTGGATTGCTTTGTTCATCTGTGAAGCAGCCAAATTTATCATCGCTATCCTTTTGTCCCCACGTCCGTGTAGTCTTGCAAGATGGAGCGATGCGACCGCTAGTATGTTGTTCACGAGGAACTTATGGTCTGCTGCGAGGTCGGGCACGACGTTTTGCCAGGCTGCTTTCGCAGGGTCTTCATCTGCGAGTGTGAGGCTCGTGGTATACTCGTAATGGTAGAGAATCCCTTGCAAAGCTGGCGGTAGCATGTCTCGGGTCGGTCTCCATATGTCATTGAAGCGAAGATATGGTGATATTGATGGAAATGTAGTTGGTATGATGAGGTCTGGAAGAGACATAAGAGGTGGAGGAGTAGAAGGGGGTGTTATGAAGGATACGTCCGAGGATATAGAATCATCGCGCACGTAGGTACTTCCGAGCACGCCGACGTCATGGTGGTTTTTTGGTAATAAATATTTTGGCCTTATGCGTGATCCGGAGGTTGTGGTGGATGTCGAAAATGAAGGAGAAGGTATTGATGAGGGTGAGATGGCTGTGATCGTGGATGCGGAAGACGCCGACCCGGCTGTCAATCGCGTGGAAGGAGCAAGCAAAACGAAGCTCTGTAAACGGTAAGCACGAGCTATAGAGAGGCATCATCGTCGTCACAAAGGGTGGACTCACGCATTGGTCTCTTCGCTTCTCACAGTTAAAACATGTCGGATGAGCACCGTCGCACTGTTTGATTCGTCAGCACCTGTCCAAAGCAGTTCCGGTAAAGTTACAGGATCATGAATGTGAAAGTCGAAGGCTGATTTCTAAGTCGAGTAGCAGCGACCAGGGGCACACGAGTTAATGATAGCAGGGCTGTCGGTGTCGATCATCAATAAGTTCCCAAGTCCCTCCAGCGAAAACGCGCACTGTGTGATCCATCTACCTCCAAGCCGTATCTGCAGTCCTAGCACAGGAAAAAAACGAGCTACGATCCGTGAGCATTCCATATAATCCCGCGGCTATAGAGTCGTCATGCGTGCCCATATTTGTAGGATCTTTTGAACTGGTGTACAGTCGGTGGCTAGGCATGTTGAAAGAACTTTGTCGTACTCTGAGAGACCGGATTGGAGGTTCTAGACAATCGACGAAAGGCACCTACTTTGATTCGTCTCCGCTTGCATTGCGAGCAGCCAAGTCTCGTCTTGCTGTGTGCTTTGCGCGTCCCCGTAGTCCGAGCAGACATCGTACACGCTCGTTGATGATTCGCACGGTAAGCGAAGACCTAGGGGTGGTAAATGGTAGGCGACAGGGCAATGGGTTTGAGAGTCTGCGGTGTTGTGGCACCACCTCGTAATGAATAAGCTTAAAGGTAAAAAGTGCTTCAGCACGCGGCTACTGAAGTACTTTAGGTAAGCTGTCCTGACATCTCGCAAAGATGTACTAATCCGACCGTCGAGGCTGAGCGATGGGTTTGACGTCGTGGTACCCCGGGGCATTGCGAAGACCCGCTTAATTCCCCACTAATTCCGGAGCTACCGTACTCCAGGTCCTGTGATTTGCCAGTCCGGATACCTGGAATGGGCAATCGCATCGTTGGTACAGGCGTGTAACAAATCTGAGGACCGACCAGCTACTTGAAGTCGACGTTGCACATCCTAATCACGAGACGCAGCCCTCGCTCTTGCCATACTCAAGAGTGCAACTATGTTCATTTGAGCTTGATTGACACGTATTCTTGTACAGCCTGTTGGAACATTTGAAACCTGAAGCCGCAGCCTAGTTAGGTTGCCGAGCTCCCACAATTACCTTGAAAACTCTTGTCTGCTATCCAGGCGTACCAAAGTCTTCTTGTTTATCAACCATTTGTAAGAGGCCTTTACTTAGACAGCGCTTACTTTCATTCTTCTAAGGACACTGCTGGCGGCCTACTAGGTTTGCGGTCATCTTGGCAGGAAGAAGCCTCCGATTCTCACATAATAAATATAACGGTGATGTGCCGCGGATGGGTGATAAACATTCGAAGGAATGATCCGCCTAGCAAGCCTCCTGCGTGATCGTGATGCAACCATGAAGCTGTACAATCGCTTGGTCAACGTAGCATAGTAAAGAAAAGGTCTCATTGAACAACCTGGGGTATCATAACATGAATTCCACAGCACTCCACAATCCCAAATCCGATGAAGAACGCCGGTGCCATGCTGTCCCGTGGCATGTATATCTAAGCATGCAAAACTAAACCTTCAGCACTGTTGCCTGGCTGTGCGCATTATACGGCGCAGTGCAGGCTCTCCAGTAAACAGGCATATGCCCCTACTTCAGCCCATGATCTACCGGGCCCCTTCCCAAATATTTGTCCAGCTTGTCGTCCCCGTAGAACATACTCTGCAGCTTCTCATGCTTTTTCTTCTGCTGCACCTCCAATTTCCGCACTTGTCCAGCATCAAGTGTGGCCCCTTTCGGGGTCAGCGCTTCTCTCTTCTCCCGCTCCACTGCCTTTTTATCAACACCTAGGCCTAGCCTGTCCCTCTTCTCCTTCGGCACGATGGGGAAGAGCATGCCTTGTCCAGTAGCCCCAAGACCCATGCGCGCATCAACGTCAAAGCCATGTTTTTGCAGCAACTTCAGACCCAAGCGAGTTCGGTCAATACCGGAAGGCGTTTGTATTTCTGGGAGGGCAGCCTGGTGCACTGGGCTTAGGTAGTGCATGCGATGGTCGGATTCTTTGACAGGCGCGCCGCAGATTCCGCATGCCGGATATGCGTCCGTTTTTTGTGGCGATTGGCCATTTGGAAAGACGATGGCGAGGTACTGTTCTGCGAAGGAGCGACCGTCGAGCTTGGAAGGCGCAGCGAGTGGAGGGCATGGCTTTGAGGCAGGAACAAAGCTGATAGGTTTCTGCCAGAGTCGGCGGCCGTAAGCCGGCTGGTCGACGAAGGGAACGGTAGAGATATCGGCATCGTCGAAGCGGGCATCGTTTGGGTCGTCCTCCGGATACGGCGTGTGCGATGCCGTCATAGCTGTAATTGTCGGACGCGGGCAGATGATGGCCCTCGACGGAGGGCGGGGATATTGATGTCAACCGTAGGGCAGAGGAATGAGTGACTCCGCCATATAGGATGGTTGTTGAGGTGTGGGACAAATTGAGAAGGCAAAAGTCGTTGCCGTAGAGCCCTGGAGAAGGCGGCGGACCGCATCGCGAGAGCACGTGCGATCCGATAAGCGATAAGGGTAAGCGACGTCAATCACCAAACCGTAAGTTCGGGTCCTCCCGTTCCGTGTCGAGCGCCTCAGTGCAACTTTGACTTCTGCCAACCCTCCCCTAAACATGCCCGTCCACATCGCCGGGAAGGTTTGGGAAGAAGGCATATCTGCCATTCCCTATGGCTGGACTCTCCTTAAGCTCATCCCGGTTGTCGGCGTGATCTACCTCCTGAAGCTGTACTTCAATGGCGCCGTCAACACGTCGGAGCGCAACATGCACTCCAAGGTGGTCATGATGACGGTGCGTATGAGAAAGACATCCACCGAACTTGCGCTGAACATAGATACAGGGAGGAACGTCAGGAATCGGCGCCGAAGTAGCTAAAGGCCTCGCCGCCCGCGGCGCCCAAATCGTCCTGCTCACCCAACACCCCCTCACCGACCCCTTCCTAGTCGACTACATCGAAGATCTGCGCGCACAGACAGGCAACGAACTCATTACCGCGGAGCAAGTCGATCTTGCTTCCCTCTATAGCATACGCAAGTTTGCCACAAAATGGGTTGACAATGCGCCGCCGCGCCGTCTCGATATGGTCATCCTGTGTGCAAACACGCGGACACCTTCAGGTGGCTCAGCGGTTTTCACAGAGGACAACCTCGAAGCAACATGGGGCCTGAATTACATGGCGAACTTCCATCTCCTCAGCATCCTGAGCCCCGCGCTGCGCGCCCAGCCTCCCGATCGCGACGTACGCATCATCTTCGGCACCTGCAGCTCCTACCTTGGCGGCGTGCTCCCGGTGTCCAGTACACCCGCAAAGAAAGGCAAGAAGGACACGATAGAAGCGGTCCCTTTCACGCCTAGCACTGCCTACGCCACTTCCAAGCTCGCCCTCATGACCTTCGCCCTTGCCTTCCAGAAACATCTCTCCTCGTACGCCCGCCCGGACAAGAATCCCAACACCTCGCGCGTCATCATCGTCGACCCGGGCTGGACGCGCACCCCGGGCATGCGCCGCTTCCTTACCCTCGGCAGCCTATGGGGGCTCCTCGTGTACGTGGCTACGTGGCCGCTGTGGTGGCTGTTTCTCAAGAGCTCAGATCAGGGCGCGCAGACGTTTTTATATGCGGCGATGGAGGCGCAGTATGGGCGCGGCGAGGGGGGCTGGTTCTTGAAGGAGTGCAGGCAGATGGAGATGCTAAAGGATGAGGTCAAGGATGAGGCGCTGCAGAAGAAGCTGTGGGAGGTTAGTGAGGAAAGTATCAAGATACTAGAGCAGGAGGGTGCGAAAAAGAGGGCAGCGGAGAAGAAGAGTGATGAGAAGGGGGCGGCGGAGGGGAAGGAGACAAAAGTCGATACGAAGACGAAGACGAAGTCGACGACGGCGAAAGAGAACGGCGCCGCGAAGCAGCGCAAAGGGAAGTAGTCGCATATCAGAACAAAACCAAAATACTTGAGGCAAAGCTGGCTGTACCCATGATATGCATAAATTCGTTCCGCCCGTGTATTTACCAAAACGCCTTCCACCGACGCCTCCCAACCCAAAAGTCAAAACGCAAATGACGCCGGGACGCTCCACGATATGCTCCTCTGCTTCTAATGCACATGTAATCACGCCACCAACATCATGCATATGCAAACACGCAAAGTTCAGACAGACTATTACAATCCCATCAACCTTCCTACAACCATCTCGCGGCCCAGGACCGGCCTGGCGCGAACACCTCAAGGGAAAGGGTCGTGCCGCTACGCCTTCAACCTCCTCTCCTCGCACCTTACGCAGACCGGGTCCTCGCACTCGCCGCGGAGGAAGTACCGCCCGTCTTCAAACGGCCCGGAGCACTCCTATTAACCATTAGCCGCTTTCAACCTCCCCACACAAGTACTAAACTCACCATGCAAACGAAGCACCCAACATGCCACTCCGCCCCGAGCGCCTTAACCACCGTCTCGGTAACTGGCTTCCTGCACTTCCGACACTTGGTGCTGAACCGATTCGTATGGCAATCTACACACCACGCATACCCCTCCTTCTCGACAAAGGGCGTAGAACTATCAAACGGATCGCCGCACTGCGCGCAGAAAAAGTGTCCCACGTGCCACTCCGCGCCACACGCCACCACGACTTCGCCTTCAATGGGCGTCTTGCAGCTCTTGCAGCGTGGGCTGAACAGCTCATGGAAGTCGAGGTGGCAGTAGAAGCGCAGGGCCTCGTCGTGCCCATCGTCGTGCTCAAGACGCTGCATATCTTCGTAGGTGGGGTGGGAGTCGAGCATGGGAATGTCGTCGCCGCGCTGGCGGGCGCGGATGCGGGCGACGCGCTCGGCGTGCTTATTCGAAGGCTCCGGGTAGAAGGCCACGCACTCGAGGTGCTCGCCACAGTGGTGGCATTGGAAGCACTCCGGGTGGAAGCGGACGCCCGCGGCGGAGACGATGCGGCCTGCTATTGGAAGCGCGCAGTGCTCGCAGAGGGCGCCGGTGCGGACGCTGGTGGGAGTCCAATGGGAGCGCGAGGAGGTAGCGGCGTTGCCGCGGTCGAAGGGGGATTTGGATTTGCCTGGGACTGGGAGGGGACGTGTTGAGGTTGGAGGAGCGTCGACGTTGATCGATGGGATGGAGGGCGCCACCGATATTGAGAGTGGGTTGACCCTAGATCCTCTGCTTGGAGCTGGAGACTCGCTGACAGCAATGTTTGGTATGGAGGGTGTGACGGATATCGAAGGCGGACTGGGCCTAGATCCTCGGCCTGGGGCCGGAGACTCACTGACAGCAATAGTAGGGATGCTTGGTGTGGCGGAAATTGAGGGTGTACCGGTATTCCTAGGACCTCTCGGTGGCATAGGCGACTCGCTCACGGATATCGTGGGGACAGGACTGACAGATACCGAGGGTAGCTTCCGATTCTTCAAGCTGAAACTGCCGCTAGGGGCGCTGACAGAGATTGAGGACGTCTCTTGAACATTGATAGTCGGAATGGGAGTCGCTGAAGATGGTTTAGGGGGCGCTGCGGGGGCCTCAGAGACGTTTATTGTTGGTACAATAGGCGCGGCGTTTTGAGGCGGGGTATTGACTTTCCTTGACGCTGCAAGACTGGGGAGTGGCCTCGCTGGAGGATCCTCAAAGACGCTGACGGCGGGTATCTTTACCCGGCTGACTCTTGTTGAGGGAGCAGAGACCGTGGACGGATTCATCTGGGGAGTGGGAGCCGGTGTTGGAGGTTCCACCCTCTCAGCTGGATTACCGATCGTAGGGACGACGGGAGCAGTCGCCGCTTTTGATAGAGGTCGAGGGCCTTTGGCAGCTTGAGTGTGAGGACGAGGTGATGCACCAGGAAGTGCCGAGATCTCCTCCTTCATTTCAATCTCTTTTGGTCTCCAATCCTTCTTGAACGATACAATAGGACGGCCAGGGCTATCAGACACCATTGTGGGCGTAGGAAGTTTGGCACTTCTATCCTTCAACTTGAATCCAGTCGCCGCTCGCAGCTCCTCGCTACGGATCTCTTTCCCGTCTTTTGTCTTCACCTCCGGTTCGTTTTCGACATCTGATTTTCCGCCACCGTCCTCGCTCGTTCGTGGAAGAGACGAGCTGCTTGTGTAGCCGGCATTTCGCGATTGTGAAGGAGGATTCCTTTGAATCTCAAAGCGATCAAATCGCTTCATAGGAACAACCGGATCAGTGTTGGATCGCACCAGGTTCTTGTCTTTGATAGTCTGGACACGGGCGAACGGATTCCGCCTAGCACCAAGAGGAAGCTTGGCGGGCGCTGGAGGGTTCGTGATAGCCGGTGGTGGAGGAGCAGTTTGTTCCTCCTCAGGTTCTTCGTAGATCTGGTCGTTGGGATTCTTGAACAAGCTTGTTGCACTGGCCTTCCTGCGCGAACCGCTGCTGCGTCGTTTTTGGTTTGGGTCCGACACTTTACGGTGTGACGTGGACGGAGTTGAAGATGCTTTCGGCAGTATTGCCGAATCCACTGCCTTATCGCCTGTGAAACTCTCATTTGTAGGGGACGTGCTGAAGGCTGCGTTGGCGGTGAGGGAAGACCCACTACCAGCGCGGCGGCTCTGAAGACTGCTGCTCCTGCTACCGGCTGTGCTGCCCATCGAATTGCGCTTTCTTCGTAATTTTGAATTCGTGCGCTGCAGATCTTGTTCACTGCGATCAAGACTTTGGCTCCTCTGAACACTTCCCTTTCTGGAAAGCCCAGGATAGGCGTACGGTCCGTCTGGGTTTGCGCCCGGGGCGTTGGGATTCATATGCTTCCAGACTAATTCCGCAGCTTCGTCCCTCGCCGACTCGTACAGTTTCTCCTCCGACTTGAGATCCACTTCCTCCATGGCCGCTCGTAATGCGCGGACCTCGTCTTTCTCTACCTGCCGCCGCCCGCTCTCGCGATACTGCACACTTGGAGTTCGTTCCCGCGCCATCGAAGAGGTGGTCATGTCTCGTCCCCGCGGAGGCTGAACCAGAGGTCGCCCGACGCCTGCGATCACCCCATCTATGCTCATGTTGGATGTTGTCCGCTGGTGCGACTTGGGTTCAGGAGGTGTTGACACTGGCGGCGCGTCAACTTTGGCATCGGCGTCTTCGAATGTTTTTTGCGTGAGCGGCGATATAGCTGGCAGGTCGGAGAATCTATGCGAAGATCTGCTGGACCAGGTGTTGAAGTGTGCGGGCGGAGGCCGTGAGCCTGTGGGACGAGCGGGACGGTTGGTACGAAGGTCTTGTAAATAGTTCGCTGTGATATGGTCGTTAAGATTATACACTGGAATGTGCTTGTAGCTTGCATACTCATCTGAGAAGAACTCATGTACACCGGACCAGGTGACGTTGCACCGTCCCTTTCCTTCCGAAGCATCATGGAATGCGCGTGTTTACCACAGCTGAAGCTCTGTCTATCTGCGATTGGAGGGGCAGGCGCCACTTGATCTTGCGACAAAGTGAACCAACGATTTTGCAGTCTTTGTTTATGGATATTGCACAGCAAATACAGACTAGATATCGCAGCCGAATGGGACGTCGTGGTGTTGTCGTGGTCGAGGTCCCAGTAGCGCCCGCGGTGGTTGGTCGCCCAGGTGACGCCACATTATGAGCTATCCCTGCCAACGCATTCGGGACCCCAAGTTTCGACCTCCACTTCGGCGCTTGAGTCAATCAATAGCTTGTTTAGTCGTCTCGAATTGCTGGACTCAGCGTTTGTTATTGATGGGTGACGTACAGTTCCGGGCCAATTCGCCGACATGTTAGGCCTCGTGCTAAATCATGAGTATTCGAGGATACAAAATACCGGGGTCAAGGTGTAAGTGCCAACAACAACAAATCCAAACGCCGCGCTCTCCTTCCACTGTTCTCTTGTGTCAGATTCTCTAGGAGCGCACAGGGTTCATACGTCTGCAAGGGGTTCCGAAACATTTGATTAGCCGCTCTGTATTGGTTTGAGGAATATTGTCCGTAGAAATGCCGATGCTCGAATTGTTTTATCTCCTATTAACGGCGTTGCTGTTTCGCTGTTCTTGATTTTGCCGAGGTAGCGCGCCCTTTTGAGGGTCGTCGTCCTGTTTCACGGAAACCTTGTGGTCTCTGCCTGAGTTGAAGGCATTCATCTGGCGCTCTGTGACACACCCACCATGGCCCCGTCTCCAACAAACATAACGTCGTCCCTCAGCTACCTGCTCCTTCCTTCTGACTCTGCTCCTGTGCGCTCAAGACCTTGACCCGTATAACCTCTTCCACCATCCTCACATTGTTGGCCTTGCCATTGATCACGCCCTCGAGATCCTTCAAACTGTCCTGTAGATCCTTCACTTTGCGGTTGTAGAAGTCGGTCGCATCCTCAACAGTCTTCTCGACAAAGAAGCCGGTACCAATATCAATGAGTACATGGGTAGACGAGGTGAGGCGGCCGGGTACGTAGAGGGAAGATGTGAGGGGAACAAGGAGTGGCTTGTCGGCGGTGCCCGGGTTGACACCCTGCGATATCGAGTTGATACAGTCACGGAACTTCGACTGCGCTGTGCGGAGAGACTGGAACGAGGTCGTCAAGTGTTCCAGCTCGCGGTCGAGCTGTGTCTTTAACTCTTGGAGCTGCGGCACTGGCAGCTGCCCGAGATCAACTGCACAACATTAGAAAAGCGGACTAGAGCGCAAAATCGAGTGAGGCTTACTCTGTCCACCCTTTTGCGCTTGCTTGGTTGCCATTGCGGGTAGTTAATCGCGTGTCGGTGGTGCCTGCCCCGCGCGAAACTTTCTTTCTGTGGAGGGGGAAGAGCTTGGGCTTTGCCGAACGGAGAAGCTTGGGCTCGCCGCAACGCGACCGCGACGCTTCTTACACCTTCGTTCCTTATGTTGGCTCGGCGGACAGTCCAACAGATAGCTCGCAACAAGCGCCCATATTCACAACATAGTCGCTTCGCTCCGGCCAAAAGATTGGATGGAACTCTGACGCATGTGAAGAGCTTAGATTTGAGCGAGCCGATTGTCCTTCCCAGACAATTCGTTGATATCCCAGCAATCAATAACTGGTTCACGCCAGCCGGCTCCCCTGAAGATGATGGCGTGTGCCACGAGCTGAAAACATCGTATCTGGGTCGCCATGGCTCCCTGTTGGTTCCCCTTGAGTACACGCGCTATGATTCCGATGAAGGCGCTGTAGATGGTCGAAAGACAATAGCAACCTTCGAATCTATACAGGCTCCATTATCTCTTTTGTTGTCCCACATCTCGAGCGAAGACTACTCGCAACAGCTATACCTTGCGCAATGCTCCATCGATGATCTACCCTCCGACTTGCAGGCCGATTTACCTACCCCCGGATTGATCTCATGCCTTGGCCGAGGCGACATCTATGCTTCCAGCATATGGATGGGGCGACCGCCGACGAGTACGCCTCTGCACCGCGATCCGAACCCGAACCTGTTCGTACAACTAGTTGGGAAGAAGGTCATTCGCCTCGTGAGGCCAAAGCAGGGCAGACATCTCTACGACCGACTAAGAACACAGATGGGCCATGCGCACATGCGGGGCGAAGAGATGATGGTGGGAGATGAGAGAAATAGGCTGCATGATGTGGTCTGGAACGAGAAGGAGGTCAATGGCGTCTCTGCCAGCGGTGTCGAGGCCAGGATAGAGGGCGGAGATGGTCTTTACATTCCACATGGGTGGTGGCACGCTGTCGAAAGCATTGGGTCGCATGCAAACGCTTCAGCGAATTGGTGGTTCAGATGAAGCCGGGTGAGGTGACGACACAGCATCGTGCCTTCCTTCGCGTTGTGTTCAGTACCACGCGCTTTCCATACCAGAAACGCAGCTTCTTCGCACGCATCCGCTGCAGCCACACTCTCACTCCATCCTCAATCACCCTTCACTTACGATGGACTTTGTGCTCCGTTGTAATGATCTGAAATGCCGCGTTCAGCTGCGCGAGCAAGCTGTGGTGACAACATGCAGGTGAGCTGCGCTCAAGCTTGTTCCTCTGCTTGCTGCTTTTTACTTACATAGAGGGAAGTCACGCCTTCTGTACGAATTGTGCGGAATCGACAGGCCTTTCGCGCTCCTCCAGCGGGATCCGAGCGTGCCCGGCTTGCCACACGCAGCTCGTCAACCCTGCTGATGTCGTTGTTGCTATGCTCGATCCTGCCGAGGATTACAAGACCAGCGTTTTGTCTGGACTCAGCCCACCCGTAATTATGGAGTGTGCGGGCAGGGCTTTGAACTTTTATAGCTACCAGGTCACACAAGAAATCATTTATCAGGAACACATGGCGAAGTCATTGACAGAGCAATGCGCCACTCTAAATCAGAGCATGGATGATCTTTTGCACCAGGCCAACAACCAAATCAAGAGCTTGCAGGATAGGTTGAAAGGTTAGTGCAAACCATACACCTTGGTCTGTAAGCAAGCCTGATCTCTCTCCTAGCGATGCAAGAGGATCAAGCTTCCCTCGAACAGAGCTACTACAACCTGGATGTAAGACGGTCAGTGAATTACATACGTATGTTCAAACTGATTGCATCTAGAATACCTTAAGGTCCAAGACCAAGGCACACCAACATGACCGAAGAGCCTATGAGTCATTGAAAGCCCAAGTCATGGCAACTCAGGTCGTGAGCGCCGCGGGAGAAGAAGTTGACAATACTATGCATTCGATTCGGCAAGGCGACCGCTTCATCAACAAAATGCCAGGAACACGAACAGGCACCGCGCATCTCAGTCAGCTCGGTTTGAATCAGCAAGATGGCGGAGGCAGATTGCACAATCGTGCTGGCAGCGGAAGTTCGGGGAACGGTGAACAACGAATCGGTGGCCGTCCTCCGCTCAAACCACAATTGCAATCACGCGCGTTTGGAGGTCGATCTAATACCAGCCGTGAGTTTTTCACCTTCATTTGAGGCGGCCCCGCTAACCTAGAGATAGAATTAGCACCTGTTGGCACGCCTCAAGGCCTGGGAAATCAGAGCCACCGCAGTCAGATACCGGTCATGGGCGGCACACGTCAGAACGCATTCAACGTTGAGATTGGTCCGCCGTATCGAGCTTCATCTGCAACGCGACAGCCGCTCGCGAGCAATTCGACACCACGACAAAGAAACTTTGGGCTTCCAGGTGGAGCTGCCAAGAGGACTAAGATAGTCAACATCGGGCATCTGGGGCGTTGATGCCAAGGCGTGTCTGCTTGATTGGTAAAGATCAGGAACGCAGACGGACCCAACGGTCTGTATCGCCGCAGGAAGCGAAATGGAGCCGTGCCATGCCATTCTGTTAGTGGTTACATCTCATCGGTGCAACATTCTCACGCCTCTGGTCTCATGGTTCACTTGTGTCCTGCACACGAGTGTTTGCTAGGTGTCAATCCAGGTGTGTATGTGTGACGAAGAGGCAGTAAAATCGGGTATTGCGGCTTAAGGTAATATATATCAGTCCATATGCAGCACGTTAACTCTTCGATTGGGTGCCACGTGACTTTAGCGTCTAGAATATGTCATGCTAGATGTGTAAACACGTGGCAGTCATGCAAATCGCTGAAGTCATGTGGCACTTCAAGGCAGAGTAGCAAGAGCCTTTGGGCAGGGCCGGGGCTAATGACCTGAATGCAGTGTTAGACTTCTCCTGTGGCGCTTTGCGTGTTCGATGGGCTGGGCATGGTAGCAAGATGTGTTGGGCAGAAAGTGGCGCAACGACGCGCATGATGGGTGTGTGCAATCGGGCAGTGGACGAGATTCAGGTACACTCGAAACCGTGTGCGGGAATAGGCCCTGTGGACGTGCAGCGCGGATATCGAAAGGGCGTTGGGCGCAGTAAAGTGTTCACACAAGCGGGACGAGGCTTCATTGCATTGGATTTGCGGGTATGTCGGCTTGGGATCGCGCGAATCGCGGTGGACTGAGGGATATTGATAGTCAAGCGATGGGTGTGAGGGTTTTCATTGTGTCGAGTTTTCACATGCGGGTCCCGTACGCCTCGGAACTGCAGAACTGTGGCCACGGAAAGTTGACCGGTGCATCTCAACTCGCAAATCGATTGAGCGTCGGGTCATGGCGGCCTAAGGTTGACCGCTTTGCTGCGGCGATGTCCTGCCCACAGTCCGACTTTCAACGGCGTGACTCAGACAATCAAGAGTGTAGAAACGAGTAATCGCTTCTTTGGTCGGGGGATGAGAGAGATAACTTGGCTCATCCGGAGACATGGGCGCTTCGGGGGCTTCGTTCGCTTGCGTCAACCGCTTCTGTAGCCTGCAGCATGCAGGGTTGGCTGCATGTTTGGTCCACACGCTGACGACAGACGACCATGCCAGGTGGCTACCTTCGAGCGTCAAAATCGATATCTCTTTCAGGAATTATTGGGTCTGATGATGGTTTAACCCGATGAAAGTGACTGCTCTCAGCGATGGAGGAAACGTCGCTCAGCTCCGGATGAGGTGGCGGGCCATTCAGGTGAGGCGGGCGAGAGCTGCGCCCCAGGAGACGCGGAAGATTGTCCGCCCTACGAATGACAACTTCCGCGGTCCGAAGTGCGAAGTGAAGTCGATGGCGAAGAAAGTGCTGGAAGAGAGGAATAGAGAGTGACTGAGTAAATTATAAGCCCAGCCGGTGATGCCTCAACCATGCGGCTTGATAATGGTGGAGGCAAATTGAGAAATATGTTGAACATTGTGCATCCATTGACACGCATATATGCACGTCACACTGAACTAAGAAAGTGTGTGTAATCGAAGGCGCTGTTGTCCATTGGATAGTATATGATCGGTTGAAGATGCTTGTTGTAGGAAGACTTTCGACGACCTATGGGATTACTCAGTTGCCTAAAAACTGAAGCAAATAACAGTTCATCCCTTGACATCAACCAGGCCTGAAGTATGACAGTTCACACTAACTTGGTACCCAAGAACACGTCAGGGGTGTGATGATTTGGTCAAAGGCGAGTGATGGCTGGCCAGTTTGTGGCTGGGTGAGGGTAATTGCTGCTTTCATAACGGACACGAACTCCATAAAATTGGCAATTATCTCTTGCGACCGTGTGTGGCAAATATGCGGAAAAGAAATATCGGATGAGAACGCATGGACTGGCGTTAATCTGGAAGCCGCCACCAGTTATCTGAGCGTCTAACGGCTGGAGTCACCCGGCCGGACTTTCCGTCACTTATGGATCAGATGTGACCATCCATTAACAGCTCATGCATCTACGGGCAAGGATCTGACTGCTACGAAGGAAACTTCGTTGGTTGTTCATGTGACGCCATGTTACGAAGATGCGTGAGTTTACTTTTAGTTTCAACGCATTGACTTACGAATGACCGGACTCCATGGCTGAAACCGGAGGGATCACACCAAAGTGCAGGGCCTAGAGACCGTTGTTGCACAGCCGATCCTCCTCTCTTTGTTTGAGAAAAGGAAAACAATCTGTTCGGCTCCACTCACAGGACTATTCTTTACAAAAAGCCACACCGTACACCTGGCAAACTGGAGCGCGGCCCGTTGTCGGTCGTAGCCCATCGTTGAAGCGGGCACAGAGCAGAGAGAAAAGTGGAATGTCGGTGTGAGGCGAGGTGGCCCATGAGTCGCGATGACCCACAGCGGGATTGCTGAGGGAGCTAAGGCGACGTCGGTCCTTCCCTGGTCGATATCGGTCGAAGCGCGGCAGCTTAATTCAACATCATTACACACCTCTTCACGCCTACGAAAGACAACATGACGCAAGACACATTCTTGAGATAGGACAATTGTACCGGTTGCCTCCGTCCCCGGCCCCAACATACAAGACGCTGCCTTGGTCTCGGCTCCAGACAACACACCGCCGCCCAAACCCGCAGCTGCCTGCAGCTGCCTACGAGTCTACCTTCGCATGCACCACCCGACTACATGGAGGTCTTTCCCAAAGTCAACCATACCAGCGCCGGAACCTCGCAAACGAAATTGTGATCGAGTAAAAGGGTATCATTACCCCCGCCGTCTTTCTGCCTGGCGACATTCCGAGGATCGCCGACCCGAACCGATACGCATCGACGAGGTGCTTCTATCCTGACGTGAGATCCAACAAGACCTACGAGGACCGTCGGATGTCTTATAAGAGCTGCAATGATACCTGGAAGTTGAATAATACAGGCCACACTACACATGGAGAGCGGTTAGATCCAAGATCTACTCCAAGCGCAAGGGCTGTCAGATCTTTGTATCTTTGTCGCTGTCATCGTCAGGTACTATTCGACAGACAGGTATCCTGCGGCCAGGCGTGTAGTCGGCAGATCAGAGCATGAGCGACTCACCACAGAGCAAGGCACCTGGTCTCAAGAGACCTCATGAGGGGAATAAGGTTTCCGAGGAAGAGGGTCGTGTGCGCGGCCTGGGTGGTGTTTGCGAACATGCTTCAAACGCGCATCCTGCCGTTTGAATACCTGACCACAAAGGGGCTCCTTGCAAGGGTAGCTTTGCTCCACGCCGCCATGCTTTTGGCGGCGATGCCGAGCCAAGTTGCCCTTCCGGTGTTCTCCACTATACCGGCTGTCGCAATCGTGGCAGACTGCTTCGCCTCCGCTGGCAGAAACGGATCTTGCAAAATAAGAACCATGGTTTCCATCGGGGATTGCTCCCAACCTGCGCCTATCCAAGAGCGATACCCTGTTGATTTCAGCAATTATACGACTAAACACGCGACAATATCATGAAGACCTACCCGTTCATATCCTCCCTAGAGACAAAGCCATGTTGTGTCGCTGGAGCACTCACGGGTCCTTTTGGATCGAAGTCAATCGGGGTGTGGTATGGAGAGGCCGAACCGCATGTCGATTGATCGGTCGAACTTTGTCCACCGTACGCCGAATCTTGAAATAATGATGTTGGGGAAAGACCGTCGAACGCCGACACGTTGCCACCTGTTGCACTGGAAGCGTCTGCGTCGTGGCCATCGACAGCCTGCCCGTGGACTACCGGTGGTATTGCATTGTAATATCCACCATTTCCACTTTGAACAGCGTGGACAGTCTGATCGCTGTAGCCCGCGCTGGGTCCCACTGAATATCTGTAGTTCCAAAGGTCCGATCTGAGCTCGGGCCGCGACGGGTAGACATAGTTCGTCTGCGGATATGTCTCAAAGCCCGTACCCTGTGAATGAGCTGCAGGACCAGCATAGAGTATTTGCTCTTGCGACGTGTGCGACGCCGGATAGTGGTTCACACCGCTGTGAAATTGCGGATTGGCGACCGTGATCCCTGGAGCCATTACGTGTGTCTCAGACCAATGTCCTGGGTATGTGGTCGGATAATTGCTGTTGCTCGGGACATTGGAGGGCCGGTGGACATCCCCTGGTGCTCCTGCGCTTTGTCGCCCTTGATCCGGTGTAGCTCGGTATACTTCATGCGTTGTCGGTCTGAAGCGCATACCTGGTTGATGAGGTCTATTGACATTGGGCGATAGGAATTCTTGTGCGCGATTCATTCTAACATTGCCCGCTGCCATTGCTCCAGGAGCTACGCCGGTTGCGAGATACGATGCCGCAAAGTCGGCGCAGTCAGGAGGTGGCAAGTCGTATGGTTGGATCGGTCTCGACAACGTCGTAGCGCCCGGGTGGTGGTCGCCGGCTTCAGTCCACGATAACGAGTGTTCCGTGTGGGCCCTAAGCAAGTTCGCGCTGTTGTATCCACGGTAAGGGTGTTGTTCCTCGATTATCGTGGCAGCAAGAGCAGGGATTTTCTGGAGGGCGTACCTGCGCCGCCGCCGGCTTTCGGAGGGGTCTGGTAAAAGAGAAAAGTCTTCCCGAGGACTACGTCCCCGCATCTCGACGAACTTTGCAAGAATCGGACGAGGAATGGTCTTGGCTTGATGACGGAGGTCGGGGCGGTGGTAAAAGAGATAGACAAATGAAGCAGGCGGGGAGAATACAGGTATCGCCTGATGTTGTCCTAGTGAAGGACCTGATGAGCTGGCGCGAGGCTGAACACAAGCCCAGACCTGCCAAAGACAGCCACTGTGAGGAATACCAAACCGAGGACCGATCAGGTAACTGGATGTTAACGACGCTGCCTCTTTGACTTCGTTGCCGACACGGACACCTTAGCAATGATGCGGAGGAGGGTACTGAAGGGGCTTACTAAGTTGGGCGTGCGGCTCTGCGCAGGGGGAATCACACCTCCAGACTCTGTAGGAAAAATCTACTGAGGCGGGCCTCGTCACGACGGCCGAGGATGACACTGAAAGCCCCGATTCTCCCCAGATGGTCTCAGTCGGTTGTGGGCGTGTACTCGCGGTAGGCAACAATAATATTGTGGCCAGTATGTTTTGGCGTATACGCCATGACAGAGCGAAGCCCGCGCGTGCTTCACGATAGAGTGGCTGAGTACGCTTCCGGAAGATTGGCACCGCCGGTCTCGACGACGTTATTCGATACAAGAGGCGGTGAAAGTAGTGGTGAATCTTGGGCCCCATACCTGTACCAAACATTACTGCTAACCCCCTCCGGATTAGTTGACGACCCGACGAAGTGGCCCACATCTGAATCCTACTACGAATTTCCGCCTTGCTACGTGTGCAGCGATTGTCTTGCTCAGTACGATTGAGCCTAACAAGACGCGGACCACATGTCTGCTGGCACAAGCAGTGATACTCTCGTATTGTTACACTCTGGTGGACCCTGGTTCCGGATTCCTCCGCGACGCATCGACATCACGGATGACCTAGCCCCGCTTTCTTTGACTAGGGAACAGGGACGGCGTGGGCGAGGCCGCCAATCTGTACCGAAGCGGTAGATTGCTGTGAGGCGGATAAGGTTGAGCGAGGTGCCAGCAAGCGTTCGTGGGGAGGCTGTGTCGACGTTTTATTCTTGATCGGATGCTGACCGACTTACGAGCGACTGGTTTCATCTTGCTGACTTGTCGAGAAGCTCACTACCCAGGGAAAGCCAGCATAGCGTGCGCGTGAGAACGCGAGACGGAGTGACAACGGTGATCACAAGGCGAAATTTGCACCTGGGAAGAGTGTATCCGTTTATTCAGAGTTAAAAGAAGGTACTACGGGCACCAAAAATCCCGAAAACGAACAGCAGGTACGCTCTGTATTTGAACCAACACTATCGATGAACCGTTTCCCCCTACGTGTGGCTGCGTGCTCATTCGTCTCCACAAGCCAAGACGCATTTGCGAATGCTGCTTTGGAACAGCCCCAGGACTGGGCTGCTGCTGCTCGATACCGGCGGAAAGCCACTGGGCGTTAAACCCCGTAACAACGCAGCTAAGCGATCCAAGGCTGATGAATCGAGGCCTGAAAAGTCCGTTGAGACCCCAGACACCCCGCAGACAACAACCACATGTGCAATGTGCTCAATAGAGCTTGTTCTCGGTCGTCCTCGTGTCGCTGCTACTTTGGGCTCCCTAGCAACGATAGGCGTGTGCATCTGCAGCGGCTCACGCCTCCTTAACTTGTGCTTCCCGACCATCTTCGTAGCGACCGCAAGGCCGACGATATGATCTACCAGCCACGACCCTGAGATGCGAACAACTTCCCACAAAGCAAGGTCAGATACCGGCGTATCTGATCCGAGCCTACTATATCTGTAGTGAGATAGTCGTCTCCGTACACTGATCCCCGGCATTTCAACAAGTGCTATGCACCCACTGGAAGCGGAGTAGCTGTGACCAAGAGGTCCTTGACGGTGCCGATGACCTAACCAGCGGCCGATTCAAGGATTATAGCTTGGCATGTTTAGTGAGGATTGCTCAGGGTACTGTGCCGCATGCCTCCCACATTTCCTCTGCCGCTTCGCCAATGGATGTCCCTCGCATAAATTCTTCAATCCATCGGTAATGCACAACCCTATTCGGAGAACAGGGATTTCCTCTCGAACCTAGAAGCAGTAAACTGTCGCTATGGTTGATCCTCCCGTAAATCCGCCACCTGAACACATCTCTGAGATCCTGGACCAGCGGACTGCAAGTGGCACCACTGATACGGATCTACAATACAGGTGAACCCAGTTGCCAAGCACATCATGTCATGGCATTACTGACATCCGATCTGCATGATGATCTTTCTTTTGCGCGTATTGCGCGTACCGCCCCATCAGCCCCGCGACATGCGTTCGCAGCTGATCCACAACAGGAAGTAGTTCGCGCTAAGTCCGTATGAGATTGTCTATGCCCAAAGCCGTCAATATCATGGCTACCGACAGCGCCAATCATATCCACGGCAACGTACAGGTTGTTGTGCGTATCCTTGAATTTGCATCCATCCCGGAGCTATAGGCGGGTCGCACCGCGTTATTACCTCGCGAGTGGAGTTTGCAATCGCAACTCATCTACAAGGGCCTTGTCCTTGCTCATCCAATCTCAAGCCAGCATTTTTCGTCTCGCGTCTTACGTTCTGACTGTCAACGTCGGTCAAGCGATCGGGCGAAACTATTCTGATATGAGATCGGAGAACGGATCATCAGTTCGTATCCATTCCCGGATGGCGGGGTGTTCGTGGAGGCGAAAATCGTTGCGGATGGTAGACGGTTTAACCTTCAATTCTGACTGCAACCATCACGCCATGCAGCAAGCCTATCGGGTGCGTCATCTACTCTGTACGGGCCGCAAGCCATAAACACCTGGCGTACGGGCGGCGTCCCTCCACAAGCCTTGCCTTTGGGATGGTCAGAGCTCTCGGGCCCCATGCATCGATCTCCCGATGCACGTGCAACAAGTGGATGCCGACTGTCCCGCACCCGCGTTGGCTGCGTTATTGCAACTCCTTCTCCGCAGCCTCCAGCCAGCCACGTCTCCGGCGTGGCTGCAGCTCCATCGGAAGTAATTTACCGAACGCGAACGCGAAGTGCAAATATGCAATTGTTCGAACTGACCTCGCCCATCAAGCGCCGAAGGTGCCAGATGCTCCGCGGTAAGGATCCATTCTGAGGCTGTTGGCGAGACTAACAGGGCAGTTCAAAATGTAATGTTTGCTGCCGATCAATAACCGATGCTACTGATTTTTGCCCAATGTGTTTACTGATCATAGCATTGATAGATCTGTCACGAGGACCATTCATGCCTGCCGACGCCACATCAGTGCAGGACCCTCCGTGGTCCAGGCCTCCCAATGAATCCATACTTGCAGGTTTACAATATTTGCGCAGGACCTGCCAGCCCCGCAAACTCAAATTTCCAAAGCCGATATCGATGGCCCGAAATATGTCTTCTTGAATAGTTGCCTTTCTGCAAATACTGTTTCCACATCATAAGATCACTACCAGTAATCTTGTCTTCGCTTAAAGGTAACGTCCATATCATATTGGCCCACAAACAACCTGCGAATAGATGTTAGTATTCAGTCGACCTGCAATCCCAATATCCTCTTCCAACGCCCACTTTGCTCTTCACATACAAGACCAAATGATCGTGCACTTACAAGCACTCTACCCTCCAATCTTTCTCCGGATCCGCAAGCTCCATGTCGTAGTTCAAGAACAAAGTTGGTATAATTTTCGACATCTGTTGTGCGGCCATATCTGCGGGTCGCTGCGTTAACAATCAAATAATAATTGTAGACCAGAACTTACTGCGTCCTAAGCATGCTCGGGATCCTGCACCAAACGTGAGGAGACACCGATCTAGCAACGCTGCATTAGCATCTGGCATATGTGGGGCCAAAGTGGAATATCTTACTCATATCGGTCGTGTCTTTTTCTAGCCACCTCTCAGGCCGAAAAGCATATGCGTCTTCACCATACACTTCCTTATCTTTATGCACGGCCCAGGCGCTCATACCCACGACCGTTCCCCCAGGAAGATAATGCCCCTCGATTTTCGCACCTCCGTTTGGAACCACACGAGGGAGGTTCACCGCCATCGCTGGGTGCACCCTTAAGCTCTCGCTAATGACTGCTTGTAGATACTTCAGCTTCGCCGCCTCTTCATGCTTTACAGGATTGTTCAGCTCGCCCTTGCGTTTCGCTTTATCAATCTCAGCAATGAGTTTCGCCTTGACAGAGGGACTCTGTAGCACATAGTATATGATGGCACGGATGCTCACTGCGGTCGTGTCGCTTCCTGCACTAACCTGGGTGGTTCCCATGCTAATCACATCCGTGTACGTGAACTCCTCGGGATTCTTCTCGTGGGCATCAAAGAAGCGGTTGATGAGGTCTTTCTTGCCGCCCGGGTTCTCAAATCGCCGGGCTGTCTCGCGCATCGCGAAGTCCCGTATTGCACCGTGACGGTTGTTAATGCCGAGCCAATTGCCGATGTAAGGCTTCAAGAGCTCGTGCATGCGAAATACGTACGGGACGTGGCCGAGCCAGCTGCCTGACCTACCCATAGCACGAATCGTGTTGAAAGTGCCATCGTCCACGCCTGCAGTCAGGAAGCCGAAGTTCGCAGACCAAGTGATCTCGCCAATGACATCTGCCCAATCCATGAGCTTCCCGGGCTCACAAGACACACACTTCTATTCCTCCTGCAGTGTAGAGACTTACCAAATGAAAACAAATGCACCCACTTCGCCATATCCACCTTCTGCCCCACGTTCCTATCCAACTGCTCCACCAACATCCCTAGACAATAATCCACATACGGCTCCAAATCCTTAAGCGTGTCCATCGCATACGCCCTCGCTACCATCTTCCTGTGCTGTCCATGCGCCCGCTGATCCTGCCCCGCGAACAGATCCACCTTCCTCGTTCCCCGGAAAACGCTGTACCAATCTGATTTGGGGAACGCGGAGCTGCTCACGGGGTAGATCTGGCGGACGGCTTTGGGCGTGCTGACGGAGACTTCATTGGGCGCGATGCGCACGATGGGACCGTATCTCTCGTGTAGGGAGACGACGATGCGGTGCCAGGTCTCGGTGCGGGTGGCATGGACGTACCACCAGTTTGTTAGGGAGGCGAGGAAGGGCCCTGGGATGCGGGCGAGAGGGTGGAAGAGGCGTTGGTAAAGGATGTAGCATACTAAGACGGCGGGCGGGACGATATAGAAGTACTGGGTGAGCAGACTGTGGATGTGTGGGATCACGAACGTCGGTTGGGACGCAGACATTTTGGACGATTAGTTCGTTGTTTGAGGAGCATACATGGTATTCGGATATATATATTGATGTATGTTGTGCAAGTCGAATACGAGCGACAGGTTCGTGTGAAGCGTGATAAGCTGAGTGGAAGCTACGTTTGGGTGCCGCGGCCATGTTCGTCACGGCGTAAGCTGCGCGGAAGTGCGGAGTGCATGGCACTAGCTTTTGTAAGGCGACTTCAAGGGTTCGCTAGCGTGATACAATGCTTATGAGCTACGGAAAAGCTGGTCTTTTGCATCAGACGGATAACTCGAGGACGTATGAGTTGGGACGTCATGCATTTGACAGCACGTGGCAGAGAGTGATTTGGGGGTTCTGCGAATGATCCACTGGATTTGTGAAGTGATTCAATAATTGCTGCGGCATGTCGGACTGGTGAAGTCGATTGGTATCATGGACCCTCGTTCTGCCAAAGCATCACTTGATGTCAGTGATGCCCAAACGATTTCCCTTGGAAACAACAAATTGGCTGCAACCCATTTGTGAGGGGACTGAACCTAGACAGCGCCATTGGCTATTACCTTGCCTTGATAAGGCCCCAAAAGCACACGTCAGACTCGGTGGCCTTGTCAGACCTGAAAGCCAGTCATGTCTGTGGGTAATGCGCCTTGATGTCGAACGCTTGTAGAAGCTTCAATCAGCTTGTCTGTTACGGTGTGTTGCTTGACTTCACATCCGTAGTTCTTCGTTGGATGGTGAGAATCGCTCTGCTAGCAAAGGCTTGACCTGACCGCCACCTACCCCAAAATACGCTGTTGCAGCAAGTACATCTGGACTTGAATTTGGTGGAGACCACGCGTCACGTAGCGCCTGCACGGATCGTACGAACTCTGCTTCAAGGATACAATGGCCCTGATGATGAGAAGAGATTGCATGTGTCGCGGATCTGATATTCGGCAACATGTAAATACTAGGACATAGCTCTCGGCCGGATTCAGCAGGCGCAAGGCAAGTGAAGAAATTCGGAGGAGACTCGCGGGATATGTGTGTGGAGGCCCCAGAACGCCACAACCTCTTGGCGACATATCCGCGGCCCGGGAGCGGCTGAGGCACGTGACGCTGCTAGCAATATAGCGTGAAACCAGCGGCGCCATCCTGGATCCATCCCCACACTAACTGCCCTGGGCATCATCCGCCTTCTCTGCGATTGCCGTTTTGTTCTCCCGCAAGTACCCCCGCTCCATCCACCAACCACACGCTAGTGGCGGCATCGCACTTCGGCCTCTTCGACGCGTTGCATCATGGCACGGGAACGCGCTATGGACCGCCCAAGTCCTTATCGATTGTTTCGGCAGCAGAAACTCAGATCTCGGCTTGTGTGAAATCATTTTGGGCCACCTACTTTAAACGCGCAGCATCTCGCGTTTGCTGTAATTCGCCGGAGCAGCACTCATTTGCCATACCACATACAGCTTAATCTACGATATCCTTGTATATTTTTATTTTCTCAGTTCTACTGCTGCCAAAGACGATCGCGAGGAGACGACGACATGGCTACGAATCTGTACGATATTGTTATCATCGGGGCGGGACCGGTTGGCCTGATGCTGTCAACTTGTCTGTCAAGATGGGGTTACAAGATCAAGCACATTGACAACAGACCAGAGCCCACGGCTACCGGGCGCGCAGATGGCATCCAGCCGCGGTCGCTGGATCTGCTGCGGAATATGGGCTTGAAGCGCAAGATCATGGAGTATGAGCCTGCAAAGGTCTACGAGGTTGCCTTTTGGGATCCGAGTGCGAAGGGCATCCATAGGACGGGAACCTGGGCTTCCTGTCCCAAGTTCATCGACGCGAGACATCCGTTCACGACACTGCTACACCAAGGCTTGATCGAGAGGGTATTCATCGACGACATTGAGAAGAACGGCACACAGATTCAGAGGCCATGGACTATCACTGGCTTTAAGAACAACGGCGCAGACCCCACATACCCGGTTGAGGTGAGCCTGCAACATGTAGACGGCACAGCCTCCGAAACCGTACGCGCAAAGTACCTCTTCAGCGGCGAGGGAGCCAGGAGTTTTGTTCGCGAGCAGCTCAAGATTGGCATCAAGTACAAAGACCCAATTGCCCACGTCTGGGGCGTCATGGACGGCGTAGTCCGCACCACCTTCCCAGACATTAAGATGAAATGCACAATCCACTCCGACGCCGGCTCCATCATGGTCATTCCCCGCGAGAACAACATGGTCCGCCTGTACATCCAGATCGCTTCCTCCACCGACAAAGACTGGAACCCCCGCAAGTCCGCCACCGCAGAGGAAGTCCAGCAGCGCGCCAAGGACATCCTCAAGCCATACACCATTTCCTGGGACCGCGTTGAGTGGTTCTCCGTGTACCCGATCGGCCAGGGTATCGCAGAGCGCTACACCCTCGACGAGCGCGTTTTCATGGGCGGAGACGCCTGCCACACACATTCCCCCAAAGCCGGTCAGGGCATGAACACAGCCTTCCTCGACGCCGTCAACCTCGCCTGGAAAATCCACCACGTAGAATCCGGCTTCGCCCCGCGCTCCCTCCTCTCCACCTACGAGTCGGAGCGCAAGCTCATCGCCGAAAACCTCCTCGACTTCGACGCCCGCTACGCAAAGCTCTTTTCCGCGCGCATCCCCTCTGCCGGCGAAGTAGCTGGGGCCGCAGAGGCATCGGACCTCACTGAAAACGAATTCATAAAGACATTCAAGGCGTCCTGCGAGTTCACCTCCGGCTACGGCGTCGCCTACAACCCCAACACAATAAACTGGTCGCCCTCGCACCCGGCTCAACACCCCCTCTTCCTCACCTACGAAAAAGGCACCGCACTCCGCACCGGCCGCACCCTGCACAACGCAACCGTCACCCGCGTCGTCGACGCCAACGTCGTGCACCTCGAGCAGGAGATCCCGCTGAACGGATCCTACAGGGTCTACGTCTTCGGCGGGAAGCCCGCCACCACCAAGCGCGCGGTCGAGGATCTGGCAACACACATGGCAGCCCCGACGTCTTTCTTCGCCACCTTCTCCCACAAGGACCAAGCATTGGATCGCTACCACGAGAAACACACACCCCACACGTCCTTCCTCTCGCTCTGCACCATCTTCGCCACCCCGCGCTCGCAGCTCGAAATCGACGAGTTGCTGCCGCCGGTCTTCGCTACCTACCGCGACCACGTCTACGCAGACGACGTGTGGGATGCGCGGGTGCCCGAGGCAAAGGCCGCGGCGCACGCCAAGATGGGTTTGGACGAGGAGAAAGGTGGGGTTGTGGTCGTGCGGCCGGATGGGTATGTGGGCGCCGTTGTGCGGCTCGAGGAGGGCAGCGGGACGTGTGAGGCGCTGAACAAGTATTTTGGGGCTGTCACCGGAAAGAGAATGGGGGATGAGCGGGCGAGTTTGTAGATTGATGTGTAGATGAACGAGTATCAAGATCAAGTGTATATATTGGACGAGGTTAGGTGTTTGCATAGCGCATCATGTATTTCCGTTTAGGGTTGGTCATGGTCGAAACCATGCATTCTGTACTTTCAATTTTCGACTAGATATCATTCTCCTCAACGACTGTCTCAATCATGTGTTTGAGAGAAACCCCGCCTCCGAATGCAACCTCACGGGTCATGAAGTTCGCCTTGTGCGCAGAGGATGTTTGATGTCATCGTTTTACATTTCTTATTTTGATCTCATCCAGCCTAGAGGGTATCATGACGTGCTCCGTCCAATATGCACAGGTGAAAGACTCAAACCCTACCAGCCGCCCTCGGAAAACCCTCACCGCCCTCTAAACATGGGCACCAATGCTTGCAGACAAACAATAAAACCAGTATAGCACCGCCCTGCCCAGCGCCATCGGCAAGCAAGGGGGCAGGGGCGCTCTCGTGGATTTCGAGACCGCGCAAAAAGTCGGGGAAGAAATTTCGTAACAAATTCCTGCTCTTTTCGAGTCCATTTCGCCAACGCCTGTGTGTGTGAAGTGGAATGGAAAAGCCCAGAACCGAACCGAACCGAATATTTTCATCGAATGTCAAAAAACGTGCAACTGCCCTCGTCGTCTTCAGGCTAGTCGGCGTGCGTAGCTCAAGGCGGCGAACCGGCGACTTTACCGTCGCACACCGCCGACCTCAACTTGGTGAGAGGTCCGCTCAAAAGCAGCCAGCTTCCGCCTCTTCGCCGCCATGTTTCCATTGTCCTCTCCTCCCGTTGATTCAGCATAGTCGTCATGATAGCCCTCGCCATATCCTTGGAATGAAGTGTCCGTGTACTGTCGTTTTGATCCTGCTCTTTCTGGTCTTGCCAGCCTTGATGCAGCGGATGAAGCGTGTGGATTCGGCGTGGCAGCAGCAGATGTGGCACCCCGAAGCGGCGGACCTTCAGCCGCAGCCTTTGCCTTGACCGTCTCATCGGTTCCAAGGTAAGCGCGGTATTTGTTAGCGTCCGCAGCGGGCAAGGGACCTGGGCCCATGCCTCCAATTGCGCCATCGACAAGATCGTCAAAGGCTGATGATAGACCTCCTGGCCTGGACGGGTCTAGGGCCTTGCTCGCTTCTTTGCCTGATACGGTGGAAAGGTAGTAATCCTGGTCCGGGATATCGTACAGCTGGGTGAACTTCCACTCCATCTTGGATGCTTTCGGCTTGCCGGCAATCTGCAGTGCCTTGATATGACCCTCGTACGATTTCCGAAGCTTGTTAATCTTTTCTCCCGTGACTGGGTCAGTGCGCGCAACGGTCTTTGCAAGGTTGTTGAGGCCATAGAGCTCGAACAAGTTCTGCGAAGAGTGTGGTTGTGAGGGCTCATGGGCTACCAAGCATTCCGTGTCAGTATTACAGAGCATACGTGCGCTGCATAGAAGGAGACCTTACTGCTTTGACAGAGCTTGAACAGCTGGCTGCCACAAACACCCTTTGCCGCTGCCACTCCGCCCTCGTCGGCAAAGATGACCCTGTTTTGCCGGTTGTGGTTGGTGAGTCTGTGTCCACGCAAGCGCACCGCATCATCGCCCTGGCTGTCGTCCATCTGCAGATCGCCGTCGCTGTCCAGATTGAGCGAGGTCGAAAGCGCGGCGGTACTCGCGGGCGTCGGGAAGGGGTGCACGTTGGTCGCCGAGGGGCCCGCCTGGGAGACGGCCTGCGACGTGTGCACCGAGGAGGGCGGCGTCATTACGGCGGGCGCTGGGTGGGCAGTCGAGGCAGGGCCGCCATTTGGCTGCGAACTCATCGAGGGGTATGGCGGCGAGGTGGGCGTGTTTGGGTGGACGATGGGCGGCTTTGTCTCGCTGCTCTTGGCAGCGAGGTGGTAGGGCGGCGAGGCCGGTGAGAAGGATCCCGTCAAGCGTTGTCGCTTTGCACTGTGCTCCGACATGAGAGCCGCAGCGGCTGCTTGCAGCGACGGGGCAGGCGCGGGCGGGCGGGTGGAGGGAGGAGGTCGGCGGGCAGCCCGTCAGAGGCGAAGGCGCTGGGCGTTGCCGGCTGCTAGGCGCTGCGCATGCGGCGGGCGGTCGGATGCGGGCGCGAGAGAGGGCGTGATGGTGCTCGCGGGAGCTGGCTGGCTGTCGGCAGGCGGCGTGGGCGGTGGGTGCGGGCGCGCGGGCGGCGGTGGGCGGTGGGTGTGAGGGTGCTGGCCGCTGGAGACGAGCGGCAGTGAGGCAGGCCCGGATCGCATGCCCTGGCCCGTGCGCCCAGGGCTGGTTCATCTGCGTGGATGTCAGGACTCTCCACCCAGCCTGTGCCAGCGCGCGACACACGACGCTCCACGCCCATGTCGCCGCCCTCGACCGCCCACGCGCGCTATGGATGAGGCTGCGTCCCGTCCCGCTGCCGGCGGCCCTGCCTCTGCCAGCACATCGACGACAGCGCAGCCCACTGCACGCCCCGGCGCGCCCCAGACCGCGCCGAGAGTGCAGCAGCCCAAGCCGCAAGCACTGCCCTCGCGCTCGGGGCCCAGCACCATCCTCGTGTCGCCGCGCCAGAAGGGCAACCCCATCCTGGCCAGCGTCAAAACAGTGGCATGGGAATACTCGGACATTCCCGCAGATTATGTGCTGGGTGCGACAACATGCGCCCTCTTCCTGTCGCTCAAATACCACCGTCTGCACCCCGAGTACATCTACAACCGGATACGCGACCTCAAGGGCCAGTACCAGCTGCGCATCCTGCTGACCATGGTGGACATCGAGAACCACGAGGATTCACTACGAGAGCTGTCCAAGACATCGCTGGTCAACAACGTCACCGTCATGCTGGCTTGGAGCGCGCAGGAAGCTGGCCGCTATCTGGAGCTGTTCAAGACTTTTGAGCACGCTGCGCCTACTAGCATCAAGGCCCAGCAGTCGTCTAGCTATTCGGACAAGCTGGTTGAATTCATCACGGTGCCGCGCAGCATCAACAAGACCGACGCATTAGGCTTGGTGTCCAACTTTGGCAGTGTACGCACGGCCATCAACGCATCGCCAGAAGAGGTGGGGCTAATTGCTGGCTGGGGCGAGAAGAAGGTTCAGCGCTGGTGCAATTCCGTCAGGGAGCCCTTCAGGATAAAGAAGGCCGCGAAACGAGGCGTGACTCGAGAGAATACTCTGGGCACACCGCAGATCGGCTTGTCCCGAGGCGTTTCCATGGCAGAAGGAGACGATCCAATGCTCGACGACACATTGGAAGAGTCTGTGCATCGGAGAGTCGACGATGCGGTCCCCTTGGCAGCGAAGCTTTCGAGGACGGCACCTATCACCGCTGCACCGGATGCTGATAGACGACCGTCTCACCGCATTGCAGAAGATGAGTCAGTTTCGCGAAGCAATGCCGCACTGAGAGCGCCTCAGGGAGGCAGTGAGGCAGCTCCCGAGAACACGAAGAAGCGGAAGCAGGACGACGAGAACGTGAGCGATGGCATCATGGCTGCATTGAACAAGCTGCGGCAACAGCGATGACGATACTGCTAGTCAGAGATCGCGAATGAGATATCCTTCATACATCAAATCCTATGTACCGTGCCCTTACGCGACTCATTAACGTTGAATATGTCTCACACATACCGTCTTTCCATTTTTTTATTCATACAATTTACTTCACCAGACCGCGTCATGTCATGGGCTACGATACTCTGCCTTTATACACGACCACCGGCTTACTGTTCGTTCAAAGTGATCCACCTTGTGTCACGCGTGTATAGTGAAACTGTTTGCTGCTCTGAACGCGCTACGCAATGTTGCGTTAGGAAAGGCGGGGCGCGCCTACATTGGGTGATTACCTAGGCAGCGCCGGCCCAGGTGACCTCTCACTCACCATTCACACCACCCTTCAGCTTCGCAACATCATTTCCTCGGCGGTGAGGGTAAAGTAGCATTTCATCAGACAGCCTTGCTTCTTGCTTATTCACCTCAACTACTTGGATCAACTAGTCGCTCTCCTCAAGAACGCTTGCTAGGCAGCATGCAGCAAACCGACCGCCTGGCGACCACCTCAGCAATGAGTTTCGCACGATTGCCAGCGGAACTTCAGATCGAGACCTTCAGCTACCTTGAGAACACGGACCTCAAAGCAGTACGCAGTGTCAGCACCTCCTGTCGCGACAATGCCTCTCCACATCTGTTCCGAAGCATAATCGCCTGCCCACGCTACCAAGCCATGGGCGCATTCCAGAACGTGGCCTTGCACCCAGTTTACCAAAAATACGTCAAGGAGATTGTATTCGACGCCACAACTTATAGCGAGAGGATAGCGAAAAACGAGAAGCTCTATCTCTTCTCGCCACCAGGAGAGGTGAGCTGGGTCCGTTATTCAAGATGGAAACGATATCAAGAGCTATACCGAGAGCAAGAAGAAATTAAAGAGGGTGTGCTCCTGCAGACGATTGCCCGTGCTTTGGAGTGGATGCCTCACGTGGAACGCATTACATACTGTCCATATCCGTTGCATGTACCGGTTGAGAAGAAATTGATGAAGGATCTCTTTGGGCGAGGTGCTGGATACGTAGCGTTGGAACTGTCCAATCCCGCGAATTCTCACGGTTCCATCGAACCTGAAAACGCCTTCCATCACCTCATTGGCGCAATCTGTGTAGCAAAGTACTCCAATATTCGCGAGTTCCGCGTCGAGCAGGCTCAGCGCGACGTCTCAAACTATCAGCTCACCTTGAGAGAGTTTTATTTCGCAGGACCTGGCCATCTCGAGGCCGGAAAGTATTTTTTCCGCAATCTACGCAAGATTGAACTGGTCCTCGATTTCCGTTTGTCTGATGCAGTCCGTCGTGATTGCTTGGCCAACTTGCGTGCGCTTCTCTCAGAAGCTAAAGACCTTCGTCATCTACGACTGTGCGTTGAACCACGTCACTCTCTGCAGGGCCTCTACGGCTGGCTCTCCGATTCGGAGATCCAGTCGCCATTCAGATGCATAGGCTTGGCGACAGAGTGGCCCAAAATCCAGTCAATTGATCTCGGTCAAATCGTTGCGACAGAAGATGAGCTAAGGGGCCTTGTCCATCGATGGAAGAGCACGATGACCTCGATCAAGTTCACCAACTGTATCATCACAGCAGGTAAATGGTCGAATTTGGTAGATGAGGTGGTCTATGATACAAAGATCCGCGTCGTCGTCTTGAATCGCGTCCATGAGCAATTCGTATATGGAGACGTCGTGTATGAAACACTGTCATCAGAGGAGCACGAGCGATGGACGTACGAAGGGCAGGTCATGGAAAATGAGCAAGGCATTCGATACTTTTCGGAGCCCCCGGGTAAATCCGTTTACGCGTGGCGTGACCTCTCGTCCGACGAAGCGGATTCATCAATGGCGGACTAGGATGGAGTGGATTTGCAAGGCCACGTACAATATACTGTACATGATTTAGATTCCTAAAAAAACCCATCTAGGATGCTTACCGAAATGCTCTGGAGAGCAGCAGAGCGTTTTCCACCTCTGCATCATTGCTTTATGATCATCTTCGATCGCTCTACCACGACTTAAGCGTTGTTCTCGGATTTGATTCGATGGTTTCATCCAAAGGGAGACGACTATGCATTTGTGCATCCACGCAGATAGTAGGGACTGGTCGATAATGCAAAAATAGTAAAAGTACGCGAGCTGGCTCGGACTGAAAGTTTTCTAATCATACGATTTTCACGTGAGAAACGATGGACAAAGCACACCAATGGGCCCCATCTTGTCTTTACATAATACGCAGATCGGAGGTTTGTTTTCTTTAGTTTTGCTGCTTTTGTGAGTATGCGCCTCATACCGCCATCTGCGTGCTGCTGATCTTGATGATAACATGTTCCGCAAATCACGCTCTTTCTCGCTCTAGCCGCCGCGCTCATCATCATGTATATTTCTGTTGCTTCTGTTCGCTGACATCACACCTGTCGTCTATATTGTAAACATTGAATACTGTAAGAGCGGCCCGCACCCGCCTGAATACATGTTAGTACTCTCTTTGTTAATAGCGCTGGCTTCGGAGCCTGCCATCATCACCGTACTCTCTAAGATCTCTTGCCTCGGCGATTAGATCGACCCTCACTGGTGTATTTGGAAGGCGCGACAGCCTAACCACGAGAAATCCAACAACTATCCGCAAGAGCACACGACCAGCACTCCAAATCGAACGACACCTCTCGCAATTACATGGTTGACTTTGATGTTCAATAACAGTTGCACACTCGTACGCTTTTCGTTGAGGCCGATCGCAGAGCATACATCATAGCTCTGACCAAAATTGCCGATCAGTCATACTGCCGTCCTTCAATGATTCCCATTTGCCCTCTACGGCATCCCACAATCTTCCTCAACACAGTGCATCAAGTATGATATCTGTGACGTGAAACGCCATTGGGCAGCTCCTCTGCGGAGCTCCCTTGTATGCTCGGGGAGCTTCCTGTACGCATATGGCTAGTTCTGCGCTTAGACCTGGCAATATCTCTATATATATGGAGCGTGGGAGCTCTCTCCCACACTCCAGTGATAATACTATAGATCACCCTGAACTGCTTGCCAAGCTCCCTCCAACAATATCCCTTAAGTGGCTCAGTCAGATAAGCAAAAGGTATATGGTCCCTCGTGGGGACGAGTCGGAGGCATCACAATTTCCTGCAGGATACGGAACGACACTCTGACTCGGCCATATACCTGCACAGCCAATCGCCACAATACGAACGGTGGAAGATACGGACAATAGTACAAGGGCACAATAGCTGCACAATGGTCTTCTGAGACGGAGCTGCCTAGGCGCCCAAGGCAGCAAATGCCTGACGCGGGAGGCATCACGACTCTTGTACCACCATTCTGACAATACGAGTTTCTTGACTACTGAATGATACGACAACCAAAATAGCTTCGTGTCCTCGCTCAGGTACCGCTTCCTTCCGTACTGAACGCAGCCGTACCGGCAGTTCTTCTTCCTCACTGGGTTCTCGGTGCGCTTGATGCGTACACACACCACCCCCTCAAGTATCCCCGGATTTGAAGACCCATATTCCAAGCTTCGACTAGTTTCGCCAATTCTTCCTAAATCCCTGGCTGATCCGTCAATCTCACAACCTGCAAAGCGTACAAGCACCATGCAGCAAGGCGGCGGATCTATACAGCGCAACGGGAGCGGTAATAGCACGTCTCAAAGAGTGCAGCCTTCCTTATCAGAGACCCTTTACGACATAATACCGGTAAGTGACACGCCGAAGCCAGGAGGCAGACGCTATGAGCGTGTGCATCCTCCATTCTTGCTGAATTGAACATTGACCGTACTGACTATGAAATAGTCTGACGAAGAGCATGCAAATCATCAACAATCGTCATCGCAGTGTCGTAATACAGGATCCAACGGCTACACACCTGTTCAATCTCGTCCAGTTCTACTTCACCACTACCAGCAACATTCCAATGGAACCCAGGGTGGCAGGCAATACCTCGATTATGGCCGCAGGCAAGTCCGGACGTACGCCATTCCACTCGTCATCCTACGCTCGATAGATACACAATGGTTCATTTATCCAGCCAAAGTGTTTCTCTGTATGGGTACAGCACTTGGGCTACGAGCAATCGACTTACACTGGCGGAACTCGATCGACTGAACGGGCAGCATGCGCGAACGGATACCCTAGATCGATGGAAAAGTGAGAGCCAACGCGACGGATCCTGGGATGGGATTGGGTATGTTAGGTCTTTGGAGACTAGATCGCAGACGAATGGATGGTAATGATACTGAGCTTAGGCTCTATTGGATGGGCCGAAGGGTTGTCCTCTCAATCGATCAGCAATATCGAACACAGCCATTTTTGGACGGAAGATGGGCAGCAAATGTACAGTATACCCCTACCACTGGTCTCGGTAAAGGGGTGGATTCAAATTTCCCAGGCGGTATTGTCAAACCCAGGTCATACTTCAGCTGGAGCAATTTTTGATTGAATCAAACGTTACCTGAATCCATGATTTGATGTGCTAAGAAGTCATCCTCATGAAAAACAGTCACTTCACCTGCCCCCCACACGCCTCAAAACAATCCACATCACTGCCGCACCCCCAATCGCACCCCCAACCGCATACACCCAGGGCGGTGCTCCCTCTACCGCCAGCGGCCCAACATGTTTCTCTTCTTTCCTCTCCTCTAGATCCAACTCCTTCATCACCCTCTCCTTCCACTCGCCCCTCTTCAACTCCCCCCACTCCGCCACAAGCCAATCTTCCGAAGCCCTCAGATGCACCATCTCGCCTCCTCGGTCATACCTCTCCACCGGCGCCCAAACATTCAACCCCCCGAGCTTCCCTCGCCTCTCGACATCTCCCGGAAGCCACGTCTCTAGCGTTTCTTTCTGAAGACACCGAAATACCAGACACATCCACATCTCCATGACATCGAGTAGTAGGCCCTCGTCATCCATGCCCGGCAGCCGCATCCCCCCCATTTCCTTACTCGGCAGCACGACCAGCGTGCCGTACGCGTTGTCGTCGCTCTTATGCAGCGCATGATAGTGCAAGCTGGGATTGTCGCGCCGATACCGGAATTTGCTGTGCTGGGAGATGCGCAGGCGGAGGTTGGTCGACTGCCCGATGTACAAGCGGGTGCGGGTGTGGGGGTCAGAAGGGGCACCGCGGACGGCGTCGAAGTAGATGCCGCGGGCTTGCCAGGGGAAGTCGCCAGCTACGGCTTTGATGCTAGAAAAGATGGGCAAGTGAGATTGGGTGGGCCACGGGATGTGACGTGATGCGATAGGGAAGGCAGATCTTACGTGTTGTAATCTGTTCCCTTCTCGAGGGCGTGCCACACTTGGGGACGAACGCAGTCCATGCTAAAAGGGACCAAGTTTGGATGTCGAAGTATCCATTTTGCAAACCGGGCATGGTACTTCGACTGCCGGTCTTGCAGCTTGGTGAGGAGATGCTTTAGGATATGCTGTGCTTCTTGCTGTGCCGGTGACAATGATTCTGGTGTGGTGTCCATGTTGAGAGATGCTTCATGTATCTGTGAAGCATTCCCAGAGACATTCGCCTCAGCGGTTGTCATCTCGACTTTGTATATAGTACGAGTGAGATGCCCGATCAGGCAACGCTACCTGTACTCGGCTTAGCTTGCAGGCAGCGAAGGCAAGGGCAGCGATGTATGCGGACTTCAAGGTGGTTGCAGGGCTTGTGGTATGATTGGCTGTTGCCTACACAGATGCTGGTAATGTCATGGATTCTGAAACTGGGAGAGATGGGCGTTTAATGGTGGCGATGGAAGTACGAGGAGGCTGGCGTTACGAGGTGGAGAGAGGGGCCGTTCTGCAACCGTGCGGCCAGCGACGTACGCACTACTTTTGTAAAGATGCCTTCTTCACACGACAATGAAGGAACGATTCCATCTGCACCATGTCTTGTAGACGTAAGAGCTTTGTATTTCCAATTGGAATTTGGTGATCAATGGCTGCAGATCGGAGAGTGGGTAGAGAAGTTATTTAGTATGTGCTCCATGTAGCGGTATGAAAGGAGAATGTAAATCTTTTTTGCTTAGCCCTGTGTTCATGATATTCGTAGATAGTTCGTTACATATTTTGGCATGATACCATGCCTACATCGTGTCTTCCCTGACCCAATACGCCAAGAATAGCGTACTGCGCCGTATAAATGCCCAGAAAAACGCCGTATATGCAAAATGCTCATGTTCCGTCCGACAGAGCTAGCCGCTCATATCAGCAATTCGCCATCTTGGCTCCCAAATCTCCCTCATCGATACCAGTCGTCCCCTCACACATCCTCTAGCGCCATCCAAACCCACCACCACCTGCGGCCCGCTGCTTCGCCTGCATCCGAATCTGCGCTTCCTCCGCAACCTTCCACGCCTTCGCTTCTCCACTGAACTTCTGATACTCCCCCATCCAGAACCCCGCCAGCTCCTGCGCATCGCGTAAGGCGCCATCGACCCCGCGGTTCCAGATCCACAGCGACACCACGATGAGGAAGCTGTACTGTGCGAGCTGCCAGACCAGCCGGACCCAGAACATGACGCTGCGGTACAGCATGCCAAAGATCTGAAGCGAGAACCAGAGGATGGCGAGGAGCATGAGAACGGACGCGATGTCTGGTTGCGTGATTACTTGCGTGATGAGCGGTGCGAAGTGGGTTTGGAGGGATTTGGTTAGACCGTAGACGGTGGAGATGGCGCTGATGAGAGGGTTGATCAGCGACGAGGGGAGGAGCGTGTGTAGAAGGGCGAGGTAATCTGGGTGTGTTAGTGACGTTGGAATCGAGGATGTAGGGGCATCGGTAAGTAGCTTACTCTGTACGACGTCCATTTTTGCAGAGTGTTTATGTGATGTGTACTGAAGAAAATCCGGTGTCAAGTAGTGCGCAAGCGGTGAGCGGCGTTCCTGGATACAGTTGCAGAAGTTGATCGCCGGGTTGGAATGGGTGCCGCGTCGTGTGGGGAGGATGCGGTTAGCGCGGCGGTGTCTACATACGCAATGGAAGATGTTGCGCGTGAGGCTCGTGCTTCATTTGGTTGTGCGCAGGCTGAACAACGTCGTGAATGCTGTTGTGGTGTTTCTTTGACAAGCATCTCGCTTCTGGGGTACGAGCGCATCATACCATGCTTTGCTTGGCACGTGCGCACACGCACCCCGGCCACCGCTGTCACCGCTCGCTGCAGTGCTCGCGTTTCACACGATCTCGCACATGCACCACTACGCGCCATCGCACACTCCAGATCGTGACGACGACCTCGTCAATCGTGCATACAGCGCTGCGGGGCGCTTGCTACCGCCAGCCGGGTCTGGATGTGCAAACCCTCTGGAGAAAGGCGGTGTACCACGACGGCTATCTATCCAAGTGTCTTAAACCTTCAGAAAAGCATTCAAGTGGGGACTCCATGTCGCTATCGATAGCTTCGCCGCCATGCTAGAATAGCGAAATGTTCTTTTCGCACGTTACTTGTGACGGGCGTTGGCCCATCTGTAGCGCAGTGACGAGGCTCCACTATGGCGCAAGGCACGGCCATGTGGTGCCCGGCAGCCTAGCCTCTCACTCGGACATGTCCGTCACTTCGCCGTATCGAGAAATTGTAGACGAGAAGTAGACGAGCAAATCAATGAGTTCGTATTCAACTAAACTATGTATGCGAAGACCATAGCTTCTGCGTGCAGCCTTGCTGCGGTGATCATCGCTGTGGCATCGTCGCCCTGTGCTGCCCTGTGGATATCAAGGAATAGAGAAAAGGCAAGAGTGCCTATGTGGGTGACAAACTGTCTGGTATCACAAAGCCATATGGTGTCCTCCAACTCCCGGGTATACAAGTGTGCGGCCGTCAAACATGTGCAGTGAAGGGTATTCATCCGCAAACATGAGGGAAAAGAAACGTGTCGTGGAGATATGAGTCGTGTCTCTGCTTCTGAAGAGTGAAACAACCGCGTAGCGAAACTGCGTTGAGCTTGTGGTGTACAGAACGGTCCAGTGACTGGATGTCGGTCTGTTGCCGTAGGTCATCGGTGGACCAGTGAAGAGCCAGAGGAACTGATTCTGTCCATGGCAGGCGGTGACGTGTTCGGTCGAGTATCGCGCTCCCCTTCACACGTGTTCAAGGTAGGATTGTTTCTCGTAGGAGAGGTTTAGGGGGCGATCCGAATGTGTGGAGGGTCGGACTGGATCGAACTTGTTGGATTCGAAGCTCATGTCTTTGAGATCAAAGTTGAAGGCGGATGCCTCTGACATTGACGGATAGTGAATGCGAGGGCTTCCATAGGATTTGCGTGACGAGAAAGAGTCTCGGGGAAACTCGGATTTCCTGGAAGAAGGCGAATACGGCGTAGGTGGTCTGTCCGCAATCGAAGAAGTAGCACTAGACTTTCGTCGGATACGTTCTGGTTTACGGATCGGACTCATGGGATAGTTGAAATTAGGGTAGTCCTGAGGAGATGGCGTACGTGGATGGTCATAGTCGTCGATTTCCTTCTCGAGCATGGTGGTGCGTACAGGAGGCGGTAGAGCGGGCCGTATGCCATACTTTTGCGGTCGTTGAGTGTATTGGCTTGGTCGGCGCCACGACTCGAATTCGGCATCATCCAAAGGTGTCACGGCCCGGAGAGAGAAGCCTCGCACTCGTCTGGTTGATCGTCTCCAACAGTAGAGAGCAAGGACTACGACCAGCGCAAGGACTAAGCTACCAAGGACCGCGGCGAGGATGATCCAGATGTGGGTTTGGTCCATGATGTCGATGATTTCAAGGACCTGTTGGTCAATGAAATGACAAGGCTGCAATGGTCCTGAAGTGGAAGGTGAGGTGTTCCACTACAGACGAACTTCGAGATACCACGAATGCAACAGCTAGTCGACCATGGCGATGATTGAGAAGGGCTGGTGAATGGAGTTGCAGCCGCGTGCAAGTGAGATTCAGAAAGCCCAAGGCGATCTGGCGGGCCGCAAGGGACGGGAGCAGATTAGATAAAGTATGTACTGTTGCAAGGCTGAGGCGATGGTCATGCGCAACACACCACCCGAGGCGGCAAGTGGCGACAAAGATGGTGTATAGGCAGCGGGTCAGAAAATGAGAGTAAAAGAACGGCGTCCGGTAGACAGCAAAAGGCGCACCCGTACCTGCAGCTCAATGCAACCGTCGCCCTTAGCTCGGAGACGAATACATGCAGGAACCGCAGCTGGGGCCTGGCCGGACGATCAAGTACAAGTAGCATTTCGAGCGGTGAGGGAGCTTAATTTTACAATTGCCTTGGAATATGGCACTCGCACCGCTAAGTTGATAGCGTGTGACCGCGATAGGTAGCTCCACCGCTCGCTAGGATGAACCTGCAGTGCATGGGTCAGGGCTGCTCCACCTCCCACGCTGGTCTCCACTCCAGCTCGCGGCGCCACGTCGTTTTGGCTTCGCTGCAGAGGTCATAAGCACACCATGAGCTGGCGAGAACGCCACGATTTGGGCCTGAACTTAGCCTCGATAAGCCGTGATCGTGATGCTCGACGTGCCCCTGACAGCCCCGCCATTCCTCGCAGAGAAATGCAGACCACAGGACGAAGTATTCGCACGACGCGCACTGTGATTTCGTTTACTCGGACCGTTTCTTCGAAACGACGCACATACCAAAGCTTTGACGACGGGATGGAGCGTGTGCTCGGCAGCTTTTGCACTCTTGGATGGCTGCGGTCCTGGTGCCCCTGACATAGGTCGATCATCGCAGGCGAGGGACACCTGTGCACTTTGAGCATAGCGTCCGGTGTAGGTTTGGCCAATCCCGTGCGGCATCGACTCGTCCCGCAAGGGTTCCACATCTGGTCCTGGCCCATCCCCAGGACCGCACTCGGCATTTGGAACTCCAGTTGCTGAGCCCAGAAGGTGTGTTGGCAATGTCAAAGGCTGATGGGTGTTGAAATCAGCTGCGCTAGGGCTAAGCGTCAGGTACGGGTGGAGGGCTGACCAGTGAGCAGGTGAGAAGGCAAAATCGGTGACAACCGGCTTGCTTTGGCCCCTCTCCAACACCAAAACCCCGGTCGCAAACGAGTGGGCAAGGGACCGAGCTGTGCCGTGTCTCAGGTCTTTCTTTGGCCATCGCGATGCCATGTCACCAGAGGCTCACTGCGTCCCAGCGTGGAGGAGCCGTTGACGGCTTATTTTTCACTGGGACCAATGACACTGCGAACACTGCCATCAATTGACATCTCTTGTCGAGGAATGCCGGACTCCTGGAACAACTTTCCGGTGTGTTCGTCAATTCGCCGGCAATGGCGTCGCCAACAATTCGACGACTGCATCAGCTTCCTACAGCACCGGAGTTGCCGCATCTGTCGTTCGGTCCGGATCTGCGAGCTATTGGACAGCCTGTTGTAAATTTTCCGAAGCGCTTCGCGCGCTGGAAGACTGACGACGATACTGGGACGCCAACTTTGGGGCTAGTTGCGTGCATCATCATCCTCCTCTTGAGGCAAGTACGACGGATCGCAATCTCGCGAGCGTCCTCGCCCACGCAACCTCAAAAATAACATTTCTCATCGTTATGGAAGCTGGGTACATGACACGCACACTATCACAAATGATAGCAATACGAATGCGAATGTGGATTCCCCGCGTCCATGATCCCCTCACCCGTCCCACACTCAAAGGACGCGACATCGACGACAGAAATCGATACAGAGGTTTGGGACTGACTTTCCTTAGCCTGGCTTGAATTGCGACACAAGAAAAAGTTCGCAACGCCAGCGTTCGTTCCTGGCGCCGCCCATTGTTGGACTCCGCGGCGAACGCATCCATTGACAGTTGTGCCGGCTAAATGTCTAAATCCATGGAGTCAAAGCACACGTGAACGTTAGTCTCTGATCATCGACGCCACGGACGAGGGCACCCCTGCTATTGCATGTTCAAACCCTGATTCTGGAGTGTCGCACTTGGCAACATGGCTCTCCATCGTGCTTTAGCTGCCATGCATCTCAAACGTGGAGAAGTAGCTGCTCTCGAATCTCACTGGAGAAGATCAAAATGCTAGATTGTGAGGCTGAGAACTTTGCAATGCCAACACATCGTGGTTGCGCTCGGCTAGATGAAAACAGCAGGTCGTCGTGAAAGTTTCTTGCAGGATGCAGCAAAGCAAATCTTCGCTTACGCCAATCACAAATCCGAATGAACTGCTTTGACAGCATCTAAGTCATCATCCTCAGGTCCTGCTTCAAGTCCTCCTGGTCCTGGAATCTCCTGGATGTCACTTCATTATTACTCGGTTCCTAGGGCCGGTGCAGCATCCTGGGGCACATCAAGAATTGGCGCGAATTGGCTTCGGAGTTGAACAGCCTCGCTCACGGGTCGGCTTTACGCTCCGCTCAAGTCTTTGTTCTCTATTGCGCACGCTTTCCTCATCACGTTGCGCTTGCGTATTCGCTTCGTGTGGTGTGTCTACCGTTACCGCTCGGCATCTGGTGGTCTTGGATATTTCCGTGATCAGCAGACCTTATGTTATGCTATCGGTGAGAGCACCTCACCGATCACATTTCGAGGAGGCTGTCTTATCGTGAAACCTTGAGACCGACTATTAACTTTTGTGGCTCACGACCGGAACAATTATTGTGGAGATTCTTATTCGCATGCTCTCGTCCCCTTTTGGAGTATCGTTGCTTCTTCGAAAGTCGGAGCTTACGAATACCCCTGCGATGCCACCCCTACCACTGGATCCCACGATACCTGGTCAGGTACGAGACCGTTCAGACATATACCGATCCCAGCTCTTACCGTCGCCAGACCTGCTCTTCCCACCTTGACATCAGCGCAATGTCGGATAAACAGAGAAGTCTTGTGATGGCAGCAATTGACTCACGATGCCAGCTCGAATCTGCCTGATAACGCACATCTCCATTTCAAATCATGGCTGCCTCTCGCCCAGCAATATTTCTGCTCGCGGAGCGTGTCCCGTATGTCTCTCCTCACGCATCGTGACACTTGGCGTGGGGTGCCTCAATATACGGATCACCAGCGATCGGATCCAACGGCCGGGCTAAATAGCCGTTATATAGTTCGCGCAGCAGACGTGCAGCGCTGCGAACAGTGCTGAGGCGGCTCTGGTGTTTTTTTTGTACCGGAATTGCACTTGTCGCATGCTGATGGTGGGATGGAGTGGGACGTCGGAGGAACATGAGATTCTGGTAGCCCATCGTGCTAAGTCGCGATCGTTGATATATCCCGGGCTGTTAGTAGCGAAATTTGGCGACTGTGCAACCTTGCAAAACGTGTCATTGTCTCGCGGTTGAGGCGCTGGAGATTGTCTTGCTTTCATCTCAATTTGCTGGGCTCAGCTACAGCCGGAGCAGTTGCAGATTTCGCAATGCTCGGCCGGCAGCATACCGACACCACTATCATCATCACTGAGCCAGCTTCCGCGTTGCACAGCAGCAACCTATATATACTAAACAATAAACTTACCCTGCAGCAACAGCATCTTCTATACTGTATACCCCATACAGTGAACCAACACCCGGCGCGACGCCACACGTAAGACGTGATCGCGTGTCGTGCACCGTACAATGCGTCGGAAGAGGCGCTCGTCCGAGCGTCACACAACAAACGCGAGGAAGCAAGCAACGTCTCAAGTCTTTGAGAAGTAAACCAAATCAGTGTCTCGCACCCAAGGTAAAGTGCGCCACTGGCCTGTTTGCTGCAGCAGTTGAAGGGACGAGAGGGTTTGCTGGAAGGCGCGAGGAGGCGGTTGAGACTGTGGATAGAAGGGAATATGCTTACTTTCCTCGTCCACAACCAGGCGTCTGTATCCTAGACTCTTTTCCCTATTCGGTTTACAGTACTACATCAAGAGTATGGATGCTTCATTTGCTCTCAACAGTACAGCGTACTCAGCTTCTTGACGACGGGGCACAACGGCGGTACGTTCACCATCCCGCAACTCGTACCCGCAACTCGTACCCACACCGCGCCTCCACAATCCAGCTTCCACTCCCAAATTCCTCAGCACTCCCCAACCTACTACCTCCTACACGCGCTTCTTTTACCCAAAATCAGCTGGCTGCCCTCCTCCTTCCCCTCTCAATGCCAGTGCTGGTGCCAACACCACAGCTTCCATCCATCACCAATCCCAGCGAGCACAGCCCACCTCCCTATATTTGCAAACAATAATCACCCGCCTGCCTCTACTAAATTTACACTAGTTGCGCAATCATACATGTGCGGTACCTTGCAGCTTCACTATTCCCTCCGCGGGGGGCGACAGACTCACCGACCTTCGGAGGGCCCTCCGAAAGGTATCACGCACTCTCTTGGTCACACGTAATAATAAGGTTGAGGGTAGACCGGAAGAGGAAAATGGCAGAGTTTGGTAGAAAGCGGGCGCCGGTCGGACGCCTTTCGGCCGCTAGAGCAGGGTAAGGTAGGTGTGCCGATGGATGTGGCGCGAACCGGTCGCGTTCGCGTTTGCGTTTGCAGCGCGTCCAGGAAGTTGGGACTCGAGACGACGCAGCTGTGTGGAGGCGGTATGTGCTGGAAAATGGTTTTCTTCGGCTGGGGAGACACTCCGCGAGATACCAGGGCATGTGGAGTGCGAGGAGTGCAGATGGAACATAGAGAGACCCGGATTGACTTACCATATTGAAGAAGTAGTTTGTACCACTCTGGGAGAAGGACAGAGAGGTCAGGACGATAGCACGATAGCATGCTGGCATTACCCTGGTCTGGGTGTCTCCGTCGTACGCAGCAACCACCCCCACAATCCACACTTGACGCACACTTTCTCAGCTCGGTTCATATCGGACTGCTATTTGCTGCAATGGAAAGCTCATAAACCCACCTCTAGATCTCAAGAACCAGTGCAACCACCCTTTCTGTTCCCTCCTTTATGATGAAACCGTAGCGTTCTGCATGACAAAATCGCGAGATCATAGTTCCAAGGAGAGAATCGCGTGCGAGAAACTGGCCATCATCATCTATATCGTATGACGTGCCTTTAGTTGTCGAAATGAAGAGACCAGTTCATGTAGAACTTTGTTCTAACTGATCAACCAAGCTCAGAATTGTAATTGAACTTCTCTAGCCTCTGAGTACTCCTCGCCCCTCCTTGTCGAACTTCCGCACTCCTTTCAAGTATAACTTATCGAGCTCATTCGCCACCGTCACATTATCCATGGCCAACCGCAGATAATGCTGATTTGTGACGCCCTCGTCAGCAACCCACACATTGGACCCGTTCGCAAAGACGTGGTTGTATCCGCCGGTGTTCCCATACTCAAACCAGCTCCCCAGCCCCAAAACCGCATACGCAACCGTCAACGGATCCCAAGACATCCTCGTGGTATTGTAACCAACATACCACCCATACGCCGCCTTAACCGGATCGCCCTTCGGTCCCTCCATCGTCAGTTTCGCCCCACTCAAAACCACGTCTCCGACCTCCGTCCCCAAAAACGTGACCGGCACAGCGCGCGGCCAAGTATTCACCACATGCGCAGTAGCCAGCGGGTTATCTCCCCAGAAATTGAACTCGTAGCCAGATGGATACCCCCCGCCCATCACGGCCAGCTTAGTAACCTTCTTTGCAACGAGTTCGTACCCGCTCAGCGGCGAGTACGCATCGCCGCTCGAATTCAACAACCCGGAGAGATTCTCGAAGAAGCCGATAGACGCAATCGTCACGCTTGCGTCTGCAGCATCGGCCAGCGTCTTGCGGTACAGCGCGACGGGCTCCCAGGACTTTTCAGGCGTGAACCACGGTAGGGATCCACCAGACCAGTGATATGCGACCTTGCTCGTATACTCGCCGAGCTCGTACGCCCAATCGTCGAAGAAGCTTTCGTTGGTGTAGGGGCGTCGCAGGCCGATGGATGTTTTGGGGTGGCCATAGTGGTTTAAGATTGCGGAGGCGGCGAGGGGGGAGTAGGCGGAGGGGTAGTTTACGTTTACGGCGAGGAGGGAGACGTTGGGGAGGGTGGCAGCGAGGAGGAGGGCAGCTGCGTCACTGTTGGGAGGTCTTAGATCACAGCTTCTTTTTTCCAGTACGAGAGCAAAGGGAAGGTCGGACATACTCTACATCGCTGAAGATGTCGGTGTCGACAATCAGATTTGTGGTACAGCTATTTGCCTGTGCACCAGCCGTAGAGATCGCGAGGTATGTCAATGCATAGCGAAGCACGCGCTGGGGAGAGAGGACGTTGTTGACGAGCATGATCGGACTTTGCAATTCAAATGCTAGGCGCATCTATGGAGAACGGGGAGTCGCGGACAGCTCGGAGGTGCGCCTGAAGACGATAAAAACATTTTTCATGGCTCTGTCCATCCTCAATTGGGTATGATCGCATTGCGGAGATGTCCGTGATAGCGGAAAAGTGAGGCCGAAGAGGGAGCCCGAGGAAAGACGTTCAAGGGTGGGGGCGGGGAACATCAAGAGCGCCGTCTTTACCAACCTCCTCCACCAACCTGATCTTCAATCTTCCATACAACCATAATACATTCCAGCACACCCCTCTACATATCTCTCTCAAAGCCACAATTCTTATCCAAACTTCACTTCACTCGCTTTCGTAACACTGTCTAATACGCAAATTCGCACATATAGTTCTCGAAGTCTGGTCGCAGTCAGATCCAAATCTTGAGCCCTCGGGTCCGATTCGGTGACTGAACAATATAGAAGGGGATCAAAGCTGTGAGAGCGGAACCTGGCATGATAGCACCTAAAGCATAATAAGCCTCAGATTTTAGGAAGCTGAGGCTGGGTTGATTCTAGAGGGGCGGCCTGTGGGTTGCCAGGCTCTAGAATTTGTAGTTTTTTATCTTATTCTGTGAATTATCAGGGAAAGTCTAGGAGGTGCAGAGATTTGTTTCATTTGACGCAAAAGATGCATGTAGGACATAGTACACCTGATCCAAAAGGTGTGAACTTCCTTCAGCCCGGTGCCAATTCAATCGGAAGATCTCCAGTTCTAACTCCAACTACATTGACTCCCTAGACCCTATCTGGTCCTCACTTCCCCCCCCCCTCGTTTTGTTGTCCGATCTTCTTCCTAGTAGCAACAGTCTTTCCCTCCTCCTCCTCATTCCTTCTCCTATGCGCCGCCACCCACTCCTCCTCATCATCAGTCACTCCCTCACCGTCTTCGCTATCACCTTTTACATTCTTCCCCACATTGTCTTCTTTTGCGCCCTTTTTCTCCTTCTCAGTCTCAGTCTTGGAAATGTCAACAACACTTCCCTGCGAACTAGTCTTCGGCGAGGCTTGGGGCGGTGTAGGCGGGATATCAGGAGAAGATGAAAGGGAGTGGTTCGAAGTGTCGGCCGCTTCGCCGAAGAAAGTACTCTCTGTTCGTGATGTCTTTTGCTTTGGGGGTCTTGGGGGGGCGGGCAACCCATTTTTGTGTTGTAGACTTGTCGGGGTTGTCGCTGTTGTCGTTGTTGTTGTTGTTGCGGGGCTTGGGTGGCATTCTGTATTAATGTGCCTGGAACGGGTGGAGAAAGTGTGGTTTTATGTAGACAGTGATGTATGCTGTTTGCGCGAGAGCAAGCACTGGAGATTTCTTCTATCTTGTAGAGCATGCAAGACTCTATCCCGACACATCGGCTTTGTGAACGAAGGCCGACAGCGGGTGGGGTCCGGATGCGTGCTGAGTGGTGTCGACAGCACAAAATGTCCCTTCTCCCACAGTGCCTTGGCGGTCTTCGGGGCTGGCTCCATACATGCTCGAATGATGTTGTGGAATTGTGCAGGTTCATCATTTAGTTCAATAAGTTGGTGCAGGATGTGGTCTGAGGATTCCTCGAGCGAATAGTATATAGGTCGCAGCTGGACTCCATCGACGTATTGAGGTGGATAACCTAGAACGAGTGAGCCTTCATTCGCCGTTTCTAGCACGCGTCACACTACGCGTCGGGTAGGTCCGAAACGCTTGTATCGTCATGTTCATCGACGAAGTCTGTAACAGCGAGTAGGCATGAAGCGCGAACGATGAGTGATGTGATTGTGCACTAGTTGGACGATGGGCATCATCAATAGGGGACATGTACCTTCCATCCCTGCGAAGCAGCAAGTGCGACCTTCCTTCCGAGTGTGCATTCTTCCGTATATGACCCTGATTATATGTTTGGAGAACGCCAAAACTATAAATTTAGAGGTCAGTGAAAGCATGCGTCAATGGCAGCAATCCATGGTGTTGGTGTTCAATTGATGTAAGTGGTCCTGAGAAGCAGTATTGTAGACGCGCGCCGTGCAAGGTTGTACTAACAGGAAATAACATACAAGTCAAAGCTTAGAAAGTCTAATATTCCGGGAGACTCTTTCAAGCTATCAACATTTCGCAAACCTCATCGAATTGGCAGGTCCTTCGACTCGAAGCTGTAGCGCAGCCACTCTCCGACAGCCCTCAAGCTCTCCCACCGCACAGTCTCGTCCGCCTCCTGCATGAGCGCCATCACTCTGCCCTTCAAGCCGAGCTTCTCGAGCTGATACCGCTTTTCGGGCACCTCCTTGACCAAGCAAGCGACGTCATTACAGCCGATAGCCAAGACCTGCTTGTCGTTGTCCCATGGCTTCGAGAGGATCTCCGCCAACTTCCGTGGTAGCTCGCCCTTGTTGTCTTCGAGAATGCGACGTGCGTTGTCGCGCCAAAAGTCTGGGTTGCGATGCGGTGGGGACCAGCGCAGGTGACCAGACCGTATTTCTGCAGCATATTCGTCGAAGGTGGTTTGTGTAGTGGTGTACTCTTCGAGCAACTCAGTGAGGGACTTGAGGTCTTCAAGCGCATCATCGTCGGTCAAGTGGCGGGACTTGAGGGTAGATAGGAGCGACGGCAAGCGGGCGAGGACTGCGGCGGGGAGGAGAGTCTGTCGGTTCGAAGTAAGGAGATTTAGAAGAGTTGACAGGAGTAGACGAGTAGTTTTCTCCTTAGGCGAGATACGGAGAAGGTGTGTGTATAACATGACGACGTCGTGTTCGCTAGATAGTGTTAGTCACGAGCTTTCGAAATGGGCAAGCAGTCTTACTCTTGCAGTCCGTCGCCGACCAATTCTCCTTCGAAGCTCAGCTGCCAGACGACCAGCAACACATGGTAGAGTAACTGCAATCCAACTCCGCCCGTAAGACCCTCGGGAACACTGCGAACGCTTCCTGCTGCACCGCTTCGCAGAGATATTTGGTCTTTCGTAGCGCCAGATGCTGCTGTGAGTATATCGACCAGCGGGTTGAGCGTCTCTTTCCTCTGGTCCCAGAACAACTGTCTCGACTTCTTGTTGCGCAGCACGGCTGAGTACTCTTGGACGGCGATGTCTTGGAGACCCGCATCCTGGCTCTTAGCGAGCGCGGCGAGATAGTTGTATAGCTGGGGTAGGGCTTCGTCGATCTGCGAGGTGGTCTTTGTAGAGTGCACGAGAGCGTAAGACAGGAACTTGGAGAGGACCGAGGAAGTGAGCAAGGGTATCGTGTCTTCAGCATTGGAGCCAGCTTTGAGCAGGGGAAGGAAGGGCTTGAACGGCGAGGGGTGCTGGATGAGGGCCTCTGTCAGAGCGGGGATATCTAGGCTCCTGTCAGTCATAGCGCGAGTTGCCTGGTACGCCGACCGAGCATACCATTTATGAGATCCTCAGTCAGAACCAGCATGTACTGCACGATATCCTGGCGTTTCGCTGCCGCCTCGAAGATGCTGTGCGACCCGTTGCCGCCTAGCAGCAGCGACACGAAGCTCTGCACATCGCCCTCGACCCTGTTCTTGCGGTCTTCCTTGCGCACTTTGTCGATTGACTTGATTTTCTGCAGATCCGTCTCGGTGATGGTCTTTGCCCGCATGGCACCTTCCCATGATATCGGCCGGGTGCGAATGTTGGCCTGGATGGTGACCAGATACGCCGGCGGGTCGAGCGACATGGTGGCGGCGCTTCCAGCAGGTATGTTTCGGAGACGAGAGCCCGCAAAGAGGACGGTATATGCGCTGCTGGAGCTGGCGAGGTTGCTTCTGGTGCCGTCGCAGCCCGCCGAGCTGCACGACGAGCGTCATTGCCCAGTTGGTCAAAGCTCCACCTGCATGCTAGCTCCGAACGTGGACCTTACAGCGCAGTTCATGTGCACGCAGAGCGCCGATTTCATCCTGGCCTTTACATGTCTCTTTCTGAATTTGTGGGCAAATCGTTGTTCGGTAGCACAACTCCATAAACGTTTTTCGAGCTGTGAAGCAACGCTCTGTTCAGGTTCCGGTCGCGCTTCCTGTTAATGGCCTAGCTCCGTTCTTGCCTCAATATCTCTTGGCAAGCACTTTTTCGAACCAGCAACCTCTCTTTCTTACCCCATCCACCACCACGACGTTGGCGCCATATATCAAACATGGAGTATTTCAGCTTGAAGCGCTCCACCGCTGCCGACCGAGCAGGGGCCAATCTTTCGAGCAAGGTTTACGTGCGCTCAACCAAAAGTGGCAAAGTGCAAAAGATTGTCCGAGAGCTCTACCTGCGGAACGACATCCCATGTTCGTCAAATTTGTGCAGGGCGTGCTTGGATATCGCACCTGCCGACTTCAACCAAAAAAGTAGGAACACACGGTTCACGTGATTCATCTTCGCTAACCCGAATAGCCGCACCTTTTGTCCTCTCAGATACACCTGCCGGATCCAAGGACTACCCAAATGGAATATACTTGGTGCCCGACACAAATGCATTTCTTACGGGAATGGACCTTTTCGAAGTGGAAAACGCTTTCCACGATGTGATTGTTCTGCAGACTGTTCTGGAAGAAGTCAAGAACCGCTCATTACCGCTATATCATCGGTTGATTGCCCTGACGAAACATGAAAACAAACGCTTCTATGTCTTCTTCAACGAGTTCCGCCAAGAGACCCATGTGCCACGAGATTCCGGAGAGACCATCAACGACAGGAACGACCGAGCGGTGCGAAGAGCGGTACAGTGGTACAATGAGCACATCACCCAGGCTGTTACCGCGAGAAGCAAACAGCAGACACGAGTTCCTACCGTTGTCATGCTCACCGACGACAGGGATTGTCTACGCAAAGCAAAGGCCGATAAGATCCCATCAAGTACTCGTGAGTTGACTTACAACGGGAGGTAGTTCCAAGCTAAAAGTTCGCAGTCGCCGATTTCGTGTTCGGCCTTGAGAATGCGGACGAACTACTGGACATGATGAGCGCAGCTCAGGACCAAAGAGAAGTAAGGTCGAAGAAGACCGAGCTTTTCTACTCGGAGCACTACACCATCTCCAAGATGATGACGGGCGTCAAAGCAGGCGTCTTACACCAGGGCATCTTCAACGTCTCACCATACAACTACTTGGAGGCTTCAGTACACGTTCCCGCTTTCGAAAAATCTCTACTCGTTCTTGGACGCGAGAATGGAAATCGCGCCGTGTCCGGAGACGTCGTCGTTGTTGAGATCCTCCCTCAGGATCAGTGGAAGGCACCGTCTACCAAAATCATCGAAGAGGAGACTGTCAATAAGAATGACAATCCTGAAGTCGAAGACGGCGAGAACATCGTTTCTGAGAAGGAACGGAAAGCTCTGCAGGAGGAGGTGAAACGTGCACACGGCCAGAGCACAGAGGGCAGGCCACAACCTACCGCACGCGTAGTCGGCATCGTCAAGCGAAATTGGAGGCAATATGTTGGACACATTGATCGCGATTCTGTCCGAACCACGTCCAAGTCTGCCAGACAGCAGCAAATGGTGTTCTTGGTACCTATGGACAAGCGCGTACCGAAGATTAGGATACGCACGCGACAAGCTGGAGAGCTCCTCGGTCAACGTGTACTGGCGACCATCGATTCGTGGGATAGGGACTCACGGTATCCCATGGGCCACTTTGTTCGATCACTTGGAGAACTCGAATCCAAGGGCGCAGAAACGGAGGCTCTGTTGTTGGAATGGGATGTGCAGTATAAGCCATTCCCTAAGACAGTGCTAGACTGCCTGCCTGCCGAGGGACACGATTGGAAGGTGCCAGCGAGTACGGATGACCCAGGCTGGAAGGGACGCAAGGATCTGCGAGATCTCTTGGTCTGCAGTATCGATCCCCCAGGCTGTGTCGACATTGACGATGCACTCCACGCGCGCAAGCTCCCTAACGGTAACTTTGAAGTCGGTGTTCACATTGCCGACGTATCACATTTCGTCAAGCCCAACAATGCCATGGACAAGGAAGCCAGCCAGCGTGGTACTACCGTCTATCTGGTCGACAAGCGAATAGACATGTTGCCGATGCTTCTCGGTACCGATCTCTGTTCGTTGAAACCCTACGTAGAACGCTACGCCTTCTCCGTTCTTTGGGAGATTACACCAGACGCCGACATCGTTGACTCACAATTCACCAAATCAGTCATCCGCTCCCGTGAAGCTTTCTCCTACGAGCAAGCACAGATCCGCATCGACGATACCGGCGCGCAAGACGACCTCACCACCGGCATGCGCACCTTGCTAATGCTCTCCAAAAAGCTCAAGCAAAAGCGCTACGACGCCGGTGCGCTGAACCTTGCCTCACCCGAAGTAAAGGTGCAGACCGAATCCGAGACCTCCGACCCCGTCGACGTGCAGACCAAACGCCTCCTCGACACCAACTCCCTGGTCGAGGAGTTCATGTTGCTCGCCAACATCAGCGTCGCCGCAAAAAACTACTCCGCCTTCCCCCAAACCGCGCTCCTCCGCCGCCACGGCGCGCCCCCAAAGACAAACTTCGAAGAACTCGCCAATCAGCTCAAGGTAAAGAAGGGCCTCGAGCTCCGCACCGACACCTCCAAAGCCCTCGCCGACTCCCTCGACACCTGCGTCGAAGAAAGCGAGCCCTTCTTCAACACCCTCGTCCGCATCATGGCCACCCGCTGCATGATGTCCGCCGAGTACTTCTGCGCAGGCACCCAGGCGTACCCAGAATTCCGCCACTACGGCCTTGCGTCGGAAATCTACACGCACTTCACGTCCCCCATCCGACGCTATGCCGACCTCGAGGCACATCGCCAATTGGCAGCGGCTATCGACTACGAGCCGCTCGACGCTAGTCTGCACTCCAAGGCCAAGCTCGAAGGCGTCTGCAAGAACATCAACGTGCGGCATCGCAATGCGCAGATGGCAGGGCGCGCGAGCATAGAGTACTACGTGGGCCAGGCGCTCAAGGGGAAGGACATAACCGAGGAGGGTTTTGTGATGAAGGTCTTCTCGAACGGTTTTGTGGTCTTTGTGCCAAGGTTCGGCATCGAGAGTTTGATCAGGCTGCGGGATTTGGCGACCCCAGAGCCGGAGGCGGAGTTTGACGGCGAGAATTACGTGTTAAGTGTCAAGGGCGGTGTCAACAGGGAAGTAGAGCTGTTTCAGAAGGTTAACGTGCGGATTACAGATGAGGTTGAGGAGAGCACAGGAAAGCGGAAGGTCAAGTTGACGCTGGTGTAAAAGGCATGTTGATGTTTGGGATCCTAGCAAAGACATCCCAGATGGAGGATGGGAGTCATGATCGTGGCCGTGGGGTGGATCTGTAGGCAGGGAAGCCAGCAAAGCCTGGTAATGCAAGAAACGAGTCTCGTATCAAAGTCGCGACAACGACGTCCCACGTTCGCACCGCAAAAAGACATAATCCGAGCACGACTGTTGATCACGTTCCCTTGGTCTCGAAGTCTGTCCACTCCCCCAAGAACCCCCGCACAGCCTCTCCCGGCACCCCCCTCCTCATCCCCGTCTCCTCGTCCCAGCTCGAATGCAGTCCCACGAGCCCCCCGCCGCCCTGCGCATCCAGCACCGGCGCCCCGCTATGCCCCCAGTACGTCCAGCAATCATGCATCATGCCCCCGATCTCAGAATTATCCTGCGGGTCCGCGCCCGGCGCCAGCCCACGATACGTCCCCTCGCTGACATGCAGGACGTCGTATCCGGTCTTCGTGCCCGGTGTGGAGGCTTCGAGGTCCTCGGAGCCGGGGTGCCCGATGCAGTAGAGAGGGGCGCCCACGCGCGGAACGCGCTCTGCTACGGTGGCGTGCGGGAAGGGCGTCTTACTACTGCTACTTGGAGTGGAAGTCGCGGAGGGAGATGGACATGTGGAAGAGGAGAGAGGTGCCAGAGGCTCCGAGTGCGTGATCTGCAGGAGAGCGAGATCGCGCTTGGCGTCCCAGGCTACACAGCTCGCCCTTGCGACAGTCCCCGCGGCGAAGATGAGCCAGTGTGCGTTGGAAGAGTCCAACGCCGTGGTGGCGTCGTCAGCGACGCAGTGTGCGCATGTGAGTACGAGTCCCGAGGCAGAGATGCAGACTGCAGTCCCGGCTTCTTCCTGCGCGAAGACGAGTGTAGCGTCTAGAGTTAGGACGAGCTGTGGGGAGGAGGCGAAGGTGCGGCGGAGGCCGGGGATGGAGGCTCGTAACTTGGCGCGCTTGGTGTTTAGAAGAGTGGCGGATGCTCGACTCAGGCCTGTGAGCTTGGGCGTGAATATGCTGGGGAGGGTGAAAAGGATATTTGGGGGAGTTGGAGTGGTTTTGAGAATCATGGGCTGGTGTAAGGGCTGGGCGGTGGGTGCGGGAATAAGAGATTTTTGTCGGGATTGGGATCGCGTTGTTCGGCGCATGGTGGGCGGGATCGTTGAGTGAACTGAAGTTTTGCGCCCTTGAGTATATATGCAGAAGATGTTTTGAGACTTTGCTGCCTGAAGAAGGCGTAGTTGAGGCAATGCATTGCTGATTGGCCCTCCACAAGGTCTCTAGCGTTAGTTGCTTGGCAATAGTACATGGTAAAGTTTACAGGATTTGGTATATGTAGAAAGAAGGAAATGTCCAGTCATACCTTCGGACTCCTCTGCGCTCAAACCAGACGTATCAGGTGACCAGTCTGGGAGAAATGCCAGGCATGCTGCTATGCGTTCATTCCAGGCATCAGGTCCGGTTTGTCGAGCACCATCCCGCGCAGCGAGATCCAATCCCGCAGGCCTTCCCACTCTTCGCCCTCCTCATCTCCCCGCCTCCACTCCTCCTTGAAGCCCCATGCGCATGCGATCCGATCCAGCGCAGCCCGCTCATCCTCGCGTACGTATCGGTCCAGCAGCGGCGTTCCGGGTCTCCAGACTACTCTGGTGTGGTGGTCGTTGTGCGTTGTCATGGCGACGAAACCTAGTGTTCCAGTGCACAAAAGATAAGTCGAGATACCCATGAATGCGTACGTCTTGAACAGCAAAGGATCAATGTATCCACTGTAGACGGACGCTTCTTGAGCAAGCATGTATACTGCCAGAGGCGTGATGCCGACGATGGCGCCTGGGAGACCCATCTTGGTCACCATCCGACGCCGCTTCCATGCCGGCGTACAGTACGAGACTTGGACAATGTCCAGCGCAAGAGGCATGTCCTTGGCATCGATGGCGGCGCCGAGGGCCTGCTCGGCCAGGTCAGCGGGGATGGCCTGCTTCGCGGCCTTGGGCGAGGGCTTGGAGAACTTGGGCGGAGAGGATCCGAGTTGCGGGACGGGCTTGTTGGCGTACAGGTGGAGGATCTCAGGTATCGCGCGGGGGAAGCCGATGAGCCGTTGGAGGCGGATGTAGGCAGCGAGGATATCGGCCGAGATGAAGACGTTGGGGTGCTTGAGCAGGTCCATGGCGAGTTGGGAGATGTACTGTGGCGAGGGGAGCTGGTTGAGCGAGGGCGCTCTCGAGGCCGGCTGGGTTGCGACAGGCGCGTCGTCTTCGCGGCCCATGGAGAGAATGGCACCGGCCGAGCTCTGCTTGATCTCGATCTTCGGGGGCGGTGGCTTCCCCGACCGGATCGCAATTGCTTGCCGTGCAATGGATTCCAGGGCCTCGAGGGCCGCCAGCGTGGCCGCCTCGGGCTCGACCTTGGGGGACGACTTGATCCATGCGATGTGCCGCTCCACGTCGGCGAGCTTTGTCTTCAACACTGCGACTCGTTCTGCCCATTGCTGGTGGTTTTCTGCTCCGGAAGCCTGTGCTGGCGATGTCCGGACGGTCGCGGCGCTCCGCACGGGTGTTGTGGGAAGGACGGCATGCTGCTGTGCGGTCTGCCGCCGCAGGGCAGGCGCTTTGGATGTGGCTGCCGCGGCGAGGAAGGAGCGGCGCGAGGCGGGCTGCTGCAGGATGAAGTCGCACAGCTGGCACAGGGGCCGCGAGGGCGCGCGGATCGGCAGGGAGCCGGGCTTCATGGCGCGGTGTGCTGGTTGCAGTGGTGTTGGTTTGCGCTGAGGTGCGCTGGTCGCTGGTGACGAAGCCGACAGCCACGCTTGGCACTGACGGAACCTCAGCGAAGCTCTCAGGTCCCGCGCGCTCTCTCCTCCACCACTGCACGCGCGTCGCTCGCAGGCAGCAGCGCGAGCTCTACCAGCGCCCGGAACCCCGCGACACAGCGAACACACCACAAGCCCGCGAGCGACACCGCACACGACACCGCACACGACACCATGCCCGCACCTCCACCGCCCCCCCCTCCGCCCATGCCGCCCATGGGTCGAGGGGCTGGCGGGCCTCCGCCGCCGCCAATGCCTGGAAGAGCGCCCGGAGGCAAGCCGCCCAGCGGCGCAGGAAGAGTACGTCTCCATCTCCAGGCCTAGGCACCTGCATCCTGGGCTGCAATACTATGACTTGGGCTCACGTCGCACAGGGCGCACTGCTGGGGGACATCACCAAGGGCGCGAAGCTGAAGAAGGTCACGGTGATAAACGATCGGTCAGCGCCCATAGTCGGAAAGGTGTCAGACGGACCGAGTGGACCACCCGTGGGAGGCGCCCCTCCCATTCCTGGCATGGGAAAGGCACCAGCACCGCCATCGGGCCTTGCGCCGCCCGTCCCTGGGAACAGAGCGAGGAGCAACAGCGACACAGGCGGAGACGGAGCAGGAGGCGGCGGCGGAATGGTCAGCGCGGCGCCGCAGTTGGGCGGTTTGTTTGCAGGCGGCATGCCAAAGCTGAGGAAGTCGGGCGGCGTGGCCACGGGCAGGGAGCAGAGCTCGCCATACCTGTCGGATCCGGAGACATCACGAAGCTCAGCACCCAGACCGCCGCGAGGAGCTGCGCCGAAGCCACCGGGTGCTGCACCGCCGATTCCTGGAGGACGGCCACCGCCCGCGCCCGGCATTGCGGCCCTCAGGAACAACTTGCGGCCTTCGTCCGTGGTGTCTACCCATTCCATGTCAGACATCGGCTCCAAGCCTAAACCTCCTCTGCCAGGGAAGAAACCGCCCATACCACCACCGTCTTCACGCAAACCATCTGGACTCGCGCCTCCACCCCCCGCCACCCCTGCCCGAGCTCCGCCTGTGCCTGGAGCAGCACCCCCAGCACCTCCTCCACCACCACCATCCTCAAGTCCTCTCGCACCACCGCCTCCTCCGCCTCCCTCATCCACGCCTTCCGCGCCACCTCCTCCGCCGCCAACAGCTGCTCCGCGAGCGCCAAGTCGATCTACACCCCCACCGCCTCCACCAGCACCACCCTCAAAAGCACCGCAGGACGATGATGACGAATACGACCCCTACAAATACACCAGCACTCCACCGAAACCACCCTCTGCGCCCGCCCCTCCAGCTCCAAAAGCACCCACAAACGGCACGCCCTCCCTCGCCGAACAAGCCGCCCGCAACGCCTTCGGCCGCTCCTCCCCCGCGGCACCACCGCCACCTCCCCCTTCTTCGGCTCCCGCGCCCCCACCGCCTCCCTCCTCAGCACCCGCCCCTCCACCCCCGCCCATGTCACCGCCCTCACGAACCAACAGCCAAGCGCCGCAGCGCAGCATGCTCGATCCGAGCGCATACACCCTCACTAACGGCGGCTCTCCGAGCATCAAGAGCCCGACGAGCCCCGCGCCCGGGCAGAAGGGCAAGATTGTGCCCGTGCACGATCTCAGGTGGCGATTTGTCGATGAGTCGCAGTTCCCGCGGCCAAGGGAATTCTTGGGGGGGCCGAAGAAGTATAGGGCCGGGAGGGGGAGCAGTGTGCCGCTGGATCTGAGCGCTTTTGAGTAGGGCTTGAAGAGGGCGAAGTCGAGTCGGGATGGCGATGCAAGGAGGAAGTGGGATCTGGATCTCGGAAGGAAACGATCGACGAGGCTGAGTTTGGGACGGAGGAACACTTTTTCGGGATTGAGAGAGAGCCTCGGGCAGGACTGAAAGAAGGGCTAAGATTAGGTCGAGGGAGGTGAAGGTGATGCTTCGCACTGGCGTTTTCATGGGGTGGGATGAGGAAATAGATATTCTTTGTGTATAGTTCTGGCAGCGAACGCTGGAGATGCACCCACACATACCAAATTGCACTCTTTTGCGAACAAGTACATCGTTGAGACCATGCCGTGAATGAAAAAAAAAAAATGTTGATCTACCCAACAGCACCGTGGATGGATAGCTCCCTCTAATTTACACCTGAATGTATGCTTGTACAGTATCCTACACCGCCCTACTCTTCTACTCAAGCCTTCTTAACCACCTTGACCACCGCATCCTTCACCTCGCTCACCTCTTCCTTCACCAACCCGCCCACATCCACCGTCTTCTCAGTGTCGGCCGCTGCCCTCCGCTGGTGGAAGCCGGTGACGTGCAAATACCCCGCGACACCGACGCCCGTCGCAATCCCGCCAAAATGGCTCGCATGGTCCATGGTGCTCGGGCTCTTGCGCGCCGCCATGGCAATCTCCCACGCGACAAACGCCGTGATGAGCATCTTGGGCCAGAACGAAACCTCTCCGCCGAACGGGATCTTGATGGACTCGGTGTCGGTGAGGAGGCAGTACAGCGTGGCGATGCCCCAGATGGCGGCCGACGCGCCGACGCTGTGCGCTGCGATGCTGCCGCGGCCGAGATTCGCCCAGTACAGGCTGGCGAGCGTGCCGAGGGCGCCGGCGGAGACGTACGTCCCCAGAAACACACCGCGCCCCACGAGCTCGTGGGCCACGGGCGCGACGAGGGCGAGCACCATCATGTTCCCCAGCAGATGCTCGTACTGCACGTGCGAAAAGACGTTGCCGAGTGCCTGCACGGCGCGCGGGTAGCCCGGCACGTGCATGAAGTAGCGGGTGAGGATGGGCCAAAAGGGGGTCCAGCGCCAGGCGAGGCAGACGAGGGTGTTTGTGAGGAGGAGGGCGGCGAGGGTCGCGGTGCTGGGGGCGAGGTCGGGCCAGAGGCGGTACGAGGGGGCGGGCGGCTCGTAGTAGTGCGCGAAGCCGAAGGAGACGAGGCAGACGACGAGGACAAAGGCGGTCATGGGGTAGAGGCGTTGGGTCTGGAGAGAGTTATCAGTAGAGGTAGGGAGGAGGGAGACTGGGAGCGTACCAGCGTGGTCTGGGCAAGCATTTCCTCAGGGTCCTTGAAGGGTGTTTCTGCAGCCTTCTGCGCCTTCTCCATTTCCTCCTTCCGCCGGCTGACTTGCTCGCGCCCGAAGACGTCGACGTACGTGTCCTGCCCGGGCTTCATGAGCTGCGTTCCGCCCGGCGTGCGCACCCACTCGCCCGTCGCGAGCATCTTCTCCTCCTCCACAGCGCGTGCCTCCTTCTCTTCTGCCTTCTTGGTGATCTCCTCCAATCTCTGTCTCCGCTTCTCCTGGATGGCGATCTCGAACTGCGACTTTCCCGTGCGCAGGATGCCATATTGCGACCGCTCCTGCTGCTCGGCCTCCTGCTCGCGCTCCTCGGCTTCCTTCTTCTGCTGCTCCCTGTACACGCGCGCGGGGTCCTTGTACTTGCTGTCGTTCTCCGGGTCCGCCAGCCACAGCTCGTACGCTATGCGATTCGCCTCCTTCTCGGCCCAGGCTTCTGCCGCGCGCGCTTCGTCGATGGGAAACCTGTTGCGCAGCCACTCCAGCGCCTTGATGGCCTGGTCCCGGCTCACGTTGTATTTGTCGCCGAGGTTGTCGACGCCGTAGTCGGCGAGCGAGCCGGATGTACGGCGGTGGTGCAGGATGCGCAGCACGCTGTTGCCGGCATGGCCAGAGACTCTGTCGCCAAAGATGTTGCGTATCTGCTTGTCGGAGACGCGTCCGGTGGGCAGATGGCCAATCTGCACTGTGCGCTTCTGCTGCGGGAGGCCCTGCTGTGGCGGTATGATGTCCTGGTGGGTCAAGCTTGCATCGTCGGCTTTGGCAGCGATGCGAGGGGTCGTGCAGAAGGATCGGACCGGGCGAGGCGCGGCAGGCGACCGTATCGCGGAGAGGACAGGCGACGAGGCAGCCGGCGTGAAGGACGAGCACTGGGTGACACAGTATCTGCGGGCAAAGGCCGAGGTCACCGAGTTCCACTGGCGGGCAGCACGCGCTGCAGGCCGCAGAGCCAGCGGGATGGCATTGCTCATGGCGGGAGGAGGGCCGCAGTCGCGCTTCGTGACTGGGCTCGGGAAGCCTTATGCAATGGGGCAAGCGGCCATGCGTGGAGCAGATAGAGCTAGAGGCCAGACGGAAGTCATGCGATTGAGTGTCCTTCAAAAAGTTCGGAGGTGAGCACAGGCCTCAGCCCTGCTGCACCTCCCGCGTCGTCCCCGCCAGAACGCCCCAGAAACGCCCAAACCTTGAGCACGACCAGCAAGACTCCGCTAAGAGACCCAAGGAAAACACACGCTCGCATCTCTCACAGAAACCCTCCTGCCCCAGCAGCAGCTTTGTTGCTCTCCCACGTCTTGCGCCACCACGCGCCCGCCTTCTCCACCACTCTCCCAACGCCGCGCTTGCCATCCCGCGACTTCACGCTGTCCTGTTCCTCCAACCAGCCCAGCACCTTCTCACTTTCCCTGAACAGTACTTGTTGCTCTTCCTCCGCCTCCCACGCCGCCACCTCCCGAACCTCAATCCGCACCCCAAACAACCCCACCACACCCATGTCCGCCTCCGCAGGCCCCATATCGCCCGCGCGCTTCGCCGCCGCCCTCGAGTCCCTCTCCGTCTCCTCGCTCCACGCCAAAGCCGCCGAGCTGCGGAACAGCATCGCGCACCTGGAAAAGAGCAACGCCGAGCTGGAAGAATACGTCCAACAGGACCAGGACAAGGACCTTTACGAGGCAATACTGGAGAACCGGGAGGTGATCAAGCGGATGGAGGAGCGGATCGAGCTTGTGAAGAAGGAAGTGACCGAGGTGAGGTGTCTGCCGTGGGCGCCGGAAGAGGCAGGGGCGTCAGAACTCGGGGAGCGAGAGAGTGGTGGGGTGGGCAGGCCGACGAACGGGGTCATCAGCGGAGGCGACGGTGCTGTCGCGCCGGAACCGACGAATGGGGCTGGAACAGCGGGTGATGGCGAGGAAGAGGGTGTTTTCTTGTGAGAGCTTCGAGCTAGAGAAGATACTGACGGGCCTCTTACCGCCTGGGACTGCGCGAACGCGCAACGAGGTCGAGACTATATACCACACGCACACCAGATCCACCACCAACATCCGCCTGATCTTCATTAGCGGCATCCGCCGGACAATAGCCACGCGGACTGCACCCAGACACCATGCAGGTGGTATCCCGACTGCGACCTCTATCGAGCCATTACTGGTCGAGAACCCTCCAACTTTCCGACACAATGTATACACCCGACAGACGACTCCCTAAAGACCTCATGGTCTGATTCGTCGCATTGTCCGAAAATCGAATCAGCACCATGTGTGAGCGCGCGCAAAACATGACCGTCGGCGCACCCCGCTGTCATGTTTCCGGAGGTCAACCCACGCGGGTGACTACGAGACGCTCCATGGACGCCACCACCCCGAGGTCTCTCACTATCTGCGGAGATACCAGCGCCAGAGGATGTTTCCATGAAACTATTCGCTGCTTGGGTAGTGGCATGTAGGAGTTTTCAGCGTCGAAGAAGATGTAGGGACTCAATGGTAGCCTCACGTACAGTCTGGTGTAAGCACAAAATTGGATTCTAGTCCGTGTATCAGATCATGCTTCATTGTGGGTCGTATGATTGCCATGATTGGAGTGGATGTTGCATCTTCTTCTTGTGGCCTGGACTAATTCAGGCCGCTGGCTAGACTCGATGGAGGTGCTGCGATCGATGGCTTCTGGCATACGACCCAGATCGGTAATTTCTCGAGTAATCGTTCAGACGACGAATCGAAAAGCTTCTTCGCGGGAATCAGTCCTGAAAATGCAACAATCGCTATGGTATCAATGCACGCCCTCCCCTCCACCCAATCCTCCTCCTCATCCCATCTGCTTACACACACCTTACACACCCTACGACCCTGCACCTACACTCTCTCCACGCCCAGCCCCTTCCTCTTCACCGCCCTAACCCCCCTCAACGTCCCGCCCCTGCCCACCCCCCTCCCAACCTCACAAACCACAAACCTCACGAAATCCCTGTGCACCCAATAACTACTATGCGCCCCCAGCATAGTGATATACTCGATACTCAGCGCACCACCGCCGTATTTGAGGTAAAAGTCAATCTGCCCATTATCGTTGAGTGCATACGCGCGCTTCTCGGCAATGTCTTCTCGCGAAAAGTCGTGCGTCTCCAGCTCGACGTTTGACGGGAGGCGGAGCGTGGACGGGCGGTCTGCACCCGAGGGGCCGTTGTGCGGGTCTGCACGCGTGCGGAACGGGTTGGAGAAGGCGAAGAGTGAGGACGTAGCGCTGGGGATGGTGGTGGGGCGCAGGGTGGCGGCGTAGGCGGCGTCGACGGCAGCATTGAGCGTGTACGCGACGGGGTCGTAGCCATTGACGATATTATAGATGTTGTCCACAGCAATGCAGCCGTATGTGCCCTGTGCGCCTCCCACGCCCGGCGTCGCGTAGCTATCTGCACCGGGCTTGTGCTTGTCTGCGCGCGGGAGGAGAGTCGCGTTGCGGAGAAGGAGGAAGAAGCCGACGGGGCTACCGCAGACGAAGAGGTTGGTCGTGTTGAAGATGAAGGAGTCTTTGGGGATCTCGGATTCGGGACAGGCGGGGTCGGCGAAGCGTGGGTCGACGACGGTGGGCTGATCTGAGAGAATGTCCATCGCCATGACGGAGCCGAGGGAGTGCGCTATGATGTGGACACGGCCCCATTCGGAGAAGCCTGGGTTGTTCTGGCACCAGAGCCGGTAGATGCGGTTCGCTTCTTGGATGCAGGCTGACACCATCTTGGGGTGGTGTTCCTGGGATAGATAGTACGGCACGTCTAACATGACATCCGACACGATACCACGGACCGAAGTAAGCGTATTTGGCGTGATATCCTTGAGGTTATATTTATTAACGGCGGGGTCCTCGGCCTGAGCAGGACCAGTTGCTTCGGCCTCGAGCGAGATGCGGAGGCGCCAGTTGACCTAGGGTTCAGTTATGAGCATCGGCACTACAGAAAGACAAGACATTTACATACCGGCAGTATCATACATCCGCCCATGTCCTTTCGCAAATGCCTCTTCACGTCGCTATCCCCTAGTTCGACGTTCACTTCTCTCCTGAATGCGTTGATAGCATGTGTAAAATGAAACGTCTCCATTCGTTCCGATAGCTTCTGCCCAATACCGTGTATGACAAGTACTAGATCCGTAACCTGTGGCCGATCCGACAGCGCGAGAGCTGGATCGGATCTCTGCCGTTGAAAGGGCGGAGCACCAGACTGGGAACTCGAAACCCCGTGCTTAGCCTGTTGAGATGTTGCCGACTTCTTGGGAGGATACAATTTGTTCCATGCGGCCTGGTCAAATCCGCGTACGACATGAATACCTATAGGCCTTCCTTTGCGGATGTAGTTCGCCAGCGGTCGTCTGCCATAGTAATTCGAAGGTTGAAGCGCTGGCTTCAAGATATAAGCCTCCGTCTCGGATGCGTACATGACACCAGCAGAGCGGTATACGTTCTTGCGTCCACCGCGGCCGTATTCAGTGTCACCCGCCGCTTTATTATCTGGACCTTGAGGACCTGTAGAGATGTCAATCATGTCACACACGTGCTCCAACATGGCGCGGCGTTCCTTCTCAGCATCTGGAGTTTCCTCAGGCATAGTGCTCTGCGTCAGGCCTGGCGTAGGCAGCATTTGGTTAGCCGTAGACGGTCGACTGTCAACTTGTTTGTGCTTCTCGGGCCATAGTTTGTGTAGTATCTTCATCTCGCCCAAAGCACCCACTTCAATAGCGCTATTGAGCTCATCCTTCCACGTCTCCGTCCATGGTCTCAATTCCAAGTACCCAGCTTCCAGCATGTTCGCGACATCCACTTCTACCGGCATCATCGTGTCTTTGTAGAACCATGTCCCTCGCAGTACCTGGGCGATATCGTTGACGGGCTCCCAGTACGTGGGTTCCATGCGTATTGACTCGGCGTCCATGGCAACGTGATGCAGCCGTGACACGCCAACTGGTACCTTTGCCGATGGACCTGGCCCTGGCTTCTGCGGCCTGCGGCTCGTACCCTTGTCCTTGATGCCGGGTAAGGCAGGCTCCATCTCCTCATCCCAGTTGTAACTATCTGTCACCTGCGGCGCTGGAGGCCTGTGTTCCCCCAGTGAACCAGGAGCCTGTGCACTCGATGGATTCCCGCGTGCAGGCAGCCGGGTGAAGGGCATGCCAGTCGTCGCGGACTCGGCCCGCGGTGAGCCATCGTTGGGATCCAGTGCAAGCGCTCGCATTGAGCCGGGCAGTGTAGCTGCTTGCGGTCCGCTGCTCGAGCTCGGGCTGTTGTCCTCACCCACATCCGCAGAGCGTGAGTATCTGGCCATGCTCGAGGCACGGACAGACGGTATATCCTTTCCTTGCGGAGCTCCCAGTCGCTCTTCGCCTGATGCGCTTTCGCCCCGTTTCCGCTTCAACCGCATAACGGCGGGGTATGTAGGCGTGCCCGTGGTGGGCGTGGGTGGCCCGTCCACGCTCCTCCTCTTCTCGCCGAGCGCTTCATTATGCTTTAGGATCTTCTTGCGCAGATCTAGCCATGTTTCGTTTATCGCCTCGTTGTCGTACTCTGAGAATGGCCTCGGTGGCTGCCTACGCGTGGTTGAGGAGCCTGTTGCGGGCGGCGGCAGGGGCGAGAGTGGATCGTCTATAGCGAGTGGGGATGTATAGAAGTATCGCACGGGAATGGCGGGAGGCGCGTCGGTAGAGTGCAGGACCTCGCGAATGTACTGGGTTGCAACCGACGACATGGTCGTGGAGGACAGTGGGATGGAAGTATAGGGAATCTAAGGGAAGTGCCTATTTGGGTGACACCACTTCATGTTATGCTTCTGTCATAGAGTGGGTTAAAGTGCATCTTCATGTTGAGGGCTTTGTTACGATGTGGTAGCCTGATGTTGAGCGCGCGTTCTGTGGGAAACTCGAGCGACCCGTGCTTGAGCTCTGACGCAACACCTCCCGCTTGCACTTGCCTCGACGCCTGCCCATGTGACCGCCCAACGCGTAGGCCTAGCATACCACCAGTCCACGATAGTCCACACATGATGTGACGAGAATATTCTCAAGCCACTGTTCTAGTGCTCTACCTTCCTTCATGTCGGCTCAATTACTCGCATGACAAGACTTGAAGAAAAGAACTCTAACTCAAGGTTCGACCCAATTGTGACCTTCACGGTGACGGGCAAGACAAAGCTATGATGATCGTCTTACTTTCAAATCGTGTCAACTACATTATGTACAGTGTAATGAGTGATCCGCCCGTCATAATCGTGCCCGAGCCTTTGCCATTTTGGATCATTACAATTCGGACATTGTTCCCCCGAACGCCAACTCGCTCACAACTTAACCGAACAGCGCGTCGCCCAGACGGATAGACACCGTCTTAGTTTGCGTGTAGTTATCAAGAGCAGCCTCGCCCAGCTCGCGACCGATACCGGACTCCTTGAAGCCACCGAAGGGAAGCTGCCAGTGGAGAGTGTTGTAGGTGTTGACCCACACAGTTCCTGCGCGGAGCGCGTTTGAGACCTCGATTGCGGTGTTGAGGTTCTTGGTGTGGACGGCGGCGGCGAGACCGTAGGTGGTGTTGTTACCGATCTTGATGGCCTCTTCCTTGGTCTTGAACTTGGAGATGGTGCACACGGGGCCGAAGATCTCCTCCTGGACAATCTTCATGTCCTCAGTGACGTTGGAGAAGATGGTAGGCTCGATGAAGAAGCCCTTGTCGCCAATGCGCTTTCCACCAGTCTCAATAGTCGCACCTGCCTTCTTGCCGTCCTCAATATATCCCATGATGCGGTCGAACTGCAATTGGGAAACCTGAGGACCCTGGAAGGTCTCGTGCTTGAATGGGTCGCCGACAGCGTTCTTTTGCGCACGTTCCTTGAATTGCTGGATGAACTTGTCGTAGATGGATTCCTGGACGTAGATACGCGAGCCGGCACAGCAACATTGGCCGTGGTTGAAGTAGATACCGAAGTTGACCCATGAGATGGCGTTGTCGATGTCTGCATCCTCGAACACGATGTTGGGGCTCTTGCCTCCAAGCTCGAGGGTGACCTTCTTCAAGTTGGAACCAGCGGCAGCCTTCATAATTTGTCTGCCAACAACGGTCGAACCAGTGAAAGCAACCTTGTCAACATCCATGTGCGATGCAATGGCAGCACCGGCAATCTTTCCGAAACCGGAGATGATGTTGATGACACCTGGGGGGAAGCCAGCCTCCTTGATGAGTGTGGCGGCAACGAGGGCAGAGAGGGGGGTCTGCTCGGCGGTCTTGAGAACGACGGTGTTACCGCAAGCGACAGCAGGACCAATCTTCCATGACCACATGAGCAGAGGGAAGTTCCAGGGAATGATTTGACCGCAAACACCAATCTACCAGCATGTCAGGACTTTATCAACCCATTTAAACCAGGTGACTTACAGGCTCCTTCTTGATATAGTTGAAGGTGTCAGGCGTGGTGTCAACGACCTTGCCCTCGATCTTGTCGGCCCAGCCACCATAGTACTGTTCGAACGATTAGCGATGCGCTCGTGGTCACACTGCGGGTGTAACCTACCCTCAAACAACCTGCACAGGCAGCAACATCACCCTTGGCCATGCTGATGGCCTTGCCGTTGTCCAGCGACTCGACCGCGGCGAGCAAATCAGCGTTCTTCTCGAAGAGATCTGCGAGCTTCACGAGGAGCCGTCCACGGTTCTCGGGAGTCTCCTTTCTCCAGGGACCCTCGAATGCCTTGCGGGCGGCGGAAACGGCAAGGTCGACATCCTTCTCGGTGGCCTCGTGGATAGAGCAGATGACGCTCTCGTCGGTAGGGTTGATAACCTCGAAGGTCTTGCCATCGACACCTTTCACAAACTCGTTGTTGATGAAGCTACGCGAGCGATCTGTCAGCCATTGGACAATAAACATGAGAGAAAAGCAGAGTCGCGCAACAACAGTTAAGTGCCTCGGTCCAGAAGGAGCTACTTACAGGCCGGTGGGCTGCTCGTACTCGCCAGAGTGCGGCGTCTTAAGCTTGATGGACGTCATGTTTGCTCCTTTTTGTCCGAAACCAATTCAGGGGTATCAAGTAAAGAAGAAAGACGAAGCAAAAGGAGTTTCTTGGGAGTAGCAAGTGAGGGGTAAGCTCCTCTTTAAGTAGTTCCACTATGATAGCATCGAGCAGGCGCAGGCGCGGGCGCAGTCCCGCTCGCGGTGCCCAGAAGAGCACCGCGAGACAGAGCCAGAGCCTCGGCCATGAGGAGCCCCGTCGTCAGCACCCCATGCAGCCTATCGCTGTGGTCGTTGGGGAGGACGGTGGCGTTGACGCAACAACGGAGAGCTTCATGCCCCGCACTGCCCGCAATGTCGACCAGTTGAAAGCGCGACCCCTCCCCCACACCCAGCACTAAGCCGCACCTTTCCTGCTCCATTCTCGGGAACGTCCCGTGCATTTCAAATAGCATACTTTTATGCCAGGGATTTCGAAATCTGGGCCTACCAAGCACATAGAAGCCGCGCCCTGCCTTATTAATTACGTCTTGGGGTTCTGGTGATGAGTGAACACCCATTTTCGCAGTTGACATGATTGCTTCAAACCCTGGCCCTGCCTCATCTCAAAACACAAGCTAGATGCTCCTGTATCCACTGCGCTAGCAATTTCTTAAGATCCCTGCTATCTTCGGCTTCCATTTGAGCGAAAACCGGCCCGTGTGTAAGCTCCCTTCGGTGGCAAGATAGGCAGTAACAGACGCCATCGTGGCCCTCCATCTTAATGGCCTAGACAACTCAGTGTAGCATGCAGTGCGCGGACACGGCGCGTATGTTTCAATAATTCACAAGGCTCAGGTGAGCCGCTCACGTATGCGCCCATCCGAGCCACACAGAGTCGCCGGAGAAGCGTCGGATGGAAGCTCCATTAGTCCATGTGGGCATTCTTTCCAGAGCATCCGAAGCACGCACAATAGCCCAAAGCAACCTGTCTGGGGTAGCTGGCGCACTGGCGTGACTACTCCGCACCAAAGGAGCGAACGTAGACCTGGAGCGGCCGTATCCGGGGAACGTGGAGTGATCATGGTGCCGTTAGCGGATCCGGACCATTGAGGTGTCTACATAAGACGCATCCCGGGACACTAGCGCACCACTGACAGCTCACAGAGTCCTGGAATATCCTTATTGCGAGTCCAGTGCAAAGAGTAATGTGAACGAGGTTTTGTGGTGGCTTTGCCGCGTTTCGCCGGTATATAGCAAGGGTGGGATCATCTTGGGGTAAGACTGGACATTTGGAAACAAGGTACCAGAACGTCGATCCATGTGGTGACACGTGGGCATAGAGATAGCCGTGATAGCCATTCTTTTTTGTGGGCTACTTAGTCGATTCATTCATTGAGCAATCTGTGAAGCGACGATGGCCCTGCTGGATACTGTACATAACACACCTGCCTCTTACTGCTGAAAGAACACTTTCCGGATAACCGACGCTTGAAGATGAAGCAACTAGGAAATGCAATTTGTTTGAGTCCAAAGCCGAACCATTCCGAGATAAAACCGTGTTGATCGGATCCCATTACAAAACGAGAAAGAGAATTAATCCAAGTAAGTGAGTGGTCTTGGTCGGCGAGCTGCTCAAAGCATCTGGTCCTCCTCCATCGTATCGCCGCCAGCGGTCTGGGGTGCATCTCCATTCGTTACCATAGCGTCGTTGCCGCCCTCGGCAGCGGGGAAGTAATCCTCCATCTCGGCGTCAAGCTCCTCCTGTGTCTTCTTCTTGGTTCGCTCACGTCCACCTCGACCACCACGACCGCGCCCAGCAGCCCGGTCACCGCGTCCACGTCCACGCTCACGGCCTGCGGCAGGGGCAGCCTTGGCGGCAGTAGCGGGCTTAGGCTTGTCTGCCTTCTTTGGTTGACTGTAGACAATTAGTGTTAGGTACGTGCCTGCTTATGCGTTGTGGAATCCTTACGTGACGCGGTCGGCGAAAGATGATGGAGGCTGGGCGGCTACGGCGGCAGCGCTAATGAGCAGTTCAACTCGAATGGGCTTGCTGTCAATCTTGACGCCCTGGAGCGCGTTCGTGGCCTTGATGGCCTGCTCGGACTTGTTGAAGATGACCGTAGCGCTTCCCAGGCTCTTGCCGTTAGGTCCGTACTGAAGCAAGACCCTTCTGGGCTTGCCGACATTGACAACTGTGTTGAAGTATTCCTACAAGGCGCATTAGTTGTCGTCGCAGATGAGTAGTTGCGAACACGAAGAGCAAGTTGAGCGAGTCCGGATCGGCGTTTCGTTGTAGGCAGCGGTTCCTATTCCGAGGGAGAGGGGCGCGTGGCTCTTAAAGCAGATCGTACGCCCGATAGAACAGTGGACTTTTTCCTCAGCGAGGCGGCGGCGTTACTAGCAGGGAGCATTGTGTGCGAGAAGGGAGCCTATGCTATCGGTGTACGACAGTCTTGCTCGATGCGCTTGGCCTTCACCCGCAGGCACGCGCTACACCCTCTGTAATGCCACATAAGACTCGGTGCTTGCGGTCATGCAGTGCTGCTTTTCACAGCTAGCGATGCTGCTGTTTGCATTGCGTACGCGCTACCGGCCTCGCTGAAGTCGACTGTCACGACCAGAAATACTTTCTCGCTTTCGTCTTTGCGACACGTGCAGGTGTCGCATGCTGCGAAGTCGCTATACCTGTTGTGTTTGCCAGACACAAGTTCGGTATGACTTATTCATGCAAGCATGGCGTGGACAACCCGTCTTGAAAGTGGAGCACATTGCTCAGTTCATTGGACTCGCGTTCGCTCGCAGGTTCGACGGAAATGCAGGTTCAAAGACCTTCGATGGCCTCACATACCTTGAGTTGATTCTCCTCAACATCAAATGGCTAGGACGTATTAGTAGAGATCAAGCGAAGCCGAAATACTGGACATACAAGATTGGAGATCATGATCTTGGTCTCGCCGCCCGAAGGAGCAGCGGGGACAACGGGTGCAGCCTTGTTGGGCTTGGTCTGCCTGGTGGTCTTTCCGACACCTCCGATCGGGGCTTCGGTGGCGCGACCAGCGCCAGAGCGGCGGTTGCCACGGCCGCGACGGGCGTTGCCGCGGGTGGTCTTGAGGATGTCATCAAGAGAGGAGTTGAGCTTGTCGGCCATTGTGAAGGATGTGGAGTCGTGAACGACGATTTCTGATGTGCGTAGAGGCGGCTAGCGCGGGCTTCTCAGGCGAGGAGCAGATGAAGAGACGGGTGGCGATGAAGCGCGTCTGGGTTTGATGGGCGTACAGGTGAACAAAGCGCGACAACAGGCGGGCTTGTCGGTTGTTGACGCGTGATGATTCAATGATAAACCTCGTAGGCTGAGAAGTGAAGAGGCCAGGAGCGCGCTTTGGGTGGCGTTCCGGTAAGAGCGGCGTTGGAGATGAGGAGCTGGGGAGACGGCGATTGACGTGGCCGGCGAGAAAGAGGGTGGGTGTTGATGAGTGAAGGGCAGCTGCCTCTGCGCGCTGAGAAAGGAGCTGCGCGGGCGTGCTTGCGCTCAGCCCCCGGCTTGGCACCCCACGTCATTGGCTCACGCATCGAGGGCAGGCGTGGCCTGTGCATGGTGCCTGCCTGCCCGCAGCTTCGCAACCACGATAGCTCCTGCCTTGCGAGAGGGCACGAGGATGGAACGATAACGAAATGGCCGTGACTCCGGTGAGCTCCAACAACCACCCAGCCAGCTTCTAGCATGGCAGCGCTGACCCGGGCCCAGTGGCAGTTCAAGTTCTTCGACGTCTCGCAAGTCAAGCTCCCAGACGACGAGAGCTCATTCCTTTCGGAGGTATGAGACGATCACCACAACGACATACACTTGCTCACCCGCCATAGCCTGGAAATATCACATCTGCAGTCTCAGGTTCGGAAAGCATCTTCTTCGGCAGCGCAGATGGCGTCGTGCGCATCGTCTCGCAGGCCTTCAAGGTCGTGCGCTCGTTCAAGGCGCATGACACGGGCGCAATCACCCACATGAAGCAGGTCCAGGGCACTGCGCTGCTGGTAACCATTGCTGAGGATCTGTCCAACGAACCTGTTCTGAAGGTGTGGGCGTTGGACAAGCTAGAGAAGAAGACAGGCATCCCACGCTGCCAGAGCACGCTCTCGGTACACAATGGACGCAAGCAGTTTCCCATATCAGCATTTGCTGCATTAGATGACCTGTCCCAGCTAGCAGTGGGTTTCGCCAATGGCGCCGTAACTGTCGTACGGGGCGACCTCATTCACGATCGCGGCGCGCGACAACGGACCGTCTTTGAATCCGAGGAGCCCGTCACTGGTATAGAGTTCCGTGAAGGCCACATCACAACGTTGTATATCGCGACGACTAGTCGAATATTGACACTGGTAATATCCGGCAGAGGACAGGGGCAGCCAGCGAAATCACTAGATGACCACGGTTGTGGTGTGGGATGCATGGCAGTAGACAAGTCCACGCGCGATGTTGTCGTGGCGCGAAACGATGCCATCTATTACTATGGTCAGCATGGGAGAGGCGCGCCATACACTTATGAGGGCGAAAAGCAGATGATTACTATGTTCAAGGATTACGTGGTCCTCGTCTCGCCGCCCAAGTCGAATGTCATACCGCGTTCCAATCCTCTCAGAGCCCTTGGCATGGGCCCGGCTGATGACGTCTTTAACACTTCGAGTTTCACAATGCTCAATACTGAATTGAGATTCGTGGCGCATCAAGAGCAGATTTCGTCGCAAGTCAAGTTCCTCATTGCGGAATGGGGCGACCTGTTCGTGCTGACCATGGACGGCAAGGTACGTGTTCGGTCTCACGTTGAAGTGCAATCATTGATCAGACCTCAGATGTTCCGCTACCATGAGAAGCCGTTTGCTCAAAAGTTGGACATATTATATCAGAGGAACCTCTACGTTCTAGCCATCAACATGGCTCAGAAGGCCGGTCTCGACGCTTCGCAGCAGAACGTGATCCTACGAAAGTATGGAGATTACCTGTACCAGAAACAAGACTACGATACGGCAATGCAACAATACCTGAAAGCGATCGACAACACCGAGCCTTCACAGGTCATCCGGAAATTCCTGGACACGCAACGGATACATAACTTGATAGAATACCTCGAGGAATTGCACGATCACCACAAGGCTACATCAGATCACACTACACTTCTCCTGAACTGCTATGCAAAACTCAAGGATGTAGAAAAACTGGAGGAGTTTATCAAGTCCCCTGGCGATGATCTCAAATTCGATCTCGACACAGCAATCTCAATGTGCCGACAGGGAGGCTATTTTGACCAGGCCGCCTATCTAGCACGGAAACACGGTGAACATGAAATGGTCGTTGACATCCTGATTGAGGATTCGAGACGCTATGCGGAAGCGCTCGCCTATATCTGGCGACTAGAGCCCGAGGTAGCTTACTTTAACCTCATGAAGTACGCAACTGTGCAGTTAGAACAATGCTCAAAAGACACAACTCAGCTCTTCATCGATTACTACACCGGCAATTTTAGGCCAAAGAAGGATGCCATCGTTATACCTAACGCTCCCGCAACATCAGGCATGGGTATGGGTATGGGCTTGGGCGTTGCATCCAGCGCAGTGCAGAATCTTGCTGCACTTCTACCCCTTCCTTACATGAACACCAGCGCCGTCGCTTCGCCACCTTCGGGCGAGTCAAAATCGACATTGAGTCAAGCTCAAGTCATCGAGACTAGCACAGACGAGCCGCCTCCAGAGTACGAGATACCCAAACCCCGCACGGCGTTCTCCGCCTTCGTAGACCATCCCCAAGAGTTCATAATCTTCCTCGAGGCTTGCATCAAGTCCGAGAGTCTCCGCGAAGACGACAAGGTGGATCTCTACACTACCCTCTTCGAAATGTACCTCCATATTGCCTCTTCTAAGAAAGATGGGGAGCGAAAGGAATGGGAGAACAAGGCACGGAAGCTAGTAGAAGGCAACAACATCCCGATAGACACGTCGAACGTGCTCCTTCTCTCCCACCTCTCCAACTTCCGCGACGGGACCATACTCGTCCGCGAACAGCAAGGCCTCCACTTTGACATCTTCCGCTCCTACACCGCCGCCAACGACACCCAAGGCGCTATCCGTGCGCTCCGCAAGTACGGACCAGAAGAGCCCGCGCTCTACCCCGCCGCCCTCGCATACTTCACCTCCTCGCCCGAAATTCTCGCTGAAGCCGGCGACGAGCTCGATGCCGTGCTCAAGAAAATCGACGAAGACGGCCTCATGGCGCCGCTGCAGGTCATCCAGACGCTGTCCACCAACGGCGTCGCCACAATGGGTATGATTAAGACATACCTCTCCACGACCATCGAGCGCGAGCGCGCCGAGATTGCCACCAACCGCCGCACGATCGAGACCTTCCGGTCCGACACTGACGCGAAGAAAGCAGAATTGCAAAACCTCAACTCCAAGCCTGTCACGTTCCAGGCGACGCGCTGCAAAGTGTGCGACCGCCCGCTTGATTTGCCTGTTGTACACTTCATGTGCAAGCACAGCTTTCACCAGCGGTGTCTCAGTCTGGACGAGGATGTGGAAGACGAGAGCGTGGAGTGTCCGCTATGCAGTGGGCAGAATCAGACGGTGAGGGCAATTCGGAAAGCGCAGGTTGAGAGTGCCGAGAGGCATGATTTGTTCAAGGATGCGTTGAGAAGGAGCAAAGATGGGTTCGCGGTGGTTAGTGAGTGGTTTGGCCGTGGTGTTATGGGGGTAGGGACGGCCGAATGAGGGCGTCCTTGATACCTGGTGTTTCGATTTCTACCGTTCTTCAGAACGTAATCAGTTGATGCATGTATACAGTGCTAAAAGGAAATGGGCACAAGTACAACAAGCTTATGCGTTGTCTGTCCTGGAATAACTCATAGAACCTCATTACTTGCCAGGAGCTTTTGTGATCTTCCCTAAACGGTGCCACAATCCTCGTATGCCCCTTCGCAACCGCAATGCCAATAGCCGTCTGACACTCCCTACCCTCTAGCCCCGGATTCAACCCCCTGCCCAACAGCTTTTCAAATATCGCCGTAATCTCCGTCTTGTGATCACTGCTGTGTCTCGAGTTGTCCGTCCTTCCGGCTGTCACATGCATGAGATCTTCACCTCTGTTATTGAACACTCGGAAGCCTCTTCATGTCCGTTGTATGATCGTTTCCAGTATTCGTAGTTGGTTCATCCGTGTACCGGAGTCAGTCCATATGGATAGGTAATCACATCGGAACTGGGCCAACCTCCAAAGGGACTTCCAGTGATGTCGCGCTTGATACCGCTGCGCGCATCCGCTTCCGCACCGTGCTTGAGAAGAACTTTGACTACGTCAATGTGATAGTTGGATGCAGCGCAGTAGATCAGTGGAAATGTCGCCTGACGACAAGATGTCCTCGCTGTTCACAGGTCTTTCATCCATCCGAAAGCCTTCTGCCTCCATTACTGGTTGAACAGCGGCAGAAAGTTTCTCAAGTTCTTCAGAGCAACGGGACTCACACCTTTGGCCACTTGCTGTTTTACTACTTCTGCTGTACCCTCTTGAGCTGCATGATGGAGCAGTCTGAGTCCATACGGGTTATCCACATCGGGCTGAGCGCCGTGCTGTAAAAGTAAGCTCGTCACCTCTACGTGGCCTTCTTCTGCAGCATTAGACAATGTGGTGTGTCTATCGGGATATTCTTTATCCATGGGTGCACCATTCGAAATCAGGTGTTCAGCATAGGAATGCCAATTCTTGAAGCTTGCTACATGCAAGACTGTAATATTTCTGGGTAATAGCTTTGCCATTTAATGAGCAGCCAGACAGTAAAACCAGGCCGGTCGGGTTGCAAGCAGTTGTCGAGAGCTGAGTACATATTCATGGCCTTCGAGTCAGCCTTGGCCAAGCGGTGACCTACATTACCGATGACATATTGAAGAAGCGGGTGTATGAGACGTTGTCTCTGAACGATGGCTGCTTTCCTTCTGTCCTCGACTTCACCGCCATCTATAGTTTCGAGATCATCGACGCAGTCCCAAGAGTGACCATAGTTTTCTTATTCCTCGTCAGTGCTCCCTTCTGCGTCTTCGGAGTTGTTCCGTCATGCCCATAAAGCATCCTCGGGGACCTCAAACTCGTTCAGATACTTCAGCGATACAAGGACTGGCATTGGTTGCGCTTGTTCCTTGTCTAAAATGGGGAAGAACCATGCTCCGTCAACTCTTTTTGTGTCTCACAGAAACTCCGTGGGTGAATGGTGGATGACACCCATGCTCTCATCTTCCAGAATCTCCAGAAGACGACCACAGCTTTGCCGCACCAAGCTTTTACCATCCTCGAGGCCCATGCCAGTCTCTGAGCGGAGCATCATAACCAAACTTCCCAGCTCAATCAATCTCAAAGGACGGAAAAAATGGACGACACATTGTAGAATCATGGACTGATAATCCTGTGGAAAATCTGAGCAGCGGGAGTGCTTAGCAAGCATCTCGGTTACAGTTCGTTGAGGTTCCACCGCAAGCGCTCTAAGCTTGCCGGTAGAGTCTCTTCAACGATGGTCCCTTCGCGCAGACCACTGGTCATATTGTCTGTCATCAGTCTAGTATTCGCCGTAGATGCTGAGAAGACTGACTTTCCAGATCCTGGAACACCTTTGATCCAGAGGCAATTATTGCGCGGTTGTGCATTGTGTGGAAATGGAGACTTCTAGTCTTAAAAGACCATGACTAACTTCTCAACTTCTTCATCTGTGTTGACATGATCTCCGTGAGCTGATCTAAGGGCGAGTATCTGCTGATGAAGCGTAGAGATGGCGCTATTTCTAGATGCGGGCCGTGTGGGAAAAGCTAAGCTTCGCGCCTTCAACTCAGGTGACCATGTCGACGGTGCACTAGGTGTATACACAAGACATTCGAAGATGAGAATTTACGCAATATAACAGAGGTGAAAATTTAACAGTCGAAGAATCTGGGGTGCGCGACTAAAGGCCCCTGTTATGCCGATGCACCGAAGACGAACGCTGGTCTTGTTTGCTCGTATTCTTTCAGGTGTGGGTATGACTGGTGAGTCTTTCCGCAAGTCTGAAGGTTTGGCTTAATGTAGAGGACGCTCATTCAATGCAAATAACATAGCCCTCGTGCACGCGAAGGCGACCGCCTTTTTCTGTCAGTGTTTCTTCGCATGGATCTAGTTCGCCCCACTCTTTTCTCTCCACGGCCCACTGACTCCCTTGCTTCTGTCTGCTTTGTGGTTCGCGTCCTCCGCACTTGGCTCTTGTCGGAGTCTCTCAAACTCCTTGAACCCTTCGAAGTACTTCTTCCGAAAGTTATTCAACTCATCTGCTTTGACGCCCTTCTCGTATTCCTTCTTGACCGTTTCCAGCGCGCCCTCGGGTACTTCAGATTCAGCCCGCCTTCGATATGTCAAGAGTCTTCTCGACCATTTGTTGAAGGTCTGCACGCATACCGACACTATCTCCAGGCATGGATGCGTGGGGATGATCAGTTCCACGTCCTCGTCATTGGCTGTGGGCATCCACATGCTGAGCCTCCCATTCTCCACTAATGTTGAAACTGCGAACGCCAGGATATCATCTTGGATCGCGGTGAATGAATAAGGCTTCTTTGGAGGGATATATCCCGGGTCCTTGTAACGGTTTCCATGCGTTGCGCGTTCTTGCTCGTTGAGTATATCGCGCGAACCCAGAACTTTGAGACCTTCCCGGATGCCATAAGGCGGGTCGCAAACAATGCCGTCCAAGTATCCACCTCTGCTTGCAGAGTTGCTGTGTTGCAACAATCTGAAAGGCGTGTTTGTGAGATCGGACACGAAGGCTCCGAGGTACCTCGACTCTAGACCGTACTGTTTGAAATTGCCTTGAACGTCAAACTTGCCGGTTTGGCCTTTCCTCGCACTACCGCCCGTTCCGCGAATACTACGGCCGTCGATATCGCTGCCGCAGACCATCGCTCCAAAATGAGCGCATGCGATGGGAAAGCCGCCTGTTCCCATAAACGGATCGTAGAACAACTTGCCTGGAGCCGCAAGCGCCATGTTGGCTGTTACAAGCGCGAGCTCGGCGTCCATGGAAGTGGTACTGATATAGTGTCTCTTCTTCAGGTCGTATGTCGTCTTTGCATCACGGCCAGATGCAGCCACGAAACGGCCAAGGTACGCATACTTGGGCCCTGTTGCCTTTTCCTCGTACTCCTCAAACACTTTGAAAGATGCTTCGGCGTCCCGCATCCGGATTGGTCCTTTGAAGCCCATATAGGAGAATGATTCAATAATGTCGCGTTGTTGCGCGTTGTCCCGCGTTCCGCGAAAACAATCTAGAGTGAAGCGGAAGGGGGCTGATTCGTACTGCACCCATTTGGCACTGGAGATATCCTTCACAGACTCGTGTAGGGCATCATATGTTGCGCCTTGTCCCCAAAGTTCGTAAATACCTTGTGACAGCAGACTCCGCGAGATTACTGTTTTTGCAGCTGCATCCGAAGGCAGACGGACAATGCAGAAAGGAGACTGCTGTTGTCAGATCGTGCAAAACGGGAGGTCACAAGACCAACACCAAAAATTGTTGCAAGGTGCACTAACCTCTTCTTCGTATTTCACGAATTCTATAGACACTTCAGCAACATCTGCGAGGGCCTGGAGTTCCGCTTGGCGAAAACTCTCGTGCATCTGCACAAGTCGCACGAGGTAATTGGGCATTTTTGAGGACGCAAATTGATCGATCCGAATGGTAGTTTTGAAGACAGGTGCGCATGCGCTCAGTCAGGGACTGGCATATTGATTCAGCCTACTTTCGAAATAGGTAAGCGTACGAGGGGTTGTGAATGTAGAAGAGTCATGCGTAGGCAAAGTGCAAAATTGTGGGTCAAGCGGGTACGATGTCATTGGTCACTAATTTACGACACTGTGATTGGCCAAATTCATAGATTTAGGTTTGCATTCCAAAGGTACCATACGTGGATCCCGGAGTTGCTGATGAACAAGCTGGAGGTCGCTCGTGTGGGTCCCTGTAGGCGCCCGCAAGGGTAAGGGAGTGTTGGGGTGATCTGGTTGAGTCACGTGTGAACCGTGGCCCTGGATATCGTCGTCTCTCAATTCCAAAGGTACGATTTGAATAGATCATAGTTCTATAGCTACTTCCTCCACAACATCCTTACTTCCTCCACAACATCCTCAGAGGATCCAGTCGGTATGGCATTCACAAGTTCGACAATACAGCCTCCACTCCGGAAACCTACTCTCAGTTAGCGCACTGCCATAGTAAGCAAATAGAAGGGTAAACTCACCGTCACTTTGGTGGGGTCCTGTTCATTATCCGCATACTTCACCGTGCCATCTCGGTCAATGACCATAGCCCATCTTCCGTTCCGATCGCCCATTCCCGCATCCCATCCATGTTTCTTAGAGAATCCCGACTTGGTGTCGCCCATGAAGAGAATATCCGTACCCTCCACCCGATTAACTTTCCCCCATGCGCTCATTACCCATCCATCATTACTGGCAATCACGGCAACCTGGTCTACACCTTTGGCTTTGAGCTTGTCTAGCTGGTCGATGTAGGGAGGCAGATGATAGGCTTGACAGCTAGGTGTGAAGGCGCCAGGGACAGAGACGAGAACCACTCGCTTCCCTTTCCATTCGGAGGATGCGTTGAAATCTTGTGGGGTGCCAGCGAGTGTGGCGTCTTGGTTTTTGATGGGCACCCAGTCGAACACAACGTCCGAGGGGAACTTGTCACCGGGTTTGAGGGGGGCCATCGCTGCTGCTCAAGGAAAAAACCAATTGAAAGGTTGTGTTGTACTGGGTTCGGCGTCAAAGGAGGTTGAAAGTAATGGAAAATAGCATGTATGGATCCTGGCAGGGACTTCGCTAATTATGTACTTGGCTACTTCAGTCTTGACACTTTCTGGTAAGTTCCTGGATCAAATGTTTGTTTGTCTAGAACACATTATTGACGCCATTGCAACCGCCTGTTGACAAATGCGGGTATCACAAGTCTCACCCGGAAGCGGACCGTGATGAGGGGCACCCTCTTCAACCCCGGCCCGAAAAGGGATGCTGATAGGCATATGGCCGCAACTGGCTTGGCTAAGTATACCGAAACCTCATAGTATATCGGAGAATTTATTTTCTTGCAGGTGCGCTTACAATAACTGGGTCAAAGTATACTGTAACTTAGAAAGAGGAGAATGTAGAATTTTGGCCCGCACCTAACTCTACAGTACCACATATGATAGATATGCCTTTATAGGCATCTATTATAGTATTCCAGTAGATGTTTACATACGGGCTTGCCAGAAAGGGCTGGCTCCTTATTGTCGAATTCTGTGTGAATTGGAATATCCAGAGTCCCTCACGCAATCTATTAGCGGCGCGTGAAAACAACAGCACACGGACTTGATACTCGCGTCTACTATCATCTCTATAATATTAGAAAGGTAAAAGCGCCTTGAATCCATGTACCGGGATATTAGGACGGTCATGTATAAAATAATTCTAGGTCACAGTCGTTACTGTGCAACAACCGTCCCTAGTATGACCACATGACGAGCATAATGTATTGAGCGACATATTGTGAGGGCCGTCGCCGCAATTACCCTGTCTGGGTTAGCAAAGAGAATGAGGTTCAAGAAGGAGAAAACATACGCAATACCAGACCGTCTTTGGAGGAGGGCCATGTTGTAAGGGTGTCTCCTAGCGTTAGCAGCATCGGGCCCTTAGCAAATCTTTACATACAGGACCGCCGAGTACATATCCCATGTTAAGGGGCGCAGAAGGCAAAGAGCTGAAATAATCGGGTGGCTTTTTGAATACATCACCATGCTGAGGAAGTGTCTATCGAACATCAGCAGCAAAGGCCCGTATACGGCTCTTTACTTACACTGCAGCAGATCGCAGGATTGCGCAAATCCGAAGTCGCATGTGAAAAGCTATGATCGTCCTGTGGATGGAAATGTTGAGAGTCCAGCTTGCGATCAATAGTTTCAGAGGAGAGTGTCGCGGAGGACGATGTAGCCTGTTCTCAGCGCTCATTAGCGTGCCTTCTTGGGACATGGTTCAGAGGAATTTCAACCGTGGGTAATCTGAAAAGTGAACGAAGAGTGCGCGAAGACATCCTCGGATACTGTTCGTGGCCCAGAATCTGGTCCGCGTATATTCCATCAAGGTCGCAAGCTCTTCATGTTTTCCGACGCGGGAACCCAACGGCTGAACGGCGCTTGCCTAATTAGGTATACGCGACTCTATCTGTCGGCCTCAGGCATCAAATACCTCAGCCTGACTCCTTTCCCACATATGGTATTACTTTGCCCTGTTTCAGCCTCGCATTAAAATCAATACCTAAGCGAGAAATATGGACAGCGGGCCGCATTATCGCGGGGCGCATAGGCTACACGCCTACATCCTGCCCGGTGCTGTTCCTCAAAGCATAGACGATGGCTCTGAAGCCGAGCCGTTCCCGCTCACACCATATTGATGATCCATGGGACAAATTCGGTGTGCGCAACGATCAGGCTCACGACGCCGAAGACTGGCGGCTCTGTACTTCACAGCACAATGTTTCTGAGATCATCAGGAGATTCATGGAGCGCGGATACACCAGATTGACTGGACCAATACCTCACCAACGACGAGTGTTAAGAGAGTTCCTCGAAGAGCTTGTCTTCAGGCTGCCGAGCGGACCTACCCGTTCTATTGACATTGATATCCGACATCCAGTCTTCGGTACAGGCATTGCTGGTCTCCTGGTAGATTGTCACGACCATACACGGTGTAAAAACATAACTGGAAGTACATGTACAGATGACATCTCTTATTCGGGCAATCTATCCACTTCGAAGCTTTACGAAAATCTCCATAAACAGGTAATAGTATCTTTCGATAATCAGGCACGGTGGCACTCATCCTTCTATAGCGAAATAGCTTAGCTCGTAGAGCTGAAAGACGGATTATGTACGTTAGCTTCCCAGAGACTCGCCTGTTCACTGACATGTTCAGATTCCTTCCGGATTTGAGCCCAGCTACCGCGCTCGTGTTGGCTTCCTCCGTTGCTCTTAGATCCACCATACCTGTACGAAATACGATGCATCGATATCTGACCCGAGAGTGCATTTTTTCGGCTACGACGGTAAGTTCGCACCAGACACTACCCTTTCTGCACGAGTTGCCCACGCATTTTTGACGACATGTGCGACTTCTATGTTAATATGGCCCATGCTCCTACGATTTTTAAGGACGAGTGTTGACCTCTACTAGACGTGGGGTTTCTTTTTCGAGTTCCACTTACCATACTATGCGATGCGCGTTGGAAGGACTGAAGATCATCGTACGATTGCTGGGAAGCGTCTGCGAAAGTCCGAGGTTCTTCCTCTTCAATGTGAATCGAAAGATCCCGACGACCTTTTTTACCATGAAGCTCAGATATCATCCCTTTGTTGGGGACCTGACGAGTCTTTCTGGACAGAGATATTTTTTGTGGAGACCTTCTTTGGCTCGGAGCTCCATTATGATAAGTATCTCAATCCGATCCAGGATCCAGAGACCAATCTTACACTTCGCTTGGATCCTCCGACATTATCATATGACCCCACTTTGTCTTCGGATCCGAGAGAATATTGGTTGAAACAGCTTGAAGTAAGATTATCGCAGGTGGTGTATGTGACCCCCGAGTGCGAAGTTCCTACATCCTGAGCATACGTACCTCCTTATCTCTCCCCTTCCTTGCGTCTTATACTGATTTTGTGCCCATCATAATAGTCAGGAGTATACAGCATTGATTGGGACTTTCAGCAAGCGCATGGAGACGTATGTAAGTCGATCCCTGATCAATTAGCATGCCACTATGGAGCTGCACACCCACCTAGGTAGAATTGAGGCGATCACACTCGACTGGCAGACGCCATTTGACTGGAACGAGATTGCTCACGATTGATAGGTGCGAACTCCTGGATTCATGTCCGATCGGAGCGGGCATACGCAAACTCTAAGTGATGTGCTTGAGACGATTCAAAACTTCAGCGACTCCATCGGTAGTACAATAGACGCGTGGGAATCGTTTCGGAAGACCCAGATTTCGCTCTTTGTACTAGAGGGACGCCGCAATGACGCAAAAAAGCCTGCTTACTCACGACTCCTTGGCAGTATAATTCAAAGTATAGAGGAGCTTGAGAGGTTGCGCGGTTTCTTGCTCACTCAAAGAGCAAAGTTCAAATCCAGGATTGAAAATGTACGTCCTAAGAAGACATGCCCGGCTACTTTTCTGGAGTGTAGGTGCTAAACCACCCGGCAGTTTCACACAGTTTCCAGCCTCAGCCAGACCGAGACGGCAATAACGCAGGGTGAAAACATCCGGATACTTACCCAGATGACGGTAGTAAGTTTCTCCGGACGAACGTCAGATACTTGCACGCTGAATAACGGCCATCTCAGTACGTAGCATTCCCACTGCTCTTCACCGCCGCCATCTTCAGCATGGACTTTGTCAAGCCCAAGAACGACAGCCTAGCTTGGGGACTCTTCTTTACAGTCTTCGTTGTGACATCTGTCTTGAATGGTACAATAGCATGGCTTCTCCATAGGTCGCTCATTCAAAAGGCGGTCAGGAAGCTTCTCGGTCTGGGCTGAAATTTGCTCAGTACGCTTCTTGGGCTCACAAAATCCGTTCACCAAAGCCTTGGACAGGATATTGAGATTTTTTAACATACTTGTTGCATGGATCGGGAGATCATCCAACAAACTATTCGAATGGTGGAAATCGCTCTGATAGTCACAATGACGGTTCTGGGAGTTAATGCCATTTAAATTTTGCGGTAAAGCGTTTCTTCTCGACTTAGCGTCGCTTCTTCCGTGTTCTCCATCGTACAATAAACATACACATTAATAAGCCAAGACGTCAAAAATCTATAATGCTCTCAAGAAACATCGATGCAAGCCGCAAATGGATATGCAATGCCAAAATGTCCCACGAACTGCCGCATATCCTCCTTCCAGCTCCATGGCCAGTCCAATTTCGAACTAGTATCTTTCTGCGTCTTCTTACCAATCCAGGCAAGCGGGGGGAAGCGCCATCTTGGGAACCTTTCAGGAAACGTTTTCTCATGCGCCAATGACAGGACTGATGATGCTTCGATTTCGCCTGATCAGGGTCACGCCGCTCCCTTCCGGAATAATCAGAGTAATCACGCGTCGTCCTGGGACGATCAGGGAGCTGCTTCCTCTATATCCGCTGTGGCCGCTCAACAATGTCGTGCCACATTCTGTTAGCCACGTCTTCCTTCGACCACTCTTGCAGGGACGTTCGTCGATGGCGCGCATACTATGCTCTGCTACGGTTACTGAGTGTAACGGGGCATATGTGCTATACTTCAGTCTTACTGATGAGAGGGATGGAGTTTTCAGCAGAAGAAGGGACTTTCTCATCAGAATGGGTGGCCATCGAGGTACTGGCTCGGAAATTCCAGGGCGTGGAGAGCGATGACGATACTGAGGTAACTAATTGCGCTGGGGACTGGAGATGGGGTCCCGCTGGTTGTACTGGACCCTGAGCGTCGTCCGCGGATTTGGTGACGTCTGTAGCTCTGGGTGTCGCAGTATCGATGGATTCCGTTGACTCGGCGTATAGCGAGCTTCCTCTGAAGCTCGATTGTAGATAGGAAGATGACAGAAGGGAAGGTTCCCTAGGTTTGAACGTTCGGGTGCCCTTCAAAGGATGACTCTGTCCCAAGTTGGCTTGATGCCTGCGAGAGGGAACTCGAGCGGCAGACTTGTTAGTAGGGTTGCCATCTTCTGAAGATAGACTGTCTCCCGTAGGCTTGGATCCTGCTGAAGCCAAGACTTCATGTGCAGCTTTGACTTCTCTTGCCACAAGAGAGACGGCCGATTCAGACTCTCAGGTTGATGCAAGCTTCACGATCTTCACGGGTTTCCACCTGTTTCTCCTCATCATTCGCGGTCTCAAGCGCCGTGGAAGACTTTGCTTTTTCGTCCGTCGTGTAGCGCGATCCTCCGGCACCTCCAGTATCCTAAGCGATAACTCGATGACGACTTTCTCGGTGTCAAATGATTCTGCCTCGGTGATAAGCCTCGGCATGGCCAGCTCCAGCTTCATAGGAAGTAATGTACTAGGCTGCTCTTCCTTCGGCTGCTCGTCTATGCGCTCCCTATAAATTGGCTCATCTGGACACGATCTTGACCGAGAATGGGCTCTTCGGCGAATAGACGATAGATGTATCTGGAGACTAGCCCACTGCGTAAAGCGCTTGATGCTCTGTTCGTCCTCTCGAGTTAGGCTCACAACTAGTCTCCTCAGGCATTCCAATCTCTTGTGGCTGCACTTCTATGAAGCCATCCTTTGCCTCATTTTCCTGCTCTTGCTCCTGTTACAGTTCTACCGTTTCCGGCGTTCCCCGCAAGATAGCTCGTCTTTTGATTCGCGTGTTTCTTGACCTTCATGTTGCGCTTCCATTACAGTCTTTTCTCCTCGGGCTTCTCCAGAATCAACTCTTCCCTTTCTATTTTCTCTTTTCTCTCGTGTTTCTTGCATTGAATATCGTCCAATATCTCTCTGCTGTAATCGTGATTAATCAGTGTCGGCAGCGTTGCAGACTCGGGTGCCAGAGTGACTGAAAGTTCGATTGCAGATCTAGGTATAGGATGAGTGGAAGTATCGGGTGTAGAATCGACTATTGAAGCAGTCATAGACTTGGTTGCAGGGTCGATTGCAGAAGCAGTGACAGACCTGACCGTAGGATCAGCTGTGGAAGTGGTTGATACTGCCGCATGTTCAAGGCTTGGTTTCATTGCCTCCGCAAGCTGGTGTAGGTCTTTTTCGAATCGTAACTTCTTCAACACTCCCTGCACAACGGACAAGCTATTGTTGGAATCCACATACACGGCACCGATGATCGCCTCAAGGGTTTCGGCAATTAGGTGTCTTGGAACCGGGTTTGCTCCATTTCGTATTATAAGCGTGTCGTCGATACCCAGCAGCGTGGCCCTAAGACCCAGGGACGCTCGTGATTCGAGTTTTGCCATTGCGGTACCATAGGCCGAGGTTGGCAATTTAGCATCCCACCATAAGGCAGTCATCCCTAGCGCCAGTACACGATCGCCTAATAGAGCGAGTCTCCGGTTATTCGCGATGGGCGTAATGACCCCTTGCCAGTACAATGGTATGTCGACCATGGAACCTTTGAGGGCTTCTATGCAGAGCTTTTTGTTCTGAAACCTGTACCCAATGATATTCTCAACGCGGACAACTCGCGTGGCTGCGTCAAAGAGGTCTTGGTGTATCATTGGGGGCGGTCGATAGAATTGTAACGGGTCTGGGGACATGTTGAAGAAGAGGTTATCTCGCCGCGTGAAGAATTTTGAGAGGCGATCAAGATGCTCGGTTCGGCCATGGAAGCTATTTCGCCGGGAAGGACTGGCCTTCCAGAAGAATTGAGACAGATGTTCTTTTACACTAAGAATTCGGCTTTTGGTAGCGTTCTTCACAACCCATGACCTCCCGGAATGCTGGAATGGAGTGGGCTGTGGATTTGTTCCTGCATCCGGGGATAGCCCCATAAGGGAGTATATGAATGCTTTTACCGCTCCTGGGTTTGGTGAGGGTAGACTGGCTGCTTGCTGGAATAACCTCATTGGTTGTGCTTGTCGTGCTTCGAACGCCGAACTATCATTCAATAAGTTCTGGGCCTTTCCATATCCGTCATCGTCGTCAGATATTCGACCATGGAGAAGCCCGAGATTCCTACGGACCTCCATATGATTCTGATCCAGCTGTTGGAATTGGGCCGTTGGACTCAGTTTGCGATACGACTCGAGGCCTTTTGCTTGGTTCACAGTCAACAAACCTGCCATTATGCATTCACGAGCCCTGACAAGCCATGCAAGTTCATTCCTTTCGCTGTGCGAGAGAGATCTGCCCCTGATCGCCTTGAGATTCTTGGCCTTCTTCTTATAATTGGAGAGTTTTTTCTTGTCCTGCACGCCGAGCACTGGACGATATGCGGATTGTGTGACAGTGACAAGACGCCCCATCCTGAAAATAACAACCCAATCAAAAGCTGTGGCTATACATCGTCAAGACAGAATCTGTCATGTGTTAGATTTCGTGGTCCACCGGAGAGCTAGCGGTACAAACGTCATCCGAAGTCGCACTGTTCATCTGAACGAACAACACGATGTAAGCATTCCGTGCTGTGAATCTATCTGCTAGACAAAGCTCGGGATCGTACTTCTGTGGATAGATGCATTGGTGAAAGGAGATGCCGCTGGTGTTCGAACATTATCCGTGACTTTTTGCACGCCACAAGCACGGGCCATTTACTGGACACCGTCCGTAGCCGCCAGCCATAGCACACAGCGCTCAGCCCTCACAGGACATAGGAAAGACGACATCTATACGCTTCATAGTCTGATTTTGAGTGAAGTGTAACCTATACGACAAATTGGCACCATTCACAGTTCCCATCCGATCACAAGAACACATGCAAGAACCTTGATGTCCAGGCAACTCCCAAAGAAATTAACTACCGGTAAGCCATCTGTAGATCTTCGCGAGCTTTTGTAGGCCATGGCAAAACGTAGTACATAAACTCTGTTAGGTGCCAAAACACATAGATTCCAAACGGCAGCATTGACTCAGTACTCGGTCCAGTGCGTCTTCCATACTAACAAACCACACATCAGACCCCAGCCAAATGCATTCTTCACGATAACCGCCCACATATTAACAAGCAGACACTTCATATTACCTTCTCCAATGAACACGCTTGTACCTAGAAGGCGCAGCGCAGAAAGTCTCTCAGACCACAGCGCCTCGCAGCACCATACACCATGGGCAACATGGCATCCTCAGCAAAAGGTGAAAGAACGCACTCATCCAGTAAACACAGCCTTAATAAATAATATGCAAATGGGAATCTAAATCGGCACGTCCCTGCACCTGCAAAAGATAGCCGTGCATTGCCCTCCCACGTTCAATATCCACATCCACCACTACCCATCTACGATAGATACACAGACCCCGTCCTAGCCTCTGCCACACGTCTAGCACTTGAGCGAGTACTTCGTCTTGCGGTCGCTCGTCATAGCGCCCCAGGTCGTCTCGTCTGCGACATTGCCGTTATCACCAACAGACGCCGGCTTCCAGGGCTCGTCGAAAGCCTCGAAGAAGAAGGCGTTGAAGCCCCAGTCGAGCAGCGCGCAGAAGCCCGTGTGGTAGAAGTTCTTCGCGTTGTCGAGGCCGCCCTTGGCGGCGCCGTAGTCGGTGCCATCTGCGGACTTCAGTCAGTAGCGGTACAATACAGCGTGTAGGTAGGAGACGCACCAGCAGTAGGCCACCCCGTCTCGCCGTTCCAGATCTCGATCTTGTCACTTCCGCCAACCTTCTCCTCAATATGGCTGATGGCCTGGAACATGTCGTTGAGGTACACGTGGGTAGCGTTATCGCCGCCCGCGCCCTGCCAGAACGCAAACGCGTTGATCATGAGGATGTCGACAGAGGGCAGGATCGCATCGGCGGTGCCATCGAAGAATTTGTTCCACGAGTCCGCAGTGCCGATCTTGATGTTATCCGGAAGCTTGCTTTTTACTGTGTCTATTTTGGCCTTGAGCTCCGAGCCTGTGAAGTTGCCGCGGTACAGCGTCTCGGAGCCGACGGTCACGGCGTAGATGGTGTCCTTGTACTTGTCTGCGACGGCGGTGATGGCGTTGAGGTCGTTGTTAAAGGACTCTTCAACGTCGGGCCTGCAGGTATAGTGTCAGCACAATTTCCAACGACGTAGGGCGGACATAAAGGAGGTAAGGAAGCGTACCAGATTCCGAGCACGACCTTGAAGCCCTTCTTCTCGGCTGCAGGCAGGATCGCCTTCGTCATGTTGCAGTCGGCCGCCGCGTATCCACGCACAATCGTCGCGCCGGACGCCTCCTTGATGGCGTCGAAGTCGGCCTCGTAGTCACTCTGCGTCTTGCAGTCGCCGTTGGCTTCTTTTGTGCCGAGCGCAAAGCCCATGGTGCCTTTTGCGGCGGAAACAACGGCGGGCGCCGCTGCGAGAGCGACCGCTGCGGCAGTGCAGAAACGCATCTTCGGTCGCTTTGAGAGGGTGTTCGAGGGAGTCGAGGAGCGGTTTCGGTGTAGGGAGCGTTGGTTGAGTGCGCAAAGAGAGTGACTGAAGGTTAGGAGAAATGACAAACGCGAGTGTGCAAAGAACGACTGTACAACAGAATGTACAAGAAGGTGTGGAGTGAGCAGAGACGGGGTGCGGCGCGACGTTGGAGATGAAGGGGCCGCAACGGTGATCCTAACTCAGCTAGCCCCTGCTTGGTGCAGTGTGGCGCATCGGTCGCCTTGCGGCAGCGTCCTGGGCACGGTAAGCTCTCGGAGACTTGCAACATGTGCTGTTCCTCAAAGGAGACGATGGTCTGTTAACATGTTCACTCCGTGACTGTTGTTGTATGTCTCCTAACAGCACATTACTACATGTTCCCCAGCATCATCAACGGGTCGCGCCAGGACCCAAACAAAACGCAGGGAAGGGAAACATGTCACAAAGAAAAATTACAGTAAAGCAAAGCATCGAATTCTGCGCATCTAGGTCGCGCAAGTTAACGTGACGCTCGGGTCTACCCAATAGCGTTCCCCAGCTTTGCATCGACGCCGCAACTCTGCAGGTATGAACCAATTAGCGCACACTCCCGTCACTATATTTTTAGCGCCAGGAACGCCAAGTCCGTTGAAACGAACACAACCACGAGGCCTTTCACTCCACCTCAACACAGCTCAGGACGACCCTCAACACCAAAACGCCTCATAATGCATAGATTCGCTCGTGAAGCTGCACTCCCGTCCCGCGCCGAATGTTCCTAAGAATTCGAAAGCTTAAACGGGTGCGCCTCAGTGTTCAGCACATAGTCGTCCAGACTGATGAGATCTGCATGCGCAAACACCAGATAGAAGTACTTCAAGGTCTCCGCCAGCCAGAAGCTCTCCATGTAGTCTGTTTGTTTCGATCCGATGGTGTTCACATCCTCGATCGCCGCATTGGCATACTCGGTATCAGTTGCGTTGGCCACGGCCAGGAACATGTCCCAAGCCGCGTCTCTGTACTCCTCTTGTCCAGTGATCCGCCAAAGTATGAAAACGCTCTCGATGGCCTCAGGGCGGAGGATATAGCGCGGGTCTTTTGCCGTTGTGAAGCCTTTGGGCAGTCCCTCACGGTGTTGGGTCCGCTTTCCGCATTCAGCGACGTACAGATCTTCATCCCACTTGCAGGCTGTCTTTGGGTCCGAACCAGGGCATTTGACCATGTTGTATCGCTCTGGCATGATACCGGTTGGGAAGGATTTGTAGGCGTATATGCAGCCGCGTGTGAGCTTTGCACCAGCGTCTAGGTAGGTAGCGTTATTGAAGAGACGACCGCCGAGAGCATATAGACCGCCAATGAAACAGGAAAGGTGCTCGCTTTCAGGGTCCAGGCTGGGACCATCTTCGAGAACGTCGCAATTGCCCGAGATGAGGATGTCTTCTTGGGTTGGGGTCATGGGTCGGAAGAAGAGATTGTCTATTGCGGTGTCCATAAAGGTACGGGCCATAACTTCATACTTGCGCGAACTTGCGTCTGCAGAGCCGAGGAGGGCATGCGCCTTGGGCAGGTATTCGTACATGGAGTCTGCGTTCCCACCGATCGTGAACTGGTAGCCAGAGATCGCATCTTCGTTGACCATGGAGACCATCATCGGCCACATTCCCGGAAGCTTGGTCTTGTTCTGCTGCTCGTAGAACATGTCCATAACGTGGGAGACTGCCGCGTAGTACTTGTTGTCGCCAGTGATCTGGCTCAGCCGGCTGAACTCCAGCGTAATCGTACCTGGCGATGCACTGACCACAGACCTTTCAACTACTAATCCGCTGCCTTCTTTGGCGTCTTCGAAGGATATGAAATCCACTGGCATCTTGTTCTTCGTGTTGAAGCCTGCGTACAACAAGTCTCCAACCTCGATGGCCTTTTCTTTGAGTACCTCATGCCCGCTCAAATCGTAAGCCGCAAGCAGGCCTCCCAAGTATCGTATATTCGTCTCGAACGTGTTCACCCTACCAGAAGTGCTATATCCAAAGTCAATTGTCGCCACAGCCTCTACGGCGTCGTAGAAATCGTCTCTTAAGCCCATCATCCACAGCGTGTCCAGACTGTCCACCAGCGTTGCAGCCCAGCCACTGAACTGATCCACAAAGCTCCCGCTCAGCGGCTTCAGCGCGTCTTTCATCCACGCCTTGCTCTTGTAACTCGTCCATGCCTTTTTGAACACGCGTAGCACCTCCTGTCTTCTTCGCTCTTGTTCGGCAGCAACACTCCGCGATTCGGGCCGGAACTCATGCTGTATGCGAGGGCGCTTCGGAGCGGGTGGAGGGAGCTTCGGGGTGAGCTCAGGTGGGTACTTGAACTGGACGGTGTTCCAGCTGAAGGTGCTTTGGCTGGCTTCGATGTGCGGGATTCGCTTCGGATCGTTCATATATCGTGCCAGCTCCGCAGTGCCTGCGTTAGGTGCGTCGCGGGGCTGGACATGACGGCGTATCGCGAGCTCTTCTTCGGGGAGCATGTACCAAAGGAATACGAGCAGGAACGTGCAAAAGGCGACGTGTCGTGTTCGGAAGCGCGCCATGGTGGCTACTCAGGTGTCGCGACGTGGAGAAGGGTACAACGAAGTCCCTATCATATCTGCTTGGAGGTGCGGCATTGGCTGGAAAGCGATGCAACAGATGGAGCTGAGCATGGTGTGGTTGTTCCGTGCCGTGGGCATGGGGTGCCTTGCATCGTGGCTGTCATGCAGGGTCCACGCTAGGCCGAAGCGGAAGGTACTTCGCGCCACTCTGCAAACCCTCAATCGCACCTCTATATTGATGGTCTTTAATCCATGCCACGAGCGCAAGTGTCTTCTTCTTGAACGATGCGTTGCTCTGGGGTGGCCTATTACAGCAATCACCGACCACGATACAAGCTCACAAACCCAAATACTTTCGATCGTTCAGATGTCAAGGCTGGCAACAAATAGAAATTAATGCAGTGTCCAGTACACAGTTGGTATCAAATGCTCTCCTCTATCCCAATTTTAGTATCCAGTCCATGCTCGAACGCTCAAAATTAATTACTCCGCGACCTCCATCCTACTGTCGGCTCTTCGTCTTAGTGAGTCCGTCTTTCAGACTCGCGCCCCTCGGCCGCTTAAAGCTCTCCCGTGTGTTGATACGGTCAATCTCGTACGGGTTACCATCGTACTCCGCCTCCTTGACCGTCCGCACGCTACGTCTCGACCTCGTGCTCCTGCCGGTGTGGACCTTCTCCAAGGCAGCACCGTCAGTAGTCTCCTTTGCCGTGCGCATCTCCTCGAATTGCGGGCCCACGGGCTTCTCGTCTTCGAAGGAGTAGTCGACGGCTTCCTGTTCAGCATTTTGCTCGGCCTGTACGGAGGCGGTGCGCGAGCTGTCGGAGTCCTCGGGCGTGTCTTGTCGTCGGACAGCTGAAGTTCGAAGCTTCTCCATGAAGGCTTCCGACTGCGCGGCGTACTTGCACTTCTTGCGGATAGCGGTGCCGTACTTGTAGAAGAGGAAGGGAAAGGGAAGGCAGGCTAGGGCAAGGAAGGCGGGAATTGAAGACGCCCAGTGGATGCCCAAGCGACTGTACATTTGGGAGGTAAACAAAGGAAAGGCAGCACCAAATACCGAGCGGATGATGCCGTTACCCGCCAGTACGGAGGCCGCGAAGATGGTATAGGCATCGATCAAATAGTTCATGATGCTTAAGAAGATGAGAACCATTCCGAAGCCGAAGGGAATGCCTGCCGCGACGGAAGCAGCCCATGGCAGGGAGGGAGAGTTGGTCCAGGCGAACCAGAAGAGGCCAATTGGCAGGGCAATTCCTCCGATAATGGCGGTAGGCAGTCGGTCCTCAGGAGTTGCGAATCCATTCGCAGATTTCTCTGCGCACCGAACGTAGCGCTTGTTGTCGTATACGATAGTGTAGGTGACGGCTGCGATCATGCCAATAGCAACGCCCGCAAAAGGGAGTCCACTGATTCCCTCATTCCACCCACGCCCAAGACGGTAGACAATCGGGTAAGCGCCGAAGAGCATGTACAAAGTTCCGTAGATGATTGCCATGTACAGACTCAGGAGGAAGACGATGGGCTCAGTGAACAGCAGGATCCAGGGACGCTTCAGTCCGGTCGAGAAGGCCTCTCCGAGCGTGATCTTACCCTGGTCGATATCACCTCTTGACATGTACACCTTTCCAGTCATCTTTGACAAAGTCTGCGCACGCTTACGGAGTAGGACCGGTGGGTACGTTTCGGGAACACACAGGATGGCGATGAAGAAGACGATTCCGGAGAAAATGGCCATGAGCCCCTCCACCCATCTCCATCCTTCAGTCATCCCAAGGAATCCGCCAACGATCGGACCGAGGACAGGACCCATGAATGGCGCGACAGAGAAGATGGACATCGCCAGACCGCGCTCTTTCGCTGCAAACAAATCGGCGACAACACCTCCAGCGTTCGTAAGCGGCGATGATCCGAAGGCACCGCTGAAGAATCGGAGGATAAGGAGAGTCCAGATGTTCTTCGATCCAGCAGCACCGGCATTGAACGCCACGAAGGCTAGAAACGTGCCGAAGAACACTATCTGGCGACCGTACAGTTCACTGAAGGGCGCCCAGAGCAATGGGCCGAGTGCGAAACCTAGAACGAATAGGGAAATGCCGAGCGTGACGACTTCCTGGGAAACATCGAACTCCATAAGTATCTGTCGTACACCTGTTCGTTGTTAGCTTTGTCCTCATTAACAGAACAGCACCGAACTGACCTCCACTGAACGCTGACGAGCAGAACGACACCGTCAACGTCGCAAATGCCATGCAAACACATCCGACCCACTTCTTCGTCGTACTCCAAGTCATCGGATTCCGGGGATCATTCTCTATCCATTCCACAACGTAAGGGTCTTCCTCGGTGCCCGCGCCTTCATATTCCCAGTTCACAATCTCATCGGTGACCACGCCCTGCTCGAGGATAAGTTTCATATGGGGGATGCCCTGACGGCCAGACTCAGGGTCCATGCCAGCCTTCTCTTCACCCATTGCGCAAAAGATCGCTCGATCGATGAGCTATTAAAAAAGTAAGGTATACAAGGGAGGGTACGAAGATCTGGAGAATGCAGGTGCGCTCCGAGGAGTAGAGACGACTCGGTTATGTATACTATTAAAAGCCTTGCCCTACGGACCAGAATTCTCGAACCTGCGCGGCTCCACCAGTATCTATCTGCCTGGAAACCGCCCCTTGCGCCCTACCACACGCGTTGCCCAACCCACCGCACAATGACACCATGGAAACACCTCGGCCGAGCGTCACAACGGTCCGTCCGCTAACCAATCAGCGCGCATCTGCGCCGGAAAAGTGGACCGCCTCGGCACGCTTCCTACCGCGATCGTTGACGTAGCGGCGATCCAAAGGCGTTTTGCACACTGCGCTAGCTGGAACGGGTAGATACCGAGGCTGATCTAGTCATGCGGGAAAGCAATCTGGGCCGGGGATAAGAAGGGAGAGTCAGTAAACTGCGCCTGGACGCGCGCGCCGGCGGAGGGTCGGACGGTATGATCTCTCCTCGTTGTGTACCCATGGCGTCGGGCTTAACGTTATGGAGTCAGCAATACATGCGCAGAAGCCTGCTTGCAGGAGCAGATTATGAAGCAGCAGCAAGACTCGTCGCCACGTGCTGGGAAGCATGATGATGTTGAGATGCATCTTGTGAGATCGCAGCAGCGTTTGCATTTGCATCTGCATCAGCCCTGCCGAAGTCCATCGCCCTTCCAGAAACACACAACAGAGCCCACGGTCCGATCCGGGCTCCGATCTCCGAGTCAGAAAACACCAAGTCCAGGACAGCGTTTCCACTAACGAGCGGACGCTTGCCTCTCAACGTTTAGTTTCCGCCGCGGCGCCATCGCCGAGCGAGCGTTTTGAGATTGAATTTTTCAAAGTCTCTGCTTGTGGCTGTTATGCCTCGGCGTCGCCGCCGCGAGTTCCTTTTCCATGGCAACCATCCCATTAGCTACAAATATGTGACTGTTGTAGGATTCAGGTCTTTCTCGGTACCATACGAAGGTTGCCTTTGTGATCCGTGAAACTTGCGTATGACCGCGATTTCTGCATACAAGCCCCCCAAAGATGTACAGGCTGCTGTAGTGTAAGCCGTACCGAGGCTTCGTTCACCCCAACAAACGGTTTTCGGAGTGGAGTTTGCCCAATTCCGTTCTCCACTCTCCACTGTCTAATCCACAAAGCAGGGGCTGTAACAACGGTCCACCTAAGCCGATTTTTCGGGGTTAAGCTTGCGACGATTGAGACTATCAAATCGAGTGTGTACACTAGCTCATTGATCTTATTCGTGACTGCTGTGGTTTGAAATCATCGCTGACATATTATGTTCGCTTCCTTTCTCGCGACTTTGACGCGCCGATGGGCCCCGACAACATATACCGTATGACTTTCTAATCCCTGATTTGAAGTCGCTGTACAATGCAATGGAAATACGTGAACGATCTCAAATGCTTTTGCTACAAACTGCGCCCATCCGGATGTGCGTGATCGAAGCATAGATGCCCAAGTCCAAATCGCCAATATGCAATCTCATCCCTCCAAAACGCCGAATCCAACGCCACGTAGTCGTAAAGTTGTCATGTCTAAGCTTACTCAGAACTTTTAAACCTCGTTGCTGGGGTACTGGACCTTGGTTGTTGGAAGGAACTCTTCCTTGACCGACCGCATGTTAACAAAGCGGGATAGGAGTGTCGCACTTCCAGCTTTGTCGTTTGTGCCGCTAGCGCGCGATCCACCGAATGGCTGCTGGCCAACCACAGCACCAGTGCACTTGCAGTTGACGTAGAAGTTGCCGGCCGAGTTGCGGAGAGCGTTCTCGGCGAAGCGAATCGTTTCCCGGTCCTGCGCGAAGACAGCGCCGGTGAGAGCGTATTCGGAAGTCGAATCAATCTGCTTGCAGATCTTGGCAAAGGCGTCGGGAACAGAGTCGTCGTATACGTAAGCGACGAGGACAGGGCCGAAGAGCTCGCGGGACAAGAGAGAATGGTTGGGGTTGGTCGTCTGGTAAATGGTTGGGTGGATGTAATAGCCCTTGCTTCCATCATACTTTCCACCAACAAGGAGCTCAAGCTCGCTGTCGTTCTTCGCCTCATCGATAACACCAGAGAGCTTCTTGAAGCTACCTTCGTGGATCACCGGGCCGATAAAGTTAGAGAAATCGGAAGGCTCGCCGATCTTCAGTGCTGCCGTCTCACTGACAAGCTTCTCCTTGAATTCAGGCCAAATGGACTTCGGAACGTAGAGACGGGAGCAAGCGCTGCATTTTTGGCCTTGGTACTCGAACGCGCCACGAACGGTCTGAATTGCCGCGTTAGAAACGTCCGCGCTAGGGTGGATAAGATGGTAATTCTTTCCGCCTGTCTCGCCGACAATGCGAGGATAGCCTTGGTATTTGCCTTCAGCTACACCGTTGGCAATCGTGCCGTACAACGAGCGGAACACAGCTGTGCTGCCTGTGTAGTGCAGAGCTGCGAATTGGCGGTGTGCCAGCACCGCTTGAGTAACTTCGACTGCGTCACCAGGCACCCACTGAATGACGTTTGGAGGCAAGCCTGCCTCGATGAGAATCTGGTAGACAAGCCAGTTCGACGCGATCGCAGATGGTGATGGCTTCCACACAACGACGTTACCCATCAGCGCAGGGGCTGCAGGAAGGTTTCCTCCGATAGCAGTGAAGTTAAAAGGGGAGATTGCGTATACAAAGCCTTCAAGCGGGCGGTACTCGACACGGCTGTGACCCGTTAGCAAAGATACAAGATCTGTGTCGCGTGTCCACGTACTTCCACACTCCAGGTGAGTTGTGCACAGGCTGTTCTCCATAGGTCTCCTCTGCGTACTTGACGTTGAATCTGCTAATTTTAGCCACAGTGGTATATGCAGGTACACAACATGCTCGCCCACCTGAAGAAGTCGCACAGCTCTGCTGCTGAGTCGATCTCCGCTTGCCATGCGTTTTTTCCCTGTCCTAGGTTTGTTTTAGCTATATACACATCAGGGCATTATATTACAAAGAAGCTCACCGATCATAGTTGCAGCCATGATCTCGTATCGGTACTTTGTCGATATGAGATCTGCTGCTTTTAGGAAAACGGCAGCACGATCGGCAAAAGGTAGATTCGCCCAGGCTTCTTGCGCTGAGAGAGCCTCATCGATTGCCTTGTTAACGTCTGCTGTGCTTGCGTTGGAGTACTTAGCGACAACATCGGCGTGCGAGGAAGGGTTGTGCTGTGTAAGGATGGAACAGTTGGTGATCTAGCAGAGTTATTAGTTTAGTCCTTTGGGTTTCAGACTAATCTTCACGTACGTGCTTTCCGCCCACTGCCAAAGGGACGTCTAGCGGTATTCGCTGCTTCAAAGCTGCTACGGCCTCCTGTAGCTTCTGGCGTTCCACCGATCCCTTCGTGTAATGTTGCTATAACAAAAAGTCAATCTGAGTACTGCAATATCTGAGATACATCTAACTTACGTTGGGCTCGTTGTTGATGGTGGGTGTCCTAAAATTGGCCATCGTGGCGACGCCTCTCCTGGCGGTGCTACATTGTGCCTTTAGCGATTGCGAAGCTGGCCGCAGCGTCCTCAGAGAAGACATTTTGATATGAATAATGGCAAAAGTATGCTCTGCAAAAGAACGTGTTGCGAAAGACGCTCTATGATATTTGTACATTAAGGTAGCTCGCAGCTTGGCTGTTGAGCCGACGCAAGCCGCAAAGCGGGGCGAACCCCACAGTCCCGACTACTCCAAAGACGGCATTGCACGTGCTCAATCCTACACTAACACCGGCAACCACGACGCTTTGCAAGTCCGGGCGCCGATGTCGCTGAAGGGATTTCTCGAATGTTGTGATAGTATCATTGAACTTGAGTTTTCAATCTCGTACGTCAGCCTTGGTCAGACAAGAATTCAAATCGTCGCTTGTGTAGATTTGGTATCATAGATCTATCCCAAAACACAGGTCATACTTTAGATGCAGTAAGACCATAGAAACGCCAAAACTATCCAGATCATAAAAGTACGGATGGCATAAACACCCCCTACAGCTCCATGGCATCTGTCTCGTTCACGTCATCACCCCACAGACCCTCGAGCTTGAACTCGGCGGCCCATTCCTTGACAATTTCCTTCTGGTCACCGACAAGTCCGCCCTTCGTAGCAGGAGCAGTCTTGTTACTCTTGGTGAGAGTGGGCTTGTATGCTGGCGGATCGGTCCAACCTTGAATTCGACCATCTCGCCAATCTGTGATGACCGTCTGCGCTGCGCTGTGGAGGTTGGGAATGCCGCCTTTCCCGAGACGACCTCGCTTCCTTGCTACTTGCACCAGGAAGTCCGTCGTGTTATCGCCATTGACGAAATGTAGGGGTGGGAGATCGTATACATCGACCATCTTCTGGAAGAGCTCCGGTGTGGCGGAGAGTCTCTTGAGAAGGAGGTTGACAGCAGGCACAGGGTCGTCAATCTCTTTCGGCGGGACCGCGTTCAGGAGAATGAGTCTCGCCTTCTCCTCAACCTTGCTAGTCTTGCCGCCTTCAGGGTTGTTGGGGAAAACGATTCCAGGAGAGTCGAGAAGCTTCAACTTGCTGTCCAGCTTAACTTCGCGCAAGCTCGTGGTGACACCAGCCTCAGCTCCCGTCGGGCAAGTGCCAGTTCTGCCGCCCAGCTTCTGGGTAAGCGCATTGATGACGGAGGATTTGCCAACGTTGGGGTAACCAATGATGCCGACCTTGACGGATCGCTTTAACTGTCTCGCTTCAGAGAAGGTCTTGAGCGCTCGGAAAAGAGTGTCTGACGTTCCCTTGATCGTGAGCTCCTTGTGGTCGAAAGTCTTTGCATTCGGTGCAGGCTTTGAAGCGCGCAAAGGGAGTGTGGGGAACGATCGTCGTAGGTGAACAAGCCAGGACTTGAGGACTGGGGGCGGCACGAGGTCGATCTTATTGAGGATGAAGATCATGCGCTTGGCACCTCTGTCGGCTGCCATGACGGCCTGCTCCACCTCTTTCGACCGTGTGCCTTGCGGGTCTCGAGCGTCGAGCACGTACAGTACCACGTCGGCGGCGTCCACGACTTGCTTGTAAACCTTGTCGAATTGTTTCCGGGAAGAGTCTTTGCGGACGTTGACCGCGCCCTCGTCATCCTCGAGATCAAAGCGTTCGAAGTCGTCTTCCTCGTCTTCGTCCATTGCCTCCTCGTCATGCGACTTCTTCTGTTCGAATTTCGCAGCGCGAGCTTTTGCCGAAGCAAGCAGAGCGGCCATGGGATTTGAGTCGTCCTGTACTTCAATCAGCGTGTGTTATCCTCCCCAGCAGACCGATGTACGCACCACCTGCATTGAGTCGTCATTCTCCGACTCTTCCTCAAGCAGCTCGTCCTCCTCTGCTAAGTCGTTGTAGCCTTCAGTGTCCATTGTCGCTTCTCCGGAGAGCCTTTGCTCCTTCGCTAGCTCCCTGCGTTGCGCAAGCTCTTCTGCCTTCACCCGACGCGACTCCTCAATCTCTTGTATGATCTTGTCTTTGTACGGGAAGAGGTTCGGAATCCCGGGGTCCTTCTTCATCTTCGAGCGCCATTCGGGGTTCTGCAGTACTTAGCATCCGGTGGTATGTATATCAGACTGTCTGCTGTACCTTCTTGGCATCCTTTTTCGCCTTGCGCTGTTTCGCTGCGGAGGACTTTTCGATCTTGTGCCTCAGGCGGACGGGTACGCGCTTTGATTTAGGTTCTAGATCGTCGTCAGCATGATCACAAGTATGAAGGGACTCGTAGACTCACTTCCGACTTTCATGGCTGCGTTGGTGCGGGTTGTAGAATTTGTGTGTAGTCGCGCCTTCTCTCCAAAATCCAAAAATTCATGACTGCCAAGATTTCGCATCACGTGCATCGGCGGTGAGCGGGGACAGAATGCCGAAGCGCGGGCGTAAATTGTGGGTCACATACTCGACTAACATCCATGGATATATGGGGATCACAATTGCCCACTTCCTCGTGTAGGAACAGGCCAGTCGCACACCGTATATCGCAGCGCCTACTCCGAAGATAGCAGATATCGACTCACCAACGACGCGCGTGGCTATTCTACAGGTGTCAGTCTGTCACTTGCAGCTTGTAATCGGCGGGCGGCATACCCTATGTGGCAAGCCCTTGCAGATGACTTACATTTTCTAGTCTCTCGCCTCATCCGTCGGAAAGTATTTGTACTGCAAGCGTTCCATTTTGGAGCCTCTGGAGATTTCTTATACCAAAGCAAACCCTTCGTCCGCCGCCAAAATGACTGTTCCGGAATCCATCGAGCCGTCTTTCAGTGCTCCACCAACGACAATTACTAGCGATGGCATGGTGAGTGATACTCCCCAGGGCTCTGTCTAGATGTTAATGGATACTAGCTCTTCGACATGGAGTAAATTGAAATGGTCACATAAATTGTCCTACAATACTGATCTCCACCAGCGGTACTATAATTGACTCGACTGAAGCCGTGGTAAAAAATTGGCAAGCGTGAGTGGCTCGCATTTCGGGTGAGAGCTGTGGTTGTCCGTCTCAGTCCAGTTGCAGCTCCTCAAGGCGCCTTGTAGCCTTAGGCGACGTTCCGGCTGATGACGACACCAGCGTCTCATCACTCGTCAGCTGTTGCTTATGCTGATCGAAGCAGAATTGGAAAAGAAATCGGCGTGGACCCAGAGGTCATACTTGCGACATCTCACGGCCGAAGATCGATCGACGTGCTCAAGATCTATGAACCCAAACTCGCAAACTGGGAATGTAGGCATCCCACGTGGCGTTCCCACATGGCAATTGGCTGATGCTCAAACCATAGACATTGGCGAGAAAGAAGGGCAAATCCCAATTGAATTTGGCGCGGACGCAGTCGAAATCCCTGGCTCCCGTACTTTTCTAGAAGAGCTCGAGAAGCAATCTATCCCTTGGGCCATCGTTACCTCAGGCACGCGACCTTTAGTCACCGGCTGGCTGAAGGTCATGAAACTAGCGCATCCAAAGAATCTTGTCACAGCTGAAGACGTTGACAATGGCAAACCCGACCCTGCCTGCTATCTATTGGGGAAAAAGAAGCTCGCACTGTCAAAAGAACAGCCTTCCATCGTCGTTTTTGAAGACGCACCTGCTGGAATCAAGTCCGGCAAGGCCGCAGGATTTACGGTCATAGCGTTACATACGACCCACACGTTGGAGCAGCTCAAGGACGCTGGCGCAGATTTTATTGTTCAAGACATGCGCTCAATCTCACTAAAATCTTGGACCAAAGCCACCGGAGAAGCACAGATTGAGATTGTCAATGCCCTAGTGTGGTAAACGTGGTAGGATGAACGTATGCTTGCTATGTGACCGAAGCGGAGGCTACAAGTAACATGGTTCTTGTCCATTTTAGTGGTCTCTCCGGTATCTTAGCAGCATCAGAAGGGCATCGTACCACTCATGTTCACAAAGGTACCCTGGCTACAGTACACCCACAAAATCGCCGACAGCCTCTTTCGAGACTGGCTGGAAGAATGACGCTTTTTATAGAGGTATACACAAGCTGCCTGATTATCCAGGTAGCGAATCGAAGAATAGTGGGAGCAAACGTCCCACTTCTACATGACGGAGATCTCGCCAATGGTGTAGTAACCAGAGGTCTAAAAATCCTCGACTACCAGTGACAATTGTGAACAGTCCGCGTGCTCACATGTAGGAGGCAAGTTTACTCGGTGACCGAGGTGCTCCGGCTGTGCATCCTTGTCTCTGCAGGATACCCCCGTCTGCAGCCAATCGAAAAGATGATATGTGCGCAGCCACGGCATGGGCGATTGTTTTCACCCAGACAAACGGTTCTGCGTTGATCTACTATCGCGCCGCTGAAGTGCGTCTATTACCAGGATGTTTTGTCGACTGCTACATCGCAAAAACGTTGCATTGCATGCCGCCCTCGCCCCTGCAGTCTAAGCCACAGCCGCTGGGTCCGATTTTCGAGGGACAGGGACAGGTTACATGCATAACAGAATTTCGCCGCCGCATCCAAGCCTGTTCGCCGAGCAGCACTGTCCTGGAAATGCATGAAGGACGTGACTTGAGCATGGACAAATCCTTACTCCCGCTTCGGCGCGCACGCGAAAATGTCCGCGGGAAGATGCCGCGTGCGTTTGCACCAATCGAAGATACTCGGGGTAGACAGGGGTAATGAGGCTGTGCTCCTCCTCCCTTGTTACCAGTTCCCCGGCCCCCCCAACTCAGCTGGCTCGTCTGGCCTGGAGTTGACGACAAGCGCAAGATGCATGGTGCGCATGGCTAGAAGACAGTGCTAACCTGAGGTGTGATGGGTTGTCGCCCAAAAGGGCCAGCTGCGGGCTCTGTGCAACAGGATGAAGACCGCATTGAGACGCTTTGAGTCTCTCGGGTCACACCGATGCCAAAGACAAGTGGAGGCTGCAAGGTACACAGTTGAATGATTCTACCCGTGTTTACGCCGCTTTCCGAGTCGCCGAGAGACACTCGCGCCCCCTTGATGGTGCAGAACGAGGGTCCGGTGGAAGCAAACGAAGGTCGCACAAGCTGTTCTCTAGTCGCTGCCCACGGTGGTGTGTTGAGGTCAGGTGTGGAGTGAGTGACGAGCGGCGACAACACTGGTGATTGGCGAAGCGGCGCCTTGGACATTGAGCAGAACAGCGAGAGTTGGGTTAGCGCTTGAGGTCGGGACAAAGGGGACTCTCCGGGCCCGCTGAGCCTAGCGCCCGGTAGCCTTCATGCTTTGCTGCGACGGGCGGCGGTCGCGTTGCCAGGAACCCCCAGGCCTCCCCGTCAACGTCGAACGTTGCAACCAAAGGCACTCTGGCGAAATATTCTCCGAGCTGAAGGGTCCAAGCTGCTGTCGTCTTCCAAGGACCATGTGCGCATCTCCCGAGATTGGACAGATGACGATGGCAACTGAAGGGAGCTCCATGACTAGCTCAGGCTTGCCCGCAGTGGGCAGATCAGCCGCCGCCGCCGTCTTCACACCAATTGAGGCGTGTGCTCCGGCCAGCACCCCCCTGCGGGCGCCGCGGTGCCCCGGCCTCGAGCGTGCCGGGGCTTCGGCGGCAGCGCAGGCGAGGCGCGGGCGCCGCAGAGGGATTGCGAGGGCACAGCGGCACGATGCAGCGCAGCGAGGCGGGCGCGGACGCTCTTCGAGGGCGACGCGGGCAGCCCACGACGGCGGCCGCCATTCGTCACCAGCGCCGCGAGACGCATGCTGCCGGTGCGTAAGCTAACGTGCTGAGCCCGCGATCCAGCGCTGCGTTAGAGGGCTGCGCGTGGGTCTATTCTTGGGTGTGCCAGCGGCGGAGGTCAGTCAGGTCAGTGGAGGGCGGGCGAATCAGGCTGAGCTCAGACCCAGTGCTGCTCCCGCTGCTAAGAGGCGTGGTGTGCCTGCCTCCGCCCACTGCGACCAACTTTACTCCTGACCAGTCCATTCCGCCGTTAACACTCGCTTTCTCGGCTTTGTCGCTAATCGACCTGCTTCCTCTCGTTATTTCGTTTGCGCATCGCTCGGTGATGTCGTAACAGTCACTCGCTTCTATCCCGCTTACGTCCCAGCTCTCGTTATCCGCCGAGCCCGCGACCCGCGGTGCTTCCCGCGCTCGCCCCATTACTACAACATCGTCCACGCTTCTGCTGGCACCGCTCCTGGCACCGCCCCTGATCCAGCAGTCCCACTCGACATCCGCACCGCACACCTCACGAGCGAATCGCAGACAAAACAAAGCGCGCCGTTGCTGGAACGAAGCCATCAAGTCTCACGGCGCGCCGCTGTTCGCGCTGCCCCTTCGAGCGTGGTGGACCAAATCCGTGCGCCGTTCTCATGCAGTCTCTCGGGAACAGCAGCGATGCTGCCTCCCAACGGCCACCTTCTGCTCAGGGCAGTATGGGAAGTGCCAAGGCAACGACACCAGTGAAGCCACCAGGGACAGCTGACGTAAAGCCACGTCTGTAAGTGAGTTCCATGCCTCGTGGTGGGACTGTATTAACCGTGTGCTTTTGCAGGACCAAAGAGCAACATGACATCCTTGAGCGCCATTTCCAGAACCACCACAAACCCAGTACCAGCACGAAGAAGGGCTTTGCGGAAAATCTCGGGGTTCCTCTGGACAAGATTAACGTTCGTGCAGCTCGTATTGAAGTCGTGATTGAGCTAACACGGCGCATAGAACTGGTTCCAAAATCGGAGAGCAAAAGTGAAGCAGGATTTGAAAAAGCAAATGAATCAGTATAACATGCAGATGGGGTTATACAATCAGCCACAAGTACCAGGAGCACCGCCGATGCAGATGCCCGCTCACGCGTCGATGCCACACTTCGCTCAGCATATGGAACAAGCGCAGACTCAAATGTCTCTCGCCCCGGGGTATTTTGCCGTTAATGCCGATATCAGTCCTGCGACTATGCCTGTGCAAAATGTCGATCAACCGTCAGCTCTAAACATAGGCCCAAGCCAACAGCAGATGATGCTCCAGCAGCAATACGATATGCACCATTCTTTGCGCTCGATCCCCGAGGCTGAGCGAGGAAACTCCTATCACCCAAATGCGGTCATGCATTCAATCATGGCAGCCACTGCTGGGCCATCTTACATGCAAAGCAATACGGTTCCTATGCAACAGCAGGGTTCAAATTATGCCTTCGACAACGCCCCGAATGGTCTGCCCGGCGACGGTCCGTTCTCCATGCCAAACGATATGTCCGCCGTGGCCGACACGCCCGAAGACGACCAATTCGGTGGTTTCCAGGACTACCTGTCATATCTACCCATCATCTCCACCGCACCTACCGACTTGCAGATCACTGCAGGGTCCTTGTCGGCGGATGACTCGCCTTACTCTGGCACTCAGTCGAACACAACGAATCCATCGTCTATTGAGCCAAACGCTGGTTCAGTCGCGTCCCTCACGTCGAAGTACTCTGGTTGGACTGACACGAATGGCGATGCGGAGACCAAACAAGAGAACGACACTGATGACTTCTTTGCTAGCCCCTACAACATGCCGCAGGCGTCCGCTTCCGAGGCGAACTTCTGGGGACCAAACACGCAGTCTCAGGCAGCCCTGCGCCCTGACATGTACCAGCAATCCAACGCTTCCGCGCATGCTATTCTCTCGTCGCCACACAACAGCGGACGCTCGCTTAGCACAGGGCCTGCGGACTACGAGACTCCCAGTTTCGGAGACGAGATATTCACACGACGCAACTCGTCAACGAGCAATCTCGCCTCGAACATTGAAGCAATCCATATCCAGACACCAGAGGGCTTCCGATCACCCACCCAGTCTAGCATAGCTGCTCGGAGGCAGAAACGCCCGGCCACCCTCAACGCAAATTCTTTCAGGAGCGCTTCATACAGCGGCAGTATGCCCTCGCCCGGCAACAACAACAACAACAGCGATCACACGCTTCGGAGGATTCGATCTTCCGGTATTGGCAATCCAGGCCGCGTCCAGAAGCCACAGCCAGGCTCCGCGCAGCGCTCGCCTATGTCCTTGACCTTCTCAGAGGCTGCATCTTCACCAAAGTTCCAGAGGACTCTATCGTCTTCGAGTATTACTACTGTAGGTCACGGTGGTAGCATGGCTCCACCAACGCCGCAGACGCCTAATGAGCCTGGTCGTTTCCCTTACTGGCAGAGCAATCCGACAATCAGGACGTCTATGCCGGATCACAGTTCTCCGGAGAGCATGGCCGCAAGCTGGGCCATGGAGCAGGCAGGTTCTTTTATGGGAGAATCCCCTCCTTCGCTAGAGGCAGCGCAACTACATCAAGCTCGACTTGGTGGTGAAATGTATCGCGACACTCCACCGCAGTCTGCACCGGCTACACAGCAGGGCTTTCCACGCCAGAACATGATGCAACCCCCGCGAATGAGGGCTGCATGTCACTCTAGCACCGACCTAACCCTGCAGCAGCCTAAGCCCAGCCATTTTAGGAGACCATCGCTTCCTGTCGACGCGCAAGGGCAAGGCGAGGACCCCAACGCCCTTTTCGGTTCCTCTTACGGTGGATTCAACTACGACGATATCTCATTGAGTGGTATTCAGCACAACGTGCCGTTTGCGCCACCTGTCTCCGCCATGCCGGACTTTTTGGTCAACCAATATATCCCTCCAGGGGATGGGATTCATGGGCACATGCGACGCACCACTGCGCCCGAGGCCAAGAACTATATTTTTGCCAATCAAGGTCCGCGCGACTTCCGCTCCTGAACCTGCTCAGTGCAAGAATCCCGGCGTTAGTTTGGAGATCATGCTTTACTTGATATACCCGAGGTTCTGCTTGTCCTTTCGTGTTTTTGCACCTCCGTTTGGTTTTTATCCTTACAGATCGCATCACTACGCGGTGAATTCCGGTCCTGGCCGGAATCCATCGAACACCTTCGCCAAAATGTGCCTATCTTCGCTTGGTGCTGGAGCAACTCTTGCAACTTAACATACATACCCCTCGCATTCATCTGGTTATTGCCTGCTTAATTGTAATACGGGTACATATTTTCCTGTTATCTCTTTACTTTTTCGTCATTTGTATGGCGCTAGCCGTGGGATCACCCTGGCAGGGAGTTTACTTATCAGAGTTCTGACGGCCAACTCTACGACGCAGCGACACACTCCTTAAGATCTGGAATTTTTTGGTTTACATAATGCCCCGAGGACACGCCAAGTTACGACGTCTTCTCCTTAATGTCTCTCCTTAGCAGTCACTTTGAATCTGGCACAGCGCTCGGTGTATGGGCGCAAGGGGAGTTTTGTTGTAGGAGTATGGGCCGAGTTCGAGTTTTGTATATGACGATCTGGTAGCATTTGACTATATGAAGGGGGATGCAACAAATGCAAGAGCAGCGCGCGTGTCATTATTGTGACAAGTTGCCGCTGAGTTGAACGCTCATTCTGACTTGCTCTTACGTTTGGTGTCTTATCATGGCCTCTTCTTTTCTGACAAGCCGCCGCCTGCTCTACGTCTCTGCCATCTTCAGCAGAATACACCGGCTGCCAGCATCCTCATGACATTCAAAATTTCAAGGGTCGCCCGCGTACTCTACGTCTCCACTTCTCACGCGGTTCAGGGCGGCATGCCGTCCCGTATCGCCCCTGAAATCCAGCAGTTTGTCACTTTCCACCACTCTCAACGGAACGATCCACTTCCCTTACACAACCCGCGTCTCCCACATTCCTCGCCCAGGAACCATGCCCTCTTCAGCGAACGCATGTTTGGTTTAAAACGTTTTCAATACAAACCCCTGAGCCGCTGCCCCGTCAATCCAAACAAGACATACCGCAGTCACGCGGCTTGCGCTCGCTTCAAGTTCTCCCGCAAACATGATGTCAAGATCAAACACCGGGCGCCCGAAATCCCTCGGCGCGCCCAACACCTGCGCGCGTCGAGGCGGTGAATGTGCCACAGGGGGATTAGTCAACGCGGCGCTAGCACGGCGCGTGTAGATCATACGTTTGACGTCTTCTCCTTCGCACACACCGCACCGTGTTCGCATAGCCTTCGCGCGCCTCCTGCGCCCGTGTTCGCAATCGACCCAGTATTTGCTTCTAGCGGCGCGCCGGAGGCAGAAAAGTGGGTTGATCTCGCGCGCTGAGTCGTAGCGGAAGGTTTAGTGGGGAGCAACTCTGGTCCGACCCACGCCGCTACTTGCCCCCGCCGAACCGAACCGCAGGCTTGACGTCCGATGCGCACGCGAGCGATGGAGGACGGAGCCAGCCCACGAGGCGCGATGACTAGCGCCCCGCTCCGGGCGCGAGGCTGGCGTGAGCGAGGCTTGTGTGAGGCGTGCGGTGCTGGACCTCGGAACTTTTGCATATGCGCACGCCGGTGGAATGCCGTGTTATTCTGCTGTGGCATCGAAGCTGTGGGCGCCTGCTGATCCACTGCGTTTGTGCCGTACCGTGGCCGAGAGCGTGCGTTGGGTTGGGTTGAGTTGGGTTGCGGTGGAGCGCTTCTTTTCCCCACCGAGAGCACCGGACAAGAGAGAAAACTGCAGGGGTTCTGCGGTGATTGTTCGCAATCGACGTTTACAGGTCGGGCGATCTTTACACGGCGGAGGGCAGTTGTGGCGGTACGTAGGCCGCCGGAGGAGACTCCGGTCAGAGTTGGAAGTCTGGTAAGTTCTCAGTCCGGCGGGACATTATTGAGAAACGCAGGAACAAACCTGCTGCTTGGGCGAGCGAATTTGGTAGATTTTATGGTGGCCGATGCAGGAACTGTGCTTTGCATGAGTGGTGTACCAGAGGTATACTAGGCGCTTGGGGAAAAGTCTTCGTGGTGAAATCAGAATGGAAAAGGGGCTCACATTCACATGGGTGGTTTGATGCGTAGTTACTTGACGTTTTCGAGGTGTTATTACGCTATTTCGATTGCCCAGGTCACATTGTCGAGACTGGTTTGTCGAGGTCACTTATATCATTGATTTTATCCTCACTTCCACCGGATTGGGCTATACTTCATAGGCCCCACTGCTCCCAGACTTCCAGCAATCAAATTTCTCCAGTTTGACATGTGGTTCGTAGCTGCTATATCCTCGAAGTAACCCAATTCTCCCGAGTATATATACTGGCCTTCCTATCCATTTTTCTTTCTTCCCCATAGGTCCCCCTCCCCCATCACGCTCTAGAGTCTCGCTCAGACATCTATTATGTCGGAGGCCGTGTGGGAGGTCTTAAAACAAATCGCGTCATGAAATGTCGCAATGTAACACACAGGTGACTTGAAAAAACATCGAGGTGTTCATGCTTCCAGGAAGAACATACCAAATGCCTTGCGTTGTAAGTTTGCCCGTGCAGGTTATACTATATTCAGATGGTGTAAAATGCTTAAGGTTACCCTACGCTCTACCAATCTCATCACATCAATTCCCCCTCCGACGCTTTTGTATTACACTTCTGGCTATACCAACCCTGCTCATCTGCATCCCGCAGAACCCCTCGGATCAACCCACGCTTCACTGATCCTTCCACTCCATTCCATCTCCTTGTGTGAGCATCACCAAGTAAACGCCCTCGAGATTTCCCCGGCTCTCTCCTACAAGCTGTCCTCGCTCCCTACACATGATAACCTCTCACGTGTCCGCCTCTCGAGTCTGTGTATAACGCCCTTCTCTCCTCCCCCTTTCCTTCCTTCACGTTCCCGTCGACTGTCGAGTCGCAGAGCTAAAAGTTCAAGTAGACATCTATCATGTCGCGCTCTCCTGCTTCATGCGTGGGCATGCTAAAACAGACCACTTTCATCACCCATGTGGGAGCTGTGTTGTATCGGGCGAAGCGGAGTATGTGTCTATCCAGCGGTGTTAGGGACGTGTGATGATACGCGCCTTGAAATTACATATGATTTCCTTAGAGGTTTTAGACATGCATAATTAACAGTTAGTTTTGAAATATTACTAGAAAGGTCCAGGGTTTAGGTATGATTCATTGTATCTACCAACCGCGAACTCTACCAAAAGTTTGAGGCTATCCTGTGTACCCAGGCTCGAGGTCCCCAAGAACACCAGTGCGATTTCATGTCCGTGATCCGTTATGATGAGGCGCTCCAGCAGAAGATGCTATCGGCGCAGTCGGGCGATTGATATTCGATGATCAAAGAAGCAGAGACTCTACCCATCACGAGTCCAGCTCTTGTTTCTCCATCGATCCCGACCCCTGCCCACAATTAGTATACGCACCACCAACATCACTCACATCCCCCTTCAAACTTACCTCACGACGATCTATGACCGTCGATTTGCCGGGCCACTTGCAGTCACCCCGCATGTTGTTGTCCTTGTACCAGCAGCAGTGGTGGAAGGAGCTCAGCTTCTCGGAGATGGACGCCGCCTGACAGTCGTACTCTTTTCCGTTGGGGTCGCCGTCGTAGAATGCACCGTTAAGCTGGTAGCAGCAGTCCTTGGTGTTTTGGTAGTCGTAGTAGAGAGTCAGGCCCCAGGAGGCGCAGCGGCAAGCGAGGGTGGTGGAGCCTATCCGTATGTCAACGTTTGTATAAAACAGTAGTGAGGTGTTCGTGTGATGTGGTATGTACCGAAGAGGGTACTGATGACCAGGATGATGGCGGTGGCCTTCATCTTGATAGTAGTCGTTATGATTCTGAGAGTTTGTCGAGGCCAAGTCTGTGCAAGGTGGGAATTCGATCAAGTGTTTGGAGATTCAGAGAAAGGGCGACAAGGCTGGTATTATATACACCCAGCACGGGTTTCCCTAGGCGCTAGCAAAGCGACTTTACGTGATCGAGGTCACAGTTTAATCATCAATTTACTGCGGTGAAGGCCAGAAACTTGTGGGCAAACGCTCGGGGTCACGGGCGAACCTCATGGTCGAAGATTTCACTCGAGGGATTAGCTCGGCGAGAGTTGCAGAGTGGTTCGTGCTGATTTGCGTGACGTGGTCACGTTTCGACACCCATTATATCGTCCCTTGATAATGGAATCAGCTCTGCATCTACACCACTACGACCACACTACTGCTCCTTTTCGGACTCTTCGGGGACGGTATTTTAGCCTGAAGGCTAAGTACATAACAATTATAACAGGTCGCCGAGTGATCAAAGAGGGTAATAGCAACGAGACTCATGAAAATTGACAGCAGTGTCTTCTCGTAGAATATTTGGGCTCACTTGGTCATAGCTACTTGAGGGACAGTCATTAAGAACGGAGCCTACGATGTCGACTGATGCTCATTTCGTAACCCAGAAGTGTTCCAGATGTTCAAATACTCACATGTAGAGTCCTTTCACTAACGTGCGGACACCCCCCTGCATCCCTCCAAAATGTTACTCAGAGGGCGATCGTCCCGCATAACGCCTCAATATCCTCCAGCTTGCTACTCACAGTTGTCAAATTGTCACACCCATTTTCCTTCACCACAACGTCATCCTCAATTCTCACCCCACCCACACTCCAGTACCGATCCAAGACACTCTCATCGACGACATCCTTCCACACACCGTCCTTGAGCTCCTGCTTCAGCGGGAACTCCCTGAAGTAGATACCAGGTTCGTTCGTCACTACCGCATTGACAGGCAGCTTCCCGCGCACACGGAGGTACTTCAAATACGGATTCGGATCCTCGTAGTTCGCATTGCCGCCGGTGTCGTGCGTATCCATACCGAGGTAGTGACCCAGCCCATGCGGGAAGAACCTTGTCGTGACCTTAGAGTCCAGAATCTGCTCGACGGAGAGCTCCTTCTTCAGGATACCGAGATCGCGCAGACCGGCGGCGGCAATGTTGTGTGCGCGCATGTGCACGTCTTCCCACAGCACGCCCGCCTTGATCATGCCCATGCACTCAGTCTGCATCTTTAGAACGAGGGCGTAGATCTCGCGGCTCTCGGGCGAGAAGCGCCCATTGAGTGGGAACGTGCGCGTGATGTCGGCGCAGTAGCAGTTGTACTCCGCGCCGCAGTCCATGAGCATGTTGAGCTTGTTGGTGAGTGGAAGGTTGTTGTGGACGTAGTGGAGGGTGCTGGCGTTTGTGCCGGCCGCGCAGATGCAGCCATAGGCCATCTCCTTGCAGCCGTTGGCGTGGCAGTGCATCATGAAGAGTGCGTTGAGCTCGCGCTCGTTGGACGCTGCATGGACGGAGACTTGCACCTGCTCGTGGGCGTAGGAGGAAATGATGTTGGCGTGGCGGATCATGGCGATTTCGTGCTCGTCTTTGACAACGCGGCACTGCTCGATGCCGCGGCGGGCCCACTCGTAGTCGACGTTTGGCTGGAGGTGCTTGACACTGTCGGTGTTGAAGATATCCATATCCAAGCGGTCCTTGATCACCAAGAGGGTCTCGTTCGGCTTCTTGAGTAGATCCTGCACAGATTTCCCAGACTTCAGCTCGTCGGTGGTCAGAACGGAATCTATGTCGTACTTCTCCAAGGCTTCCTTTGGCAGTAGCGGCATGCCCGCCCACATGACTACATTGGGGTCGACCGGGGGAATCCATAGTGTAGACTTGTCAGAGGCAATGTCATATGCAAAACCGCAGTCCGGGACCTCGCATCCAGTGAGGTAGTAGAAGTGGCGCCGTTGCCTGGTCGGACAGGGTCAGTATCTGTGTCTATGTCTCAACGGCGTGAAGAGTCTTGAAGCTCCTACTTACCTGAAATGCATCTCTGTATCGTCATCCTACAACCACGGTTAGCGTCGCCGCCCGCATTGCAGTCATGTACGATGGGGCTTTTACTTCATGCTCTTTTAGCGTCTGTCCCTGGAGATAGATAACGCCGCTAGAGGGCCCGCCGTTCTCTGCTATCCATGCCGCCACGCGACGACAATGAGCTTTGGCGGGATATTTGCCGGAAGGCGGCTTGGGCAAGTCGTGGTTCGCGATCGACTTGACCATATTCGTGACCATGGTGGTGGGAGTATGTATGCGGGTGGGGAGAAGCTCGCTCGCGCTTTGCTCTTGATGAACAGGCAAGTGGGCTGAATGCCGCGGCTAAGCGGGGCGACGTTCGGTGTCATTTCTAGTGGAGCAGCACAATGCAACCCTGCAAGTGCCTCGACAACTCTCAGCTGTCTTTACCAAAATCCACTGATAAATAAGAGGACAAGTCATTCTACTCGATTATCGGATCGTGTACGCAATAGTGACGCGGTTTCCTAACCAACCCCGTTATCCACATTCACATCAACACGAATGAACATATGCACAATTTCAATTGTTGTATTTTTTTCTCGTGTTATGTATGTTCTGAACACCAGCATGAACGCTCATTCGTCATGCCACGATCTTCCAGTTCACCCCAACCGTCTAGAGAGGAGATGGTATCGCTCGGGTATTTATACACGCTACGCACAAGGAAAAGACTCCCGCTCGCAATGTAAACGCAATGCCCTGGCTAAAACCATCTTACTGTACACCATCCCGACACCGTTCCGAAGGGGTATCAGGATATCTTCCCATCCCATCCTTACACCGCCGCCATCAACGCCGTCGCTTTTACATAGGAAAGGCTAAATAGAACAAACAGGTAAAAGCGACTTTTGAAGCACAAGAAGCGAGTGCCCAGCTGCAGTACACCATCAGAGACATCGTGTCGTCCGAGGCGCGTCGCAGGGGCATGACGGTAAGGTGGCCGTTGCAAAACAGGATTACAAAGGAAATATTGCTCTTCTAAACTCAGGTGATCATCGAATTGAACCGAAGGGAAGCCGATGGCGGATGCATTTAAGCAGCGACATCAGCAGCAGACGCGGCACGGCCGCCCCCCACAAGCTCGAGGATCTTGCCAGCAACAGCGGCGGGGTAGCCGCGGGAGAGACCCTCATTGACAACCGCCATGGCAGAAGCGCGGTCCTCTACAGCCATGAAAGCGCGCGTCATGGCCTCGTAGGTGCTGGGCTCGCGCTTGGCCTCGGAGACAGCATCGTAGATGGCTTTCGCGTTCTCGATGTTGTGCACAAGAGCCCAACCGTGGATGAGCGAGTTGGCGATGTAAGGCGTCATCTCCACGCCGCGAGCACGCATGTCCCGGAGGACAGGCTCAGTGTCGGCGATCTGGTGGTTGGCGACCATTGCCTCGAAAAGGGCTTGGTAGAGACAGGCTTGCGGGCGAATGCGAGAGTCGGCAAGAACAGTGTCGAACAGTTTGCGAGCGCCCTTCATGTCGTGCATGACGCATCCCTTGGCGTGGATCAGGGAAGAGTAATGTACTGCCTCCGGAATCGCACCAGCCTCGCGGATCTGAGCAAGGACGTTCTCGGCGGCCTCCATGTTGACGGGCTCAAGCGTGGCGTATGTGTCGATAAGTAGCTTGTACGTGTGCGTGGTAGGTTCAATGCGCTTCGCACGCATACGCTCGTAGTAGGAGAGAACCTTGCTTCGATCGCGCTTAGTAGTCAAAAAGAACTGCATCATGCTGTGGTACGGCGCGGGACGGGGCTTGTAGTTGGGCATGGTCTCCATCTCCTCAAACAGCTCCTCAGCGAACTTCTCGTCGCTTACGCGGCAAAGGGCGTTGACGATGGTACCGTAAGTGACGCTTGTGGGGCGGATACCGAGGTTGCGCATCTCAGAGAAGTAGAAGAGACAGTCGTCGATGCGACGAGCTTTACCGAGCTTGCCAATCAGAGCGTTGTAGAGGAAGGACGAGGGCTCGACACCTTCGGTCTTGGCGCGGAGGAAGATCTTGACGGCCTCGGTAGCTTCGTCAAAGGTCTTGGTAGACTCCTTGAGCGTGGTGATGTACAGACCGAAAGTGTTGGCGGTAGGAGCAGCGCCCATCTCGAGAAGATCCTGATGGTACTGAGCAGCGAGATCGCGGCGACCAGTTGTGAGGCAAGCAGCAACCATTGCGTCCAAGATCGTAACCCAGCCGTAACGGACGATGCGGTACTGGGGAAGCAGAGGCACATCCTGCTTGGCGAGGTTGAGGATGTCGTGGGCGAGGTTCAAGCGGTCCTCCTTCGCGGCAGCAGTGATGAGCTTAGCGTACGTGAAGAAACGAGGGTGTCGTCCAGCACGGCGCATATTCTTGAACCTCATCAGAGCCTCGTTCAAGTGTGACGCAGACCGTCCGTGGGTCTTCTCGAGGAGCTCAGTGATGGACACGGAGCCCTTGTTGTCCGTAGTAGCGGCATACGGATCGTAGGAGTCTTCGAAGGTGGGAGCAACCACTGGTGCAGGAGGCGGCACGGGATATGCAGCAAACGACGCCGGAGAGTAGATAGCCTCCGGAGCCGGATGCTTATAGCTGTACCACCGATGCTGGAGGTCTCCTCGGTCAAGCTTCACAAGAACCTTCTCCACTAAACCGGATGTCGCTTTGTTCACGGGCGCGCCTAACGATGTAATAACTTCAAGAAGATGGGAAAATCGGGCGGCGTGAGCAATGTCGACCTCGGTAGAGTTGAGGATGATTCCAGATTGGACCTGCATAAGGAGGGTAACGTCCTCGAAGCTGAGCTGAGCAACAGCTTCAGGACCCATACCAGCGAGTAAGTGATGAGCAACGGGGGTCACCAATCCACCGTTCTCGATCATAGTCCACATGAGCTCCATGCTAGCTCGTGCGGGGAGGATAACTCCGCGCTTTATCATGAACTGGCCCATGACTTCGATGGCCTCGTCAATGTGCTCCACAACCTCCATCTTGGCCTGCTGAGAGGCGGATTGAGAGTCGCGGATGCGAGCGAACATTTGACGGCCCTGGCGGAGACCACGGTCAGCCTGACCGCTGCCGATGAGGGCGATGCTGTGCATGGCGGTGGGTTCGACGAAGGAAGGCTTGGTAGGAGAAAGCTCCAGCATCCTCCAGAACACTTCAGCGGCTTCAATGTTCCCGTTGCGGATGTGCATGGCACCCATTGCCATGGCAGGTCGTGTAAGATCTACGTCGGCCGGCAGTGCGTCGAAAGCGTCAGAAGCAACGTCCATTATGTTCTTGTCGGCTGCCTTGATGCAGATAGCGGCCATGGCAACCTCGCGTGCTTGCGGGCTCATGTGCTCAGCAGCGTGGGCGAAAGCGTCGTGGAACGCACCCTTGTTTAGCCACTCAGGCACGAACGCCTTGAGGCTGACAGTGTCGCGGATCGAGATGACCTCCTCAGCAGTAGTCAGGTTCTTCTCAATCTTGGACAGGAACTTCCAGCCACCCTCCATGCGGCCGCAGATGGCGTACGCCTTGATGAGAGCGGCGTATACTTCGTTGTCCTTACGGGAGAGAGCGATGTTGCCGTTGTCATTGGAGATGGCGAGAGCCTTGTACTCGTCGTAGCACTCAACAGCACTGCGGAGATCGCCAGACCGGCCGAAGGCATGAATCATAGGGACAAACATATCCGCAGCTGGAATGACGCCGCGAGACTCCATGTGAGCAAAAATTCGCACCATATCCTCAACGCGAGCGCCCTCGGCACAGGCAGCAACAAGCATGCGGTAAGTCTTCTCGGAGAATGTGCGTCCGGACTCCACCTTGATAGCGGCATCGAAGAGGCGGACAGCAATCGACAGAGAGCCGTCTTCTGCAAGAATGGCGTAGTCAGTCTCGTTGGAGTTGAGCATGAACTTGCCCTCCTCTTCCATCCCACCGAAGCGAAGGCGGTGCTCTTCGAGGGTCTGCTTCGTGGATACTACTTCCAACGATCGGTCGGAAAGAAGCTCGATGAGCGTAGTGTAAGTGGCGGTGTCAGGAGTGACACGGCGACGGAGCATGTCCGAGTAGACATCTAGGGCCTTGGGGACGACCTGGTGCTTGCTCTTGGGAAGATTGATGGCCGCAGACAAGAGAGCATTGTATGCAGAGACCGACGGCTTGACGCCGGAGCGGAGCATAGACTCGAAGACGGCAGGGATGTCGCCATACTTCTGGCTCTCAGCAAGCTTCTCAAGGTGGAGAATGTGGGCATCGACCGCCTCGATAGGGCTAACAGCAATGGTTGAGTCGGTGCGGCTTAGGGTAGTCGAGTTCACCAGAGTGTCGACGTCCGATGGTGTTTCTTCAATCGCCACCTCTTTCTGGGAGACGGGCGTGCCGCTTCGAGACCGCAACGCCTCGATCTTGGCTGCCTCTTGCGCAATCGCCTCGTCGACCTGCGACAACGCAATCTCTTCGACCTGCTCATCGCTAACAATGGTTCTGAAATCGTCGATCTGACTGGTGCTGTAGGCGCGGGTCACGCCGGCGCGTGCTGGAATGACGTCCGCATCCTCATCCCCCTCCTCGACGATGACATTGCTCTCAGCCTCCGCGGGGCTCTTCGTGCCTGCAGAGGAAGGTTGCCACTCGATGAGCTTGCGGAACTGGAACTGCGACCACTCCTTGTCCTCGACATTGCGGTGCTTTTGCCATGCAGCGTAGTAGGCGGCAAGACCGGAGTCTTGCGCGTCGGGTGCGCCAAGCGCCTTTAGGGCGCTGGTGGTTGATGTAGATGCGAAAGCATGCTGGTTTTTGTTTGCGCCTGCCTTGCGGAGGCGGTCGTGGTTGAAGGTTGCAAGGGGGTTCTGCTGGGTGACTGACGCGACGACGCTCTGTGCGTATCCGTGGGTGAAGCCTTTCGCAAGACTCTGGCGCGCGAGGGTAAAGCTCTTAAAGACCATTTAGGAGACGGAACAACCCTTCGGATTGGAAGGGTGAGACTGCGGCGGTCAGCACGCGACACCGGAAGGTGTTGGGATGGGAAGGCGTGCGCATCGAGCGCGTTACCAGAGGAAGGCGTGACTCACTATTATTCTCAGGGCGCGTCGGTGTTGCAGGTTCATTTGACGACAATGGCCGCCAAAGAACGCGCTGTGGAAGGGTAGGGAAAGCGTGGGGGAGGGTCAATCGCGAGATGTGCCGACCCGTATCAGGCACAAGATGTGTGAGTGGTGAGTGGTGAGGTGTGGGAGGAAGACACAGAGGCGAGATGGCCTGGGATAGAACAACGGTAGCCTGCGCGTGGGCACAGGCAGTTTTTGGCAAGCTCGCGGAAGCCTTTCGAAGCTCCCCGTCTGGTCGAGTCGTCACCACCTCAAAAACATCCCGGTATTTTCTCTCGTGCTGACCAGGCCTAGCCGTATGCAGCCTAGCCGATGAACGTCGCAGCCCCTGGGTGATCGCCCCGAGGCCTGATCGCACTCGGCTTTACCGGCCAAGTGGATTTGGTCGGCGGCGGAAGAAACGACGGGCCCGACAGCCAGGGGCGACGACGATGCCTCTGACTCCTCTGCGATAAAAGGCCGGTTCACTTGCCATTGTGCCGCTGCACCCCGCCTTGCGCTTGGAGCAATGAGGCTTGACACAGCGGGAGCGACGGGCAGATGACTGACCAGAAGCTGCGCGCCAGTGTCATAGATCGGAGCGCACTCCCAGCAGCTGCGCCTCGACCGGCCTGCTTTATCAATCTGATTAACAAAGGCACGCGAGGCATGACTGGGACACCGTCGTGGGCCAGCGCAGCGGAGCGCACAGGCGGCGCAAAAAAGGGATGCCCTGGGTACATCTCAGCACGTAGCCGCAGCCTGTTCGCCTCGCCTCGCCCTCTGTGTTGGTCGTCCGCCCGTCACCCCGAGACGCCGCCTTGCGCCAGATCCCTTTGACGGTTCATGACGAGTTGAATTGCACCCTTATCATCCATGTCGTCCAGTCTCGCCCTTCAGCCACAGGCTGTGTCCGCACCCGGCAAGGTCTTCGTGGCGGGTGGCTACCTCGTGCTGGATCGAAAATATACCGCGCTTGTGTTTGGCCTCGACGCACGGATTCACGTGGAAATTGAGCCCATCCAGACGAAGAGCGGTGTCACTCTCAGCGAGATTATCGTGAGGAGCCCGCAGTTCCGGGACGCTGCTTGGGAGTATGGCTACAGACTGACCGAGGGTGATGGTGGGATTGCAGTCACTCAATTGCGAGCGTACGTCACTTCTCTATTTTTGTTGTACATTTCCATCTCACAATGTTCGCAATCTCATACTCTCTTTCTACATCTTCCTTCAGAGAAACAATTTCCTAGGAAATGACACTTCGCAGTTGTGTCTCAATTGCTCAATTGGAGTATTTTCAGCGAGCCTCAGGACGAGCCACCCCCATGTATTGGTTTTATTCTCTTCCTTGTCCACTTTGAGACTCCACACTTCATCTGCTTCCCCTTCTCTTCTCTGCTCCTTTCTTATTTCGATTTCCCATCGTTGTCTTCCTGCCCCTCCATGCCTTGGCATCAATTACATCAATTTTTATCTCACTTCGGGAATTTCCTTATTTGTCCTATCACGTGCGCTACCCTTCAACATCACGGACAAGCATGAATTGCTCCTGAGAAGCATGAAGACCATATACCACTCCTAATACAGCCTTTCATTTCCGTTATATCATGGCTGGCAACAGCCCGTGAATATGCCCACCTTGACTGACCGCACACCAGCTCCCACACCTCCTCCCTCAACAAAAACCCCTTCATCGAAACAGCGCTCACCTACGCCCTGACTTACATCTCCACCCTGCAGTCAACCCCCATCCCACCCTCCTCAATCAGCATCCTCGCCGACCAAGCCTACTACTCCAACCCGGGGTCCCCCCTCTCCCCGTCCTCCCGCTTCCTCAACTTCGACGTCACGCTCCCGGACGCCCACAAAACGGGCCTCGGATCTTCCGCCGCGCTGGTGACTGCCTTCACTGCCGCGGTTCTGAGCTACTACCTGCCTAAGGAGGCGTTTGATGTTGATAGCGAGAAGGGGAAGAGCGTCCTGCACAACCTTAGCCAGGCGAGCCACTGCGCGGCGCAGGGCAAGGTGGGCAGCGGCTTCGACATTGCATCCGCGGTGTACGGGTCGTGCTTGTATCGGCGGTTCTCGCCATCACTGCTATCCTCCCTCCCAGCGCCGGGTGCAGCGAGCTTCGCGGCGCAGCTGCGCTCTCTCGTCGAGGGGGACTCCTGGGATGTCGAGATCGCGAAGGCCAAGGTCAAAATGCCAAGGGGGCTGCGGCTCGTCATGTGCGACGTCGACTGTGGGAGCCAGACGCCGGGGATGGTGCGCACGGTGCTGAAGTGGCGCGAACAGAACCCCGAACTGGCGGATAGGATTTGGGGTGAGTTGCAGAGCGGGAATGAAGCGTTTGCTGCGGAGTTGACGAGGCTCGCAACTGAAGACAGCGGAGAGGCAGGAGCAGAGAAGTTCGCGAAGCTGAAGGGAATCTTTGAGGCGAATCGCAAGCTGATAAGGGAGATGAGCAAGGAGAGCGGTGTGCCGATTGAGCCGCCGCAGCAGACGAAGCTCTTGGATGCGTGCTCGGCGGTGGCCGGCGTCGTGGGTGGTGTTGTGCCTGGCGCGGGTGGGTATGATGCTATTGTGCTACTGCTCGAGGATAAAGAGGAGGTTATTGGGGAGCTGAGGAAGGTGGTTGAGGGGTGGAAGGTTGATGGGCATAGCGAGGATGGGGTTACGATTGGGAAGGTGGGTATTCTGGGCGTGAGGGAGGACATGGTTGGTGTGAGGAGGGAGGATGTGGTCATCTACCGGGAGTGGATCACTTCGTCGTGAGTGAACTAGATGAGGCTAGGGATGATCGATAGTGTATAGATGTGGTCCTGACAATGTATCAGTACCAGGCCGGAACTCGATCACTGTTATTTGTGTCGTTGTGGTGCATCTGCTGCATCCATGTATCCCGAGCAAAAGAATTGGCCCCGCCAAACGAACATCACAGCACGAACTCCGATCCAGGTGGTATGAACTTTTTGTTTCATTGATCTTGACATGGACGCCATCCCATTCCCGTAGAAGATCGCCCCGTTAAAGACCCGCCACCACATCGCCTGCCCTCCCACTCTACGATGGTATAAGGGTACATTGGATCGTGCTAGCTGGAAAAGCCCCGGCCATGCAATGCTTCATTGATAAACGTAAAGAAACAACCATCATCGCCCGCTTATGCCTTGACGGCGTACTTTCGCTGGGGGAAGTGGGTCTGCTTCTTCTTCTGCTTCTCGGTGACGAGCGAGGCCTCGTGCGAGGTGAGCCTTCGGCGGATGGCGCGCGTCTTCTTGGATCGGAGATCGAGGGGAGTGTACCTGGGACTGTTAGAGCGAGCGGGGTCGTGGCGGTGGAGGAGACGCACTTCTTGCCCTTGTAGAAGAGGCGGAGCTGTGCACGCTGGTTGGCGTTGATGACGGTCAGGACGCGAGCAATGCCCTTGCGGACATCATGGATGCGGGTGAGCTTGGTGGAGCCACCGGTGACCTTGCTAGTCCTGAGCTGGATGAGCTCGCTGGGATCCGTCAGCACTTTGTCTCTGTTGTAGCGTTGTCGTTATCGGGTGACGCACGACTTGAGCTCGGTGAGCTGGGCGCTCAAATCCTCCTTGGACTTCTTCCACAGGGTAGCGGTCTTCTGCAGCGGCTGTGAGTATGGCTTCGAGCGATGCGGTGGGTTTGAGCGCGGAAAAACGTACGACTTTGGACGACTAAAGGCATTGAGTTAGCAAAGGCTCTGTTTGGGAGATGTTGCAGAATTTGGCGGATAGGCAGCGGGACAGCAGGCTCTCGCACTGGCTGCGCAAGACATTGTCCGCAATGCGCATCTCCTCCGCCGGTAAAGAAGAAAAAATGAACGTACCATGGTGTCTGTGTGGTTAGTATGACCGGGTGGTGTGGGAATGGGCTATCGCGTGTCGTCGTTCAGAAGGTTTTCGATCGAGTGTGCGAATCTAGCGGGCTCGCTAACGGGGGTGGGTGGCCCGTGCCTTCCTTGGCCGTGCCTTCCTTGGCTGGCGCCGACCTGCCGACATCCTCGTGGCTGTGTCGTTGCATCGTCCCGTGAGTGCACTCACAACTAACTGCCCGCCTTTCAACTTTTGAAGTTCTGCAACAATAAACCATGTCCTCGACCGGTGGAGGATGGGCACAACTGCGCCAGCAAGCACGCGCTCTCGAGCTCCAGGTCCGACACTCACTCCCCGCGGACTTATCGGCCATGACCAGCTAACGAGGGATGCAGACAGAGTCGCTATTCCACACCTATTCACAGTTCGCCAACGCTCCGAATATCCCCACAAAACCATCAGACGAAGAAGTCCGAACAGAATCACATCTCGAGGAAGTACTTGAAAAGGTATAACTACCCTGCCAAGTTCACACTCTCAACACCATGCTCACCTACCATAGAGAGAAGCTCTCGTCGGCCAGCTCTCCCGCCTCCTCGACTCCGAATCCGCACACTCGTCTTCCGCCGTAAAACAAAATAACCTCGCCCGCCACCGCGAAATATTATCAGACCACCGCCGCGACCTCTCCCGCTTAAAATCTACCATCACCGATGCGCGCAACAAAGCCAACCTCCTCTCCAACGTCCGGTCAGACATCGATGCGTACCGCTCCGCGAACCCCGAGAATGAAGAGGCAGAATACATGCTGGATGAACGGAGAAGGATCGACAACTCGCATAGCATGGCCGATAACGTGCTGAGCCAGGCGTACGCTGTAAACGACAACTTCCGGATCCAGAGAGAGACGCTTTCGAGTATCAATAGGCGGATAGTTGGCGCTGCGAGCCAGGTGCCGGGGATTAACAGTTTGATAGGCAGGATTGGGGCGAAGAAGCGGAGAGACGGGATTGTTTTAGGAGGCTTTATCGCCTTCTGTTTCCTAATGTTGCTGTGGTTCTGGTGATCGATGACTGAAGGAATGACATCTCTGCCGACCTTGCGCGATGACCGAGGGACGTATCATACTGGGTCTGATTTTTGGTCAGGCGTTTGGAGCGCGCAGATATCCTCATGAATGTGCGCTGGAGTCATGGCATAGGCAGTTGCCCGTTTCTGTTGTACAACTATGTTTACATGTCCCTCTTGGGATTCTGGTATCAAATCATCCCTATCAATACAACACTGGCTCTTGCCAGACCGTCCGTATAATGCACTAGCTCATGGTGTGTGGGACCCTACGCTGAAGTCTCAGTCTTATGGGTACCCCCGTTCTTCAGGACGAGTCTCGGTTTCGACGTTGCCTGAGGGTTTCTAATTTCCTCGACACATCTCCTCAGTCCCTTCACCAAATCGTCTTTCTCCGTCCCCTCCGCATTCGCACTCCCAGCCCACCGAATCTTGCAATCCGCATCAACAAGATACACATACCCGACCCTCCCATTCAGCGCCCCAATACTCTCCCTCACCATCTGGCTCACACCCTTCCTCACCACGAAATACTTCCCCCAGTCCTCCTTCTTCCTCGTCAACCTCAACCTCCACGCGAACATCTGCACTATCCACGCCTTGAGCGTATTCTCCTCAATATTAATATCCACCTGCTGCGCCACGCCCTCGCTCTCCTTCAGGATCTCGTGCAACGCCGGGTTCTCACTCGTTCCCGTGAACGTCTTGACCTGCGCCTCGCCCCACGCACTGCTGTACAGATTCACCACGCTGACCTTGCCCTTTAGCACATTCGTTGTATCCTTGCCACTCCCCTCGAGCGTGTCTCCGTGCAGGTTGGGAAAGTACATCGCAACATCCTTCTTGAAGATGCGCGGGTTCGCGACAAAGGTCTTGCCCTCGCGGTACTTGCGGATGTTTTTGAAGTCGCGGAAGTAGTTGGTGCCCCATTTCTCGACGAGGTCCGCGCGCTTCGCGAGGTTACGCTCTTTCAGCGTCATGCCACTGTAGTCTTTTTTTACCTTGGCGGAGCCGCTGTTTTCGCCGGGATGAGGGGGTGCGGAGAAGCCGATCGGTCGGCCGAGGGGTTGGGGGACGAAGGTTTCTTCATCTTTCGGCAGCGTGGACGGTTGCGCTGGTTTGCGGAGGGTGGATGCGGAGGTGAATTGGCGCCCGGGGAGGGTTCGCGGTCGTTGAAGGAGTGATGTGCTGCGTGTGTAAATTGGCGTCGCTTTAGATAGGGAAAGTCCAAAACGGTGGGCTATCCGTGGTTGTAGCATTGTGCTGTGCAGGTAGGATGGTAGGGTTCTCGAAGTTCGCCAGGTACCGGTAATTGGAAGCTGCATGAGCGTCAAGTCTTGGCGTCGCGTGAACACTGACGCCCCGCCATCACGTCGCAATGATCGGCCACAATAAGATCATGGTTCAATTCAGCGCTGCAACATCTGGACAGCTGGGCCTGTCTATGCCCAAAATGGCAGCATGGGCCTAGTAAAGCTTGCAAATGAAATGCTCGAGGCGATGTGTACGGAGATATCGAGCGGCGACCTATACAGCTTGATACGCGTCTCGACAATATCACAGTCAATTCGAGGCCTTTGTCTATATGAACCCGGTAATCTGTATAGACTTCCGACAAAGGTGCCGCCTCGCAAGACTTTACTTTGCATGTTCACTCGCAGAGATTTCATGACGCGGGTGTAGTCCTTTGTCGTGCATGACAACGCCGCTTTGGAGGCTACATTGGCGGTACTGGCCTTGTTTGCGAAGAACCTACAGTCTATCGAAATCGTTCAGCGCCAATATCGTTTGTCCAGTAAACATGCAATTCCTCCACTGCCCTTTGTCCATCATGTTGGTCTTCCAGCAGCGAGCCAAGATCTCGATCTACTCCCACTTGCGAATTTGAAAAGACTCACCGTCGGTTTCGAAGTCAGCTTAGTACCTTTAACGATCTCGACTTCTCATGATTTAGAATGCGTCCGTATTATACATCGCATGGATATACATTTCGGGTGGGAGCGTGAACACCATGAATCGAACCGTGTTCCGACTTTCCAACTACCGGCCGTCAGCGCTTCTTCAAGTTTGCCGCCTATGGATCTCTCTCACTGGAGTTGCGATCATGCCCGGGCGATTAGTGGAGTATCTCACCGAGAGCGACTGTCGCACATTTGGAAGTCTCAAGATTCTCAATGACGAACGGCTAGAACGGCAATGGAAGGATCCGACTGAGCAGTGCCGGGAATATGACTTTCAGGGTCTCAGTGACGCCTTACAATATGCATACAACATGCACCGAATCTTGAGTGCAGCTTTCTCGATAACAATCCGCAATCGTTCAATATTTGCCCGGCTTTGAACATCTTGAGCTAACAGGAATGCCTGCGGAGACTCCCCTCGGCCGGCATTTCAGAACACAAACCGCTAGTGAAGATGGTGGTTGAGCACAAACATATAGCGGACTATCCAGACGCATTATTTTCCCCCAAGGCATCCGATGAGTCCGACAGTGCAGTGACTCTATAGTGATTCCCCCGGATGCACATAAGAGTCTTCCACCCAATTTAAGATCCTTGGGATTAAACAATGTCCAATATTGGGGCAATACTGCTGGAGTCTATGGGTTGAATGACCCCATGTGTCCGATATGAGTCGCGGGCCGACAGAGCTAAGCCAACATCTCAAGCAACAACGACTTGCATTAACACAAATTGTAGAATTGGAAATTCACATCAGCATGAAATTTTCCCGACCTCGAAGGTGCTTTTCTTGATCATCACATTGGCGATATATTTCTTGATGTGGATTCCAGCACTTAGCAGCGTCGGCGTGAAATGATTGAAAGTAGCGCAAATGAATGAGTCACGATCAGCTTATGGCGACATGATCCTGAGAAGAAGCTGCTCGCCCCAGGCTATATGGTACCGTGGCCTCATTGGAATCACCTCGTTAAGGATATCTACCAAAGGCGACGCCGATGACGTGGACGAGGAAGATGTGGGCACACATGAAGACCTAAAGATGCATGGCTAACGTTCCAGGGGCTCTGCAATATGCAAATTGCTCGATCGATGCATATAATGCACATGAAGCGGAGATACAGTTTCGCGGTCACTTGGAACACTGTCTCTTAGGGAATGCTGGAAGGGGATTTTTTGTCGATCATCTCTTTAACCCCGAATTTAGTATCTTCCAGCACCTGACTGGTCACCTACACGCCTGGTCGCTTCGAAGGCATCAAATCGCCCAATTCTTGGGCCGAAGATGCCCACATCAGAACGTAGCCAATAACGAAGGGTCGCTGGCTCTCCCTCTCGATGTAGTCTGGCCCATAGATACGGATGAGGCCGTCCTGACAAGGGACACTTGCAGCGCGTAGCAATCGCCAGCATTGGCGGAGCATCCGGAAGTAGTCGAAAGAATCCTCCACCATTTCAGCGTGCAGGAGATCGCGAATGAGACCGAGACACTTGTTGACCGAGAGCTGCTTCTTGGGTGCAAGTTTCGGTTTCCCGCCAATGTCCTTGTACATCTTCTGTGAATCCGCTTTCTCGTCAAGCTCGTACTCCCAATTACTATGCTCAAGGATTTTTTATACACCTACAGCGCGGATGTTCTTTGGGCCGTTGGCTTCGCAGATGCCGGCTCGGAAAACCTCCTTCAGACATTTCTTGGACATAGAGAGGCCTCTCTTCTTCCGAGTCGACTTAGCAGCAGCAGATGCGCCCATTGCAAGGGCAAAGCGTTCGTTTGACGCAGTCATCAGGTGTGGTAGGTGCCTCCCCTATGAAGAATTTCTTTGGGTCTTGCAGGCCGACGATTACGTCCAGACCCTTCCACATCAACTTTTTGTGACCACCACCTCCTGCCGCGTTATCAAGATGCGTATAAGACATCACCGAGCCCCAAGCGTTGACGAAAGCAATTCCAAATTCGTGAAACTGTATCATCACCCAATACTTCCACAGTTCGCACCACCAAGGGTGTTTTCAGAAAGATGGAACGGCTCCGGCGTAAATATACGACCAATCTTCGGTGTCATCTCGCGGGTCTGATCTTCGTGTACCTAGAACTCGATTGTGTCGACAAAGTGCTGCATAACATCATCATTCTGTTTGGGCTTCAGATGTTACGACCATTATTGAGCCCAAACAGAAGATTATTTTGACTGGTTTTGATGCCCTAAGGCTACATGCAAGGCAACACCGTGCTATGAGAGGGCCATTGACGAGCCATTGACCACCAGTAAGCAGCACCCAATCCCTTCCATCAATGAATATCGAAGCCATCGAACAACGTCCAACACCAATGACCGACCTTTATTCCGTATCAATGACCCACAGGTATCCAACACGAACAGACCAAATCAACCCAATTACCCAACAACCATCCAAACTCCAAGCCACCATTCACCATCCACCCATACAAGAGCGTGCTAGCACCAGGCATCGAAGGATACAACGCCGCTAGGGGTCTCAGGTGAGAGGTTGCAGGTAGGCCAGGCACGGAGCCCTCAGATTCCACACGGTCTGCAACATGAGCTGAGAATGCCCTTCGACAATTGCGCCAACCGAGCCCATACACTACACCAAGTTATATTGACCTGAGCCGAAGCCGCCACAGAACCGGGTATACATGTTTGGTAAGGCTAGTGGCGAACCGCTCATTCCCTCCGTCTTCTGGCCAACCATAGCCATGTTCATGTGTAAGCGCAAGGGGCCCTGTGGCCTCGAACCACACCCTGTACCAGTATCCATGACGTTGTATCCGATCGAGCTCAACGCTGGACCATCCGCAGATGGAGAGCGTCCATGGCCCGGTGCCATGTCCGGTGCCCAGTGCTTTCCACTGTTCGGTTCGTAGGGAGAGATGGTGGTGGTTGTCGAGTCGGACCGGCAAGAAGGGGTATCGGCATGATACAAGAGGGTGTGACCAAAGGAGTTGATGAACAAAGAAGGTGGTTGACCAAGGAAGGAGACTGCTCATGACGGAAGGCAATGAAGGTAGTTGATGGTCAAGGCCGACATGAACGATGAACCGCGATATGAGTGAGAGTGTTGTTGATTAAGGTGGACGTGAGTGGTGGTCGACATGAATAAAGGTTGTTGGTCAGGTGCGGTCAAGGTTGATGGGGGTCGAAGTGAGTGAGGCCAGGTCTGACTCGACAAGGAGGCATGATGACGAAGACCAGTGATGATGGATGAGGTCAAAGAATGCCAAGGATGTGTCTCGAAATGCAACACTTGATGTCATACATCGTGACGCTCGAAGTGGAAGGTGTGTGGAGGGAAGGAGAGAGGGAGCAGGAGAGGCAGGCGGAATTTATATACCCAGCGGGACGCGGTGGCGTCCGTGCGAGCCGACTAGCGTGCCAGGTCACGGGTGCCCCGTGCCTACAGCGAGGTCGAGGTGAAGGCGGCGGACAGAGCCTAATCAGGCTTAGAGGCGTGATCTGGAAGCTTATACGACGAGGTGAAGCTTTAATGGCGTATCTGATTAGGCAAAGCAAACGAAGTAATCAGTAGGTTTCTGGAGAGGGCGATATCGTAGCAGTGGTGAAGGTGAGAGGGCGGCGGAAGCTCGCGTGCAAGCAAGCCCGTCAGCACAGCGAGACCAACCACCAAGGGTTTTCGATAGCTTTGAAGATTGAAGATGATGTTTTCAATGAGTTACTCCGGACGTAATGTGCAGTAGATTGGGCTGAGATAGCCTCACGCATCTACGGAAGCTCACATGGATGGCAGTCGCCTAGGATTGTTGTACACACGCAAAACTTGGGGTACACCGCGTTGCCCCGGGAAGGAAAATGCGGTAAGAAAACACTCGAAGTTTCTATAAGGATTCATCCCACATGTCGCTCTTGTAGATTGCATGCATAGCATGTACCTATGGTATGGAGAAGTGACCTTGTGATCGAAATGACATATCCAGCAGTAACCTTAACTGGAGAAAGCAGGATGCGCACGCTGACATTAAGTAAGAGCATCGCTAGGAAAGAATTCATCTTGATAGACGACACCTTCGACGATAGACGATCGAAGTTTGTAAACCGCCTCTTCCCCATGCTGCCTAACACCTTCGCTGCGCCTGACCTCCCACAAAAGGCCTTGGGCGACAGTTGCTCCAAGGGCGCGCCCGCCAACAGCCACCACCTGCCTAAGTCGACACAGACATCGCTGCTGATGGGCCATCGCGTCGGTCGAATGCGACGGCAACCGAGCAGAGGGATGGCACACGAGTGACAGAGATCGTGTGAAAGATCCACACAATGACAGAAGATCATAGATACTCAAACATAGTCCTACAAAGAGGCATCAACGAGTATACGTTTTCAAGGATGTCGAGCCTGGACGAAATTGACACATAGACCTCTAGAATGGCGCTTGCATCATGGAACAATTGGGGTTGGCTAGGCAAGCACACATGTTTTGAAGAAAGCACACCATAACGCGCCGAGGAGAGCAGGTCTCGATGTGTTGGCCTTTCTGTGTAAAGCTGAGCCAATTTGTCCAGAAAAGAGTATTGGAAGTACAACAACCGAAAAGCTGTGGAGATACGGGAGCACGAAATTGTGCTCCCATGATGCTGTATTTGTCAAGGCATTCACCGTTTAGCTACCAAGAAAGACTAGATCCACCATGAGTGCGTACTGAAACCGAGGAGTCCGTCCCCACCATATCGACAGCCAGACCGGCTCCGAGCTACCAATATCTGTCTCAGCTCGCTGCATCTTCCGTTCGACGTCTGCGCGCGGATGAGTGATATTCGCCTTGACGAAGTCCCTCTACCATCGGTACAATTCACTTCCGAATACATGCACTTAGATGCCCTCATGATAATAATCGCTGGCAACAAGATTTATGAAGACATTAATACGAAAGGTGGTCTGTACAGAGTTAAAATCGGCGCTGCCAGACAACGGAGAAATCCAAGGTCGAGCCTGGAACAATGGCGCGCTGTTATTAATGTGATACATAGATGGGTTGCGGCGACTACTGCCGGAAGTATCTTCATCAGCGAAAAGACCAAAGGAATTACGACCTTAGACTGCGAGACATAGGCCCGCGGGTGTGAACTCATTACTATTACACCAAATCAATATGATGTTTCGCTCACAAATGCCGCTATGCTAATACAACACTGACATGCTCCAAAGACGCCAAATGGTATGCAAGCCCAACCTCACTGAAAATCTGACATCCCTCCACCCTTTGAAAACATGTCGGGCTTGTTCGGATTCCCGTGCTTCTCGTCCCTTATGCCATGTCGTCGTCCGAGTTACTGGCCTCAGCCGCCGTCCCCTCCTCGCTCTCATTGCTTTCGTTCGCCTTAGCTTCCTGGTCCTCTCCCACCGCGAGTGAGACCTCATTCGACACGCACTCCACGGCCTCCGCAGTGCCTTTACGTTTGTGGCCGTACGGGCTCCAGCGGCGGCCTTCAACATGTCGTTTCGGGGTACGGTTATTCGAGTTTGGGTTCTTGATGATGCTCCCATCGTCCTTGCGCTTGAACATGGTATCCAGCTGGTCGACATCGTCGGAGATCTCAACGTCTTTCTCGTCCTCCCAGATCATGAGGTTGATGCCGTTGATCTCGATAGAGCGACAGCCTGTGCGCGGCACGTGGAAGACGGCGGCATCGGCCTCGCTGAAGTCCCGGTCCCAGGTTTCCTTCTGCTGCAGCTTCGTGATGTAGTCCATGGGCAGGGTGTATAGGACGTTGTCTTCTTTTTCATACAGCTCCCTGAGTGGATAGTTTAGAACAGCTAGACCTAGTCCACAGTCGACACGTGATGAGATCGGGTGTAACCTCCCGCCAAACACCTTTAGCTCGAACGCGATACCAGATTCAGTCCACTTATTGTCGTTGAAGAAAACCTCGGGTTGTCCGAGCGGATGGTCGTGGTGCGGTCCGGAAACTTCGATGAAATGGGCCATCTCGTGCGCGAGACAAACAGCGAGAAACAAATTGAAGCGTAATACCATCGCCGGCTCGGGATACTGCAATAGACTGAGCTTCTTCGCCGTGGTGTAGAAGTCCGAGTGCAAGCATATCCGGCTGGTGTGGCACTTTCCGTTCAGCTTCCGCATGATCCCATTCTTGTAATCGGCAACCAGCCCCATTGACGCATACGCCGGGTCAGGCGGCAGCGGCTCCCGATGGAACATGAAGTGGACAGTATCCACCTGTTTATCCATGAAGTCTCTGAACGCTCCAGCGTTCTCTTCTGACCATGCTACATCTTCGACGATGCGAGCACAAGGCTGGCCATACAGTTCCGAAGTCTCCTTGCATTGCTTCCTGTCGCCAAACACAAGCGTGTGCCAGAAGGTGAAGGTTCCCCGCGAGAAGAGGAACAGGGAAGCTAGCCGAAGAGCTGGTTTCAACTCCTCGTAAATTGCATCCGAGCAGCCATGGAAGTTTTCTAAACGAAAGATGGGGTGTATCTCGTTGTCAAGTGTAGATTCTTTGACTGGCGCATTCTCCGGAAACTTGATGGCTTGGTTCTGGATTAGCTCAACCGCATCGAAACCGAGCCTGACCGACTTTCGCTTCGTAGAGTCCTTCCGATGGCCAAGGAGGCGCCTGTACTTCTCCAGAACCTTTCGATCTGCAACCTGAGCCAGATGGTGGTTGATGGAGATGCTAAGCTGGAGGCCAAAGTCCTTGGGTACTTCAATGGTCGAAGGCGTAAATGCAGCCGCATTCTCGTAGCTCAAAACATCTGGCAAGTCGCGCACAAGTCTGTCTATGCATTCGTCCATCACGGTGCCCTCTTGGAGTTTGTACAGCAGCACAGTATTGTCGCCCTGGTCCTCGATCTGATACTCCCCCTCGCCCGCATCCGGAAGAAGATGGCGCATATGCTTCGCGGTGGATGGCGGTGGTCCGCATCCAGCGGGCGGAGTCGACGTCCCAGTGGCGGTAGGTGTCCATTCCATACTATCCGGATCCTCAATCTCGAACGCTACTCCGTTGCCTGCCGCATCTGGTTCGCTCTTCTCTTCGGATGTCGGATCATTGTTCAAACGGTGCTCCAAAAGCTGGCTGACATGAATCATCGCCTCGTACGCTTTACGATAGCGAAGCGGATCCATCCTCGGCGTGTCGGCCTCAAAGATTGATGCTACACAAGAATAGGTAAAACAAGATGGGGTAATACGTGACAGGGTAGCACGGATCCTGCTATGCTGTTCCTCGTTCCCAAGAAAGGCTCTGCTGATGCAGGTTAGGCAACTGCGGTATATAGGGCTGCACCTGGTCTGTCAACAGATTGTAATCGCAGCACGCCTCTCACCAACCGAGTGTGTCGGGCGCGACACTCGTCAAAAGAACGCGAGTGCGAGGTCGCGTGATCGTACCAGGGTCGACGCGCATCAAAGGTGGAATTGCAACTCCAATAAAGAATCTTCTGTACGCAGCGCGCGGCTCAGCGGTGTTGACTTTTTAGCGTATTCCTGGCCCACAAAGCGGTGTGCAGATCAGAGGTTGAAGTCTCCTCGCTCATTTGGCCCGCGCTTCTTGTAGAAAGCTCAGAGCAAGCTCGAGCGCGACTCCAGGCAGAGATAGTGCGGCAGGCAGCCTCCATATGGCCAGGTTCCAGAGGATGATTCACTGCGCGCAGCGAGCCGGGGAAGCCTGGGGGAGCGCGGCTGTTTCGGCGCCTGCAACAATCAAGTCGAACAGAGACACAGTGCGACGCTCCAGAGCATGTCAAATACAGAAGAACAAGACAGAGAAACGACGAGTAGTGGCGCGCAGAGGTGAAGGCTGAGCAGGCAGATGCGGTCAGGAACCATGAGTTGTTGTCTCGAGCCCCAAAATAAGCGCGCAGGAAGGTGCAGGTGACAGGGTCTGCACGGGCCACTTGGCGTGCCGGATTGCACAGCATCGCGAAACCGCTAGAACCTTTCGTTAATTACGCAAGTCAACGATGTCAGTTGCGAGTCGCAAGTCTGTATTTTGGTAGCTTAAAAATATCAAACATGTCGAAGAGCTATCCTTTAGACTGCTGTGCACCTTGAATTTCTGAACATCATCCGAGAATCCCACAATATACCGGGAATCCAAATGGCAAGGGATGCATCTCAAAACGCCTATCTCCCATCGAAAGTAGTCACCTGAAGTCTTTCCCTTAAACTAGTCCGCAAACACGAAGAACAGGAACAGAAAAATATTCGTTCAAACTTTGTCTCCTCGAGGATTTCCCCATCCAGCATTCTTCCCAAACGTGTTTGGTCAATGCCTTGGCCTTCTCTCCGAACGTGGACCACTAGATCCTTTAGAAATCTCACAGCGCCATCACGTAATTTTCACTTCCCAGAAGGCGGGATAACAAAGTCGTCCGACTGGACGGTCTGTCCGCCCACGGTGGCAGCTGAAGCTAAACCGAGAAACTCGTCTCGACATACTCTTCGTAGGACCGGAAGTACACTTGCCTGGCAAATAAGTTGAGCTGTGTGATCAAAGAGCGTGGGACATCAGGATTGAACGGCCGGCCAATTGGGTATAGACTGAGATCATCGAGAGCTTTGTATGTCTTGTTGCAGCGCATTGCACATATATGCAAAGTTACATGCGAGGAGGTCCGAATGCGCTCAAGCAGCTGATCAGCTTCAATCGGACTGATGATCACTAGCACTTCTGCCTTCTTCAGGCTTGCTTAGGTCTTCGCTCGGTAGGGGGACCTGCCTGTACGACAGAGAGGATCCACTGGACAGGCTTGTGGAAAGAGTCAGACACAAAGAATTTGGAGGGTAGTCGCGCTGATCGCTTCACGTTGCGGCTGTAATCCTCTGTCACCAACAATTCGGTTGGAAATTGGTCAGTATCAAAGGACTTGGCAGCGCTGACGTTCTTTATAGTTTTAAAAGCCGTATTGAACGTCCTGGATCTTGTAGCGATTATGCCTCCATCTACAGACTTCATCAGGGCGGTATCCAGAGTGTGCTGCTCCTCGGACGTTCGATATATCGTTCTTCCTCGACCTCCGGCGCCAGTTCCCGTTCCTGCTCCTCTTGGAGTGTGGCTGAGGTCGAAGCTATCATTTCAAATTCTCGGCACCGTTGCAGAATATCCTGGATAATTTCAATCTTCTCCGTCAACGTCCCTTTGTCCGCTTCGGCTGATGATGGACGGGGGCGGTAACGATCTTCCAATGTTTGAGAAAAGCCCTCTACCTCTTCCCGCGTGATTACTAACCCACGGAACAGGTGCTTGAGTTTCTCATGCCGTTGGCCTTGACTCGCCCACAAAAGCATGCCGCGGCTGAATTCTGCACATGTTTCCCTGATAGTCCAAGCCAAGACATCGGAGACATTGATGTCGGTCGCTACGGCTTTTGACGTACATTCTAGGATCTTTCCCTCGATTTCTTCAGGCACAGAAGACTACGGACTGTCCCTTCCCGAGTTTCCGCATTCTCATGCAAGCCTGAACTAGCCTGTCTTTCGTGAAAATTGCGCCGAGCGTGACGGCTGCGCGATTGTGTTTTGGAAGTTTAAGGTCAATTCCGCGAGTGTGCGCCTCGTCGAGGTAGACTAAACATTCGTCAAGTCGTTTTAAGAAAGGGGATACCTGCAGGGCTTCTTCCCTTCCAGTGCGGTTATGAACATCAGCTCTTCGTCGTTGTTGAAGAACAACGCAGCTTGTGCGGTAGCGTTACTCGAGATGGACATCCATTTCTGAGCCACCTGACGATTTTCCACATCCAGGATATGGGCACCGACATCCAGAATGACCTGAACCGGTGGAGTTATGGAGTCAGCAATGGATAAGAGATGCTCCCCATCTGAGACAGTACCATCAGTGCCGAGCTTGGGGTTAATCAATTCGACCGCGTTGCAAGATGACGCGAATGAGCAGCCACAGTGGCGATCTTCGCCATAGTGGGCCAGTAGGGGAGTAGATGATATCCTCGCGTGTGTGCTTCTGGATGATTTTTGTGGGCGTAGGTGTGCCGAGAGCAGAGAGAAGACTGACAAAGTGATCTGTGACGAGGTCCGGATGAGTCGGTGTGATGAAAGCAGCATGATCCGTTCCTGTCTTCCCACCTCCGAAGCAGAATTCTGGAACTTCGTTGCAGCTCAACCGTGCAATGTGACGAGCTAGCAATTCTACTAAGCCCTCGTCCAAGATACGATTGATGTGAATGCTGGAGGCGTGGGCTGGAAACGATCGTATCAGTCGACCCTTAGTGTTCATGATTTGCTTATCCTCGGGAGAGAGCTCGAAGACTTCGAACACAATGCTATCCTCAACTCACCTTATGAGGATTCCCGCATTCTGTGCCTTTAATTGTAGTGGAACGGCGGCCGCATCATTGGTGGTGGCGGGCGTGCACAAAGAATTGACTAGCTACTCCTCAGCGATGTTCCCCTTGGTGTTGCGGCTATTGCAGAGACTGGCGACCGCTGAGATGGGAGAGTCCTTGAACGAGTACCGGCTCTGTGCCGCTAATGTTGCTTCGCAAGTCTCAGAAAGCTGCTATTGTGCATTCCAAGAGAACCTACTCATTTGCAGGTTCCATGTCGTTACCTTGCGGAGCTTGGGAGGTAATACCGTGTGTCTGATGAGAAACTCGGTTGCAGATCGTTGGTCAGCCGCAATAATTGCTGGAAAGCACTGGGCGGTAGACACAGTAGAAGGCCGAGGCAAAAAGGGACAGGAAGGGCGTGTGAATGGCGGTACCATACGGCAGCGAGCTGGATGCTCGACAGTTGAATAATGAGTATGTCTGCGGATACTGAGACAAGGACGGTTGTAGAGAGCCGATCAAAGGTTGAATGGAAGCGTAAAAAGGTGGCGGTAGGGTTAAGGTAAGAGAAGTGAGATGCGGCGGTGACGGCTGTAGTCGGACGTTACTTGGAAACTCAAGTGAAGCAGAAAAGATATCCTGTTCAGGCTAACCTTTTGCATCAATCCTCCCGAACGCCTGGCGATTCGGTGATGTCGGCTTCACCTCGAGTTGTGTCGCTCGGTTCATGGTGGGGATGATACAGGCCTATGTCAATATCGACTCGATGGTGAACGCGGTAACAGTCGCAGAGAGGTGAGAGTTGGAGCAAAAGCACAGGAATGATGCAGTCGTCCTACCGCGAGCATGTCAGCCCAGCCGCCGAACTCGTGGCCAATCGTACTGCCGCCTCCCGCTGTGTAAAGTTGGCAAACGCCCCAACAAGCTGACCGTGTCGCCTAAGCCTCCTCTTGGAACACTCTTTTCTCGTACCACCGTATGTGATTTGTCCCTCATCTGCAGCGTATCATGATTTACGCGTGAATCGCGCCCTAGCACTGAAGGAAGTTGCGTTTGTTAAGTCGTTCCTAGCTCATCCTGACGACGCAAAGATGGGCCACTGCCAAACGCGCCGGAAGGAAGCGACGACGCACTACAAACACTTGGATGAGCATGGCGCACTGAAAGGAATGAGGACTTTGTACAATCGCCCAGGGGCCGGTGCATGAGGCTCGTTGCAAGAATATTTAGAAACGGACGTCCAGGCTATATTTACTTCTATCACTATTTCCCCTCATCCATTCCTGTTCAGAACAATCTACACTCAGTGACTGTAAGACGACGTGCACACTGTATGATCAGGAATTAATGTCGGGGGGCACTTTTGGCGGGTGTATGTGGGCTTGGGTAAGAGCTGCGAGGCCCGATGTTCTTCAATGCCCAGTGCAGCTGTGCAGGTCATGCATCGTAGCTTCACGACACGAAGTGTCTCTCAGTCATCATCGTCGGAAGACGCGTATCCCAGATCCAGCAACACCGGCTTGCTCGGCAGTGGAGGCGCCGAGACTGCCTTGGAAGATGTCGCTCCCGTCGCATCAGCCTTCGCTGCGGCTGCGGGCGGAGCTGCCTTCTCAACCTCCCCTTTCTTCTCCGCATCCTTCTTGTCATCAGACGCCTCGTTCGTCTTCCTCAGCTTCACGCCCTTCAACAACTCCGGTCCCTTCTTCCTTTTCCGCCCATGCGCCACCCAATGCGCATGTGCTTCATCTTCCTTCGCGCCCTCGGGCGCCTCCGCTTCCAGTGCCTTCCTCTCCTCCTCCTCCCGCCGCCTGCGAAACGCGTCCAGCTGCTCCATCGTGTCCTTCCGCACCTCCGCCTCCTTCTTCCGCGAAGCTTCTAGCACCGACTCAAGGAACTCGGCTTCATCGTCGTCAAGCGCGCGATACTGATTCTTCAAGCGCGTGGCTTCTTCAAAGGCATCTTGTTTGGCGGCTTTCGATCAACCTAACATGTCAGTCAGACTCGCTACATGTCCGCAGAATGACAAGGTATCACCTTTGTTCGCCTGCAGCACCTCGTACAGCGACTTGCCGTCCTGCTGCTTGTCGCGGTCTTCCCTCTCGAGCCGCTTCGCTTCGAGCTCGGCCTGCGCGGCGCGCCACTCGTCGTCGCGCTCGTTCGGCGCGTCAATCGTGCCGCCAGACACAAAGCCGCTGGACATGATTGCGGAATCAGCCGCGCCAGGACGCCGGGGTGGGTGTGGGTAGCTTTCGTGTGGAGGTACCTAGACGCGGGACGTGACATCGGGTGGGATACTCGAATGAGCCGACGGGGCTAGGCTCCACCGCTGCGGCCAACTCCGCCGCTGATTCGTGGAAGGCGGGCCACAGCAGTTCTTCCGGTGGCTGTTGTTTCCGCGCTTGAAGCGTGTGGTGGGGTGGCATGGCAATGCTTTGGGGCCTATGATGAAATGCGCATACGTCTATGCGATTGCGACCATGATGGCGAGGGGCCTTAAAGCTCTGGTGCCCCTCCTTCCAGCCCACTCCCACTTCCTCAACGCTTCCTCCGTTTGATTCCCATCTTTATACTTCTGCATCCGTTGAATGCTCCGCACGCTTTCTAGAATGGCTCCCAAGAACTGGACCAAGGAGACGTTTACGCTCAACACGGGCGCGAAGATTCCTGCGATTGGTCTGGGAACGTGGCAATCCAAGCCCAATGAGGTCCGCGAGGCTGTGAAGGCTGCTCTCCAGGCGGGTTACAGGTAGCATCTAGTCGATAGAGAACACACGAAGGCATTCTGAAACATGACAGGCACATTGACACTGCGCTTGCCTATGGCAACGAGCACGAGGTCGGTCAAGGCATTAAGGACTCTGGCGTACCCCGCGAGGAGATATGGATCACCACCAAGCTCGACAACCCATGGCACAAGCGCGTCGAAGAGGGAATCAACTCCTCTTTGAAGAGCCTGGGCGTCGACTATGTTGACCTCTACCTCATGGTAGGTCCCTCCAGATATCCCATCTACGCCTCAACTAACAAAACCACAGCACTGGCCCTCATCCACCGACCCCGAGGATCTGAAGAAGCACTACCCCGACTGGGACTTCACCGATACCTGGCGCGAGCTTCAGAAGCTGCCCGAGTCGGGCCGCGTCAAGAACATTGGTGTCTCCAACTTCGCCATCAAGAACCTCGAGAAGCTCTTCGCCTCCAAGGACTTCAAGACGACGCCCGCCGTCAACCAGATCGAGCTACACCCCAACAACCCCTCGCCCAAGCTGCTCGACTACCTCAAGGAGAAGGGCATCCACGCCACCGCCTACTCGTGCCTCGGCTCAACCGACTCACCGCTATACAAGAACGAGGAGCTCAAGAAGATTGCCGAGAAGAAAGGCAAAACCGTGCAGCAGGTCCTGTTGATGTGGGGTCTGCAGCGCGGAACTTCCGTCATTCCCAAGAGTGTGACCGCGTCAAGGATCCAGGCTAACTTCGAAGTCGACGGCTGGGAGTTGACCGAAGAGGAGCAGAAAGCCATCAGCGGGCTTACCGAGAGGTTCAAGGTCTGTGGCGATTCTTGGTTGCCCGTGAAAGTCTTCTTCGGCGACGATGAGTAAATTTTGTAAACATTTTGTAACGATCTGATGAGCCATATACCTAGATAGACCATCAAAAGCAATGATGCATATGAAAGAACACTCTTAGACTCGTCAATGTTTTGTGAGCTCAACCCTGCCAATCCAGCGCAAGGATTGACCCACTCCTCCACGACCCACTAAGCCCACCGAAATGTCACGCAGACATCTACTTTTCTTATTCCTACTGCTGGCACTGCATGTATTGACTTCCTTCGTACTCGACACCTTCTCTATTCACGCCTCAAGGTCCACTTCCGGAAGGCAGCTGCTAACTCAGGAAGCTCAGCCGTTCCCAATCCACCCGGGGCGCCGCCACTCACATATCTTCCCCACTTTCGGCTCTCGTCAATGCTGTTTCTCTACCATGCGATCCGGACATTCGATCTAATGTGTAGTACAAATAGCGGCACCAGATCTCCCGCTTGGGTCGCTTAAGCACAATCCCGCAGTTGGTGCTCACGTCATCAGCTGACGCGAGCTCACGAACGCCTCACACCCCACAGCGATCTTCGCGTCCCTCGTGTGGAGCAACCACAACCGGAAAGTAATAGTAAACCTTACTTTGCATATGCGACGGCGGCTGATCATCTGCACTGCTTTAGGCCATTACGAATTATAGTATTGGACCATCGCGAATCGAAGTGTAGATCGGCGAGCGTCATATTGTGGACGTATAAATTGGAATAATAATGCATTTCTCACGCAGACGATAATCAAGGAATATTCACTCAGTTTGACCAGTTTCATAATGCATTCGCGGACGTTACTTCTATTATCATGGGCGGTATTCACTCTCGCCGCATTACCGTCGACCACTGACTTCGACCACTTGGACCCTAAGGACATAATCGAGCGAGATGTAGCTATCATTGGTGGTGGCTCAGCAGGAACATATGCTTCCATCAGCCTCAAGGACAAAGGTAAGTCTGTCATCGTGATCGAGAAGAAGAACCGCATCGGGGGCCATACGGAAACATACATCGATCCCGCGACCGGAAAACCGATAGATATGGGTGTGGTGATATTCCACAACCTCACCATTGTCCGGAACTACTTTGCGCGGTTCGATGTTCCCCTCATCACGGCGGGCTCGGACTTGGGATCAAGCTCTGACTCCGTCTCTGCAAACTACGATCTACGGACGGGCGAAGAAGTCAAGATCATGACTCCAAGCCAGGCGAATATATCTGCTGCATTCGCCACATATGCTCAATTCCTGGAGAAATACCCCCGCTTGAACGACGGCATGTTCCTTCCCCACCCTTTGCCCAACGAGCTTGTTATGCCATTCGGCCAGTTCGCAAAGCAGTACGGAATTGAAGACGCCGTCGCTACGATGTTCATCTATAACGCTGGTCTCGGCGACATCCTCACCGTCCCTGCTATCGAGAATATACGAGTATGGGGAAAAAGCCTCGTGCAGCAGCTCTCGGGCGGCTTCCTCACTACCGCCCACCATAATAACAGCGAACTCTATTCCAAAGCCCAAGCCGAGCTCCTTTCCGCACGCAGCCTCCTCCTGTCCTCGGAAGTCACTTACTCCTTTCGCCGCGCCTCCGGCATAACCCTCATCGTACAAACCCCCGAAGGCCGCAAACTCGTCAAAGCAAAAAAACTGCTCATCACCATCCCGCCCAGCCCCGATCTCCTCCAAGCCTTCGACCTCTCCCGCCGCGAGCGCAGCACATTTAGCAAATTCATAAACACCGGCTACTACACCAGCATCCTGCGCAGCACCGGCCTCCCGGACAACCTCAGCATCACCAACGCCCGTCTCGACACCGCGTACAATCTTCCCACCCTCCCGGGCCTCTACAGCATCGGCCGCACCGCCGTCCCCGGCCTTAAAATTGCATATTACGCGACCCCACGCTCGACCTCGACGTTTCCGCTGTCCGACGCCGACGTGAAGGCGAACATCATCGCCGCGTTCAAGAAGCTGCAGCGGGCAAACCCAGACAAATTCAAGAATGAAGAGCCGCGCTTCGTGGCGTATAGCTCGCACTCGCCGTTCTACCTACAAGCACGACCGGAAGACATCAAGAGAGGGTTTTATGAGACGTTGTATGGACTTCAAGGGGAGAGGAATACGTATTGGACGGGTGCGGCATGGAGGGCACATGATAGCAGTGATATCTGGCGGTATACAGAAGAGGAGGTGCTGCCGGGGTTGATCGAGGGGCTGTAAAGTAGCACATGATAGCGTGCTGGTGTGAATATGTGTCATGTATGCAGCCGCGAATTGAACTGAGAACGTTTGCATTGTTTATGTGTGCTCCAGTCTCGGTGTTTAAACTGTCTCCATATCTCCCGTGGTCGATTCGTGAAAGTGTAGGTGACACGCAAATGGCTGGAGAAAGTAGGGAGATGGACAATACTGTCTGCCTCTCGCGTGATCCATAGAGGAGCGGATGAGCGATTTGAGGAGTTTGAGACGGATGTCGACCAGACCACCAGTAGATTGGTGCGATGCCGAACAAATGTAGGTTTATAAGGGCCAAAGGACACGAATGGCACAACAAAATGACGCTGGGACGTACGTGTTCGTTCGGAAGCATGCGCTAGCTCGTTGTCATAGTTGTATGACCTAGAGAAGTAATTTCTGACTCAGAGCTTGATCTCTGCAGTCAGTTCGATTTATATAGGAGGATTGCGATTCTTGTTAATACACGAACGGCGATGAGCTGTGTGATTCTCGTGGGGGGAATACGTGGGGGCACATGTCCCTGTGCCGCTCCGACGTGAGCACGATCCAGTCGAGTACCGGTCATATATCGTTCAAACTCAAAGCGAAGTATTCCATGGACCCGGAACAGACTGATTCGGTTGCCTGGGGCGTGTCTTTCAAGAGGCCAGGCGAGCCACTTGTCCTGAGACTGCGGGGATCTACTGCGGTTGGTGGAAGGGCACTGAGGGATTGGTTAGAAAGCGACAGGGAAGAGCTGGAATAGTCATGATGGATCGGGGTGCGACTACGACCACGGTCTGCCTTTCGACAGTTGTTTAGATCATGATAAGATTGAAGATGAGGAGTCAAGGGAGTATGCTTGTACAGCTCAGACTTTTTGGACGAAGAGGACAATGGAATATCGGAGCCCTGATTGATAAATATCCGTACCCTTGAAGACGGGAATGCATCATCTTCAATGACGGAGTGCAGTGTTCTCTACGTGTTTATTTTCGCTGCCATGATAACGTTACGTAGCAACGTGGTTGAAGACGGAGTAAGATAGAAGGTGCTGCCTCGTTTACGTAATCAAGTGAACATGCTCCGACCACCCCAAGCTCACATCTCGAGCTTCAAGCTGCGGCTATCACCTCGCAACCCACACAATGGCGTCGCGCACCCGCCTGGTTGCCTCCACGGCTTCAGGCCTAATACGGGCTTCACGACCGACCCTCGTGTCCCGAACAGCGGCTCCTGTTGCCCTCCGCACCTTCTCTCAGACACACTCTCCCGCCGCTCAAAATGCCACCGGAAACCCGCTCTCGTCCTTCATCAGCGCAAACTCGCCACCCACCTACTTCTCCTCCTCGAAGAGCCTACCCGCCAACACAATTATCCGATTCGTCCCGCAGCAAACAGCATGGATTGTCGAGCGCATGGGCAAGTTCCACCGGATACTGCAGCCTGGCCTGGCCGTGCTGCTCCCGGTCATCGACAGGATCGCCTACGTGAAGAGCTTGAAGGAGAATGCACTTGAGATCCCGAGCCAGAGCGCGATCACAGCAGACAACGTGACGTTGGAGCTGGACGGCGTGCTATACACTCGGGTTTTCGATGCGTACAAGGCGAGGTACAGAAACCTCCCTCCCAGCGTATGAGCACGGGAACTGACTCAGGAATAGTTACGGCGTAGAAGATGCCGAGTACGCCATCTCACAGCTCGCACAAACGACGATGCGAAGTGAGATCGGTCAACTTAGCCTCGACCACGTGCTCAAGGAGCGCGCCAACCTCAATGCCAACATCACCGCCGCAATAAACGAGGCCGCCCAGGACTGGGGCGTCACCTGCCTGCGCTACGAGATCCGGGACATCCACGCGCCCGAGCCCGTCGTTGAGGCCATGCACCGCCAGGTCACCGCCGAGCGCTCCAAGCGCGCCGAGATCCTCGAGTCGGAAGGTCAGCGGCAATCGGCCATCAACATCGCAGAGGGAAAGAAGCAGTCCGTCATCCTCGCCTCTGAGGCTCTGCGTGCCGAGCAGATCAACATGGCAAGCGGAGAGTCGGAGGCGATCCTGCTCAAGGCGACTGCTACCGCCCGCGGAATCGATGCTGTTGCACAGTCAATTGCACAGGGCAAGGACGCCGCTCAGGGTGCGGTTTCCTTGTCTGTCGCAGAGAAATACGTAGACGCATTCGCGAAGTTGGCCAAGGAAGGCACGAGCGTCATCGTGCCTGGAAACGTGGGTGATATCGGCGGCATGATTGCCAGCGCCATGGCTGTCTACGGCAAGGTCAACAACGCGAACGCGAAGAGCGTGGCGTCGAACATGCTCCAGGGGGGTGAGGACACGGCTGCAGGGAGGAAGATCGCGGAACTTGAGGCGCAGCTCGAGGAGGTGGAGAACGGCACGGGTGACGTGCAAAATGCCATCAGCAAGGCCATGGACCAGCGTTTGAACAGGAAATAACTAAATAAACGGGTATGAAGGGGAGAATAGGATAAGGGAGTGGGAGAATGGAGTAACAGTCGTATAGTGTATATTACCAGGCTGTATAAGTACGATAGCGCGCATTGGGTTCATTGGACAGGCCGGCAGGTCAAAAGTCAGCCTTCTTCCGTATTCGAGTTCTCCTCTCAGCTAGGACAACTCCTCATCCATATGTCAATAGCAAGGTGGATGTTCTATCTCACGTCTCGCACCTGGGTATGTCAAGGTCCATCGCACCCCGTCATCGTGTGTCAACCTTCGCCACGACCTCAGCAATCAAGTCCGCCACCTGGACCCCATCCTCCCACACCTCGTCATGTCCCCTCACCAAATCCCTCGCATCGACAACCTTCTCAGCCTCCGCCTCTCGACCCTGCGCACCCCGCACCCATCCCTCCTCCGCATATCGCTCAAGCATCATCTCCCTCTGCTTCGGCTCCACCAAGTCATCCTCCGCACTATACCCTAGCACCGCATGCGTCCCCCACAAATTCCCTTTCCCAACCCTCGCCGGGGACACATCCCTATGAACCACTTCGTCCTCGCCAAAAGCCCCCGCAACAATGTCCGCATATATCGCCGCGATGTTCTCCGGACACTTTGGCGGCTTGTGTTCAGCCAGGAAGGTAGGCACGTCGTAGATCCCCGCAAGCAGAACCATTCCTCTCAAGTCGTCCTGAATCCCTCTCTCCTTCTCCGTACAGACAAGCGGCAATTGCAGCAACAGCGTCGCTCCGCAGGAGTGCCCGACGCCGATCCACCTCTGCACACCGAGCTCCTTGACCAAGTAGGTAAGCGCGTCTCGCACATCTTCCACGTGCCGCGGATGCATGACGTTCCTGTCTTGATCGTCTGGCGCGCTGGGATCGGTTGAGTGGCTTGGATATGGAGACAGGCGGTAGTTGAGCGATGCGATTCCCGCTATCCTGCGTTCACTACTCTGCTGGAACAAGCCTGCGTGTTTGTCTACCAGGGCACGTAGCGTGGGCACCACGCAGAGAGAGTCTTGCGTGGGGTCGCGCCAGGCGCCGCCATGGACGTAGATGATCCAGAATCCCGTGCTGGATGTGGAAGGGGTTTTGCCGCTGTTCTGCTGGGAGGGCAGCCAGATGTCGAGGGTTTGGAGGCACGTTGGCGAGGCTTTGTAGGCGATGGAGCGGTGACATAGGCCGGGGATGTCGGGATCGCGGGAGTAGGTCATGGTTGGTGAGTAGGGTAGTGTTGTGATCGCACCAGACGTATGGAGCTAGGATTGATGATGTTGGCGGGGTTGGAGCGATCGTCAGGTACCAGCGGGCGTTATCGATAAGTCAACATGGTTACGAAGGTAGATGCTAAGAATTTATACGATCTTTGCGGTTGGGGAAATTCATGGCGCGAGGGTCGTCTGCAAAGGTTTGTTGAGCTGCGACTTCATAGCATGAGATTCAAGGAGGGGTCTTTTCTAATGACGAGACTCGATCTCGTTAGCCACGTGCGTATGTAAAGGCTGGGACTATCCGAAGTGCCTGTGTCGGACGAAGACATGTATTAGGGGTGTGAGGTATTGATTGTGAAAGATACTTCTAGGCGTCTGCGACGTCCTCGATCATGCGGCCTACCTCCGTCGCGCCTTCCCCAACCGAAAGTACACATCACAACCAGAAACGATGACCACTTGATCCGACTCAGTTCCATTTCACCTCGCGGTGACTATTATATACCTAATAATACCTGTGTCCTATCGATCCCCCATCCAGCCAATATTACCGCTTCAAAACATAATGTCAGGTCAAAGCGCCATGCAATGCACCCAGAGGTATCTTAAAGGATCGAACAGCAGCTACCCAATGTAGCCACCCACGATGAAGCAAACAAATCTTTTTTCGTCAAATGACGTGCGGCGCGTAACGAAGTCAAGTCAGAACATTGAACTGTTTACAAGAAAGCAGCGAGGAAGGCGGCACCAAGGAAGCCAGAGGCAATCTGGACGTTGGCAGCAGCACCAGGGGTGGAGGTGGACTGAGCACCGGTGCCAGTGGCACCGGAGCCGGTGGCATCAGAACCAGTGGCCTCAGCGCCGCTGCCAGAGGCCTTTCCAGTGCCGGAGGCCTTGCCGGTGCCAGTGGTCGCAGAGCCAGTGGCGGAGTTGGGCGAGCCGTAGACGATGGTGGTGGAGTTGCTGGCGGAGACAACGACCTGGATGGTGCTGTTGTTGCCAACGGGAATGACAACGGTGTTGATGCCCGAAGGCTGGGCGGGGATGGAAGCGCCAGCCGGGAGGGAGGTGACGAGCAGAGGAATCGAGGTGTCAGCGGCAGGCTGGGCGGGGATCGAGGTGTCGACAGCGGGCTGCGAGGTTGCGACAGCGGGTCCGCCGGTCACGACGCCGAGAGAGTTGGTCTGCTGGAGGTAGGAGGTCTGAGGAGCAGGGTCGATGGAAGACTGGTCATTGTTAGAAGGAGCAATCGATTTGGGAATGAAATAATCTTACGGAAGCAGCCTCGGAGGAGGAGTCCTGGGCGAAAGCAACGGCCGCGAGGGCAGAGACGAAAGCGTAGGCGCGCATCTTGAAGTTTGGTGGTTTGGGATTAAAGTAAGGGACTGGTAAGTATTATATGATGGAATCAACGATGGACTTGCTTCAACGTCTGGTAAGCGACAGGATGGATGGACCAAGTGAATGGATGAAGACGCAACACTCTCAGGAGACGCGTCGCCTTTTATTTGAGCTCATGGGGCGTCCAGCCCTGCTCCAGCCTGCAGGCCCGATTGCTCCCCTGTTTTCGCTTCCCTGCGCCACCCTGGCATAGCAACGGCGCCGTCGGGGGCCCCACAGCCAATAATCAGACGGCCTCGCCTGAACGCTCCAGCCATCCCGTGGCAATGCTTGCTTTCCTCATTTCCATTTCGGAAGTCGTGCGGATCGAGCTGCTGGACGCGCCGTTCGCCGTCATGTCACTGCTGTCCGGCGTGCGAGATGGTCGTCACAGTGCTCGACGCGGTGCCCTCTCGAAGTCGTCAGTTCGCCTGGTGATCCTGTAGACGCGCATTTGTTTCAGGCAAACAGTCGCTAGCTCGAAGGACGCCATGTTCCCTCGGAAACGCGCCGTCCTGCTGTCTCGCGTCGATCACGAAATTATGGTCCGTCAGCATCACGCAACCTCCGCACCCACGGCCCCTCTCCCGTCTCCCCTTCGAGTAGTCAATGTCGCTGAAGAAACATGACTCTAGTAAAGTCTCCTTTCCAGCAGTTTCTTGAAGATGAACTGCATTGTGAAGCTCTCCTCCAATATGCCTAATAATAGCCACCGTCCCGTTCAGTATTGGAGACCCACAGAAACTGGTCTGTGTGGGCCGCCAACGGGCCACAGCTCGTACAACAACTGGAGATCGCGATCACGATTGCCACCCTCCCAATATTTCAATATTTCGTTGTGCTTCTTCGATGTTCGCTACTTTATTTCATTCGATGCTGGGCATCTGGATTGCATCAAGAGCGCGGGTGTGTCGCAAGCTTACGACGCCGTGTATGCTGGCGGGTGGGGTAGACACAGGTTTCAAGCGGGAGCTGAGCACAGTCGCCGGTAGGAGGCGCAGACCGGACGTGTCAACCATAAAGCGTGCCGTGTCACGTTCTGCTCCGTGACCAATGGAAATGTCATTATGCGGACGGAGGTGGAAAATACTGGAATGTGTAAAGGGTTGTATGACAGCGCGAAACCCACTACCCCAATCTGTTGAGGCCCTCCTCACTGGAAGCCGAATCTGGAATGAGAATCCAACGGAACCTCTGCGGAGGTGTTCCAGCGTTCATGCCTCCTAATTATGAGGTACTTACAGCCTGTTCTTGTTTGCAATTATCAGACAAACGGGCGAGTATATCGGTGACTGATTTTACTGCAAAGGATGCCTATGAAATTAACGCAGTACACGCTATTCATACTATAAGTCCTCGAAACCCATCAACACGTTTATCTCAGGACACCAGCCGGTAATAATTTTTCTCATCTTGTATGTCCTCTTCACATCAATACGACAATCCTACGGCTTGTGTTTACGACCGGGAGTGTAGTTTCTGTGCAGCCTTCTTCTCCACCGTGTACCTGATCTCCGACAGCACTTCTCCATGAACGTATCCAGAATCTAAGAAGATTGGCTTCGAGTCGATGGGCGCTTCGTAGTATCGCTGAATTTGCAGTACGGTGGGGTCGTCGGTCGTCGTGTGCTCAGTAAGAAGATAGTAGTACACTAAATCGCGCAGCTCGCGCGGGCATTTGGTGTAGAGGGTAGCAGTGAGTGAGAGCGAAGAGATGCGGGAGTATGGCTGGATGGCGGAGTCAAAGGTCTTGTCAAAGGAGACGAGTTGTCTAACGGCATCGAGAGTCAATTTCGAGGGCTTCATCCGTGCCTCGACGCTACCTACCGTTTCAGCATGTACAGGTGTGCTTCCAACGGCTTCACCTTCTCATGACACGAACGCCTGTGCTGGATCAAGCGTTTGGTCACTGTTGCTCGTGGACCCTCCCGCCTTTTGGCTGGTCCGATCTCTCGATCGGCTTTGCGGATCTTCGCCTTGAGCTCTACTATTCTGTAGCTGTCAGTTGAGCTCCGAAGATTGCCGAGCGACTTGCTTTTTGTAATAGCAGGTGTGCTCTATTCTGACGCATTTCCACCACGCCGTTAATTGTGGCATCACATAATGACCAAGGTCGTCGTTGGGATTGTGGGTGAAAACGGGTGTAGCGTTGTTGGTAAAAGCCATCGTGGCTTTGCTTGAATTCTAGGTTTTACAGAGCGCATTTGCATTGCAAGTCGACGCATGAAGAGAGAATGCAGTATTGTTGATGATATACTTTCCAAATTCGAAGAGATAGTCCCATGTCTTCTTAAAGTAATGGGGTCTGTGACTAAATGTACGTGCATAATGAGTCAGGTCATCCTCCGCCCTTTCAGTGCTCCTAGTACAGTCCCTCTGTGGGAAGGGCAGGATCTCGGCATAGGTTTTGTTGCAGCCTGGGGCGCTCGCAAGACATTGTTGCCTGTGCAGTTTCGCGATGGCTGGACAGCCTCTTCTCGCGGACAGGCTGCACTCCGCCGGGGCCATCGTGCCGGATAGGCTCGCTAGCACGTTGTCGCGCGGCCGCTGTTCGAGGATAATGAGTAGAACAATTGCTCGTTTGACCATACTCTGTTTCATCGAAATGGGAATCGCGAAAAGCCATAGTCTGGATTCGGCAAGAGCCTCGGGTAGTTACCGGTAAGGCCTCCTTTGCTTGCGCCACAACACCGACCTCAGCACCACACTGCCACCGCAACGGAACGACGATTCTCAAAGTGCGGCAAGCACACGCACCTATTCAATGAGATTAAATCAGCTGAAGTCCGATTGACCGAAGCTGCTCTGACGTTTGCTTCAATGATCCCAAGCTGCACATGTGGCAACTGACAGATTCCCTACGCCTGCCAGATCGCGCAGCCTCGCCGGCAGCCTCCAATTAACGTTACAACCTTCAGTGCTATCTAGCGAGCGTTACAGCTGTCTGGTGCAGCTTAGCACACCACAATCTCTATACCATGGTAGTCAAGTACTTGAGCACCATTTGTGCGCGGAGTACAAAGTAAAACGGTAGTAATGAGTGCTACATGTGCTCTTCTCATCGCATGGGAATTGCCAAAAACCATCATACCACGACGTACCAGACTTGCTAAAAATCCCTTTGCAGGAACTTTATCGAATGGACTAGTATGGCTCGCGGCAACGTGCATCACATACTAGGGAAATAGGTTTAGCACTAGCAGAGCACCACCAGCACTTGTAAAAGATATCTTTCCCTAGTTCCAAAATGTAGTTGAACACCCGGTGGTCCTTCGCAGCCCGCAATGATCGTATTCTCCGAGCGGCGCCGCCTTACGGTCGCAGTGTTTGCCTTTGCCGCAACCACGCTCCTCTTCCTCGCACTCCACCAGACCCACGCTACCGAGGCGATCCGCGTGCGTATCGGTATCGGCCAGAACCGCTTTGGAGGCACAAGCCATAACAGGCCAACTAACGACATCTACCGTACCGGCTCTGGCTTCTCAAATGGATCTGCCCCCGTCCTCGCAACCGGCAAGGAGAGATTCGCATACGTGACATTCCTCTCCGGCACAGTGGATGCCTCCGATGATTTGGACGAAGATTACTACTTCGTCGCCACGCGAATTCTCTTGTGGCAGCTCCTGCACAACCCCCAGACGCGGACCAGTGGCATCGATGTCGTAGTAATGGTGACGCCCTCCGTCTCGGAGACGAGGCGCGCGCGCCTCGCAAAAGACGGCGCCGTCATCCACCCCCGTCGACTTCCTGCACGTCGAGAACGACGAGTGGATCCACGCGGCCCAGCACCGATGGGACGACGTCATGACCAAGCTGCGCGCCTGGGAAATGACACAGTACAGCCGCATCCTCATGCTAGATGGAGACACTATGCTCCGGCTCCCCCTTGACGGTGTCTTCGACGACAAAGGTGCCAAACCCCTTGCAACGAAGAAGCTCTCCAACCTCGTAACCCTGCCCGGCGAAGCGCCCCTTCCGCAAACTTACCTTCTGGCCTCCCTCTCCGAAGTCCGGGACTCCACCCACGACTTTGCAAAGGGTCTGGTCAGCATACATGGGAAGTGGTGGACGCAGCCGTATCTGTATGAGAATGAAGAAGTGAAGAGGTGGCTGAGGCGCCAGAGGTGGGAGATGAAGGGGTGGTATGATACGTGGGATTTGAGACATGCCTGAAGACACTGAGAGGACCTTCAACACATTGATATACCTGCTCGCATGGAACCACATCAGGTACAACGGGGGACGGGAATGGACATAGCGGCCGAGCCGACCCGGGTTTAGAGGCGCGCCGTGCCCTGCGGCATCGAGTCCGGCAGGGCGGCTTCTCAGCCAGGGCAGAGCATTGTCGCTGATATTGAGGCACCAAGTTGAAGTTGCTACCATCAAGTTCCAGGGATTCGATGTCCTTCAGTGCGCTCGATACGCCTGTATCGAAGCGCAGTCTGTTGCATCCTGCCCGGTTGCAACAGATATACCACAAGGTATTGCGATTCCCTGGAACCGAAAAGCTAGAAGAAGGGTCTGAGGGGAGCAGGTGTTCATGTCCTGAATGTTGGTGGCAGATTTAGTGAGGCTTTGGAGGATCTGTGGACTCGCACTGTTGCAAAGACCATCCCGGCAATAATCACGGCCGACCTCGAGTCCGAATGGACGTCCTCGGCTCCGTGATCCCCGCATTAGACCTAGAGCAGCAGTGGGAAAGGTGATGTTTGGTAAATAAGCAATGCATGGGCGCCTAATAAGAGAGGGAAATTTTATTGAGATGCCGACTGTTCGAAGGTGTTGCACAACAACATGCAACAGGTTCGCAAAAGTTGTTGTCTCTGATTGGAAGGGACACGAACTTGTCAATCAATGCAATGCGGGCCTCCTCGGGCGGGTCTGGTACTCAACACAAGGTATGCTGTAAATTGACTGCTTTGTAGCGAATGAAAGTCGGGCTCGGACATTGTTCCCTCGGCGTATTGAACGTTCATCGAATGGCTGCACTCGAAGGGTGACCAATAAACGTGCTGTGCGACCGTAAATCAGATCTCATCTGTCCGAGTACACCATACTCCAAGCCGGGTCCAATGATATTGTTGCAATGTAGCCCAGCATGCCATCATTGGGGAAGAATAATGCCAAACGTCACGACTGTTGCAACCGCGGCCTATCGCGTGTACTGCGATCGGATCATCGCATGACAATGGCGTCTTCCGTGTGTTTCGAGAAGCAATGATACCAGCACGAGGGTATGGCTGAGAGGACAAGACGATATCGACTGAACCCAACGATGTATACTGGCCATCCCGATCCCTGCCACCAGGAAAGGCCGGGAAGGAGGGCTGTAATGACGTGCGCCAGTCTCAGCGGTGAAGGTCCAATAAACGGAAGCCGGGAAGCTGCATATACCGCATGGCTGGGGACACGTCAAAGATTCCGGCTCCAGAATGCAGGTGTTTCCGTTGATAGGGTAGACTGTGGCTCTGTAACTTGAGGGGTGCCAATGGCAGAGTTTCTGTATTACGGGCCTAGCCATTAGTCACAATCCGCTGTTGCACTTCCGTTCTACGAACGACTCCTGGAAGGGACTTGTAGCCACACACACTTTGCTAATTACGGGAAGAGCTAGAAGGGAGGAGGCCGTCTACGTATAGCCGCTTTGTCAGGACTGTCGGTGAGAGCGCATCCACCTGCGGAGGGGGCTGGTGAGGCAGACCATGAGCCGTATATTTAGAGAGGTCAATTGCCCGCTCAAGCAGATCATAGAACATCCAAACCTTCTACACACTGTGATTACCAATCGAGACCCGCAACCCTTTCGAATGACCTTTTTACTATACCACTTGGCAGCCAAGGTTTATTCCGATATGAAACTCTTTGTTCCATTTGCCATGATTGTGTGTGTTGCATCTGCGTCCCCGATCGGCGACGCAACCCCTCCTGATAACACTCCCCTGTGCGGCTATGTTCGCATGGAAGAAGACTCTTGGTGGTCGGTAGGCCTACAGACGCATGGTCGCTGTGAACCGATCTGGGACAACCAGACCGCACTCATCTACCGGATCGATCGAGAAGGATGCGGATGTGCTTTCTTCGTGTCCGTAGGACCGGTCCCATTCTTTTAGTTGCTAACAGGCGTTGCAGTGATGAAGAGACTTGCAAAGGGCAGGGCGACCTCGTGCTACACAGAGGACCAAAGCTTGAGGAAAGTCGGTTCGTGGAGGAAGAGAAACCGGCATGGGTATTGTGCCAGGAGATTCAGAAGTGACAGAGGAATTGGACCAGGACTACTTGGCGCTGCCGGGCAGAAGAAGCTGGCACTTCCTTCCGGGGGATCTCAGCATTCCTGTATAGGGAAGATTGAAGAATCGGCGAAGAGCCTGGGAAAGAGCTAACAGCGGACGTTGAGTGACTTTGTTGCACGTGTCCGCGTAGCAAGCTATCATCTTGTTTTAACTATATGTCTCGTGGCTCAACAGTGACGTTCATGTCGATCTTTGTGCCGAGCGAGAATTGCGAGTTCCTGAAGCTCGTCTTGACAGCTTCACTTGCGTATATCCTCATTTCCTTCTCATAAGCCTCCGTAGTGCCGTTCTTGAACTCGCCGGCTTCTGATAGTAGTCTGCCTAATAGCTCCGAGTCTCTGACGGCCGTGTTCGCTCCGATGCCCCCCGCTGGGGTCATTGAGTGCACTGCATCTCCAATGACGGTGACGCGTGGCTCGTTAGGCCATTCAGGTACCCCATCAGGCGAGGAGCAAGTGATCTTCCAGAAAGCAGCCTCTCTTTCATCCATTTGCTCGAACAAGGGCTTAAATCGAGGGTGCCAGTTCGCGGTCAAGGACTTCGCTATATCGGCAGCCGGCTTACCGACCAGAGTGTAATCATCGTTGGGAGCTTTAACAACGCCCGGGGAACCACCCATAGTCCAGCCGAATTGGATATTGGGGTCATCCATATCTCTGGCGCGGACGTTCGTGATCAGAAAGATCTTGCTCCCGGGGACCGTCGTCTCGTCGATCAAGCGGAAGACACCCTCACCCAGGCCTTTGAATGCTGCTGTAGGTGCCTGGCCATGAATACCGCGGGAACCGAGGTCGTATACCTTGAGCTTGCCGCCTGACAGCTGTTTTGCGACGTGCGAATAGATGCCCTCGGCGCCCACCAGCAAACAACCTTCTTCAGACTTGGAGCCGTCGGCAAAGACGGCGCGCACTCCATCGGCTGTCAGCTCGTAGCTCCTGACATGGAAGCCCCAGCGGATCGAGTCGTCGATGCCTTCCATGAACAGTTTTCGCATGTCGCCGCGGCTGATGCCGACGACTTTGCCGTCGCGCGACGATAGCACCTCCTGCGGAGCTGTGCTGGGGTTGGCAGCGTCGATACCCTGGCCTGTCGTCTCGCCAGTAACGGGGTCGATGCTGACGAGGCCCGCACCGCCAGTCTTTCCGCACGTAGCCCAAAAGGTTTCCCATTTCGCGGGCGGCAGCGCCTTCTCGATGGCATCGAGACCCTCAGGGGAGAGGCGCAACCGGTAGCCCTGGGCTCGGAAGATGGGCGATGCATCACGCTCGTATACGATGAACGGGATGTTGCTGCGGCGCAGGCTTGAAGCAAGCAGCAGCGAAGCAACACCGCCGCCGGAGATGAGAACCGGCTTGGTGAAGGTCATGGTTGCGGATGGTGGGCGTTCACGCGGTGACAGTTTGAGGGCAGCCTTGCATTGCAGGACAGGCTCCTCTTTGTACGCCGCACTTGGTATGGCGACATTGTTGAGATCATGCTTGTGCAATGAGTTTGTAAGCGATGCGCTTTGAGAGCAAGAGCGAGCGCGAGGTTGCTCTCGTAAGATGGGGTGGAAGGCGCGTTTGGATGGGTCGGTGTCGGAGCCGGAGCCATCGCCCGACCCGAAACCTCACTCCCAGTGACATCCCCATCTCCAGTCTCACCGCCAGCAGCTCGCCCAGAGGCACTCTATGCATTGCACTGACCTGACTGAGTCAATCCGGGCACGGAATGTCGTCACGGCGCGAGCGTGACGGCATACGCACCCGATCCGGATCTGGATACGGGTCATTGATTCCATGTCTACGAACCCCGCCGGCTTCATTCGCAGCCCACTTGTACCACGATCCTGGATCACCATCCCTCATTCGCGGTCCTTTGCCGTCGCCTAGATAATTCTCCCTGGTTGTGGCTGCTTCGTAGTCGAAAGCTTCGCCTCCCATGGCCAGTTCCTTCGCTACTCTTGCTTTTGTCCACTTCATATTGTTGGTGCCGGGTATCGTGCAAGAACACGTCGACACCAGACTCTGAATCGCACCAGGTTCTGTGAACTTCAGATTGTCGTCATGCCGGATCGTGGAGAAATCAGTGCTAGTCCCGCCCCCAAACAGCGTCAAAGACATGTCCAGGTCCGCGTACAAACTTATCGGTTTCGTCGACAATGATGGAGACTCCTGCTATCGTCTTCATGTGATTCGGGTCGTGCCCGTTCTCTGCAGCCTTCTGCTTTATATCGCGAACAGACTTGCGTCCTGCCTGAGGATCCATACCCGCAAGAAACATTCATTCAGCATGTTCGGTCATTAGGAAGTCTTTTCGATAGACATCAGTCATGTGAAGACGAACATTTAAACGGTGTGGTAGCCGCCGCAGATGTTGCGAGGAGGCAGGAGCAAGATGACCGCGAACGGGCGGTCTACTTCGCACCTGAGCGGGTGGCATACATGAAAAGGATGAGTCCGGGAGCAGCTGCTTGGGCCGCATTTACCATCATTGGTCACGTCCTTCTATGGCCACTCCCCATGTACGGCGCGAAGATGACATTTTCGAAGAGCTTGGTTCAGGCATGGATTATGATCTCGTTGATCTGGCTTTGGCTCACATTGGTCGTCGCCATCTTTTACCCGCTCTACGAAGGTGGCGTCGCGCAGATGTGGACGGTCATACAGTGTAAAACTGGCAGGGCCAGGAATAGTGTGGAGTCAGACAGTTCGAGCCCACCCGTTGAGAGTGTGGAGGAAGCTGTGAAGGCATGAAAAGCACGAGCCTTCCAACAAGCAAGGCCCTGTGTATTGCGCCATCCGGTATAGCCGCCGAAGAATCTTAATAAGAAGAGGCTATACGACATGTATACTGATAGAAGTAGTGCGATGGCTGGGCGGCATTTCCAATCGCACAGCTCAACGACTAATCTGCCTCTTTCTATCGGTCGAGTTTTGGAGATCAATACCGTTGCGTCAAGTATTGAGGCGAATACGAACTTTACGCGACTCTGGTAATGCTACAACGCCAAGTGCTTGGATATCGAAACGCATTACTACCTTCTATAACGAGAAATGCCGCCGAAATTTCGCCGTACGTAGAGGACGTACACAAAAGCACTGCTGTGTGATATAATGTTTTCAAGCTATCATCGTTAGGAATTGGCGTTAAAGGATGTTTTTGTTTATCTATGTTCTGTTTCTGTCGGCTGCAGTTTACGCTACACCCCTCAGTCATCGGGAAAAGCCTAAGTTCATCCCTGGAAAATATCTTGTGCAACTCCGATCCAACATCGACGCTGTTTCTGTGGCATCACACCATCAAAAAGTCCACCGCTTAGCCAGACGCAGCTCTGCTGACAGTCCAGTTGAACGCACCTTCAGCATTGGGAGTCTCAATGCCTATCTTGGAAGTTTTGACGAACAAGCCGCAACATATATCTCAGATCTTGAAGAAGTCCTCTCCGTTGTCCCAGACGAATACATCTATCTCGAAAAAACGGACTTTCCGCCTCTCGCACCACGCGATGTCGTGACACAGTCTCCCAGCATTTGGAGCTTGGGCGACCTTTCACACAAGGCTAGCAATGCGACGGAATACGTCTACGACTCAACTGCAGGCGAAGGAACAACGGCGTACGTCTTTGATACCGGAATCCGACTAAGCCACACCGAATTTGAAGGCCGCGCCCGCTTCGGTGTCAACGGCATCACCAATTCTACGAATCCCAGCGGCGCAAGCAAAGATGACGACGGTCATGGAACGCACTGTGCTGCCACGGTAGTTGGCAAGACTTTCGGTGTGGCGAAGAAAGCTTCCGTCGTCGACGTAAAAGTCTTCGATGGCGCGACCGTATGTCTCCCTTCCCTTCTCCTTCCTTCCACCTCCCTGCCTAACTCACCACACACCAGGGCTCCACAAGCGCCATCCTGACCGGCATCCAATGGGCCGTCTCGGACGTGCTTGCCCGCAACGCAGCCTCAACCTCTGTCTTCAGCATGTCGCTCTCCGCTGAGACGACTTCCACGTTACTCGACGACGCGGTAAAAGCGGCGTACGACGTGGGTATCCTCTCCATCGTCGCTGCTGGTAACGAGAATGCCCCTATCGCCCCGCTGACTCCGGCACGTCTGCCTGAAGCTTTTACCGTGGGCATGACGCAGGCGAATCGCGCCCGTGTGAACATCATCACTGACATCTACGGAAGCAACTATGGCCCGGGTAAGTTACCAACCTATTAACTTGTGATGCCAAAGGATACTGACCCACAGTTTTTGATAGAGATGGATGTCTTCGCCCCGGGACGCGATATCGTATCAGCAAGCCATTTGAGCAATACAGGCACCGCTACCAAGACAGGAACGAGCATGGCGACACCGCTTGTTGCTGGCTTGGTTTGCTATTTGAGAGCATTGGAAGGGGGCTTGGCGACCCCGGATCAGGTTACAAGCAGAGTGCTGGAGTTGGCGCTTAAGGGGGTGGTAGGGGATCCGAGGGGGAGTCCGAATCTTTTGATAAACAATGGGAGTGGGGCTTAGTGGCAGCTGGGATGGTTGAGTTTATTTGTTAGATTTGAGAAATAGACCTACAGTTTAGGGAAGCCGGAACCGATTGACTTGAGTCGCGGATGATGTTCTGAGTTGGTGAAGCTGAGGTCTTCATGTGCTTCTGGGAAAGAGAGTTTATTATAGTTATTGAAATGCTTCTTGAACAACCACTTGTCTACTCTACCCGTAATGGGCCACATGTCAGGAGCTTTCAGTATTCAGTCGATGCCTGGGCACAATCGCACCACGTACTCAGCCCACTGATCACCCTTAACCCTTACACTCCCTCACCCTCGCGAGCGCGTACAGGTACCCACGCAAGCGACTCCCCCATGTTCTTCAACGACTCCGAAATCTCGACATGGCATCCATTATCCTGGGCAACTAGTGTAATCTGACCCTTGACCCAGCGCCGTATGACCACCCACAGCGGGCTGACTACTCTCTCCATACCGAGGTTGCTTGTGAAATTAGCGAGTATCAATTGGACATGGTTTTGTTACGGTGTCGTGTGCATGCTCTGGAGCGTGGATGGATTTGACATTACTACACCAATCGCTGATATCTCCGATACATCCAGTATATCGCACAGCTTGCCGACAGGTCTACAGACGTCGCTCGATCCAGTATACCCCAGTTACGTGTTAGACATGAAGAGCAGCAATTCACTTGGCGTAGCTCATCATCAGCTTTTTCGTACGCGTGAAGAGGAGAATAGGTTTCCGATATTGCTCAATTCGTCCATCGCAATATATTGCACCCACCAGGTTCCCAGGCTGCTCGATCTAGATCGTCTTAATTGGGCGCGCTCGCGTGGTATCATCTGCGATATAGCCCCCTTGCTGATAGGGTTCCCCGCAGTACAAGCCTTGCATAAACCAACAGGAACACCCAGCCCATCCGCTACCGAGGCAGAATAAAGTCGCTCTTGGTCTCTACTGGCTGGCCAGTGTCACTGAACTCTAAAAGTGCCGTGCCGACATGCTGGTTGCAACATAAGCATCTGCAACTCTCATCACGATTGAACATCTCTCAGAATGCTTAATAGCCAGTAAATATGACAGACAGCTTTTTCCCACCTCGGAGAATACGCTTCAAGACTAGAGTCGCAGTTTCATGATGCAATGAGTAGATGTAGCAACCACGAAGTAAGATATAAGAGTAAAGACATTGCTTCCTGCAGTGAAACAACTGTGCACGGTTACTTCGACCTTCACTCTATCAAGATGACTTGCTACTTTTTGTCGAGTATCTATCTTGCTTCGGCGGTCTCTGCATGGCCCTGGATCGCTAATGTCCCAGGCGTTGACCTATCCGCGATCCACAATCATCCAGAGAACTTTGCGAAACAGCATCGCCAGACGGGTAGCCTGGATCCTACATGTCCTTTCAACGCTGATCACCCTGGGGCTGCACCTTTTGATGTGAGGTTTCCTTACACCGGTTCCATCAATGGCCTTCCAGGTACTGGCATTGGTGGAGTCCAAGTTCCGGCCCCAGGCGATACAGCTCATGAGTTCACGCCACCTGGGCCCAACGACATCCGAGGCCCATGCCCTGGTATGAACACGGCCGCCAACCATAATGTCGGTAAACAAGCCTTATACTCGATACCGGATCTGATGTATCATCTAGTTTCTGTCGCATGACGGAATTACTGATCTCGCAGAACTCGTCTCTGCGCAGCAAAACCTCTACAACCTGGCGTACGATCTCGCCGTCTTCATTGCAGTCCGCGGAATTGCATTGGACGGCGATGTCGTCACAACAAAGCTCAGCATCGGCTGCGATGCGACAGAGCGTACATCGATCGACCCCACTGGCACCCTAGGACGCGAGCCAGGCCTCAACGCACACAACAAATTCGAGGGCGACACCTCGCTTACCCGGCGCGACTACTTCCTCAACAACGGCGACGCTTTCACCTTCCAAGGTGATATGTTCGCCGACATGTACCGCGTTGCCAATGGAACATCAAACGGCCTCTTCGACCGCGACACCATTGCCGTGTATCGCAGCCAGCGGTACGACGAATCGCTCGCGGAGAATCCAAATTTCTACTTCGGTCCCAAGGCGCTCCTCCTCTACGGCGCAGCCAGCTTCATCTACGAGGTCTTCCCTATCTTCGGTCCTGAAGGCGACGCGAATATTGACATGATATCTACCTTCTACGGCGCCGTCCCCAACAGCGCCGGCAGCTACGACCACGTCCCCGAACGCATTCCAGAAAATTGGTCGAATCGCCGCACTGCCTACGGGCTCCTAGAAATAGGCGAGGAGATCCGGTATCAGTTTTCCTATGCGCCGAAGCTGTTCGGCGGAAACGTAGGTGCAGGGAATTTTCTGGCTTTGAACACGACGTTTGGGATTATCGAGAATGGGACTATTCCTGGTGATGCGACGGCGGCGGACTTCACGTGCTTGTTGTATCAGCTTGCCACGGATAATGTGCCAGGGACGGTAGGGAATGAGGCTGCTTTGCCGCTGGATGTGCTGGCGTGGGTGCTAACACAGTTGAATCCTGTATTTGGGAACCTCGGGTGTCCGTTGAAGCTTTCGTGAAGTTTTTGGCGTCAGGGTATAGCTTCGAAGTCATGTGGGACGGCCGACGGAGGAGCGAGGCGCAATGAGTATACATTCTGGGCAAAGACCACAATCAGGCCATGGAAAGGGGTAGCCGACTGTAAGAGGACGGATGATGCCAAAAGGATCTCTCTGAGATTTGTATGGTCCAAGAGTCTCGGTAACAAGCTCCAAATAACTTAGTTTCACTTCATGGCTGGTAGAGCGCTGCCTCTCCTGGACCATGCGCTTCTGATATACGGCAGACCTCCCATAGCCTCTAGGTCGCAACGAATACTCGGGCATAGTTTCGTAAGAAACATAAAGACGGAGCCAGATGCCGGCGCATTGTCCTATAGTGACGGTGACAATGTGTATTAGGCCTGACTACATTGAGTATTTTTGTACAAAGCGAAAGCCATGCGAAGGATAAATTGACAGGGCGAATTGGCTGCAGGAAGAAATATGGTTGGCACTCCCCAGCGCACACGTCAGTCTGAGGGATGGCGGCAGGAGAACTACAGCAGTCGGTAATTTTCCAGGTCGAGGGTTTTGGTTCCTTTCAAGTTGGAAGACGGCTTGCAGCGCTTAGACTGTTGAAACATCCGGATATGCGATCGTGCCTGACCATCAAGCGTGCTCGATATGCATTAATAAAACAAGCCTCGAGAACCGAGCCTCCTTCAAGTTTTCTTCAATTCGTCTCCCCGTCCGGTTCTTGTAGCGCACTTGTAGTATTTCGAGATCTGTGCGACCTCCGTTCGCATGGTCGCGTAGTCGACAGAAAGATACCATGCATGCTTCTCACAATCTGCGTCCCTAAACATCGTCAGCTACCGAGTATCAGCAACTCTTCCAGCCATACCTATAGAATGTGCAGTCACAGTTCGGATCGCGGTACACGTTCCTCACTGGTGCGGCCTCCCCGAGGGCACGACAACCGTCAAGCGCAAGATATGTATATTGCGACGCTGAAACTCCGCGATCTGCGAAGCCGCATACTGTATTTGTACCCAGGACATCCGTGGGAGCTGCAGCTGCAAAGGCCACAAAGCAGAAGGCCAGGAAAAAGTGAAGAAGCATTGTGAGGCGCGATGCTGGAACAGTATGAATGTTGAGAGTGCGAGATTGACAGACAGCTGCTGAAATTTGGCCTAGAAATCGCGCTTGGGGTATTGGTCCGTTTCGATGGTTGAGTTGGTAGTGTACTCTGCATGTGCGTTGCTACCTTGGGCCCGCTCTGCTGATGCTCTAATGTGATGCGTGGGAAAGGTAACACGATGGATCAATATACCAGTCTGGTCTCCAGGCACGAGACTCTAAAAAGCGCGTCTTGAGTTCTTGCGGCCCGAGTTCAGGTGAAGGCTTTGGTGAAATGAGGTACAACATGCATGGTTAGCGCGCGTCGATGACGCGGCCCTGGACCGGCCCTTATGGCCGCGTACCTGTCGCGCTCTGAAATCGTTTTGGCGCATTGAACAAGTCGAGGAGGATTTATTTTTCTGTTGTGATAGCTTTGGAGACGTCAAATTGAAAGCTTTCAGGGGTTCAACGGTCGCCAAGCACAGCTCGTATTGCTGGTGTGAATGGCGAGGCGAGGCACGCTACTGACAGACTGCGCGCGAATAGGGGATTAGAGATGCAAACCAAAGCAGGCGCCGATGTAGACCGCGCTAAAAGTCCAAACAAATTATGTTACTTCAAGTCGAGCAATACTGTACTCCAATCTTTGTCCGGATGTTGCACAGTTTGCAGCAATTTTGTCACGTGATCGGTGACCTTTCATGGGTTAGAATTAACCCTGCCCGGAGGAAGCGTAACTGGTCAAACGTTTTAGAATATCAAACGACCACCAAGATGGGGGCCATAATATAGACCATTCTACGACTGTACGATGCCCAGTTAGGCAACAGTTAGTGCCGTTCCACCCTCAGTATCCCAACCATATCGTCAACAACGGCTGCACATACGATGATGTTCTTCCTGCGTGCGCTTACTTGATGCTTGGCAAGCGTACTATTCGGATTGTGAGGACAAATTAGGTTAGAATGACGCAAGCCATGCTTCCGGCTTTGTTGTTGGACGATTATATCAACACAATCGATCCAGAAACGAAATCCAGTCCCAGTACCTGCAAGATGCCCGATTTGGCTTCAACATCGAACGAAACCATTACTCGAATCCAAGCAGCCACACAACTTCAAAGTCCTCGTCAAGGCTGGATCTATAGAAAAGCCACCCCTCGACTGCTTAAAGGTTGATGCAGACACGTCCTCTTCATCGATTCAGATCAATCCTACTGAAAGCCAGAAAAGGTGCATCAAAAGTGAAGCCAAGGTGCAGATCGATACCGTCAATGTTGTCCGCCCTGATTCTTTTCAATTCGGGTCGTCGCCACGAAAATCGATACGAAGTTCCTCTCACTTGTCATCTAGCCTAGACTCCAATCTCAAACAAACCATATGGCATTTTACTTAGTGATCGGCCACGAAACTTTCCTCTTCACTGCGCATTCTATCACTGTATCCTCTGACCATGGCCTCATCGCAGGAAACTGAGCGCTGCCAATTTCGACTGCATTTCCTACTATCGATGGGAAGATCGATCTAGACCTTCTCCCGGAACGATGGAGTGCGGGTCTCAATACCAGAGGCTCACCCAAGGCTCAATAATTGTCAGGCGATATACATATCCGTATCCGTATGCCGTTCAAGGAGGATGGGATGTCTGAGGAATTCTACAGCCAACATTGTTAGACAGTACGGATCTGTAACGGCATCCCTTCTACACGGCGCGGTAACGAATAACACGACAAGATTCGGCACTATCAACGCAATACTCCTTTCGTATTCGGGGTTCGACTTATGGGACGGAGCCCAATACAACTACATCGCTGCCAGCTGTCCATGGTGTGACACGATTTTAGACGTCTTGACTCCAGGTTTTTATGATTGCCATAAGATTCGGCCTCTCTTTTTCACGAGAAGCAAGCATGTGGCAACTAGCGGGAACATGATTAATTTGTACCCTTGGGAGTGGGCTGGAACGGCTGAGCGGGTGGTCGAGGATGGGAATCTTAGTATATTAGGCGAGGACTACGAGGTCATGTACGATTGTGGGTTACACAGCAGAATTCAACGGCTGCCGCGGGGAAGTGATATGTATGTGATAGTCGAGACGGGGAACGTGTCTCTATTAATGAAGGCTCGAGGACGTGCATCTAGATCTCGTGGATGAGAATTTGAATTCAGCGTATGATTGTCTCCATATACAAGTAGCGCGGTCGAACCAGCCGTTCTTGGAGCTCCATGCTCACATGGCAAGTGCGCTTCTTAGGCCTTCACTGACATGCGTCCAAGCGTTCGATGTTGCCCCACTCGACGTAAGAACCCCGTACCTCTCTCTACTCCTCTTCAATCTCCTACTTTAGTAGTAAATCACATCACGATAGTTTCGACGATCACCCACCAGGACTAGACTTCCACTATACTCGATATGAAGGTTCTCATCATCCTCGCCGCCCTGCTTGGCATTAGCATTCAGCTTGATATCAGTAAGAGTCTCTCACCACTCTAATCAAATCTGTACTGACCTTTAGACTGCCGCGGCTCTGCCATGTGTTCAGGCTGCAAACAACCCCTTGGCGACGGTGGCATGTTGGACTTCATCAACGACAATCTCTCCGACGACGCAGTCTTCAAGGACGGTCAGCAGGTCGCGTGTAAGTCTTGCCATTTGACCAAGAACGAGGGCCTCTGCGTTTTCCCGCAGAAGCTCGGGGACAAGACAGTCACTGGCAAGGACGTCAAGCGCGCCGTCCAGCGGCTGAAGGAGAAAGGCTGCAAGTACTGCGGCAGCGCACCTCTTGGCGATAGCCACAACGTCGGCGACGGAGAGATCACAGTCAACTACATCACTAATGGATGCATCAAGCACGGGAACAAGATCTGCTGAAGGTGAAAAGATTTGGCCACGCTGTTATGGACAAGAAAGACCTGGTGGACTTGCGGTGGGTCACGTTTCCGAGAACATGATCCTCCCGCGTATATTGTCAACCCAGATTATTCACGGAACGAGCAACTCAATATGTAGGGAGCATCTAAGAATTGCACCTACTTCCTGTACTCTTCCTGTCATACAAATAAAAGTGTCGTGAGGGATCATGATCATACCACAGGCAATAAGCCTCGCAGCTCCTGGACGATACACTTGGCATCAAGTCGACAAACTGTGAGAGCCCAAGGGTCTATGTAGCACTATACATGGACTGACCAGTAGTATCCCTAGATTTACGTTACTCAACCGAGCTGCTGTCCTTTGGTCGGCTTATTATCCTTGACATGATATCGTCTGCTCTTAGCAGAGCCATCTCTGATGAACTTGTACAGCTTGGGAAAGGTTGGGTAACCAGCGATCAAGATCGCCGTTGCCACTTCATTCACCCTATGCTAATCAGAAACATGGTACTATACAAGCTAGGTCGTACGTACGACCACAATGTAAGCAAATGGGCTTCTCACGGCATATCTGAAGCTCTTAGTGTGCAGGAACCATGAAGCAGGCAAAGGGTGCACGCAACGCACACGCTAGGTACTGTAAGGATCATGTGTTGGACTTGCAGAACTTTGGAATTCGGCTCACAAGACAAAGTCGTGCCAGAAATCGCTCTCGCACTCAACTTATCGTTGGTCAGGATCTTCAGACGTGCAATGGCAATGGCTGGAAGACACACAATCAAGATGTCGGAAACCAAAATGAGCAAACTTGTAAGAATCTTTTCAAGGACAAATTTCAAGCATGTTCCTGATACGCCGGGCTCCCATATCTTATTCCTAGGCGAGCACGCGAAAACTATCCCGAAGTTGTTTACGAGATAGCCTGTGAAGTGCGCGGGAATTAAAACATTCACGGACTAGTAGACACAGTCTCTCTGGTAGGCCGTGAATAGTCGTTCGAATGGAAGTCGTATCACGATCTTTGACGTGAGCATCTTGAATGTGTACAATATGATCAGGTAAATGGCCGATTCGAGAATCCAAGGAAATAGAGAGAGAACGTGGTCACCAAAGAATAAGACTACCCTCTTGTAGTATACTTAATTTCTCGCTACAAAGAGCCCTCAAGGGTATCAGCGGCAGTAGCTGATAGAAAAATACAATTTCGTCTTGCCAGTCACATACAAGGTCGTCGAAATCCCTCGCTGCACACTTTTCTATAGCATGTGACTCCTGGCCAACGATCTTGGTGACACTGAAGGGAACAAACGTGGAAAGCGAGCTCTTCGATGTCGCTCACCCTCACTTTCATATTGTTGACGGTGCCATCAAACAGGGTCATACAACCCTGTAGTCTTGGACTTCCTCTGAACCTACCCCACTCAACCCGCTCTCAAGACAGACACATCAAATTTCAGCTCCGTCAATTGCACGCTTGATGAGCTCCGCTTTGTCATAGCTACTGACAGCAGGACGGCTTGACTTCAAAATTCATCTTTCCACCTCCTGCGACTGTCGCTTGCAATACGGGCTATGGAACCTGCCAGGCTGCTTGCGCAGCTGTGTTGCTTAGTCCGACTCCCTGAATGCATGCTTTCCCATTATTTGTTCGATTGGAGATACTGACAGCTTGTCAGGTCAAGAGCAGCGGCATTGTCGTCGAAATGATGATGGAGGATAATGAGGCTTGCATGGATGTGGCACCTTTTGGTTGTTAAGGCCTTGTTTTCGGGGCATATGCTGGCGCAAAAGAAGAAATCTCGGGGTATGCGTCAAGTTGAGAAGTAAAGTAGCCGGCATCCGGTAGCTAGGCTCATCCACAAACAAGGGGTTTAATAAGATCCCGCCTCTCAATAGCAATCGTCGTTGTCATATTCCTTGAGTTCTGCAGTGCGTAACTTCATCTTCACTGCATCTTGAATGACCTGTTCTTCTCACACTCTGAGGTTGTCCAAGCAGTTGACAACAACTTTCCCAAGCTTCCATTGTATGCGGCGTCCAAAGGCCTTCTTTGCCCACGCAAGTGCTGCTTCGCGATCTCCGTCTTGCACCCCAACAACTTGCATGCACCCTTTCGCACCGCCATCTAGCAGTTGCCATGCGATCATGAACGCTTTGTAAGCGTATAGTATGACCCAGGGTGCTTCGGTATCCGGAACTAGCGTAGCATCCAGGTAGCGCAGGAACCAGTCGACATGAGGTTGTATCGTGGAGGCAATCTTCGATTTGCACATGAGGTCGAATGACGGCGCCATGACGGTCATTTGGTGCAGACTGGCATCAAGACTGTTCGCAATGATGCCCCCCGTATGTGATGGAGACCACGATTGCATGTCGATCATAGCAGTTTCCCATGTCGCCTCCCATAGCGCTGCAGATGGTGTCTGGGTGCCATTCGGTGTTTCTGGATGGGCATATGGTCCAAGGGCTTGAAGAGCGGCACGCAATGGCTCGATCCGGTCCATACTCAACATGCCAGTCATTGAAGACCAGCCTGATATTTCCCTTGCGCTAGAAAGTATGAAGTGCGTAATGTTGATGGTACCGTAAGGATCAAAGTCTGGAATAGCGCTTAGGTGGTCACCAGATAGCAAGCGCCGCACAGCGTCCGGATAGGGTACTGTGGAATTCTGATTCTTATTGCAGAGCTGTTTCACCGCCCACTCGGCAGAAGAAGACGCTTCGAAAAAGGTCTCGCGGCATGGAAGATCGTGCTTGATCTCTAGATGCGAGAGGGAGCGCGGTATCGATAGAATCTGATACCACAGCGTATCGATCTGGTGAACTGCGAACAGAGTCCTCTTAGCCGACTCAGCCCGTGCAAAAACGAGCCATAGGGATTCCAGGTCCTCGGTCTCTGGGGGCGGTACAGACTCAGGCTGCATCAAGCCAACGGCTCGAGCCAAGCATATCATCTTTGAGTGTGTCTTCAACCCATACGCGGCGTCGTTATCTGTAGAGTATATCAAAGCGAAAACTTCGAGTAGAAGATAAGCCTGCACTAGTGTTACACCATGCAAAGATTCATCCACATGTTCTTCTTCGGTGGCGATGGATGCCCGTGCTCGATAGAAACATTGCACAGACAAGCTTTGTCCCGAACCTACATCATCGCCAGAATCGGGGTTTTCGCCGTACTGATATGCAAGTGCGAGCACACTCAAGAGTAGCGCTTTCGAAGTTTGATGCGTGTTGAAGGTCGGTCGGTGTAAAAACGGTAAAAATCCGGCCACATGGTCGAAGAAGAGCTCACAGCCACGCGTAATCTGAGAATCCGAGGGATACCAGTCATCCTGTGTAGAATGGGTTTGACTTGTGAACAGGGCATCAGGACTCCATTGGTGGAAGTTGAAGTCGGCCAAAGAGGGCAGGAAAGCATTTTCTGATGTGGCAGTTTCAGAGATGCTTCGCTCGAGATGTGAAGGTAACGGCAGAGACGTTGAGTCGATTTCCAGGGGCCGTGCTGATTCTCCTCCAGATTGAGTGTTCATTAGCTGAACAAGAGAGCCATCGCTTGTGTCTGAGGGTGACATTGTTGGCGAGTCGGCTCTTGCACGCTTTCTGCTACTGCTGGTGCTACTGGCTACTGAGAGTTTCCGGCGGCGTTGCTCGTCTTCTTCCGGATGCTGCCTTTTCATGTGACGGACGCGCAGGTCCGGACGCGAGAACGTGGCATTGCACAGATCGCATGACAGCGAAGAGTCAGGAGAGCGTGCGTGAAGTGCAGCGTGGCGCTTTAGGTTCTCGTGGCGAGTAAAGCGGCTTTGACATACTGGACATTGAAAAGGTTGAAATGTCGGAGGCTCAGGGGTGGCAGATGAGACGGAACAGGACATGGTGTGATGGTGGTTCGAGTTGCATGGTGCGGATGGCAAGCTTCACTCAGGACCCCCGGGATACGGTTTCCAAGATGGCACGCTTATCTCGTGCCTTACACGCTTATCGTTCAGCCGACGTTCATGCCGCCTTCCCCACATTTCCCATCCGCTAACCGCACGCCAACTTCGGCCTAACTGGATACGCCCGGACCCCGCCTTGTGGCTGCGTTTCATCACTTGATTATTGGCTGCAGTAATTACGATAAGATAATATGATTCTGCGGGATCCGAAGTGCTTTAGAGACCAGGAAGTCGGCTGCTGGTCCGTCACGTGCCTAGACGTGCACTGTATCAGATCTATGGAAATGGAGGGACGTCCAAGTCTACTCGGCACCCACAGCGCCCACATCCTCCCGACTACTGCAATTGAATGACTCAATACATTTCATAGCGCCAGTTCAGCCTCACCATCTCTTCCGTCACTCCTCCTTTCACAACCTTGGCGATCTCCTCGGGCCTACCCGAGTCCAGGCGCTTGTTTTCACGCAGCACCAACCAGCGATAGGTTGTAATCGTAGCCGCAAAAATGAAGGCGCAGCCCATGAGTGTGCCAAAGGCAGCGTAAAAATGGGGTGGTGCATAGTAGAGATATGATGCCCAGATGTTAGAGGTCCCTCCAATCGCGTTCACAAGCGCAGATGCAGCTGCTCTCTTTGCCACAGGTCGTGCCAAATGCAAGTTGATTGTCTGTTTGAGATCAGCTATTGCTCTAAATAAGTGGACTTTGTACTCACCTTATACAGCACGAGCTGGGGTCCAACGGATGCAAATGGAAGTATCATCATGGCGAAGTATCGGGCGCCGACGTTTTGCGTGGCCATCGGTATGATATACATTCCGCAAGCTATCGAAATGCAGACCATGATGATCGGATACGCTGTGTTACGGCGATCAGACCAAGACATGAGCCCATAATAGACGATTCCCGCAAGTATGTATGGTGGTGCCGTGAGGAGTAGCGAGATCGTGTGGTTGAAGTTTAGCGAAGCAACCAGTGTCGGGAAGAAGTTGGCAATGGACCCTTGTGCTTGCGAGAGCATGTTGCAGAGGATCAGCAGAACAAGCTTGGGATCTGACAGTGCTTTCGCGAATCCCTTCAGCACGCTCTCCTTCTCGGTACCTTCGGCAGCACCGGACTCAGATTCAATTCGCCACACCGCCAAGTCTCGTTGCTCTTGCGATAATATGCGGCTGTTGTGTGGGAACTCGGGCATAAAGAAGGCACAGATGGACCCGATGCCAACCGTTGCACATCCCTCGATGATGAACAACCATTGCCATCCCCGAATGCCGTGTGCTCCATCGAGCTGCAGTATAGCAGCGGCAAAGAGTCCACCAAAAGCATTCCCGAATTGTTGTGCGATGTATAGCGCAGCGATACGCTTCCCGAGTTCAGTCTTGGTGTACCAGGCGGAAAGATAGTAGATGGCACCAGGGAAGAACACAGCTTCTGCGACACCGAGGACGGCTCGAACAGCAAGAAGCTGTCCATACGTACGGACAGCTGCAGTCGCTGCTGAGATGCCTCCTGCAATGAAAGTCAGTAAAATGTTCGACATCAGAATCGAGGATTCACCATACCCCAGATGACCACAGCTGCGCAGATGTAGAGACCTGGCCTTGGGAACTTCGTGATAAGAAGATTGCTCGGGATCTGAAAAGGCAGATAGCCGACGAAGAGGATCGAGACAGCCGTAGCAAATTGCTGCGTCGTCATGTTGAGATCCTCCATGATACCCTGCAACTTTGCCGCGGCGAGGTTTTGGCGATCGATATAGTTGAGAATGTAAAGAATGCCAATGATAGGCAAGATGATGGTATCGATCTTTCGAACGAGCTTCTTATTGAGAGCCGCAATCTCCTCCTGGCTCATATCGCGCAGGGAGTCTGGTCGTCGGTCGTCTCGTACAGTCTCGCTTCGTCCAACCTCGAGGTCTTTGGCAAGCTCAACCTCGCACTCGATCGACTTTTTCGTTTCGTTGTCCATGGTAAAGATACCACAAGGGTTTGCAAATTTTGCAATGCTTCAAAGCTTGAACAAGTGTCGACCGATGCGTAACTGTTCGAGCCGTGACTGTGTCTTCCTCGCCTCTCCCCTTGCAGGTTTTATATTCCCCTTTATCGCATCGGCAACAGCCATTGATACTATGGACTCGATAGATAAGGAGGGAGGAGCGCCCCATGGCTCCAGATGTCGAGTCCCAGCTAGACGGATGCTAGCCCGCTAGCGGGGAAGCTAATCGCAATCCCTGGAGACCTGGGGTAAACGTGCGTCTGCGCGCTTATCTCTCCGGTGCCGAATCAGAATTCAGTTGTCAGTCAGCGGAGGAGCTCCTCCTAGTGGGTCTGCCGACACTACGCGTCGACGCGAGGTTTCCAACTGTACAGATGTCAATATGCAGATCAACAAGTTCGACGGTGCTCCTCACCGAATTCAGGAGCATCATGTAGATGATACGTATTTGATATGAGCAGCTCATGCTATTTCTACGATGTGGCCGCCTGATTTTTGTGGATTCTTCACACTGTCTTCCGCAACTCAATCATTCCCCATCACTTTCCAGGACAGATAACTTCCAATAAAGCGGCTCGAATACATACAAAGTTACGAACTCTTCAAGCTCTTTAAAAATGACTTCCTACACGACGCCAATCGAGACCAAGGTCAACAACCCGCGCCTTCGGTTACTCAACAAGATCAAGGCAAATGAATACCCATTGATGACCTTCGTTGCCATACCTTCTGTTCGACAAGCTCAAATCGTCGCCTTAACAGGTCTTGACGGCATTATCCTGGACTGCGAGCATGGCCACATCGGGGACGATTCAATGCACAACTCAGTCGCCGCGATCGCCGCCCTCGATGTCTCCCCCATCATCCGCATCCGAGGCCCGGCACACGACATCATCAAGCGCGCTCTCGACACAGGTGCACACGGCATCCTCGTTCCCCAAATTAACACCGCCGAAGAAGCCGCACAGATCGTCGCATCCTCCAAATTCCCTCCCCATGGAGTACGAGGGCAGGGGTCCGCATTCCCTGCCATCGCACACGGCCTTACAACACCGCAGTACATGAAGACTGCAAACGAGACTATCCTCACCATGATACAAATCGAGACACGGGCAGGTGTCGAGAACGTGGAAGCCATTGCTGCGGTTCCGGGTGTCGACATGATCTTCATTGGGCCAAACGATCTTGCGCAAGCACTGCTGGGCTACGTGCCTGCGCGGGGCGACGAACCTGAGTTTGTAGCTGCGATTGATAAGATCGAGGCTGCGGCGCGGAAACATGGAAAGTGGTTCGCACGTATGGTCAACAACGGGACGGCGGCGAAGGAGGCGAGGGCCAGGTATGATACAGTGGCTATCACGGGTGACACGAAGGCCATTCAAAACTGGTACATTTCCGAGTTCGAAATCGCGAGGTCCGGTAGCGCAAAGACGCCGTAGACTTTTGAAGCACTTCACTTGCATACAACGGTTTACGATGAACACGGAATCGCATTTGGGGATATGGAATAATAGATGGGCGGAGTTGGGAGATATGCCATAGTTTCAGTCATAGTATCTACTTGTATAACTCATTCACATCAAACCCAGTTCCTTTGCCATGTCTCAGCGTTTTGGTTGTCTTTTCGCTGATAACAATTTAGAAGGCGCGCGCCCTTTTGAGGCGAACGTTTCCGTGATGTATCAGAAGTCCTCATGCAAATGGAAGTGTAGTAGATAGAGTGGCCTTGCTCTCGGTCTTTAGATGTATCTGTATCTGAACCTTTGTCCAACGTGCGCATGCTTCCACGACACCCTCGCAGGATATAGCCGCCACTACGAAATGTGGCTCGTACAGAACACTAATTCTTGACCTTTACAAAATGGAGTTGGAACCACAGTAGCCGACAATGAAAAGAGGTTCCACCCTACTGTGAGCATCCGTGCTAACATATCATATGAAGACTTTATAAACGTACAATAGAGTAATTTGATATAGGATGAAGTGCGCGCCGACATGCTTAGGCACCTAAGTTCCCACCTTTTATTTCACCCACTCTAGACTTGATGCGTCTGTGAGCAATGACGGTGGCGTCTCATTCATGCACGAAACGTAAAATAGGCACAAAGACAGCAATTGTAATTTAGGGTCGTGATGCCATTTCTACCAATGATGCTGCCAATCTAATCTATAAGTCCAGACTACTCGTATCAATCTACACCTACTCAAACCTGCGCTATGCACTCAATCTCAATGACCGTTCCCTCTCCGGGTGCGAGCGCTTGCAAGCAACTCCGCGAAGGCATTGGCTGAGGCAGAAACTCAATGTATGCCTCGTTCATCGCCGCGAAATCCTTCATGTCTGCCAGGTAGACGTTGTATTTGACGACCTGCTCCAATGAAGAGCCGGAGAGTTCGAGCACCTCCTTCAGGTTTTGGAGAACTTTCCTCTAGGGGCAGTGGTCAGTCGGGTAAAGCTATGATAGTCATAGGATGCATACGGTCGCTTGTTTGATCTCTCCGGTTGCTGTCTGACCAGCGCAAAATACTAAGCCGGGAACCTTGACGGCAGGGCCTGTGAAGTTAGGTCGGTGCTCTGCACAGCTTTTGGTAGGTCTAAACTTACAATTGTGAGGCTTGGGAGGGAACTTCTCGCTGGAGATAAGCTGGCGAGACATTTTGTTGAAGTCTTGTGGATTTGAAAAATTTGGGTGATAAAGTGTGATGAGGACTGTTACGGAGGTTCGAGAGTGAATGTGTGTGTAGATTGGGGATGTAGGAAAAACATGAGGGGCGGCTGCATTGGGGACTTTAAGTTTCCGAAAAGATAGTCGTTGCGAAAACGGAGGACTGCGATTGTAGCCAAGTGGGCATTGCATGTAAGGTGTGGAGCAGTTGGTGGATGTGCACGGGCCCTCGGGAGCCTGGCGCGGGCTGGGAGGAGCAGGGAGGAGCTCCTCCCAATGCCGACGCGCTATCTGAAGGGGGCGCTACACCAAGATACCAGCCACCCTTCCCATGTGTTACGGGAGGACTAACTGCTCCGCGGGTATGGAGAGGAGCAGGAACAATGGAGGAGCAGCGCCTATCTCGGGCGGTCTGGGACGCGAAGCTGGAGTTGTGGGACCTGCGCTACCATCCGCTCGAGTATCGTACTGGAGCGGAGCGGAGCTCGTCTGGGGTTTGGTACTTGTCTTTGGACGAGGGCGCGAAGCGCATTGCTGTGCGATATAAAGACACGCTACGGCATCCTCATCAAGCACCATCTACACACTGCAACCAGTTGCACAACATCTACACACTCTTATTGCACATCCACTATTATTATGGCACCTACAGCTCCCTTCAATCCACCAGCTGCCGACCTCCCAGGCAAGCCATTTGTTCCAGAATGGATTCCTCCCCCCGTCACGCAACAGAAGGAGAACTTCGCTGAGCTGAGCTCCATTGATCTATCGTTGCTCGACTCAGAAGACCCCGCTGTGGTTGACGGTTTAGTGCAGCGGGTCAAGAGGGCTATCCGCGACGAGGGTTTCCTCTTCCTCGAGAACTACGGCATCTCGCTTGAGCAGCTACACCGCCAGTTCGCTATTGCACAATATCTCTACAACAATATCACTGAAGAAGACAAGGAACGACTTCTTTTCAACCCCGAGACAGGCGTCTGGTCAGGATATAAGCACCCGTACGGCTTTAAGGTATACTTTACCAATCTGCATTAGACTAATGCTTACATTAACAGCGTCACCGTGGATGCGCAGATGGCATCGAGCAGTTTAACTGGTACAAGCCCGATTGGGAGTCTATGGACCGCAGTCCCACCTGCGTCCACCCATTCATGGACGAAATCCGTGCCTTTTGCGAATACCTCACTCAATCCGTCAACCGTCGCCTCCTAACCCTCTTTTCGCGGGTGCTCGAACTTCCTGACGATTACCTTTGGGACAACGTTCAATCACATGGTGGTCCAACTGGAGAGGGCTACTTCCGTCACGCACTGTTCCGTCCGGTACAAAAGTCCACCGAGGAGGCATCGAAGGGTCTGCGCATGCACGGCCACACCGATTTCGGTCTCACAACGCTCCTCTTCAGCGTTCCCATCAGCTGCCTGCAGATCTGGGGACAAGACGAGAAGTGGTACTATGTGCCGTATAAGCCCGGTGCGCTCGTGATCAATATCGGCGACACGCTTGAAATTGTATCCGGTGGTCACTTCAAGGCTACGCGACACAGGGTGTTCAAGCCTCCGGTTGATCAGCTGCAACAAGAAAGACTCTCACTCGTCTTGTTCAACAGTTCTTTGGGAGATATGCGTATGTCGCCTGCTTACGGTATGTCACTCTACATCAACTCGGTTGGAAAGACACTAACGGGGTCAGATTCTCCACTCATTCAGCGCGAAGGCTGCGTCGAAGAGCAAGGTATCTACAAGGAGTTCAAGAAGCGCACCTCAGGTGGTGATCTTGCGCCCACGAACCGACAATGGCGCGAGATACAGATCGCAACTGCTACGGACCCGACGGATACCGAGCACAACCGTGTTGGTGTGCATCAGTCCATCATTGATGGCAAGTTGATGCATACGCGAGAGTACATGGGCATGCGGGTCGTGCTTCCTGTGTAATCTGCTCCAGTGCGATGGTGCATTTTTTGGTGTTTGGTTCTCCGAAAGTTTCTTCCCCTTCCCCGATACATTAGCGTACGATTCCAAACTTCTACAATATATCTTTGATCTGTCGAAGCCAAATCATGATATGATTCGTCCCTATTGAAGTTATTGTCGCCAACTGCAAAGCTCTCTTAGTATATCTGCGTGTCCAACACCTACTCAATTGTCTGCCCCTTTCTTTCATTTGTCGATGTACCGCATGATGGATTTCATGATCGCCTAGATCTTAAGACCAAGACATCATCAGATCGCTGCTCGACATCACGCTGCACTTGAAAACCCTCATGGCTTTGTTATCTACGCTTAACACGCAGCCTCAGTTCGTCGCCATTAATCACTGCACAACTCTGCACAAGCTATATAAACTCTTCCTAATTTTTTATTTGCTCTGCAAGGGTATAGCATGCCCAGACTTACCGAGCTCCACGCGTGGAAGAAACAATGCTTGTTCTCAGGTAACACCTGCAACCATGGGCCCTTGAGATGGAGCATTCGGAGCCATAACCTATGATCATTGGCAGCCCTTGAGATGGACAGCGACGAGCTCACAACGAGTATACACAGGGAAAGTTGGGACCAGCGCCTTCGTAGCGGTATATGGTTTTCTAGGTATGAGTTTCGTTTGGGTGATTGTCTGAACTTTCTGGATATGGCGCTCGGCGTAGATTGTGTCGAATAGACACAGGACATAGACCCCCCCTCTGGCTGTAGGAAGAAGCCGTAATATAGACTTCGAGAACATGCTGCGCCGACCATAGTATGTTGTGTGAGCGGTTCGATACGCTACGACGATGCCTCAATAGCTTCAACGCGGGCCATAATATCTGATTTCCACCTTGCGTAATCTTCTCGCTGCCTTTCGCCTAAGTAATCAGTTGCATCCTGCATCATAGTCCCCAGCCCGATGTAACTACTCCCACCATCACGCAAGCTGTGACCTCGATTCGCGATTACGGCAGACGCACTATTCGTCGCTTCGACACCCTCCATCGCTTCAGCGCTCGGCGGAAGAACATTCAGGAACCACTCCATGCGCACCCACCCCTCCTCCTGCGCCATAGGCATCAGCGATTCGATCTCTGCCTGCAGGTCTGCTTCGGACACATCTTTGGCTGCGGGCGACTTGAGGAGCGTTGCGACGGCCTTGTTAGTCCACTGGGTGAACTGTTCAGGTGTTATGTCTTGATCCAGCATCCTGTTCAGAACGTAGAAAGAAACCACCGCGATGAGGCCTAGAATGCGACTTTGCAATATCTCTGATGTTGAGGGTTGTGATATCGCTGCAGCTCGTTTCGGCCGCTTGCTGGGTGTTTCGGCGGCAGCAGCAGACATTCGCGCCAGTAGCGGGAGGATAATCTCCACGCCTGTGTAGACATTTCCTGCGGCATTGGGATAATTAAATGCCTTGAGGAGTCCACGAATGGTAGGCGCAAGCCATTGTGGGGGTTCCTCGTCCTTATTCCCATCCCTACGTGTGCTCTTTGGTGTACGCTTGGCGCTCTGCGGCGTCCTCGGTGTTTTGGGTGTGGTTCGCGCGGAAGGCGGGACGCTCGAGGCAGATTTACGGGGGGTCTGAGGTTCTCGGGTGGCTGATGCTGGTGCGGGCAGCGCGCTCTCGAGGTAGCCGTATAGCTTCTTGTAGATGCGAGGAGGACAGGGCGGCCGGGGTGCGATGGCGGGGAGATTGAGGCGCTTCTTCGACCTGCAGTCGGTCAGACACTGTATATCAAGGTCGCAAGCTTATGCGCACCTTTCACAGGCTAATTGCGCACATGCGTACGGCCGTGCTATCTCTTCATCCGGCTTCAAAGAATGGGCGACGCTTCGCGATCGTGCAAGTAAGGATAGTGCGAGATCGACGAGCTCTGGAGGAAGTGGTCCAGATAAGGTCGGGATGAGACCAGTCAGAGCTTGCTCAATAGTTGCCTTGCTCATATTGAGATGGGATATGGGTGCCGTTGTGAAAATGGCTCGACGTTGAGGTCAATCGCATCTGCAGGGTTCAGTGTTCGGCGCGTCAACCGAAAACGCGCTTTCACGTGGCACACGCTGACGAACCCTGCAAGCATCTATACACTGAGTACAAGACAAATGCAAGTAGCACATTCGTGACCTATTCTGATCATGCAAGGTATTATCAGAGTAGTTGATATTCATAGATCGTGCCTAGAACAAATCAAGCGCCGCGTAGGACCTTGAAAGATATCGATCTTGGGGCGAAACAAGCGTCACGTTGGGCTCGAAAAATCTCTCGATGTACCAAATCGCAAGTAGACCAGCGTTCATTTGTCTAAGCTTTTCATATGTACAGTGCAAGTGACGATACTCTCATGCGCGTGGAATGTCTAATGCTCTGGCTCATCGACACCTTGCGCAACTCCATGGTCAACGGCCCACTGCCGCACCTTCTCATAGTTGCGGCACATCCTGGGCGAGCTGTAGTCCGGCCACGGGTCGCCGTCGTTAAACGGAAAGCGGAAGGGAAACACGTTCACGTCTGACTGGCACATGACGAATTGTCGAAGCGCATCGATACAGTGATCGAGATGGCCGTGCAAGTCCTCGGGCTCCGCAGATGTGTCGCCGCCCAGCTTTGCGTAGTGAGCCTTCCAGTTTGCTTGTCGGAGCAGATTCAAGCAGTGCAGTTGATGGAAAACTTCGATAGCGACCCGGTACCCACGTTTGCCGGTTGCCGGGTCGGTTACCATGAGGGCGCCCTCGGGGTCCATGTTCATCTTGATCATCTCTTCGCGGGTGACCATGGTGTCCGGGACTGAATGTTGGTTAATTTAACTGTCCAAAAACATGATCGAAGATAGTACGCACCTCCATCTGTTGCCCACTCCCACATCGCATCTACCTGCGGTCCCTTGCCGACGAATGGACCATCTGGAATAGGCTTCAGGTCGAAGTGATGGATCTTGTATTCAACCGCTTCGTTGACCGGCGCTGCATGCACTGTTAGCTCCAGGTCGACTCCACCCAAGCTGGCTTCTTACAGAACGTCATAGGGATAGCGTCTGCCTGCTTTGCTGTTCGCATGCATACTCCCAGGGCGAAGAACGTGATCGATGCCGATAGCATAACCGCCTGTACTATCCACACTAAATGCGACGTCGAAGCATTCCGTATCCGCTGCGAGAGCGTCTTCTTCTCTGTCCTCCACTCAAATTTCTCGTTCACACTCGCATCGTCGCCACTCAACTGAGACGCCTCTTCCACCGGCACTGCTCGGTACTCTTGCGGCATTATGGTAAAGTTCGCAGAATAAGACAAACAAAAGCACACCAGGTGCAGCGAAAGCAAAGAGAATAGAACAAAAAGTACAGCCTCGTGAGGCAAAGAACGGATAGGAGAAGAAACGCTGTCACGAAGGCGAGGGCATCCTGAAGACTGACGTTCGCGCTGCTAGCCTCAAACGCGGGACGTGGATGCGAAACGTCTCATGCCGCGCGCTTGGCTTGTCTGGGCTGACAGCCTGCTGCCGAGGACTTTTGAAACAACATCACGAGAGGATCTGGAAAACTGCAAGATCAGACGAGGGTTCGTGCAACGACAGCGCTGCTCAGTTGCAGATGTCGATGTCGTGGGCTGCGATCGTTTTGTGAGGAGTCTATGTCGCGCTTTCCAGCTTAACGCTATTCCCGAAACGTACTAGCATCTCTCAATTTCTAGCATTCACAACGAGAATGGCATGGCGTCCACTTCAGAGATCTCAGGATAAGCAGTCAAGATCGTGCGATTCCTTCGGCCGGGCTGAGTCATACAGTTGAAATACGTATCCGTACAGCTTAGACTCAGAGTGTGACGCAGAACGCGGTCCGCCCATATGGGCATGACAAAGCTCCAGCAAATGATAGACGCAACAGACAATGCAGCCGTTGCACATAAGGGCGGTAGATCATTTTTAAATTATGTGTCTTAGCTGACCAAGGTGACTCTAGATCTCTTTGCACACTTATAAAAGTGTGCTCTAGGTCACACTAAGCATCGAAATTAGTTGTATACAACGGGACTGCTTATCTCTATCAAGGGTATCAGAGTACCGCCTGTTACGGTGCTCTTGGCAGGTGAGCGACACATATATTCAAGCCTTTGTTCAAACCTGTATTCTTTCTCGATACCACAACATCGTCTGTGGTACACGACTCACCTGCGCAGCATCTGCCTCATCGAACACATAATTTGCATGTGCACGCGCAGTGACGATCGACCAACTCTTTTAACATGTCTCAGCAAATCTTGGTCGGGGGTTATTGACAAGCTAGCTGAGATTCGGCTTAAGGGTGAGCTCAAAACCACTATCATCAATATAAAAACCCACGGTAGGAGTACGCAATATTATATGCTGGTGTACTCCTAGGTACTGCACGCCTTCTCAAACGTCCCATGGGCTGCTACGACCACTTTGGGACTTTCATCCCTTGCCCATGCACAAACGAGATGCATCGGTTTCAGCCGCGGAAAGTATACGTAAGATCTGCTCTTCCAGGTCCCCGGGTTCTTCAGCACTTCTCCGGAGGAATTGAATGGCTTCCTGTGCAAGATGCTTGAGATACGTGACGATCTTACGAGCAAGTTAATGTTGCATATCTTCTCTGGTGATCGGCTCATGCATTCGCAGGCAACATGGATGTCAACTGTCAGCCAATGGTGAAAGGGCGGGTGATTTGACCATCAGGATATGCTGAGGCATTGCAAAGTAGTTTTCACAATCGAGCAGATTGGAGCGACGCTAGGATTGAGATACCTTTCGAAATTTTAGATTAAACGCCCAATCTCGTATCCTATACGCTATGCTCTACACAACCTTGGAACAAACTTTGCTCGTGACTTGCTCCTCTAACGCAGTAATGCGCTGTGCATAATGGAGACATGTCTTCATATCATCTCGCCCTCGAACGTGACGCACAGCAAAGCTCTGGCAGAAGATGATTGCAGCAAATAGCACAGCGAGCAGTGCATATAATCGAGCAGAAAACCGGCCATTATAACTCTACAACCATGTATTCACAGGATCTCTCTGCACACATACTGTCTACCAAGTTCGTCATTGCGAGTCATATTAGGATCCACATTAGCTGTGCATGCGATGGACTCATTAACTTTCAATGCTAACGTCAATGAGCCATTTACCGCACTGTCGCTATTCGATATATAAAGGCTTGCCCACGAGCGCTAGAAATTTGCGACACAACACTTCGAATTCCACGAATCATTAGCTTTTGGAATCCATACTTGCCTATCCTGAGTCCATCCGCAAAATACCATATCACATTACAATGTCGGCTACGAGCAACGTTCAAGCTCGCCTGGCTGAGGCTCAACTCGAGAAAGAGCTCAAGACCAGAACCGAGGGTAAAAATGCACCCAAATGCACACGAATAACAACTTTCTTCTGGCTAACGCATCCACAGAAATCGCTCGAGCTCTCTACGGCCCTATGGGTCGCCACGAAGACTTCGGCGTCGTGACCTGTGTTCGTGTCGAGAGCGACCCCGAGTCTCGCACTACAACGACCGCGTACCAAGCCAAATGCATCGGATACCGCAACGGCTTGGGAGACGAGTGGGAGCTGTGCAACCAAAGCACCGCTGTGCATGGCACGGCTCGGGAGGCTTTAGACGAGCTTCTAGGTGCAATGCGTCGTGTTCTTGAGGAAGCGACGAGTAAGTCAAGAGTCTATATTGTGTTAGATTGTAGATGAGAAGCTAACTCTTAGTGTTACAGCGGAGGTCACTCGAGGTAAGTGGTTCCGTGGTATCAGTGCGCGCCATTAAGTGGTGGAGGCGGTTGAGATGGAATGGATTGTGCGTAAAGGGCATGATAATTTCAATACTGTAGCCACATGGTACAATGACACATGACGGAAGCGAGGATGTACCCGATTCAGGGAGACTCCATAAAGTGACTGCATAACAGTGTGTCCTACATATCGCCCCACATGGATGGGTTCTTCCTATAGTACTCTGCTGCATCCTTCCTTGCCTCCTCTTTCCAGCCATCCTTGAACGCCACCGTCTCCAGTCCATGCTCCTTCCGCTCCTTCTGGGCCTCCTGCTTCCATTCAATCCACATATTTACACGCTTGGACCTACTCACATCCCCAAAGCTGTCATAGAACTTCAACTCCGCAAGTAACTGCCCCACGTCAATACTGTCGATAACGTTCCCGTTGACCTTGAAAATCATGGTTCCAATGCGCCCGTGGAACATGCGTCCATAGCTCGCAAATTGATAGCTCATATTGAACAAATGGTGCATATGGCTGTTGAGTGCTCTTGCGAGCCATTCTGGGCGGAGGAGCTCTGGTCCTTGAGTAATGCGTGGACGTCGGGAGGATCGACTTGGAAAGCCGCAACGTGCCACATCAAGGGTCATTGTGTCATCCTCTGGAGGGAGTAAGTGCATTTCTTCAGGATTAATGAAGTCGAGCTCCAAACGCTCAACTGAGACGATGCCCGGTGTGGCTTCTGCGTGCGGTGCATTGACCCCGTAAGTCAGGAAGTGCACCAGAGTATTGTAGAAGATCCAGACGTACGATGGCGGTCCTCCGTCGCCAATAATCCATGGGTCTCCTTGAAACCTGCTAGGGAGGGCAGGCTTTTGCCAGACGCCCATGCTTTGGAAGCTGGCGTGTACGCGTTTGCAGTGTTTTGTTGGCGTGGGTACGAGTGTCCATGTGGCGGCTAAGTATTGTTCGTTGACGAATTTGATTTCGAGTTCATGGGCGAGGTCGAGACGTTCAAGCGCGCTCTTCGTTTCAGAACGAAGTTGTTTACTTGCGCGAAGTAGACCGACTGCATTGGGGATGTATGAGCTTGGATCAGCTAGGTAGTAAGCACTGCCTCCCAAGGCGTCTGTCACATCTTTTAGAGACAACCTGTCCTGTGCCTCAACTTCGGCCGTGGTCTGAGGGCTGGGATGACGGTGGGTCAGGACAAGCGTGACTATCTTGTCGCGCAGTTCTCGAGGTATGTTGAGTAGTCTGCTTCCAGAATTCATTTTCTAAATTTGCAGAGTACCAATAAAAGAAGGAATGAAATGCAGACAATTGAGAGTGTTGTGTGTACAAATCGAAGTGCTTCAATGCCCAACCGTGCAGTCGTAGGTCGCCTCCCCGCAGCTGCTGCTGCCTTGCGATCTTGGAAGACCCAATGAGGCTAGTGAGGAACCACTCACCGGCAGCCCCTGCACTTCATAAGCTTCCGTCCGATGTCCCATCTCACGTACACAGCACGAACTGCTGTCTTCACCAGCACAAAGAGCAGTCACCATGAGCATGTATATGGACTTTCTCAGATTGTCAATCAGGCCACGTCCTCACCATTCTCGATCAAAAGCTTGCTTTGGCCAACGAATGCATCTCGATCATATGATCCCTCGACACTTTCACAATGTTATAGCCGGGGAAAGAGCAGTCCGAATACTGAGCACGTTGATTAATGCGCATGATTGCGTGAGATTCGGCGCATCTCGATCGGTGGTCACTATCGCGTTGGCGACTTGGTTGTGATTTGGTCGGTGATCCTCGATCCTGTTTGCATAATTGTCTACACCTTGGAAGTAAATGATTGTTCTTACTAGGGAGTTTTATGGCGCAGGCATCCGTCTTAAAGACGAGAAATACCATCATTGCCAAAAGCATTGCAAAATCTGCACCTCAACGCTAGGAAAAGTGACGGTCTGACCAAGCTTTATTCTCGTTGGCCTTGTGGCAGCTCTCACGTCTGCCACTAGCTACAATCATCTCAAACAGTCCTGTATCAACAAGGCAAGCATAGCAAAATGAATCACCATTTACAACCCGCTAGTCAACCTTTTCAACGTGGTAATAATCAATGGCGAAGGTGGAGTACGGGTTATGAGTCTCAGCCTCACGGCACCTGCAGTTACGAGCGAAGAGGTGTATCGAAGCAGGTACGACATTGAGCTGATGTCTCGTATACGAGACAGTCTTTCAGAGATAACGGCAATCTCATCTGCCTGATGTGCAGTAGGAAGGGATCCCTCAAATCCGAACCCAAATGCCACCTTATAAACATCACATCTAATTGTATCATTGAACAAGAAATGTATTCCAAACAAAAGTCACTGGATGCATCTCCAGGTCTCCTGATACATCTTGTTTCGCTCAGAATCTTCGTTTTAGAGCTACACTGAAGATCCAGTTTTCCGCTGTTTTCTACATTCGGAATATTTTTCCTTATCGTCTGCTTGACCCTCAGGCGAGCCTTGTAACACGCAAGAACGACCCTCGACGCAGCGTTCCTCGGTCTGTGGGCCTAATTCGTCCCGTTCTGGAGCCCTTGACAAGAGATTCTCGTTTTCAGTCAACGTAGTCGTCATCTTTGGAGTTGTCCTCCTCTTCGCTGGACTCTTCAAAGGTACTCCAGCGCATCTCCTCGTCCTCGACCATGGGCCTGGCTCGTCTTCATCTTGAACCCCCGGCTCATTCACCATCATGACGTTGGGATGACCATCAAGGGAGATATCGGTAAAGGCTGCGGCCGCGTTCTCCTAGCCAACTGCGTTCGGGCCGTTGTCATCTTGCTTTATCTCGCGATACATCACTGACTCTTCTCTATACAGGTACGGACAACCTACAGCATCTTCTCACGCCACTCTTCGGCCGTCTCCTTATCCTTCAGCACGAGGTTCCAGTGGATAACATTCTGGTACCCACACACAGTCAGCCTTGTATCTGGCCATCGCGAGAATCGAGATCGAAACTCACCACTCCAAAGTCTCAATGGTCGCAAACCCTAACTTCTCCAAAACCTCCATAGTTGCCGCGCCAACCTTCGCCAAGAACGTCGCAAATCCAGGATCCACGCCCATATGACCCTTTATCCCAAAATACTCGATCAACGTAGCCTTGTTCCGCCGATACTTCGCGGTCAGCCCTCGTAGATTCGCGCGCAGCTTCTCCTCGCGCGCCTCCCGCCCCGTGAGCTCACGCTCCTCGACATCCATACACGCATCGCACAGACACAGGAAGCCGCGCTGGAGGACCAATATTCCGCGATGCAAGTTGATCGACTCAAACAACGCACTACCCTCTAGATGCGATATGCAAATTTCCTCAGCAATCTGTATATCCCGCAGCGCATGCACCCTAATCTCGCCACGCCCCTCCTCGAACCCCGCATACGCATCCGGTGCACACGAATGATTCAGCAGCACCGTCTGCAACCCTAGATACGCACCCATGGCATTCGTATTGAACACCGTGAGCACGGCCGCCGTGTGGGTGTTTTCGTCGGACATCTCGAACTCAGCCCAGACGATGGCGCGGAAGGCGCTGGGGTCGCGGGCGGCCAGATTGAGAACAAAGGTTTAGGTGTGGGAGGGGAGGGCGGCGTGTGCGGTAGGAGAGTCGGCGTCTAGGGTGAGGAGGGGTGTTTCGGAGAAGATGAGGTTACCAACTGGAACGGGGACGGTGTCGAACGTTGCGCAACCTTTGACTTTGGTTGGGCAAGGGGTGGTGAGGTCGGTTGAGGTCGGGGCGGTGGGTGACGCCATGGCTGGTGGCGGGTGTGAAGTATCGGTCATTTCTTCACGGTTCGCTGAGTGTGTTGTAGAAAAAGAGTGGTGTGCGGGAGAGGGAGAGTATTGGAGTGCGTTTGTATTGAATATTCTTGGGGTGGATGCTATATTTGTGTGCACTGGATAGATTCATGTGGAACACGCTCAGACTTTCTCGAGCTGGCGGGTCGAGCAAGTCCATGCTCTCAGTTGGATCAATCGTGCCAGAAAAGATCGATGCCGTAGATAGAATCTGACGGAAAGGCGACCGCTCGAAAGAGCGTGAGCGTGCGATCTCGCAGACTACGTCACCTCTTCAACACTTCAACCCAACCTCCGACCAAAGCTCCAATGCCCCCTCGGATCCCTCAAGAGTTCCTTCATCATCGCCAGATTCGACGCCCACTTTCCATCCTTCAACAAAATCAACTCTTCTGCTCTCTTCGCGTACTCTACCGCCGTCTCGTCGTCCCCACCGGCATTGTACGCGAGCGCAGCAAAGCCGTATGGGACGTCCATGAAGCCTTGGAGGCCCTCATCTCGATACATGTCGAGAAGTTCCTCAGCTAATTGCGGACCGGGAAATCCAACTGTTGAAGGTGACCAGTCGTTCAAAACGCTTTGGAGGCCCTGGATATGTTTCAGGGAAGCATCAGTCCGCTCGTGGTTGGTGCAGCGGGTGCACGTGCAGCGGAAGTGGAACCCCTGCTCCAGGTGCTGTTGCCGCGTGTGCGTGGGATCGAGGGGTGAGGTGTAGGAAATGGTAATTTCTTCGCCTTTCTTCAAAGGTCTTGTGATATGCACGAAGTGCGTTAGTAGCGTTGGATCCAGGTAGTACTGTGCGTTTGGTGTACAGGCATGATTGAGGCGTGAGGTCTCTGGGAACACGGCGAGATGGTTGTGCCCTTCGATCTCCATCTGGAACGTATTTGCCTGGGACACATCAGTTAGCAAAGTGGTAAATACCGCCGATGGTTCTTGAAGAGCTTGCCTTGACTACGTCTTGGTATTTGACTTCTGGCAAGCCATATACAGTCGCAAGTCCCAGATACATATCTCGTGTAGCCTCAGGTAGTTGCGAGACTGCAAGCTTGAAGAACTTTTCACGTTCCGCAGTGGATAGATCAGTTTCTAGGTATGCTAGTAGCGCAGGTGTGTATGCTGTTATCTTGTCTTTGAACTTGAGCTTGTTAGTTGTATGACTAATTATGTTCATGTGAGAGTCGCTTACCACCAGGTTTCTTTTTGCGAGCATGCCCATACCCTTACCGGGTATCTCCTGTGTAATCCAAGTGCCGGTGAATTCGTTGATGCCTTGCAGTGCCTCTGAGTCCTGGAAAGGTGGCAAGAGAACTACGCGTTCGGCAAGCTCCGGCGTGGTGAATATAGATATCCCTCGTCCGTGGCTAAAGGATGTATCTGTGTAGATACACAGGCTGCTGCCGATGCTTGGGAGGACATCTGTACATATTGGTGGGTACGACCACGGCCTATGACTTATTTGGACGTTGGTGTCTTGGTCATTTGAGACAGCGGCATTAGGAAACTGGATATGATCGACTTCTGCTTCGCGCGAACATTGAAGGTTGACAGCTGACAATGGATGCTCGTGCCAGCATTGCTTATGCAGGAAGACGTCTGCGCGTACCAAAGAGACAATGGTTATTACGATTAGGGACAGCGGAGGCAGCATCGTTTAGTAATGGCAGGAGCGCAAATGCCCTAGGAAAGTATCGAAAGCACCTCCGTGAATGAACGCGAAGGATACGATACAGGTATCCCTAGTGTGGTTGTGGATCGCTCGGCTGAAACGATACATGTAAGAAAGCGGCAATTTAGCTAGCCATTTTTAGAACGCTTACTCACCAGACTTCACCATCACCACCATCGTTGCAGCCCGCGAGGCAATTGTAATGCGAGGTAATTGAGTCGGGGCGGTGTAAGAGCATCATATGACAGGAAATGGGTATATTGAAGATATGCACCTAGAGTAAACGCCCTGAAATGCATCGTGACTCCAGCACTTGGCTTGAGAAGCTTCTCTATGGTGTCTCGCCGTCGACCTCAACATCCTTGCGCTTCTTTTTCTTCTCCTTCTCTTCACCGTCTTCTCGCTTCCGTTTCTTCTTCTTCTTCTTTTCGCCATCCTCCGTTGGGGCGACATACTCGTTAAGTCGCTCTTTCCGCTTCTCGTCCATCTTCTCCTTCATCTTTGCCTCTCGGTCTTCCCTCGCTTTGCGTTCCTTCGCCTGTTTGCCCAGGAAGTACTCTCCGCTCTCGATTTGCAGGTCGACCTTGCTCTTCTCCTGTGCGGGCGGGAATGGCGTGTATGTTTTCTTTGTCTTGTCGGTGACCTTGTGGGGCACTCTCCGCTTCGCCGTGGTGCGCTTCTTAAAGTTGGGCAGAAAACGGTCCCAGCTCTCGTTCTTCAGAGCAGGGTCCTTCTCAAGCTCCTTCTTGATCATGAGCTCCTAGATTTTGGGTTAGCGGAAGTCTTCACGCAAGAGGAGAATGATAGTACCTTGATAGAATAGATTGGATGGATATTGGCCATGGTATCTTCGATGATTCGTCGCACAGTTTTGAGGCCCTTCCAGTTGCCCATGGCTGCTACAGTGTTACCCTGAACAAGAATGAAGGTTTCGGTCAGCAACTCCAGGGCCTTGAGCGTACTGCCATTCGGCCCTAGAATCCGCTGTCTCCGTTTTACAAAGCGGTCCTTGTTCGTCACGAGGTTCCTGATCTTGATGATATCGCAGGCGACATCGTCCTCGAGGATCTTGAGAGCCTGCGGCGCGGGGACAGATCTGGCCAACAGCTTGATGAGGTCTCGAGCGTTGAGGATTGCTGCGGGATCGTATGTCTTCAGGGTTGTGAACACCGTCATGCTGCCCTCCGTAAGATCCAGTTCGCATCCGACGCCATGCTTCGCCAGGGCGGCCGTTATGATTTTCCAGCTCGCCCTGAGGTACTGCTCGCGATACTTGGGGAAGAGGGTCGAGAAGCGCGATTCCTCCGTGAATGCGCCAGCGGCGTTATCCTCGGGCTTGAACGGGTCGATCTTCCATTTGTCGATATCGTCCGTGTCCCACGGCTTGTCGGTATTATGTGTCGAAGGCATCGTGGTAGCGCGCAGAGCGCAACGGTTCGAAATTCCTTCGCAGGTGTTATTTAGCAAGCGCACACCGCGCGGCGCAGGTCTCGTGTGTATGCGGGAGGACTGTGGTGACGTCCAGAGGCAGCGGACGAAAAAAGCTTGGATGTCGGCGATAAAAGTGCAGTCGCGACCCAAAATTTCTGGAGTTGCAAAGCTCGGGCCAGCGCGCTAACCCCACCATGCGACTCGCAGTTAGTTCGAGCCATGAACATGTCCAGCGGTGCGACTCCATCACTCGCTCTTCCGGTGTCGAATGGGCTATCGGGCATTTGTTGGTACTCCTGATGGTAGATGAGCACTACGTGAGTATGATACGGCAGGTTCTCTTGGCGGGCTTCTAGACCGCCCGATGTAAACTCCACCGCGTGCTTTTGCACACCAGCCCGCCAACGCCTTAACCCCGAGACAAAGGAAATCGTCATTACGCCCGTAGATAATGCAGGTATAAGAACAAGAATGCCAACCGTTTACTATACAACCAATTCAATTACAGCAAATACCTCAAGCTTCTTTGCCGCCTCTAAAGACCTGCAATCCAACCGTTGCTTACTTGAAGTTCCAGAATGGCAGACTACGACGCTCCCGAATTCAAACGCTATGCCGCTGCTCACGAGAACCCCAGGGGCGCTGGCGACGACCGTCCAACTGCTTTGCAGATCATCAAAGACAATGACCTTGAAGGCAAGCTTGTAGGGAAAATTGGTGAGCGGCATCCGGAGGGTCATGCAATGGCACGCAAATTAACCTGTCTGCAGTCCTGATCACGGGTTGCTCTTCAGGCATTGGTATCGAGACCGCCCGCGCCATGAAAGTAACAGGCGCCCGTGTCTTCGCGACGGCGCGCGATATCAACAAGGGCAAGAAGGCTTTGGCCGACAGTGAGCGTTCAAGAACTCGATCTCCGCAACACACTTACATGTGCAGTCCTTGAGCCGGGAAAGCTCGACCTCGAACTCTTGGACCTTAATTCTCTCGCGTCTGTCCGCTCGTTCGCCAAAGACTTTCTTTCAAAGACAAACAACCAGCTCAACATCTTGATCAACAATGCCGGCATCATGGCCATTCCAGAGGAGAAGACCCAAGATGGTTTCGAGAAGCAGTTCGGGACAAACCACCTCGCGCATTTCCTTCTGTTCCAGCTCCTCAAGCCCGCACTACTCGCTTCCTCCACGCCAGAATTACATTCTCGTGTCGTTTCGGTGTCTTCCCTGGGCCATCGCTACAACAATATTGACTTAGATAACGTCATGCTCGAGAACGGCGCATACGAGCCCAACCGTGCATATGCACACTCCAAGATTGGTAACATCTACCTCGCCAACGAGATTGAGCGCCGATATGGGTCCAAGGGCCTTCATGCGAACAGCTTGCATCCAGGTGGCATCTGGACCGGCCTGCAAGACCACCTGGACACCTCGCAGTGGAAGGCAAATCCCGAGGTCAACGACTACATGAAGAACGAGGCGCAAGGCGCGGCGACGAGCGTGTGGTCTGCGGTGGACAAGTGCTGGGAGGGTAAAGGCGGCAAGTATCTGGACAATTGTCAGATTGCGCCGCCTGTGCCCGAGAACGCAGGGTTGTTCACAACGGGATACGCAGCGTGGGCTTTTGATGAAGGAGCGGCGAAGAGGTTGTGGAGTATGAGCAACAAGTTTGTTGGGTTTCCGGACGATTGAAAAAATGGTTTGAGAGCCAGGCCTCATCTATCTGAATGTGTGTCATTGAGTTCAGTTTACTGTAGAATGATCAACCAATCGCAGCCATCGCTCGCCGCGCCGAGGAGTGTCACGTGCGTAGTCAGTGCCGGGGGTTCTCTATTAGTCATATTCGGGAGTGGCGCTCAGCCCTACGAACTTTAACCCTGCTACTCCACGCTTCGTGAACCCACCTCTTCTACCTTTACCAATACACGAAATCGAGTCACAACTGCCGAAGGCGATCGCGCACTCCTTTCACCTCCCAACTCCGCAGAGGCTTGTACGCGCTCAACCCACACGTCGCAATCGCGCACACGTCGACCACAACCACATAACCATATCCCGACCCGCTCCGCACGCAGCCCGCCAGCCCGCCCACGTCTTCCCCGTGCGCTGGCTCAGACCTAGACGCACGGCCACGCACCGCTTCACCCCCATCGCAAACACACACTACCGCCGTCATGCCTAAAGCAGAGATAGGAAGCACGAAGCACCTGGCCAACCAGATGAAGTCCAAGGGACTTCAACGGTTGCGCTGGTGGTGCGAACCTTGCCAAAAGCAGTGTCGCGACGCGAACGGCTTCAAATGTCACGTACAGAGCGAGGGCCACGTCCGGCAGATGGCTGTCGTCGGCGAGAATGCCACAAAGTACATATCAAATTACAGTAACGATTTCCAGCGCGACTTTGTGTCGCTTTTGAGGACGGCGCACGGCGAGAAGTGGATTGGGGCGAACAAATTTTACAATGTACGTATGTCCGGGGTACAAAGCAACTGTTTTCTGCTGTCATTAATGTCTGAATCTTCAGACTCCAGTAACAAGCTCAAGCTAACACCCCCACTTCCTACTCAATTTTCTCACATGTTGATCATGTCACTGACTTTGCACCTCGCACTTTAGGAATACATTCGGGACAAGGAGCACGTCCACATGAACTCAACGCGCTGGAGTAGTTTGACGGAATTCACAAAACACCTCGGTCGTAGCGGTATCGTCAACGTCAAAGAAGACGAGAAGGATGGGTTGATGATCGCATGGAGGGATACTAGCGTCGCGGCGACGAAGCGACGAGAGGAGATAAGGGAACAGGAGCTGGCGGAGGCAAGGAGTGGCGCCGGTGAGGACAGGATGCTGAAGAAGATGTCAAAGCGAGCGCAAGAGGAGGCCGACGAGAAGGCACGCATACTGGAGGCTAGGCGGGCAGCCCAGGCTCAGTCGCAAACGCCAGCCCCTAAGGATTCCGTGTCACCGCTTGCAGAGGAGAAGACATCTGCCCCGTCTCCAGAAAAAGCGTCAGAAACACCGACTGAGGAGAAGAAGGAGGATGCCACTACAGCCGACGAAGCCCCGAAGGAAGAAGTTGCGCCAATCAAGTTCAGTTTTGGCTTGAAGGCAAAGGTGCCCCCGTCGACGAAGGCTGGTCTCGGGCAAATGAAGAGCCAGAGTATCTTCAAGCGCGCGCGTGCAGAGGGTGCGGACAAGCCGAAGAAGAAGGTGAAGCTATGAGCCGGAAGTATTGGATTTGTGATTCAATTGCATAGCATGCATAGCGTGGAGTTTAGGTAGTGGCGGATTCTAGGTCATTACATATAGGCACTTTTAGCCGTCGTTATATCACGGGCCACGATGGTGTGCATGGATTCATCTAACTTTGTATTTTTCTGTATAATCAACAGATTCGAAAACTGTTTTTCAACGTACCGAACCCAGTACAAACGTTCCACGACTGCCGCGCTTGCCTTCCTCTCGCTAGCTGCCCCAGAGTCCCACGGCCCACTTTCAGAGGTCTTCTTCGGCATCCCCACATGTCGCTTTGTAGTTAGGTGAGACACGGGTCAATATTAATTTGTGTCTTTAGATACTTGACTTCAGGACATTCAGCTGCAGAACCAAGAGAGAAAAAAATGCAAAAAGCCATTCCACCCGCAGGCCCGGCTCAAAGTAATTTTGATTCGGCTTCGAACCGGTGCACTGTCAACATTGACTTGGTACCTTTGTCCGAATATTAGGTCCTGAGCAACTCTATGTTTCGGTCGCAGGATGAATCTTTTTAGGATTAACGTAGTTATATAGCAGAATAAAGTAGTGGAGGTGTTATGCGTGTGGATTGTGTGAGATGGAGTGCGACAAGGCGTAGCTGAGGCGGCGGGAAGTGAAAGGTGAGGGGACACAGCGGCTCCAGGGTTAGGAAGCCACGAACTAGTCGAGCACATGCGGAACCTACCGGGGCCAGCAAGTTGCAAGGAGGTAGTTCGAATGAGTCAAGCAGATCAACAAGCAAACGATTCTCCGACCGAGGATGTCTCTAAGTTCATTCCTACAAACGTCAAATCTGGCCGAACGTTTGCTAAGTACAAGTCATAATTCTGATTACTATAATGAGCGACATGAAACCCAGTCTTAAAGCTGAAGGTGCTGGATAGTATATATTAAGAAGGTTCACCCGTTCTGAATAGCCCCTGCAACAGCAGCTAAATCGAAGGATTCAGGTATCAATCCTTCACTGGCTCTCCCACTTCAAATACACCTCCACATTCATACGCAACACATTTGCAATATGAACATTAGAATACTCAAGTCCCTCTTCGGCTTTGCCATGGAAATGCTTACTGCTCAGCATGCTCCGGACACCTCAATCAATATTCTAAAATACGTTCATTGCCAAGACAACTGCGACCTAGAATACGTGAGCTGCCTCGCTGCTTCCGGTTGCAAACTCAGAATCATACAAAGAGCAGTAACCTTTCCAGACACAATTACATGTCAAACGAATGTAAGTATCTGTCCCATCCGCTGTAGGACTGAACTCCGCCAACCCGATGTACCCGCCATGCGATAGAGGCCTAACATCTGCGACATGGATTACAACGCATACCATTTCTAGCTAAAGCGCACCGAAACATCGACTAGTCCTGTCTCGAGGCGATCATGGTGTGCTATCATGCCACAGCATTAACGATGAAAAGTTCATGCTAGATCGTCCGCGGCTAGAACAATACAATCTTGCCCGGTCTCGCTCTACCTAAGCGCTCTTCTTGATGTCATCCGGATCCGCATCAGCAAACGTGCTCCCTACCCCAATCTCATCAATCCATAGCTGCCTCTTTGGTTGACTTCCCACCATCTTCTTCTCGTCATGCCAACTGTTCGCATACAGCCCCACACGAAACTCGTAGTCTCTGTGATCATCCAACAGCGTGGTCTTCAACTTTGACTTGTCAGCGACCTGTGTGCCATTCAGCCACGCCTGGAATATGCCCGTGTCGTCGCTCTTCCACTTCACACGGAAGGTAAGCCTGTACCACACCCCAGCCTTTATCTCGCCGATGCTGCTGGTCTCAGACTTGAGTTGAAACGATTCAGTCACCTGGCAGTTGGGACCAAGATCGCAGTTCCACTTTTGATCATCGGGAGGGCACTTCTGGCCTTTGATCATCTGGCCGTGTTTCGTGCGCGCAAAGAGCTTCGTTTGGTTGAGCCAGATCATGGTGGTCGGACTGAAGTCATCGCAAGACTCGCCATTCCACTTGATATCGTTGAAATTAGCGCCAAATTGCGCGAGGTTATAGCTCTGGGGATCGAATTCCCACTCCGAGTGCAGGCGAAAGGCGAAACCGTAGTACTTTTCCTCGTCGCGCTTGTATCCGTTAGAGTAGATTTTCTCGGCATGGTAGCGGCCCTCGTAACTGCTGCCGAGGTATTCTTGTCCGAATTTGAGCGATTGTGACTTGCCGTAGAAGGCACTGGTGGAGTTCTCGACGTAGCCTTTGGTGTTGGGATCGATCCAAGTGCTGGGCCAGCCACTCGTAGTACCGTGGTTCACGAATTCCCTGGTTGCAAAAGCAAAGGGCAGGAGCCCAAAGGCGAGAGTTGTAACTTGAATGAGCATTTGAAGAGGTAGCTGCTATAGACCTTGGTCATTGACATTGGGAATGGAAGTCGATCGCTTATATAGTTCTACGCTTCTCAGGATGGGGCTGATAGTTGATTAATAGCTCGTCGCATCCCCGCTCAATGCTCCATGGTCTCCAACGAGCTGCCTATTCAGACATTTCGAAGCATCGGACGCAAATTTGACTGTACACCGCACTGTTGAGTCGATAATTTATGATAGCCAATCATTTTCAGATCAGCTTGACTGCATACAGGTGAGTAAGCCCGTCATGGCGGATTGGACAGCGAAGGGGTTGCAGCAATACGAGCTGAGGCTGGAACAGCCCCACGAAGAGCCGGGATCGTGAACAGCATTCGGCTCAGCTCTCTTGTACGAGCACTTTTGTCATTCATGGGGTAGTAGAGCTAGAAGAGAGGCGTTGCATCGTATCACTAATCTTACCTAGGCGTTGTCTGTTGGTGTCAGAAGTCTGACTGCTGACGCGACATGTCCGAATATTCAGTGTGGTACTTTGCAGCTCCTAGAATGGTGCCACCCATTCAGGGCCAGCTGTTCATCTATACATGTCCAAGCCACTGTGCTTCAATAAACAAATCACTTTCTCAAATCAACCTGGAAACATTCATCAGTTGTCTCTACGGGGACTCAAGTTACTAAGCACCCCCCCCCCCCCCTTCCCGGGGCGGGCCCAGTTTTGCTCTTACAATTATCGTCTGCGGTCGTCTGCATCACAGGACATTTTTATCATGATGCGACAGCGACGAAGCGAGAAATTTTCAACGCGAGATTTCTGCAGCGTCTAGTGCCAGACTGAAATGCCCGCCGCGCCTTTTCAGAGATGATGGCGTAATCTCTCAGATTATGTACCGGTATGTTGGTGAAGGAGTCGGAGCTGGCCGTTCCGGACGCCAGAGGTGATCAGCGGCGATAATGACAGGCACAATTGAGAATGTCCCAAGGACGCATATATCATGCTACTAGAGCGGGTTTGGTGATAGAAGAGAAGTGGTGAGGTAAAGACTATTTTGCCAGTGCAATGGTGCCTCCACTAGTCAGTGTCGTTCCCCAACGTTCTCCACGTGTAAGCTGCTAGGTACCGGTACCGGTAGCGAATCAAAAACGTCTGACGTGATGCAGTACCTTTTTCTAACAACGCTACATCAACCCTTCACTATCACTCTCGATACGTGAAGCATCTTTCGCATTCTCGCCATTCCCTGTGACCCACGAATATTCGGACACAAATTCGAAATGGCTGCAGCATTCGGCCTGTCCGCCAAAACGGCGAAAGACATTATCGCAGAACTGAATCTGAAGCCTCACCCAGAGAAGGGGTTTTACATAGAAACGTTTCGCGACCCAGCTACGGACTCTGCGGGACGCGCGCACAGCACTCAAATCTACTACTTGCTCGAAGGCGAGTCTGGCCTGTCGCACTGGCACCGCGTCACCGACGCCGTGGAGGTCTGGCACTACTATGCCGGGGCTCCGCTACAGCTGTCGTTGTCCTGGGACGACGGAAAGCCGGTACGGAATCTTGTGTTAGGGACAGATCTGTCGGCGGTAAGAAGGCTATCCCGTGTCGCATCGCACAATACTATCGCTAACGTCTAGGTAAGGGCCAACGCCCTCAGATTGTGGTCGAGCGAGACGAGTGGCAGCATGCTCTAAGCTTGGGCGAATGGACGCTTGTTGGGTGCACTGTTGCACCGGCCTTCACCATGGACAGCTTTGTTATGGCTGAAGAAGGCTGGGAACCTAGAGCTGCCTAACAATCGAGATGTGCGGCATTGGGTATGGGTGGTCGAGAGTCAACTTGATGAGGTTTGCAGTGTGGAGCGTGGCCGTGCGATCGCGCATGTGCCCATTGAAGTTACGTGTGGGCTGGACGACGGCTGCATGAACAGGCACAAGAAAAGGCATCCTCGAAGCGACTGCTGTAAGCCAAATACTATCATTTATCGAAGGTTACATTAAAATCTATCACATGCAACGCTGCGCCAAAGCAAAGGACGGTCCAGCATCTCTATGGCCAATCACTCGTCAGTCCTGGATCGATAAAGAAATCGTCCCAGGTCAACCCAGACGCAGCAACCTCGTTACCGATGCCGACCGCAACGCTCTCTTCACTTGGGAGACTTTGCGCCAAAAGTCTCGGGTCAATGCAGGAATCATCGATGGGCATCGCATTAGCGGCATCCTCGTTACCGCTGGGGAGGGCAAGACTCTCTTCAGCTGAGAAGGTTTGCGCTCTCAGTATCGGATCGATGCCCGATTCATCGATGGTCTTGGCAGCACCGGCATCCTCATCACCGCTGGTCGCTACAATGCTCTCGTCAATCGGGAGGCCCAGTGGGATCTGCGGTGCGGGAAGCACGACAAGCTGATTGTGGCAGGCTAACTGCCCTCCAAACCAATCGCAGGCGTCTTTTGGCCCATTCCAAAAGCCCACCCAGTTGCCGATCGCAGCTTGATAAAACAGTGCCAATCTGATGAGGGCGTCTTCGAAGCTGATGGCCTGTATTGATAATTAGCAGTGAACACAAAGCGAAAACAGTCTTTCTAAAGCTGGACTTACCGAGCAAGCATCGACGAACACGTATCTGCGATCGCAATCAATGGGAGAGCTCATGTGTGCGCCATATAGCCGCACACGGTATTCCTTGATGAGAGATCCTTTCTCATCCAGGGAATCTTCCGAGTCGTATTTAATTCCGATGTCTCGGAATTTGCCAGTCACATTTCCAAGGAAAGTCGTGGCGAGGTCTGCAGAGTAGCTGTTAGCAAGATAGTTATGATGCAGAAGAGGTAAACATACCGAATACACAAGCCTGGTAAGCATAAATCAAAGGGAAAGCACTATCAAACCCTATTACGATGCCATTCTTGGCAAAGTAAAGAGTGCCATTCGGTTGCACTTTCATATTTCCTCTGAAAGGTGCAAGCTGCGCGTCGAAGGCAGCAACCTGCTCGTTGCTGTATCTTTTGAGGCAGGCCATTGATGATGTATGAAGACGGAATTGGGTGTGGAGAGTGTGTAGTACAGTGGTGCTGTTGGTTATGGAAAGTCAGTTGGACAGTATGAGTCGAGAATGTGAAGAAAGCGCGTTAGCGGATTCGTCTTGAGCGGAATTCTTCATATATCCTCAGCTTGGTTTGGTTGGGAGCTGACTGCGTGGTAGTTACCAAAGATTCCCCTACCTAGTCCACACTTTACCAGAGTTTACAGCAAGGCCGCAGAATTGCTAGAGGGCAGGGCGGTGGATGATGGCACCGTCAGTCAATACTACTACCAATTACTGTGACTTAGATATCATATCGACGCCGGCAGCACCGTCTCACTTGACCCAGCCTGGGTATATTTGGGCCCTTTCCTACTTGGGGAGGCATCCTCGAGCAGTCATCGAACCAACACGTACGAAAAGGGCTCAAGTTCACCCAGGCTCGTCAAGCAAGTCGGTATTGAGCTCTTTGCTAATTGCGTGGGTCGTACTAATGCGTCACAGATTCGAAAAGTGCGGAAGTCCCGCAGATAGATATCATGTGGATCGACCAACGTCGATGCTGTCTGCAGCTTTTCACTACAGCGGCGAAATGGCCAACTTGACACTGCGACGGCATCTCTTGAGATGATCATGTATCAACTCAGCTCAGAATCATTGTGATACACCTGGGATCATAAAATCGACGGTGAGAAATTTTGGAGGGAGCTCAACTAGTGGAGCTGCATTGGTGCCTTCGGTACGAATGAGCCAAAACATTCACATTTGCATGAATCGTATCTACATTAAACTCACAACGTATCAAGTCTGTTCAATGTCATTATTTTCCATTTGATAATACAGGTTCTACGGCGATCATGTTCGAAGGACGTCTGAAAGTGGAGCCACACTAGCGCTCCCCATAACCAAAGTTAAGCTACAGCGCTAGCGTTCATCACTTCGATGTACCCGTACCAGAGCCCGCGCACCTGCACCCATGTGTAACACACGCCTAACCCACATGCTGCCTTTTCCGTGAGTATCCGTGTGTCATATCGATAAGAAGTTTCATTTCGTGGTCCTGACATCGTGTGGATTCTTCTGTTGACTGTGCGATGGCATCCCGGGGTCGGGATCTCTTGTTGATACCTTTGTCACGTAGCAGCCTTGAGAGGGGCGCGGCGTTGCTATCTGGAAGTGTGTTGTTCGCACGGCCATCGCAGAGTGGACTCATGCGTCTGATCGCTGAGGCATGGTGCTGAGTGAGCAAAAGTCATCGGGCTTGAGAAGTTCCATGTGCTAGCCCATCACCCAGCGCTTCCTGGCTTTCTCAGGTCAGGTCTTTGATAATGACTTTATCGGGCAGTGGCGGTGCAGGCCCAAGTGCTGTGAAGGTACGGGCACTAGCGCTTTGTGTCTTGGCGCGCGCAATACCTTAGCATCAAGTTTGTAGAACGCGACCCGCAACGGCTCCAACGTTGCCTCACACCCGACATGGCCGACTCAGAAGTTCCAAAGCCAGAAATGTTGAACGACGCCTCCCCGCCCGCAACGGCCGCCGCAACCGCAGCTACACCCGCGGAATCCTCTACCAGCGACCCCAAAGCCGCCCTCGCCGCGCGCATGGCCCGCTTCAAGGCCCTGCAATCGCAAAAAGAATCTGGCCGCCGCCAAACCGAAGCCGAGCTCCGCGCCGCAGAAGACCGCCCGCAGCGTCTGGCGCAACTTGCAAAGCTCCAAGCCGCCAATGAAAAAGCGTCCTACAAGCTGCTGAAATCGGACGACCCCGACTTTGAGCGCAAGCGCAACTGGGACTACACAGTCGAGGAGAGCGAGTCATGGGACAAGCGGCAGGCCAAGAAGTCGCGGAACAGGGACAATGTCAGTTTCCAGGACTACCGCGGCGAGGCGAATAAGGTGTACAAGCGGCAGGTGAAGCAGCTGGGGGAGAAAGATCTGGAGGAGTATGCGCGTGAGAAGGGAGAGCGGCTGCAGCGGCAGGTGCGGATGGGGCTGTTGCGGTTGGTGGAGGAAGGGGGTGAGGTGTTCACTGTGGACAGCGAGGGGCGAATCAACACGCCGGTGGAGGAGCTGTATGACCACAACCACAAGCCGAGTAAGGAAGCAGTGGATAAGCTTGTCGAGGATCTGGAGAAGGGCGAAAGGGCGAGGCTGAAGGCGCGCGCGGCGAGAGGAATCAAGGACGATGGCGGCGATGTCACGTACATCAACGACAAAAACAAGCAGTTCAACGAGAAGCTGTCGCGGTTTTACAATCGGTATACGACCGAGATACGGGAGAGCTTCGAGCGTGGGACGGCAATCTGAGGAAGGAAAGGAGGCATTATACCCTGAGTATCGGCGTTTGGGGGTTGGGTTTATCACTGTACTTGGTACGAGGCACTTTGAGTAGCATACGATCATGAAATGGTATTGAGCGAGGCGACATAAAATGTCACGACTAAAAAATCGACCCCAGCACCCTCTGCACGTCTTGTCCCGGCTCGGGCTTCTTATCCGCCTTCGTCCGCATCTCCCTCTGCGAAAACTTGCTCCTCCTCTCCTTCTTCCTCCCACTCTGCTGCCCCTCGGTCTCGCCCACAGCATCTGCTTCCTCCCTCTCAAACACGGGCTCCTCCTCTCCCTTCGCCTTCCTCTTCGCCTCCATCCCGCCCAACATCTTCCCCCTCTCCACATTCTCCAAAAACCTCTCATTCTCCTTCTTCCCCTTGGCAATTTCGACCCGCAACCTCGCCGTCCTCTCTGCATTCTCATTCTGAATCTGCTCCACCAAATGCGCCCACTTGACGCCACTGAGGTACTTGACATTCCAGACCTCGTCGTGCCAGCGCCCGCGCTTCTTTCCGCCCATGGTCTGCGCGTTGAGGTTCTCCGCGACGAACTTGGCGTCTTTTTTCGACAGGAATTCGACCCACCCGTCGAGAAACAGCTTGCGGCGCGTCCCGCCCGTGCGCAGGCGCTGCGTGCGCGAGGCGGCGGGCTCGGGCGTCATGAAGACACGGCCGACGGCGCCGTAGGGGGTGAGCAGGGAGCGGAGGACGGTGGGCTTCATGAAGGGCGGGATGCGGGAGAGGTAGATGACGCCGGATTTGTCTTTTTTTGGCTTCGAAGGTAGGGGTAAGGGCGTGCCAAGCTGGGTGGATGGAAGCTTCAGGTCTTTGGGGAGAGTTGCGGCGAGCTTTTCGAGGTGCGCGAGTTCGGCGGCGGGGGAGTCGAAGGTGGGTTCGTCGTGCGCATCGTCCTCGTCTTTGGGGTCGTCCCGGTCGTCGGCGTCTGGCTCGTCGGCGGCGTCCTCAGAGTCGGATTCATATTCGATTTTTCGGCGCTTTGTGGACTTGAGCATGCGCGATCTGCTCTCGTCTTCTGACTCGTAGTCGCGCTCTTCTTCGTCGCTCTCGTCGGCGTCGAGCCATTCGTTGCGTTTGCGCGTCGCCATGGTGGCCGAATCCAGGGATGTTATGTGTTGCGTACTAGGCTTCTGGTGTGTCTTCGTAATTTCTCTGCTTCCGAGCCCGTGCTTCGTGTATGCTCTGGCACTGCTGCGCCTGTGAAACTTTTGGTGCGGAGTTACAACGGAGGACAAGTTTTAGTGGGGCACGGCTTGGCGGAGTGGCTGGGCTTCTTTTGGTGGCGGAGCACGTAGCACCTAACTTTCTCGACGCCGCCTTCCCGACTTTCTCACACTCGCTGCCTCGTCCATAGCACAACCTCTTGCTGAGCATTCTACGCGCATTCCATAGGCCATCTCAACGAAGCCCTTCGCCCCCAACCTCGCTCCTCCAACATTCTCTGACCGCGATACTGTTCGCCGGACACACACCACTCCGCCAACATGGGTGGTGATCTCAATACCAAGAAATCGTGGCACCCCCATCTGCGCAAGAACCAAGAAAAAGTATGGAAGGAGGAGCAAAATGCTCTCGAAGAGCGTAAGCTCATCGAGAAACTGCGAAAGGAGCGCGAGGAGGAGCGCCAAATCGAAGAACTGCAGAAGCTGGCAGAGGCAAATGGGGGCAAGGTCGCAACGAAGCGTGTCGACTGGATGTACGCCGGGCCAAGCGGCGACGGCGCAGGCGTGACAGAAGAGCGCGAGGGCTACCTGCTTGGGAAGCGCAGGATCGACGCGCTCCTCAAAGGCAACGATTCACAAGCCTTGCAGAAAGGCGCTGCTGTCGGCATCGATGCGGTCGGCAACACAAACGCAAACTCGACGCGCGACACGCAGAAGAAGGTGCTGCAGGACCCGCTGCTCGTGATTCAGAAGCAAAAGATGGAGATGCAGCTCAAGGCTATGAAGGATGCGCAGAAGCAGAAACATTACGAAGAGAAGCGAGCAAAGGAGAAGGAGCGCGAAAAGAAGCACAAGCACAGCCGTCGCGAGCGGTCGCGGTCGGCAGATGATCGCGATGGCCGGGATAGTAGGCGGCGGCATCACCGTCGTGACCAATCACACTCTGCATCTGACGACCGGGACGACCGAGAGAGGCGGCATCGCAGGCACCGACGGGACGACAAAGACGAGCACCGCCGACGGTCACGTTCACGCTCGCCGCGCCGTCGCGACGATGATCGAGAGAGGCGGTATCGTTCGCGCTCGAGGTCACCCTACCGCAAGAGCCACCGCGACGACCGTAATCGTGATAGTGAGCGCAGGAAAGATCGATCGCCCCCGCCCCGGGAGAAGCCAGAGGAGAACGGACATCGCGAACGCGACAGCTATCGCCGGCGTGGTCCTCCGCCGCCCAGGGAAAACGGGCATCAACAGCGACCGAGGGAGTCAACACCACCACCCAAACCAGACATGGCCGCGCGCCTGGCTGAGATGCAGGCTATGGCATCATCACTCGAAGAGCAGCGTCAAGAGCGCGTCAAGTTGCAAGAAGCTGAAGAAGCTGCTGCGGAGGAGAAGCACAAGCATAACAGAGACGGTCAGCATCGCTTCATATCTGGTTTCCGGAGCAAGGCCGCCGAGGCAACAGATCTCGGCGATGCTATTTCTCGTGGCAGGCAAGGTGCCAGGGGTTCCATAGACACCTAAGTACGTCCACAAGTTTGACATGATTATTAAGGCCAATAGGGCGAGTTTTTGATACCCAATACGATAGTAACCATTTCAAGACGCATCGCCTTCCAGCACGATAGTCACCATGCTCTTCCCCGGAACATTCGCACTGACGCTCCCATCGCTCACCACAGTCGCAGCCTGCTCATCGCAATTGTGCGAATCATCCGTGAGCCATGCCTTCACACTCTTCGCCACAAACCCCATAACCTTTACGTTCACGCTGCCCGCCCCCGACCCACTCTGCACAACCTGCACCGCAACCCGCCCATCCTCGTTCCTAAACGCGCTGACCCTCGCCCCAGACGGGACCCCACTCGTCCCCACCCGCACCGCGCCCGGCCTTACATGCCTGCTCCAGTTCGCAAATGCCCACAGTCGCTTCGAAGCAATGATCTGCGTCTTGTCGTCCGAGATGCGGATGAGCTTTGAATTCGTCGCGCCGCCCTGCACGCCGACCCAGTAGAGGTACGCCGAGACGTTCGCCTTGGTGATGGCGTCGGAGATGCGCTCTGCCCAGAGGAGGCCCAGGCCTGCGGTGCTGCCGCTGCCGGTCCCGAACCCGGTCGTCCATGCGCCTTGCAGATCGGCATTTTCAGTCTGCCAGACGGGGTGTTTGGTATTGATGGGAGAGGTGGGGGCGCTGGTGTATGCACTGTGGATGCCTGTTAACGAGGCTCTGGACTCAGGAGGCAAAGACGAGGAAAGCTCACTGTCCCGTTATCGTGCCCAGCATGTCCTCGACTCCCTTCAGCCCACTCATCATACCCTGCTGGCTACTCCAACCCTCAGCATCACAGCACGCAATCTTCACATCCGTGAAGTTCGCCCGGTCCAACGCCGGCCGCAGCACTTTGACAACATCCGCGGCTTGTTGCCCATTGCTGCGCATGCTTGCATAGCTCGTGGTCAGGTCCGGCTCGTTCAGGAAACCCAGATGCGTGATCTTTACGCCTATCTCGCGGTAGTACGTCAGATACTGCACGAGGTACTCCGCATACGCCTTTTTCCAATCCCCAGACGCACAGCTCGCACCACTCACCCCGCACAGAGACCCGCCGTTCGCGTCGTTATTGTTGGTCTTCATGTAGCCCGGCGCGCTCCACGCGTTTGCGTAGACGGTGCGCAGGCCGTAGTTTGAAACGGCTTCGGTAGACAGCCAGACTTGGCTATTGTCGTTGGCGTCCCAGACGTACTTGGGAGCTGCGCTGGGGCCGCCGGGGTTCTTGGGCTGGATGGAGACCATGTGGTCGGACGAGGAGTCGGGGGAGGAGCCGATGCCGTTACGGAGGATGGAGAAGCCTGCGCCTGAAGTGCGGTTAAAGAGGAGGTCGAGCGCGGTGCGTTGGAGTTGTGGTGATAAGGCGTGCATTTGGTTTGCGCGCTGGAAGGTTTCGGAGACGCCGAAGCCGTCCATGGTTTGGTATGTCTTGCTTAGGTCGACGGTGATGGTTGTCGCGGCTTGAACCTTCAGTGCGTGCATTGTTATGGCGAGAGCTACGAAGATTGCTCTGGAGAGCGCCATCGTGGGTCGGGCCGAGCGCTGCTGTGCGCAAGGCGTAATCGACGTGAAACATTGTGGTGGTTGTGGTGCTGTTGTAGCTGAGAGGTGCAAAGAGCCAAGATGGCACAGAAGCTTGACGGTGGGTATTCATTCATTATCCAGATTGCGCACGGCATATTGCGGCTCTCTTGAGCGCCCCACATGCGTGAGTACTAGGTTCTCCACAGTCTCAGTGCAATGGTCTAGTGAAGTTGACTGGTGGACTTATTGTGGGACTGGTAGTGATACTTGATACCCTAGTAATCGCTCATGTCCTCGCTTTCGTCCTCGCTGGAATCGATCGTATTGTTCAAGCCGTCGGCTTTAAGCTTAACCCAGTCGTGCAATAATCCGTCTGAATCGACGTCTCTACACATCAACACTTCCATCGTAGATTCACTCACCATTGACAAAATCTTGATAGTGAGAAACATCACACGAATCTTTTCTCTCAGATCTATATCGGTGAGCGTCTCGCAGGCGATCCTCATTTGGTAGGTAGCTGTCGTCCCAGCCAAAAGATTTTCTATGGTAGGGCTGAGACGCTTGACCTCTTCAGCCTCCCTTCGTTCCACATCACGGTGTCCAGCTTACGATCCTTGGGCTTTGCGACGGTTCAAGGTCCCGTCCACCCAGCCACCGGTTCTGGTACCATGGCTCTGCGCTGGGCCAAGCGTGTCCCGCTTCTGCACGCGGAAGCAAATATACTTGGGTAAGCCTATCACTTGTTAGATTGCATGTGTAGACTCCAAACAAGTATACCTTGATTGCACCAACGTGCTCACTTGGAAATTCTATTACTCCCTAGCATACGAGTCTACGACGGCAGAGCTTTGTATCAAAATATGGACTGTAAGAAACATTGCGGATGATAGCTCGTTGAATCTTCGTTCAAACTACCTCATGCCCTGGTATCGTGGACTCTACGACGATCTGGACCCTGCCCCGGGTATGTTGGGAAGTATGCAGTACTTTGTGTGCGGATTTCTAGTCTATAAGCATGCCTCGTGAGCCATGTGTGCTTGATGCGTGGCTGGATGGCCTTTCTCTCTGCTGTTCCTGCCCGCGAGTGATGTGGGTCCCGTACCTCTATGCTGTCTCATCCACCGCCACTTCTTCTACTTTCCACTTCTTTACCCCGAACTCAAAGACCCTGCTCGACAACCAGCACGGCTCCGGCAACTCAATGGTAGTGCACATACTCCTCAACCGGCGGACTAAGCCCGTTCCTCGCCAGCCCATGCATCCCGTCCCTTCCTAGATCAAGGTCTTGCTCGTGAACTGGTATCCGCGTATCCCCTCCTTCATCTATGGTACGTGGAGTTGACGTTGTAGTAGCTATATTGATCTGACACCTCATCAGTAACATTCTCACTAGACTCCCGACGCGAAAGAGAATCGTACTCCTGCCCCTCGCCTGAATATACAGGGGTGTCAAAGTCGGTGGCCGCGTGATCGAGGATGTTGGGGTCGACGGGCGGGATAACGGTTCGTGCGACGGGCGCGGGCGACGGCGGGTCCGACCACGACCAATCCATGCCGGGCGAGATACTTCGATAATGCTCGACCAGGGGGTCGGGCGCGGGTTGGGGTGGGAGCTGGGTTTGGGATTGTGGCGGGGCGGAGATGGGAGGGGATGAAGTAGACTGGGCGGTACTGACTTCGACCATTTTGTCACCCTCGACGCGGATTTCGCGGTCGCGCAGGCGCCGCATGAGCTCGAGAAATTGGCTTTTTTGAAACTTCTCACTTGTGTTGTCGGAGACGCGCTCGAGGAGGCGGCCTGCGGTTTGTGCCATCTCGTCGTCGTCGTGCCTGGGCTGGTGCTGCTCTTCTTCTTGCTTTTGTTCAGGTTCTTGCGGCTGCTGCAATTGTTCTGGACCGGATGATCTCGTGTAACCTGCAGCCTCGAGCTCCTCCCATATGCGATCCTGATTGATGGGCACGGGAGCGGAAAGCAGCGGATACGTCGACATGAGTCGCTCGTTGATATTACGAATCAATTGCTCTGAGCGCGTCTTAATTTCTTGAGGACCCTCTCGGCTGGCAATGTTCTGCAGCGTGTCAATAACCCATCTAGCCTCGCTAGCATCCCTCGTCAGCTGATGTTCGGTCTCCATGGTTTCCAGCATGTCCAAATAGGGCATGGCTTGGGATGCGTTTTCGAGGTCGACGGCGCTTCGGATCTTGAGGGCAGCATAGACAGCTGTCACGAGCCATTAGCATAGATGTGATGCAATCGGTAGCGTAGCTCACCTGGCCGTTGTTCCCGAATCCTCATCAGCGCCGGGTCTTCCGGCTCTTGCGGTAGGTTATCTACTGCAGTCTCCTCTGTGTGAGTTTCCTGTGGTCGCAAGTTCTCGGCGAGAGCCTGCTCCTCTGCCTGTTGCACATCTGCAAAAGCGCGCTCAAAGGCCGCCTCGTCGAACTGCGGCACCGCATCCTGTACCCGTTGTTTGCCTTGCGCCACTTCTGACATGGAACCGCCGTTCATCATGGCAAAGCCGGGCTGATGGAACCCTGGGTGCGCAAAGCCCGACATGCCGTAGCCTGCCATGCCTCCGACACCATTCTGCTGGAAGACAGGCGCCTGCGCAGCTGGGCCTTGCTGGCTCATGAAGTCCTGGTGCCATGACGACGCGGCGTTCTGTGCAGGGACGCGCTGCTGCGGTATTTGCGCTGATTGTGATATGTTCAGGCGCTGGAAGTCGGACGCCCAGTCTGGCGCTTGCGAGGGTTGCGCGAACTGTGGTGGAGGCGCACGCGCAAACTGTGGTGGGAGGTGTTGGAACTGGGGCTGCGACGGCAGCGCATGTCCTGCCTGGAAAGCTTCGAATTCATGGTCCAAAGCACCATTATTCTGACCGAGAGATGACCTGAAGCCCTGCACTCCATCAGCCCTACGTTCGCGCACATGTCAAGGTATACTCACCTGCGAGGGCGAATGCCGGCCAACCAGGCGGTCCTGCTGCAGCGTCCGGTCGACGGAGGTATGCTTCTGGAAGTTCTGGAGGGCGGTAGAGGGCCCGCATAGAGCGTCTGCCATGGTCCAAAAGGGTGCAAAATCACCGCATGCTATGCTACAGCTAAATGCAAGGGTGGAAGTGGACGAGATGCGGCGGGAAGCGTGTCCCGCCATCCGTGACCATGTGCCGAGGCACCTGAACGGACCCTGTCGGCGATCGATTGCGGCCGCTGACTTTCACTACTCACCCGGGGAAGCCGACCCGAGTCTTGCACTTTCACGACTACGACATGAACCGATCGGCACACCATCGGCCCATGTATGCAACGTTTGGGAGGCGCTGAGGTGTACGCTTAGCCGTGGGTGGTACAGACCGGTGAAAGGACCTCGCATGTCCGCAAGTTGAGACACGCTCAATCTATGTTGTGCAATGAACATGACACCACACCTGCATGTGCATAGAGGACCCTTGAATCCAGCCAAGTGTGTATTGTCAATGTAGCTACATAAACTATCCATGCGATAAACCTGTAAATGGAACATAAAGATGCCATTAACAATGACGATTTGTCATTGCGAACTCAAGAGTAGAGATCAACAGTGGTATAACGAAGACGAAAGCGAAAATCAGGTAAGGAAAACAAAAGCCAATACCGAAAATTCCTAGAAACCCCGACATAATTGTAAGATCGTCCCATGTCCACTATGTTATGTTACCTCTTCAAAAGAACATTTCCTTGATGCCAACGACCCTCTTGGGTGAGCTTCGGCGACGTGACGGGGATCGGGAAGGCTTCCTTCGGCGTACCCATGCGTAGTCGTTCTTTCCGTGGTTGTCGCGTTCTTCGATGAGGAGACGAGTACCTCCGCGAGTGCGTAGACGGCGCGTGTGCTCGAACAGGATCTCGGTCTCGCGAGGCTCCATTTCGCGGAGGATGATGATATAGTTGGGGTCGGCCTGTAACACGATAAGAACACGTCGAGGGGTTAGAGCATGGCGGAACTTACTCTATCAACTTCATATGGGATGTCGTAGTATACTAGGGTATCGACAGCAAGATGCTCCTTGTGCACCTTGACATACGTAGGCTGGTGCGTGAGGCGCAACGGATTCGCAGGCGACATGCCCTGCTGCAGTTTGGCGGCCTCCTCAGGCCTGATCATAGCCTGGATCTGGTTGTCCTGGAAGCCAAAATGAGCCAGACGCTTGCGCATTGCCTCTTCGAGCTCCTTCTCCTGCTTCTCCTTGGCCGCCTTCTCCTCTTCCTCTTTCTGCTTCTGCTTTAGAAGGAAACGGTCCCACTCTTCCTTCTCCTTCTGTTTCCTGTGCTCCTCTTCGATTCTGAGTTGCATGATAAGCTCCTCACGCTTCCGCTTCTCCTCTGCTGCATCTTTGACTTTCTTGGCCTCGTACTGAGCAACAATACGGTCCTGCTCCGCCTTCGCCTGGGCCTCTTTCTCGGCACGCTCCTTGTTGAAGTCGTCAACGGCTTTTTGCTGTGCCGCCCTACGCTCCCTCTCTGCTTTTTCGAGCTTCAGGGTGTTCTCGGCGATGATCCGCTGGCGCTCCTCTTCTTGCTCCCTCGCTCGCTTATCGGCCTTAGCCATACTCTCTGCGATGAGCCTCTTCCTCTCCTCTTCTTCCGCTCTCCTCTCTTCTTCCTTCTTTCGCGTCTCTCGCTCCAACTTGTATTCCCAATCTTTCTTGAGGCGATCCTTCTCTCTTTCAGCATCCTCTTCACGTTCCTTTCTCTTCCGCTCTTCCCGCTCAAGCTTCAACTCCCATTCTTTCCTCAGGCGATCCTCCTCACGCGCGATGCGCGCTTCTTCTAGCTCACGCTCTTGTCTGTCCCTAATGTACTTGAGCTCCATCTTCTTCTTGATCAATTCCTCGCGCCTCTCTATCTCCTTCAGCTCCTCTTGTTCCTTGATGCGCCGATTCGCTTCTTCGAGCTTCCAGTGGTCGTAATCATGGCCATGATGATCGTCGTGGTGATGCTTGGATCGAGACCGAGATCGAGCTTGCTTGGCTACATCGAGCCGCAGCTCTGCGATTTCATCCTCCAGTGACCACTCTCCGGGCATCCTACGCGACCTGCCACGAGGTTCGGCGTAGGGATTCACAAGCGGGCTCTTCTGCTCTGTGCGGACGTTCGGGCTGCTTTCGTTGTCCATACGGGTAGTGTTGTAAATGGTCACGTTGGGAGCTGGAGCGTGGCCCTGAGAACGGGTGCGATGGAGGCTTGTGGTGGTACGGCTTTCAGGTGCCAGCAGAAATTCAGAGGTACGACGAGCGCCGAAGTCATCGTCTCGAACCCTCCGCGAGGAAGCTGAAGGTGCGCGAACATGGCGAGCACCACCACGGACCTCGCGGTCGGTGTTGTACCACTCGTCCTCCCAGTAGTCGGCGGGCGGCATGATCGATGTAGCTCAGAGTGAGATATCGGACCCAAATATTTTGTGAAAGATGCTGGGCACGTTCAAGACGTATTAAAACGCAAAGTCGAAGTCAGTCGTGCACGTGTGAGCGATCGCAAGGTGGGCACGGCGGGGCAGAGCGGGGTGTTGTATGAGGCAAGGCAATCTTAGAAGCAAGCTGACGCGACAGCACACAATCAGGCAAACGTAAGATACGCAGGAAGAAGAAAGAAGAAGAGCGGCGACGAGATATTTCAAAGAAATGGCCGTCGTGCACCTGGGGGCCAAAAGCGACCTAGTGATCAGGCAGCGGCTGCTGGGGCTGATCTTGTGGACCGATGGTGCAGACAGCCTTCGAATCGCTGTGCCGAAGAGCGGGCACCCCTCCTCCTGCGAGACCTCACACTGGCCACAGCCGAGTTCTGTGCGCTCATCTGTGGTCGCTCTGCTAGCTCCATCCGCTCTGCACGACCGTCGTGTCTCGAATCCTGGACTCTGTCTGCTGCTGGCGGGCTTCCCGCGCGCGAAGCGGTCTGCATAGGCTCGTGTTTGATGGTTCGATGGCCGGGGTGGCATAAGCGACGGCTCCAAACCATCGTCCAGCCTTCAACCTCAACACCAAGAGCATGTGGTGTCCTTTCTCGGACGCTCTTTCGTCTGTTTTGAGACTGCCTCACGTTATCGTCAGCACGGGAGCGTCCGTCGAGACTCGCGGTCCTGTGCTGCTGACCAGCAGAGCACTTGACCTCTCTGATCAGCCTCATCTACAGCTACCGAGATCGGACTGGCCTCCGAGCCCAACCTTGCAGGGCCTAGCTAAAATAGCCCCCAGACGGCCTGGAAGGGGGCTAGCACAGTTACCATAATCTATATATAACACTGCCCTCCTTCCAAGCGTTTCATGCTTCAAAACTTAGGAAGCAGAAGGCGCAGTGTGTAGATCAGTTATGTTGGCTCTCAAATCTGTGGCGTCGAATCAGGTGATCTGGCGGATGCATGAACGTCTTGCCGCATGTAGAAAATGCTGTAGACGCGGTGTCATCGGAATTCGTTAGTCGACAAGCAACATCTGAAATATCAATTGTATCCGGATGTCGGGTTGATAGACGGCAGTAGCTGCCGCAATCCTATTCCTTGGGGCTTCGTCATTGCAAAGGATGCTTCGTTGCGACGTCTTTGTTATCTTCCAACAGTCCCACCTGCGTTGATTGTTCATTGTGAGTGACTTTGACATTCGCATATCGCTTCTTTCCTCGTTTCGCCCCAGTTCGCCCTCTAAAAGGCTAAGATATTGCTCTGTTGGAAGCGGCAGCAAGCAAATCAATAGTAAGTCGTTACCAAAATTGCTGTAATAAGAATGCTGGTGATTACTCTGGCCATCCCACCTCATTTACAGTCCACACTGGAATTGAATAATGCGAAAAATGGTCATGGATTGGAGTGTTCGAAATAAGCTGATATCTTTGCGTTCAATCGTCCAATCGTTCCAATCGAAGAGTGGGAAAGATAATATGACGATGGCCTGGATACTGTGATCGTGGTGATCGGAGGCATGTAATCGATTGGGTCTGATCGCATTGCTCCAAGAGCAAATATGCAATGTCAAGTCATCTCGTCGACAGGTCCCGATCACTTCAAATCCGCACGGTACGCGTAGTGACAAGTTCTGTGGTACATGAGCACAATGTAGTAGCTAAGGCGAAATGCTCACGGTTGCTCAAAGCATTAGTCCGCGCAATCAAAATAGACAACAACTTGTGCGCGAGCAAAGCGGGTACGTTTCCACGAGCACGAAGTGCCAGTAGCGAAGAGGGAGGTTTTCCCATTGCATGATATCTTTTCTCTCTTGAAAGTGCTTGCTTTTCGAATGTATGCAAGGTCCTACAGCGCCACTAGATTCCATTACGGAGCGGTGACGCCCGACTCATAGAACTCAACCTTCTCAAACTCCAAGCGGAAACACAAATAATGCTTGTCAACCCCTTAGATACCTTGTGATAAAATATCTCCTATTCACCCTTGGACGGATATCAGGTAATGCCTCGGGGTCTTCAGCCGGTCCGTCCTCCCAGCACTTGCTCGATGCTGTTCTTGCTGTTCTCGTACGTCTTCTCCAAGTAGTCCTCTTTCTTTTTGAGGTTTGAAAGCTCGCTCTTGAGCTTCTCGTCCTCGCTCGATAGTCTCTTCTGGACGTCTGGAATTGGAGTGCACACGAACCTAAAGCCATTAGAGGGGTACTCTACCGTAGGCGGCCACAACATACATCTTGCCCACGCCTTCATAGACCTTTGTCTCTTTCGGCAGCGACTCCATTTCACTTGCAGTCAGCTGCAGCATCCGGCTTTCTCGGCTGTTGGCGACCTTTTGCTGCCTCACGATCACGAGTTGCTGTTCGGCAAAAGCCTTCTTCTGGCCAATCTCCTGCAGGATCTGCGCACGATGAGTCAATGCGCGATAGTCAAGCATGTGTGCTGTACCTGCTGCAGCTTTTCATTCGGTATCGACATAATGGCCTCCAATAGTTGTTGTGGTGGAAGTGAACCCTGGATACTGCCTATCGCACTGTGAAAGGTCCGCGCTCGGCTAGCCTTGCCGTTCTCAAGCGCGGGGCAGGTGCGCCCGAGCGCGACCATGACGTTTGGAGGATTGGGGGTTTGGCTGACTGCTCAACATTGAAGGGAGCTATAAGGCATTAAGGGTTCAGTACTAGTCTTTGAAAATTCACCTCGTGCTTCCAAGACCCTTTTCTGTGCGCCCTTACGATATGTTACAACGTGTCTAAGTTCGCTTGTCCCCCAGACATCTAATAAAATACCCATTCCGGGCTTCCCGGTATCGCACACGGTTGGGCCTGCTCGGAATAATTTACCACCCTACATCATCTACCACTTGCCCATAAGTGCTGGAAGCAAAGATGGTCTTGGACATTCTTAAACGTCTCCCGTCTCTGAAGTATCCACCAGCGCAAGCAGGAAGGTGGTCGCCGGTCACCTCCACACTTAACTGGTGTGAAGAAGTATGCGTCGAAGTCTGATATGTGCGGGTGGCTGCTAACTTGAACTCAGGACTATTATGCAACGATCTACTCTGCAGAAATAATCAATACTTTGGTGAAGCACACTCCAAGATCCCATCACGAGCTTGAAAGCATGCGTCGGAACACATACCTTCACCATGACAAGTGCTCTCGCTATGCTTAGCAGCACGATGAGCACAATTTGCTGATACATTAGTAGACGAACATCTGGTTCATGTACCTGTCCGCCAAAGGCATCCACAACTGCCTGACTAACGGACATGACACTACGTTTCTGGTGTCGTACATTGGATACCTGCTGGTGGGAACCGGCTCTTTCCTGTTTCATTCTACGTTGAAATGTATGTATAACCATCATTCGACACTAAGCGCGGACGAACCTGACTTTACCATCTCAGACCCCATGCAGCTTGTTGACGAGCTCTCGATGATATACACAACATGTCTTATGTGCTATGTGACTTTCTCGTTCGGCAAGACAAGCACCTATAGATCAGTTCTCGCTTCGTCGTTGGTCGGCTTATCTCTCTTCATTACTCTTTATTACCATGTAGGTGACTCAGACGCTCCGCAGGATACTGTCATCTCATTATGGACTATATGACTATCCTGGGACACACATCGAGTCTGCATGAGATCTCATAACTCAGCACTGTGCTAAAGAAGGCCAAAGTGTACACGCTGACACCTTCTTGCTAGTTTCTACAAGACCCCGTCTTCCATCAGACTGTCTACGCCATTCTCACAGCCGTGGTTTTCTTTCGGGCTGTATATGTGATGGAGACACTGCTTCGACCAAAATTCCGAACCAAACCCACAGGAAAGCGAGAGGAACAACGAAACGTACAGATTCTGAGCGAGATGTGGGTCATGATTGCATGGGGCCTAAGCATCTTCCTGGGTGGATTCTTCTTCTGGTATCTGGACATTGCTCACTGTTCGACTCTGAGGCGCTGGCGGCGTGAGATTGGAATGCCTTGGGGATTCTTCCTGGAGCTTCACGGCTGCAAGTATTCACCCCTGCGCAAGCTTGAGGATTACACTGACATTGCACCAGGGTGGCATCTTATGACTGGCCTCGGCGGCTATTGCTACATCGTCTGGGGTATCTGGCTTCGACACTGTCTGAATGGAAGACAAGACGAGTTCAAGTTGCATTGGCCTCGGCTAACTACCATGCCGATGGTGGTGAAAACGCAGAACGCGGCCGACAGACACGCTAGCTACCTCACCAACGGTGTGACAAAGAAAGAGATGTAGGATACTGCGGTTGGAGGCACGGTGCGGACAGAAATCGAGAAGATGTACTCTGGAGCGGTGCAGTGCAGGTGTGATCGATGGATTCGAACAGACAAAGGGCTGTCTGGCGTGGCGTTCGCACAGTTGAGCGTTATGCCGCTATGCGCGATGCATGCGCTACTTAGTACGCCTACGCGATGTGATCTGCATATTCAGGCCGGGCACATCGTTGTGGCGCGCAACCGGCGCGTGGCATGTTGCAGAGACAATACAGATAGACTCGGGGTCCCCTTGGCCTCGAACGAGACTTTGCACAGCATTCGCGAATGATGGAAGCACAAAAGCTGGTGCCTGCCGAGTTCGTTTACGCAGGCAAGCGCGTAAACAAGACTAGCCTAGCGCGACGGTCTGTGCAGTGTGCTTGCCTCCGGCGCGGTAAATAACCCACAACACCTCACCGCTCTGCCTCCTGTCCTCGATCCACTCTCGACAACTGCAAAGACAGTTCTCACCCAGCTCATCCCATTCTCACCTCTCGTCGCCACCCGTTCTCGACAAATCAGTCATCATGCGTGAGATTGTACGTATTGTTCGCCCCTGACAAATTTGTTGATGCGCGCCCTGCCCCGCGTTTCCGCCTCAGGGACAACACAACAAGACGACTAGCCGCTAACATGATTCTGCGCAACAGGTCCACCTCCAGACCGGCCAATGTGTAAGTCCACCTTATCCCAAGTCATTGAGACGTTGCTAACGAGTGTAGGGTAACCAAATCGGTGCCGCCTTCTGGTGCGTCGATCACGAGAAAGCTCTGCCGATGCGACAGCAACTGACCGACCTACAGGCAGCAGATTTCCGGCGAGCACGGTCTCGACGGCTCCGGTGTGTAAGTAGCACTCATTTCAGAATACACGCTATATGCAGAAATGTCTGACTTTGACCAGCTACAATGGTACCTCTGATCTCCAGCTCGAGCGCATGAACGTCTACTTCAACGAGGTACGCAGCGCCGATGAACGCCCGTCCGAAAGAACACGAGTCTGACATTCCGTAGGCCACCGGCAATAAGTTCGTTCCCCGTGCCGTCCTCGTCGATTTGGAGCCCGGTACGATGGACGCCGTCCGCGCTGGGCCTTTCGGCCAGCTTTTCCGTCCCGACAACTTCGTCTTCGGCCAGTCTGGTGCTGGTAACAACTGGGCAAAGGGTCACTACACTGAGGGTGCCGAGCTTGTCGACCAGGTACTCGATGTTGTCCGCCGTGAGGCTGAGGGCTGCGACTGCCTTCAGGGTTTCCAGATCACCCACTCCCTCGGTGGTGGAACTGGTGCCGGCATGGGTACTCTCCTGATCTCCAAGATCCGCGAGGAGTTCCCCGACCGTATGATGGCCACGTTCTCCGTCGTGCCTTCCCCTAAGGTTTCCGACACCGTTGTTGAGCCCTACAACGCCACCCTCTCCATCCATCAGCTCGTTGAGAACTCTGATGAGACCTTCTGCATTGATAACGAAGTATGTATGGCTGGAAGGAGACACAGGGCTTCGCTGACACTTTTAGGCTCTCTACGATATCTGCATGAGGACCCTCAAGCTGAACAACCCCTCGTACGGCGACCTGAACCACCTCGTCTCCGCCGTCATGTCGGGTGTCTCCACCTCTCTCCGTTTCCCTGGTCAGCTCAACTCTGATCTGCGAAAGTTGGCGGTCAACATGGTTCCTTTCCCCCGTCTCCACTTCTTCATGGTCGGGTTCGCTCCTCTCACCAGCCGTGGCGCCTACTCTTTCCGCGCCGTCACCGTTCCCGAGCTCACCCAGCAGATGTTCGACCCCAAGAACATGATGGCCGCATCTGACTTCCGCAACGGTCGTTACCTGACCTGCTCTACCATCTTCCGTGGTAAGGTCTCCATGAAGGAGGTCGAGGACCAGATGCGCAACGTCCAGAACAAGAACTCGTCGTACTTCGTCGAGTGGATCCCCAACAACGTCCAGACCGCTCTCTGCTCCATCCCCCCGCGCGGCCTCAAGATGTCCTCGACCTTTGTCGGCAACTCGACCTCCATCCAGGAGCTCTTCAAGCGTATCGGTGACCAGTTCACTGCTATGTTCAGGCGCAAGGCTTTCTTGCATTGGTACACTGGCGAGGGTATGGACGAGATGGAGTTCACTGAGGCCGAGTCTAACATGAATGACTTGGTCTCCGAGTACCAGCAGTACCAGGAGGCCTCCATCTCTGAGGGAGAGGAGGAGTATGACGAGGAGGCCCCCGTTGAGGGCGAGGAGTAAGGTGGTCACCAAACATGTGTCAAACTAACAGTGTGCTGATTTTACTGAAGGTACGAGGGCTGAGTCTCTTGACTGAACCGAAACAGTTGGAGAGACAGGGAGCGACATCTGTGTTGTTGTTCCAGTCATGGCCAGCTGTGGAAATGTCTGAGCGAACTTAGAGCGTAGAGCGAAAACCTCTTGTTAATGCAAATGATTGCCTAATCCAATAAATTTCTTCAAACAAGTCCATTGTCGTGTCCTGGAGCGAATCCAGTGAAATATGCATATAGAAAAAGGTGTTGCTTGGGCGTTGTTGCTTTGGGCTGTCATGTTCACGTCAAACCAATTTATAATGAGCATCTCATCTACCTAAGTAGTGAATCTCTCCCGTCGCCTGAGAGCTGCCTTGCGGAAGCAGTTGAATGCCCGCAACCGCCAACGAAGCCCTCATCCTGCGTGCCTCGACCGTGGACCGTGTCCTTGTGTAGCATGTCTTTCGCCGTATGTCTCTGCATCGTCGATGGTATGGTGAGGCAATAGAAACTAGCCTCACCGTAGCTGCTCCAGTCCTCCTTGCCTATGTACAGGCTGACTCTGCGAACCCTTTACAACGCCTTGTTCCCCGCCTTCTTCCTCTCCTCATCCCTCTTCGTGTAAATCATCTCGGTGAACGGGTCCTCCCACCTCCTGGCAACACTGTAACACACGGCCACCACAAAGGTCAAGAAGATGCCCGCAGGCTTGCCTTTCCAGATCGCGGTCGCGAGAAAGCTGAGCGTCGACCCGTGGTACATGGGCGCGTCGGAGACATTGAAGGGGAACGAGGTCACGGGGGCGTCCATGAGGATGCCGAAATAGTCGCCGAGGTAGGTGCCGGTTACGCCGAGGGCGTACATGGAGGTTAGGACGAGGGTTGTTCCCGTGGCGAAGAGGGGGATTGCGGAGAGGTGGATGAGGGGTGTGAGGAGGGCGGGGTGAGTTGGTTGGTGGGAGAGAGCGGTGTCGTAGCTGTGCCATTTTGTATCAGTGTGGGTTGGGACGGGTGTGAGGAGGGGGAGGAGAGAGACGGACAGGAAGTCGCGCAGGATGCCAAGGGAGAAGATGGTCACGGCGAGAGCGTAGCAGCCATAGCGGGGGTTATTGCCGAAGAGCTTGGTGATGGTCTTGTTGTAGTATTCTGTTCCGGGCATGGATCTGTCAGCCTCATGTTCGGGTGTAGCGAGCGGGTTTGAGATAGAAAAGTGTGAGGTTGCGTACCCGATTGTGCTGCGATGCTGCACGGTAGATTAGCTCGGCGCCTCCAGGCTTGGTGGGGGGCGGGATGGACTTACTTCCAGAATGTGGGATTGAACAGGATAGTCGCTGCCGAAACTGCGCTTCATTAGCCATGCTGCCTGCGCGCACAATGCCCTTCGTGGAGAATTTAGGGGACGTACTCCACAGGCTGGGCTGGCTGAAGTCGATGTAGTCGCTCATGATGGTGGTGATTTGCTATACAACGCGCTTTGCAAGTGGAGGAGGGATTCAAAGGTGTATGGAGCGCGAGGGCAAGCTCTGCGGAGAAGTTGGTGCTGCAACGTGGGGTGAAGCTTGGTGTTTTCGGCAGTCGGGTGGTTGGGGTTGTTAGGCGAGACGTCATTGCTTCACATGACAGCTCCTGTTTTGAAGCTCAATATCTGGGATAGGTGCTCTTGAATAATTCTCGATAACGATCAAGTGCCTAGTTTGGCACAAGGTTGCATTCAGTCATAGCAATAAACCGTACATGTTTACCGACTCGGCCGCCGCAGGCTGCATTCCTGCGAGGAGCTCGTCTTGATCCCTTATTACCGATTACGCCCAAACACGCAAATTCACAAAATAATCCCAAAAAATTAGTATACCCAAGACCACCCGCGATTCTTTTCTTCCTCTACAAGCCGTTGTCCTGGCATGTAAATGCTCCGCCAAAGTTATCCGCCTTGTACCCGTCGATAATGCTCTGCACCGTTGCGTACGTTCCCCCAGTCAAAAATAATAGACCCACGCAGCACAGGCCCACATTAAAGAGGAAGCCAGCCCAGCCGCGGATACCGCGGTTCTTGAAGTAATTGCGTCCGTAGTCGGCCTCGCGCATACGGAAGTATGCAACGCCCCAGTAGATGAAGCCAAAGAAAGCATCGAAAAGCGAGCTCATCAAAGACAGCAGGTCCGAGAAGAAGGGAATAACCTCCGCGACAATAAAAGCCAGTAACCAGAGCACAGCGAGGATGGCGGCCCAGGCGGCCCAGCCGACTACGGTGTGGCTACCCATGTGGTAGGTACCGCCGAAGAAGCGGAAGAAGATGAAGCGTGCGGACACGGAGGCGTACAAAACGCCTAGGAAAATGATGGTCGGGATCATGAAGGAGAACGAGATCTTCAGCATGACTTCATTTCCGATGGAACCAAAGGCGGGTGCGGTCATGTACTGGGTACCAGTATAGGCGTACACGATGCTGCCGACGAGACCAAAGACGATGACCTCGGCGATGGTGACGGCCCAGAGGGCCTTGGGGAAGTCCTTGGGCTCCTTCATCTCGGCAATGAAACTGGGGAGCGTAATCTGGCCGATGAAGGTGTAGCTGATGTTCATGAAGGCGCTCATTCCCGCGACGAATGTAGTGCCTGCAGCAGGGACTGCGAGGACAATCGGATCAATGGGCCCAGTCTCGGCTGGCCAGCCCTTCGGATGGTCCATGATTCCAGAAAAAATCGTCGCGAGCAGGACCGAGATGAAAGTGAACAAGGCTGAGGCGGTCGCGCCCTTGGAGAGCGTACCGAAGGTGCGTGGGAGGGAGCAGACGAAGGAGACGACAGCTACAATGGCAGAAAAACCGATTGTGCATATTCCGTGCCCGGTCATGGTGTTCAAATATTTGGCGCCCACGAGGCAGTGGAGACCCTGTCGGATGTCAGCTACTATGTGATAGACTCAGAAATAGGTTTTCTTACCTGAATGAAGGTGTTATTCAAAATGAACATAACGGCCGTAAACCAGAATGCCCAGCGGTGGTTGTAGAAGATCATCTGGCCTAGATCGCAAACATCGCGAATCTCTGGGTGGCGCATGCAGAACTCCCTACAATAGTCAGCATAATTTCAAGCTCAACGAAATTGGACAGCTTACCAGCAGATCAAAGATGTGTACAGTACCAATGCTGCAATGACGCACGTCAAGATCAAGCCAGGTACCAATCCCAGGATGGAGTAGGACCACGGGAAGGACATAATGGCCAGGCAGATGTACTCGGAGAAGAGCAGAGCGGCCGTCTTCTGCCAGCTGCAGGTGCGGTACTGGATGGCATTTCCGGCCTCAAGCTCGATCTGCTTTCCCACGGTGATGCTCTCCTCCTCGCTGCTGTCGATATCACGGCGGGCGGGGCCCTCAATGCGGCTTCCCTGGCGCTGTTTCTCAAGTCCGCCATTCTCAGCGTCCTTGTTGAACAATTCGTCAGCGGCCTTGGTGTCGTTGGATGGGCTGTCTGCCCTCTCGGGTTTGGAGCCAAAGCCTAGCGCCATTTGACCGACCGAATGGCTTTGATAAAGATGTGGTGGTAGGAGGTACGGCGAGAGACGTTCGGCAGCATTAATTGCGGTTGGGGCGAAGGTCGAGAGGCGGCGAAAGTGGGAGAGCAGCAAGTTTGCGCGGGCAGGTTCACAATAAGAAGAGGGCACAGGATCTGCACGGGCTCAGGCGCGCATGGGATTAGTGGTTAGTGGTACAGGGTTGTCAGTCACTACGGGGTTGAAAAGCAAATCTCAGATGCGGTGGACTGGGAGCTTGGTGGATCAACGGGGCGCGCGAGTGGCTGTTGGGCTCCACAATCAACGGCGCAAGGTACGGCTGGGCTGGGAGGCTGCAGATGCTGGTAACTTGTGGGAAGTGTGCAGTGGCGGCTTGCGGTTCCTTGGTCGGCGTGCGGTTGATGTCGCAAACGGCCTATCAGCGGATACAAAGACGCCTCCAGGGGCGCGCTGCCCCGGGCGCTATGTGCGGCGAGCGCCAGGCTTACCGTCGGCGGCGATTGCAGAGCTGCGCTTGGGGGCACCGATGATGCATCACGGCAACCGGTGACGATGCGCCACAGACCGGATGTCGGGGGCGCCCATGGCCTGTGTTGCAAGAGCAGTGGAGGCGAGAGGCAACCACCAGACGAGCAAACGGGCGGTCTGTGCGCCAAGGATGCACCAAAGCCATGCCTATGCCCTTCTGTTTGATACTGTCCCCATGATGGCATATGCACAGAACTCTCTCCCCGTCAACTCGCTTCATGGGCCCCGCCTCTGTCTTCACAGATCTGCCCGCGCCACAGCTGCTCTCTAGCGCAGGCCTTCTCGCGGGCTACTACGGCACGCCTGATGTCGGTGACGTTACATGCAGACGGCAAAGCATCAGCCCAGCCTGGGCGTTAGCTTAGAGCGAACAAGCTCGGACATATTTGCAATCCAGCCTCAGAATGATGTGCTTGCGAATTGCATTTTCCAGCATGGAGCCGCAGACTCGCACTCATATGTCTTTGCTGGCATTCCTTTTGCCCGCACCGCGCATCTGGATGGCCCCGAGGACGCTGCGCGTGAAGGAGGAAATGTGTCACAAGGCCTGTGTGCCGCTCCGGCCGCTCCTCCGCGGGCGTGCACGCCGTGCTAGGCCCTCTGGGAACGCCAAATCTTGGGACGATGGAAGAGCTGTGCTGCAGTGTGGCCTTGGATGAGATACGCGGAGAGATCAGGTTCGGATGATGAGCATGCCGGGTGTTTTGCGAAGTCAAGCACGTAAAGCCTTCGGTTGTCTTGCGGAAGAAAGGGAACGAGGCTTGGTCTTGCACCGTCACCAGGCCCAGCCTTGATCGCGTCTTGGGATCTGCCCGCCCCAAAGCTTCTCCGCACTGCACATAGTACGCTGTCCAAGTCGCTTAAAATGTGCTTTCTGGTGCCGTTTTATTCAGCCATGCCTCACCATTGCGCCTGAAATGTCTATCTTGAGGACCCAAATACGCCCGCTGAACCACGCAATCGAACAATAACCTCACATCATCCGGTCCCTCATCTTTTACCCCGAAAGTATCGTGCCAAACCATTATATCAGACTGTCTCCGCCGCTCCCCCAACTTTGCGTCGAAGATGGTTTCTGTTGATTCTGGTTCTGTTGCTGCCCTGTTCTTGACACCATGCTGTTCATGCTCAGTTGACTGTTTGCTCGAGCACCTATTCCTGGCGGTAGAGTTATGTTGAAAGTACCCCCAGTGCTTGGAGGAGGTGCTATACCGAGTGAGTTTGTCGATTTGATTGGGGGAGGTGCAATGCTGAACGCTGAGTAAGGGTTGCTTTGCTGCTGCGTCTGTGGTTGCGCCGGTGGGGAAGTCATTGAGAAATTTGAGAGACCACTTGAAGCGCTGGGAGTCGTGCCTGAGTTACTCCACGGGTTAGAACTGAGCGAAGAAGTCCCGCTCGCTTTGGTCCAATCGATGCCCGAGCTCTGGGTGGTATAGGACGGTGTCGTTGTGGTAGGCGACAGCATGCTGATCATCGGCTTCTGCTGTGCCTGAGGGAACGACGAACCAATGCCTGGATTTGCGGGTGCCATGGCTGGAAAAGTCGAGTTCAACGAATTCAGTGTATTGTCTGGTGTGATGGTCCTCATCCCTCTCTGTGTTTGGGGGGCGGCCAGGTTTGTTGGCGGAGGAGACACGGGAGGTGTTGACCAGGCAAAGGCTGCGGCCGGCGATGCATTTCTCGCAGTGCCTGAGCGATTCGCTGCAGGTCGTGAAGCCAATGTGGCCGAAGATGAGGCTGAAGCTGGTGCGTTTGCCCAAGGATCGCCACCAAGCATGTCGGAACCTGTGATTGCACCTTGAGTCCCCCGGACTAGCGCCTCGAAATCGCTGCCTCCATCCCCGTTGGTAGTGTCCAGCCCATTCGTGCCAGGCAGGCTACCAAAACTCATGAACTCATTCCGCGACGTAGTAGGTGCATTATTTGCTCCGAGCTCCTGCAGCTTCCGCGTCTGTTCATTCTCAACCCTCGCAGATAAGGACTTGATCAGCAACATGTACGCTTGGAATTGCCCAAGGTTGAGCAGGGGTCCGAGACTGAACTGCCATAGTATGGGCAGAACGTCAACCGCAAGAAAATCGCTGTCGACCTGGGAGCCAATCGCTTTGAAAACGTCCAACGCAGCCATCTTCACAAGATGTTAGTACATATTTATAGCAGATTCGCTCATGCTTCATACTCACCATGACAGCAGGCTCCTTAGTCTTGATGCCCTTCAAAAGTGGGACTACCTTCTCCTGTATGGTGTATTTGTCGAGTATTGACACACTAGACTTAGGCTTCGCAGCTTCAATAACACCCGTCAGGCCATCGCCTTGCAATCCATCCTGATCTTCGCCGCTACCACCACACAAGGTCCGGAAAGCCTCCAGACCACGAATCTTGATGCCCATGCTACTCGTCTTTGCGAAGATTGTTGCAATGACGGGAAACAGTTCGTTTTTGATAGTCGAAAAGTCAAGGATCGGTAGGACTACAGGAAGTGTGCGGAGCGCGGCATCTACTAGAGAATGGGTGGGTGACTCGAGAGCATAATTGACAATGGGTAGGATGTCATCCTTGGGGACACATTAGCATCGTCAACAGCAATAGTTTGTCTGGTATTCTCACCTTGAACTCCTTACCACCACAATTATTTGCGGCGACTGATATGTTCTCCAGAAGGACCATCAAGCCAGCCTCTTTCAAGCTGTCACGCTCTTGAGCAGGGCCCTTCGGGATCGCCAGAAAGGTCTCTCTGAGTTTTGGAATGACCTTCTCAGTGAAAGCGCGTTTGCCAGACGGAAGCATTGTTATGATCTTGAAACAATTCTGCAAAACCAATGCTAGAAGCTCACGATCTTTTGTTTCCTCGAGCAGGGCCGGCAATACTTTCTTTTCCATTACTGATTTTGGAAACTCTTTCAATATCCTGGGCAGCCCACGAAGGAACTGCTGTTTCTCATTGGGGGTTTTTGCAGGTAATGAATCGAGAAATCGTATGGTAGATACTAGGATGTTATCAAAGTACTGTGCTTGTTGGAATTCTCGGGCGTTGATGCGCTGAGCTGGCCGTCTAGTAATGAGTCGGTCCAGGACCCCGTTTACGACATCCCGCGGCATAGACTGGGAAGACATGAAGTTGTTCGACTTGTTGGGTACCGAGGAGGTTGTCGAAAAAGCCCGCTTGAATGAAGTCGTGCTGCCATGGAACTCCATCGGGCTCTTGTGTGGAGAATTGTATAGCGCGATGATTAACATGCCCAGCGAGAACATGTCGGCTGCCGGGGTGACGTTGCCATCCATGACGAAATCTGGTGAGGTGTAGTCCAGGTTCAATTGAACATATGATGGTAGTCGCGCGTCGTAGTTCAAGGCTTCGGAGAGCGATATGGGCGACACAGAGGTAGCTTTAGTGGAGTTTTCGGGCGGTGTGCAGAATGATAGACCAGATATCTTCCAATCCGACTGTCACGTAGATCAGTAAGATTCAAGAACAGAAACTTGGTATTCCCTACTTTAGCATTTACAAAAACAGCGTCAGGGGTCAAGTTGGCATGCACCAAGCCTGCGCTCTCGTGCAAGAACTCTAGTCCTTTGGCGATCTGTAGCAACCCCTTTTGTATCTCCAGCTCGTCGATTTCGAGCTCACGTCTCCGCTTCTGCCCGTTTTCCTCTTCGATGACATATCGACTTCTGCGCCCGCCAACACCGCCTGCCTTCTCCTGCTCGTCTTTTTCTAGGAGCAGACCAGCGAGCGATGCTGTGACAGGCTCTGTCGCGAACATCAGGCCTCCGCCTCTAGTGTCTTCGACGGGTTCGACCAGCTCCAGTACGCTGGGGTGTCGCAGCCGGGCGAGGGAGCTGGCCTCTTTCTTGAGCCGTTCAACCACCTCCTCATGCGCGCGCTTGAGCCCTGAGCCTCCCGACGAGCGCCCGCCCAAGCTCGCACCCCCGGGGGGCTCCAGCGACTTCTTCTCGAATATAAAGACGGACACGGGCTTCTTGGTCTTCTTGCCCTTCGCGTCGTAGATCTTCCATGGCCCCGAGAAGGACGTCGGCTCCTGGCTGAGGGTGTAATTGTTGGTGATGTTGGAATTGAACGACTTGGACAAGTCGGCGGCGAACTTGTTGAAAAACATGGCGAGAGAAGGGCGCTGGGCGCTACGGTCGGGCGGTGGTGCTCATGGATGGCACTGTGGCCAGCTTTGCGGAAGGGAGAGCTGCGTCGGGGCAGGAGCGAGGCGCCGTCGGGGCAAGAGAGTGCGCAGCCGCAGTGAGCTTAGTATCGTCCACTGCCTGGCGACCTGAGACAGCAGCTATCAGTCAACGTCTGCGACAACGGACCACCGCGCGCAATAACACAGTATCGAGTTGCGACAGACAAGGCAGCTCCCCCACGCGACAGTGGTGGCTAGTGAACCCTAAACGCCAGACCTGTCGCGCGGGCCGCGGCGTGGCTGCGCGCTTCGCAGCACCGCATTTCGGACACTGGGCCAAGCAGCGCTGGTGATGCACGCCAGCAAGAGGGTGGCAGCACGGCAATAGCCTCTGATATCCGAACTGCAGGCCCCATGTCTTTCGCAGTCGGACCCAGTTGCGCCCTTCCGCAGAGACATGACTCCCAGCGCCCGCCGATTGGTTCTCGGTCGGCATCGGGGAGCTAGAAGCTGCTCCGAGCGGTAAGCGTCGGTTTGATATACAAAAGATTCCGTCGCAGCACTACCATTGCCTTCCCCACGCTCTCGGTCTTGTGCTTCCTCCTCCACAGCCGCCCACAATGCTCCAACAACGGTCATTGCGATTGCTCTCATCGCTCTCCCAACGCGCCACTCGGCCTGCTGCCACCAGCGTTGCCGCCTCACTGCGATGTCGGACCGAGCGACCGTACAGCATCCACGCCGATGCCTCTGTCGGCACGACGATCAAGGACATTGAGCCTTCCAAGCTCTCTATCACGAGGACCACGACCCCAAAGGCATTGCTGCCTCCCGAGGAACTTGTCTTCGGCCGCAACTTCTCAGGTGCGAGCTGTTGAGACGTACATGAGAAGGTTCCTAACCCATGTAGACCACATGCTCTCGCTCGAATGGACTGCATCCGAAGGATGGCTTCCAGGGCGCATTACTCCCTACCAAAATCTTAGTCTCGATCCCGCTACCTGCGTGTTTCACTACGCGTTCGAGTGCTTCGAGGGAATGAAGGCATACAAGGACAAAAACGGTGGCATCAGACTGTTCCGACCGGAAAAGAACATGGCCCGTTTGAACAAGTCGTCTGCGCGCATTGCGCTCCCCACTTTCGATGGCGACGCCTTGATCGAGCTAATCAGCAAGTTCCTCAAGGTCGACGAGCGCTTCATTCCTGAGTAAGTCACATTTCGCCTCAGCGCAAGCCCCAGGCTTACACTCGAATAGTGCGCGTGGATACTCGCTGTACCTCCGCCCGACTATGATCGGCACCCAGCGCACCCTCGGCGTCGGTCCACCGGCCTCGGCTCTTCTGTACGTCATTGCCTCGCCGGTGGGCCCATACTACCCGACTGGATTCAAAGCTGTGTCACTTGAGGCGACAGACTACGCTGTACGAGCTTGGCCTGGTGGTGTAGGAGACAAGAAGCTAGGTGCCAACTACGCCCCTTGCATCGTCCCGCAGATGCAGGCGGCGAGCAGAGGCTTTCACCAGAACCTTTGGCTGTTCGGCGAGGAGGAATATGTCACCGAGGTCGGGACTATGAATCTGTTCGCTGCGATCAAGAACAAGGAGACCGGACAACCAGAGCTGTTGACTGCCCCTCTCGATGGAACCATCTTGGAGGGCGTCACGCGTGACTCGGTTCTGGCCCTTGCGCGTGAGCGCCTCGAGCCGAAGGGCTGGAAAGTCTTGGAGCGCAAGTTCACCATGAAGGAGCTCGCTGATGCTGCGGACGAGGGACGCATGATGGAGGTGTTCGGCGCTGGTACTGCTGCCATTGTCAGCCCCGTGCGACGAATCAGCTGGAAGGGACGACTCGTTGATTGCGGTCTGGCTGAGAACGAGGAGTGTGGTCCCATTACAGGACAGGTCAAGGACTGGATGGAGGCCATTCAGTACGGTGACGAAGAGCACCCATGGAGGTAAGCGACCTGTGCCTTGCTTGATGAGTGTAAGCTAACTCCCCGCAGCTACAAGGTCCCGGAGTGAAGATTGGCCGAGAAGTGGTAACGGCGCGCGACGCCAACAACGGAAGCAAGTAACTATAGAAGAAGCTTGAGCATGTGGGGAAAATTGTTGATCCCTGGAGCGATCTATGGACGTCGAGCAACGGCGTTTGAAGCAATGCCACAGCATTGGGCAGGTGGTGCATGCCAGATGCCCAAAGTCCAAAGTTTATAGACAGCTTTAGCTTCGATGTAGACTGGAGAATGTATACAATGCATGCTTTGCTGCTCTCATGCATCGAGACAGAATGACCACAGCTGCAAGGTACCAATTGTGTGACGTCTATCGTCGCTGGAGCACGCCATGCCCCTTCCGGACAGCTACCTCCAGGGAAGTCGCGAGCAAGGCTCCCCCTAGCCAACCTCCCAACCTCTCCAAATCACTGCGCGGCCGATTCCGTCCCACTACCACGACTCGCTACTCGCACCCCTCGCCGTCTTCTACGCGTCCACAACAATCGACCAGCGCCCCCCACGCAATGCTCGCCCGCGGCGCGCTCTGCCGCTTGGCAGCTGATGTGCCCAAAACATCGACACACGACCTCCCGCGCATCTCCCAGCTGCTCCGCACTACCCTCTTCGCTCGCCATGGCGCTTCCCAGCCCACCGTCGGCGCCATCGTTCGCGCGTTTCGAACTACAATTCTCGAGGGGCGCCGCGCATATGCCACCAAGAGCGCGACTGAGCCCACCGCGCGAGTCAAGCGGGAGGTGAAGAAGGCAGTAGCGACAAAGAAGACGGCGAAGACAACTACAGCGAAGAAAACCACGACCAAGAAAGCGGCCCCCAAGAAGGCAAAGAAGGTTGCGCCAAAGAAGAAGAAGCCAGCAAAGGAGCTCACAGCAGAGCAGAAGGAAGCCCAGACAATCAAGAAGCTGAAGGAGAGGGCGCTGCTGAAGGGGTCACCTAAACGATCAAACAGCTCCGCATGGACCGAGTTCGCTAGCGAGTCCCTCAAGGGTTCCAAGAACATTGAGGATTCACAGTCGATCATGAAGGAAGCGGCCGTCAAGTACAAGAACTTGACACCAGCCGAAAGAGAGGTATGTACATTGGCGAAGTGAAGAAGGCCTGTTTGACACCCTCTGCAGCACTACAACCAGCTTGCCAAGCAGAATATGGATGCCAAACTCGCCGCGTACGACAAGTGGATTCTTTCGCACACACCCGAAGAGATTGCTGCCGCCAACTATGCGCGCGCCGCCTTGAAGCGCAAGCTCGGCCTCAAGTCCAAGTACGACACGCTGATCGATCCGCGCCACAACAAAGCCGCTAGGTCGGGCCCCTTTGTTCTCTTTGCCAAAGAGCGTCTTAGCTCTGGGGAATATCAAGGCATCGTAGTTCAGGAGAGGATGAAACTTGTCGCAAATGAATGGAAGGCGCTCAGCCCCAGCGAGAAGAAGGTGAGTTCATGCCTCGAGACCCCGCGCGCAGCAGCTGATGATGATATAGGTATTCGAAGATCAGTCCGCAGCTGCGAAGGCTGCGGCCGCAAAGACGGCAGCTTGATTGTATAGCGCGCTCCCTCGGTTTCCTATATCCAGTTCCTTCGGTTCCTCAATGGTCAGGTTTTTCTTCGGCGCTGCTGACTTGGCTCCATGTGTCACTACGCTTGGTGGTTGGCTGGTTCGATTCAATTCGGCGCATGGCATCTCTTCTGCGGGCCTGCGAGCGGCGTCTGGATACGGGCTCGCGACGAAGCACGGGATTTGATTGGTGTAGTCAGGATAGCCTTCGTGGGTTTGGGTGGGGAATTGTATCGTAGCTCTGTACAAGACGTGACTTTGCTTCATCTGTTGTGAAGCGCTTGCAGTGTTGCGTAACCCAGGCCGGTGTGGCGCATGAGATCTGGATCGACAAGAGTAGAGCTCCTGGGCGGAAGTTTGTATCGTTCTGGCATGGAGATTGACTCAGGCTCTTGTGTCACCATGAAGCCTGTTTGCCAGGTCAGATCCTTTCACAACTGCCTACAGGGTCACTCGAGCTGCTACGAGTATCTAGACCTGGACGCGATGCTATATCCCGTCTTCATGTTCACGTGAGAGCCAAAGAAGTCAACCGTACCATTGGATCCTGACCTTGCATAGCAGACCTGCCGTTGTAGTCGTCCTCCACTGATCTCCACCCGGAACTGTGTCTACGGCCCACGTGCGTAGATGACGGTGTATCTTTCCTCTATAGGCTCTATCTTGCTCTATATCCGTAGTTCCAATATGATATCTGCAGTTCCTCCCATTCTCCACCACGCAACTTCATCTCGTGGACAACGTCTTCAAGCGCACCAAGATCCTGGTCGACTATGTACATCCTCTCGCCCTTCGTCCGCGTCATGACACATGTCGTGCGCGTGTTCCAGCGGAGCCATCGCACAAGCACCCAGCAGCCTCTGGTGCAGAGACGGTATCCCGTCGAGCTCAACATCTTCTGCGCCGGCCCGTGGCTCCAACGGCCTCGACGCCGTTCTATGCACCGAGCAACGAAGCCCACCGGCAGCCTCGCAAGCATACTGGCCTGAACATCCCAGCACAACCCCCCATAGTCTTCAGCTCTTCCGTCTCATCGATCAGCACCCTTGAACTGCGCGCTCTTCAAACGGCAAACCCCCCGCTGTCCCGCTGCCGCGGCTCCCCCGCCGCTTCAAACGTCCCGTTCCAGCACACCCGCAGCGCCTGGGCCGAGCTGTAGCCCTGCGGCATCCACGTGACGTTGTGGCCCCTCTCCTTCATGAACGCAATCGTGCCGTTGTCGAACGCGCGCGCGGTGCCCGTGCCGATGCCTGACTCGGCCCAGGGATGCAAACCGCCCACGTCGGACTTCCCGAGGTCGTGCGGCGCCTTCCCGTCCGGCGCGCAATTCGGATTCGTAGAATTGCATTCGAAGGCGATGACATTCGGAATCAGCTGATCATGGAACCTCGGCTCATACAGCGCGTCGATCGCGCTCATATTGTGGTCCAGCACATGCCACAAGTTCTGCGCGACAGCGGATATGATTTTGGCGCCGCCCGCGCTGCCGAGGACGTAGTACAAGCTGCCGTTGGAGGCGTGCTCGACGATGACGGGGGCGATGGAGGAGAGGGGGCGTTTGCCGGGCCGGATGTAGTTCGAGGGGGAGGGCGGGTAGCCGAATTCGTTGCGAGTGTTGGGGAGGGAGAAGTCATTCATTTGGTCATTGAGGATTACGCCGGTGGAGGGGACAATGAGGCCGCCGGCGAAGATGAGGTTGATTGTTGAGCTGGGGGCTTTAGTAACGTGGTGGTTGATATTATTGGGGATACTTACGTGAGGGAAATGGCCATTCCGGAGGCATCGGCCGCAACGATGTGGCTGGTCCCGTGGTTTTCGAGGATCTCGTAGCCGTCCGGGTTGTACTCTTCGATAGGAAGCGTATGATCAGACGAGATCTTGCTGCGCTTGCGGGCAGCAGAGGCCTCGCTGAGCATAGTATCTTGGTGGGCGGCCGTCCCACTCACGAAGTCTGGATCGCCTAGGGAGGAGCGCTCCGCGTAGGCAAAACGGAGCGCCTCGTCGAGGTAGTGAGTGCTCAGGTTAGTAGCTTTGGCATCATTCATGCCTTCGTAGCCCTCGATGGTCTTGAACGCGCTGAGCACAACAGCCCCCGCCGCGGGCGCACCCACAGACGCGAGCTTGAAATCCTTATACTCCGCCTGCAGCGGTGCTCTACTCCTGATCTCATACCCACGTAGGTCCTCAAGCGTCATCGTCCCATTCGACGCCCTCACAGCCTCTACTGTCGCTTCCGCAATGGGCCCCTCGTAAAACACACCTGCGCCCCCTTCCGCCACCGCTCTAAGCGTCTTCGCATACCTCTTCCTCGTCAACACATCCCCCTTTCTAAGCCTCGTCCCATTCGGCGCAAAGTCCTCCGCCCACGCAGGCTCCTCGCTCAGAAAATCCCGCCCGTAGATAAACTTCTCGGCCACATCCATATACCTTACCAGATCCTCCCCAACTTCAAACCCCCCTTCCGCAAGCTCAATCGCCGGCGTCATCACCCTCTGCCAACTAAGGTTCCCATACCCTCGATGCAGATACTCTAACCCCCTCAGCTCCCCCGGCACACCAACTGCCAATCCCCCGAAAACAGAGCCATTTCGGTTGCCCACATACATATCCTCGGACGCGGCCCCTGGCGCCGTCTCCCGGAAGTCGATAGACTCATAGGCGCCAGAGGCACTGCGGACCAGCATGAAGCCGCCACCGCCGATCCCGCTGTGGTACATGCCCACGACGCCGACGCAGAAAACGGTGCCAACGAGGGCGTCGGCGGCGTTACCGCCCGCGCGCAGCAGGTCAGTGCCGATGCGGCTGCATAGTTTGCTCTCGCTGGCGATGGCACCGAGGCGGGGGTCTGAAGACGTATGTGATGAGTCGGGATCTTGATGCGGGTTGAGTACTATCTGTGGGGGACGAAATGATGAGGCTGAAGCACGGGAGGCATGCAGTAGGGCCGAGAGGGCGAGCAGGAACGCCGTGGCAGATGTCGTGACCATGGCGCTGGTGTCGCGATGGTGTACACCAATGTTTGGGTGAGACCGATGGTCTAAGCCGCGGCGTGTCAGTGGGTGGGTCGGGCCGTGGACGAACGAGGTCGGAGGTCGAAGAGCGGATCAACAATCTTCCCTGCCGTGCATAAATGTTTGTATCAATAGCACACAATGGAACTTTTGCCTTGAGTTGGATTGAATCCCGAATCCCAGTTCATCGTTCTTATCGGACCTCGCGACCTGAATCGGAACTCGTGACTTGGTGCCTGGAGCATGATTAACCACCGCACGCTGGGCACGGCCTCGGATCGTGAATCGGTGCCCCGATAGTCTCGCGCGACTCGTTGAATCACTTCAAAGAAGGCTGAGACGAGCTACGGCGGGTAGCGACGTGCAGACAGCGGGCAGTCACGCCCAGATTGGAAGCTAGACCGCAAACGACACAACGGCAGAGTCAGTTTCACACCGCTATCAGATTGACACATAGGACCAATTGCGGTTTCAATAAATTCATTACTCGGCACCACGCGCTGGCATGATGCTGATGTGGATTAGATACAGACAGCAAGGAAAAGCTTTCCGTGTCCCATCTGTAGACGCCACATGACACACAGCTATAGACAAGCAAAAAGATTGCGCAAACAGAACAGAGAAGTGCAGCTATGCAACAACAAAGAGAAACGAAGGCTGGAAATGTAGTTGAACGAGAGACGAGAAAGTATCTAGAAGCGCTGGAGGAGTATATACAAGGCGGAGGGAGGTGGGGTTTGACACCGCTATGGGTGTCGGGTATTGTAGTAACGACCGGTCGCAAAGCGTAAAGCTTAGGGTATGATGCATGCAGCGGACAAAAGAGACGCGCAACGCAAAGAATACTTGCAGGTGCAAGCGCGGGCTGCAGCGCGCGAGTGTATGTATGTACCAAGCGTGTTGGATTTGAAAGAGCCAGCCGAAAATTTGGGAAATGTTGTTGCATGAATGGATGGATGGCAGAAAAGACTTCGGACGCCCGGCGCTCGCTAGCTATGCTCGAAGCAGATGGAGACTGGTATGGTAGGAATGATGCGACTTTTGTTCAGGGCCAAATGGATGCATGAGAACCGCCTGAGTGGCTGAGAGATCCGTAGGAGACAGGGAAACCGAAAGAGATCGTTCACTTGGGGACGCCGAGGTTCAGCCAGGACATGTCTTGTCCTCCTTCTTTACGGTCGCCGGTAGGTCCACCGGGGAATACAGTGATCTGGCTCTCTCGGCCGTCTGGCGCACCGCCTAGGCGTGGGGGCGCGGGGTAGAAAGACTCAAAATCATTGTGCTGCTGTTGCTGGCGTGGCTGAATGTTGCCCAGGTTCTGACCCGGGAAGACGGTGTTGGTGCTTTCCCGAACTTCGGGTCCACCGATCTTCGATTGGCCAGGGTAGAAGGAGCTGATTCCGCTCTTCGGGTAGAACGAGGATGTGCCATCGGGATAGTATGAACTAGCGCCGTCGCGATAATCGTTCATAACAACACTGCCCGTGTAGTTGCTGCTCACTGGTCGCTCTTCGTGGCCGACAGGTGTCCAGCTTTCGACAGGATCCCGGAGATAGTGATGATCATCGTTGCTGATGCCGGAGCGCGTGCTGGCTCCCGAATTGGCTCGTGCAAGTTCTGCCTGCATAGGCTGACCGGGTAAGTTGTCTGTCGAGTTACCTAGTGTCGGGCTGCCGGTGGTGACTTTGCTGATGCGTTGGTTCTCGAACTTGGGAATATCGAGTGGTGGAGGGGCTTGCATTGGCTGGCTGTACATGCGCGAGTCGGTGTACAATGAGTGGCTGGCGGTGCTGGTACGGTCAGAAGCAAATGTTGAGCGGTTGTCGGTAGGCATAGCTGCCAGGTTGGTGGCATCGTTGTTGGCGAAATAGCGACTCCAGCCAGAACTGCGGCTTCTACTCACGTTGCCAATAGCTTTGGGTGCGGGCGGTATCCGGCCAGAGTTCTGTCGAACCATCCTCTCATCGATGGGTTCTGGCTTCAAGTCGAACTTGGACAGCTCGACGGGCTCAGTGTATCCGAGCGGACTGGCCTTCTTGACCAGACCCGACGTACTCGAATCGCTCAACATGCCACGCTTGTGGCCATGGCCGGCGCCTCCTGCAATGATGGCGAGAGAGGTTTGGGAAGCATTCACTTCTGTGAACCTGGGTTTACTGCCCACACCTCCTGCCTCCTTCATGAACTCGGCACCGCGATCGGCAAAGCTCAAGCGGTCCTTCTCCACGTATCCACCCTGCGCTGTCCTCCTTTTCTTCGATTTTCTCCACCTGAGGCAGAACAGTAGCAAAATCAACAGAGCAGCGATGCCAAATATGGCACCTAGAGTTGCGCCAAGGACTGTCAGCATCCTGTCCTTGTTGTTTACGGCGGCACCGGCGGGGGCGCCGGCGGCCGCGGAGGAGGAAGCCGCTGCTGTCTCAGTGGCAGTCGATGTCGGTGTTGAGGAGCTAGCCGAGGAGGAAGGTTGTAGGATGTTGTTCAGTTGGCTGCCAGAGAAGAGTGCGGTTGCGTTGACCCAAGAGTTCTCTGAGCCGTCGAAGATGCTCAGAGGCTCCTGGGCGTTGCCTCCAGAGAAGACAATCCTATCGGAGTCGCTTTGCGCGACTGAGTAGCCGCTTCGGATGAGGTCCGAGGCGAGGGTGTCGTTGTATTTGGGGAAGTCGTCAAGCGTCACGTATCGTTTCGAGTTTACGCCAACGGTCGTGCCTTGGGCAGCAACAGATCCACCCTTGTTGAGGAGGACGGTCCGCGTGACCGTGTTTGGCGACACGCCCATGTTGAATGTTTCCAGCACCTTACTGCCATCCTCGCCGTTAATCAAGGTACATTGGGTTGTCTCCGGGCTGGTGATGGGTTCAGTGATCGTAATACCGAGATCTTTCCATCCTTCCATCGCACCAGAAGCATCAGACATTGCACCGAAGGTATAGATGGCCGTATTCGAGGCTCCACCTCCGACCATGACTGCATGGGTCTCGTCCCACGGCAGAAGCATGGGCTTGATGAGGGGCGGGTTGGCTCCAGCTGGCTGGCTGAGAACAGCATAAGGCGATTTCGTGTCGATCAAGAAGCTCTCCGACGAGAGACCGCTTGACTGAGGATCCGAGGAGCCCGAGTAGACGAGGATTTGTTTCGCGGCAGGGATATAAATGGCGGCATGATTCGTTCGTTCCTTCGTGACCCAAGTCTCGGACCGCTGCCAATCCCACTTCTTATCCTTGAACGAGTAGTGCATAAGCCCAGGGTAGTCCCACTGCCTTACGGTCTCGTTCACTCTTCCCCCAACGACGAACATCATGTCGGTGTTGGCATCCCCAGACGAGGGCGCGAGTATACACTCAGCGCCCGTCAGCGATATATCCATGGGCAGCTTCTCCCATTGTGAACCCTTGGCCAAATCCAACGACTGGAATCCCTGCGGCGAATAGACGTAGAGCGTGTTCTTGTGGATGACGGAGCAATGGTTGTCCAATGGGTAAATGGGGTCTTTGAAGGTCTTCGAACTCATGGTGAATTGAAAGGTGGCCGGCGCGCGACAGGCGACGGGGACAAACGAATGTGGTGTAACGAAGGTTACGGGGAGAGTTCACCAGAGAAGAACGGATGGGCGATTAGTGGTGCCTGTTCAATTTCATGACGGAGCGATGGTGGCCCAGGAGAATCAACGGTGTTCAATTCCAGGTCCTTGTCGGGGACAGTGTGCGGCTGTATAGCAGTGCGACCGACGAAAAGGCTTATTCAACTGGATGGTACGGATGACCTGTGCGCGTGTAAGAAAGGAGCGCTTTGTTCGAGCGGCTGTGGGCGCGTCGACTTGGAGTGAGTGAAGTGTGGTGGTCTAGAGCTGCTGCTGCAGGCGGCACAAAGAAGAGACAAGAGAAGCGCAGGACCTACCCGAATCAAAGACACGATGGGCACCGAGGAGGCCTGAGACAGCTTGAGCAGGCGGTGGCAGGGCGGAACAGGCCTTGGGGTGGCGGGCGTAGAGAGCGAGGCGGCAGCGCTCTGTCGAAGAGGCGAGAAGAGCACAGAAGGAGGGGAAGCAGCACGGCGCAGCGGCGTGCGGTGGTGAGGTCGAGACTGAGGCTCTTCGGGCGCTCGTGGGAGGGCGTGAGAGGAGTCGAGCGGGTGCAGTGCAGCTGGGAGGCCCGACGGGCTCGCAGCACCGCCGAAGCGTCCCTGACCCTGAGCAAGGGCAGGCTGGGCGCCGACTGGGGAGGGCACAGAGGGCGTTAGCGCGGCGGCGCGGCGTGCACGCACCCATGCTGGCCAGGGGCACTGCGTGTTTCGCCCAATCGACAGTCCGGCGGCCGGCGGCGCCCCTGTCGCTCTCCCTGGTCGGCCCACGAGCGGCCTGCCCAGCCGAAACACCAGCGGCCTGCGCGCCCACTGTGCGAGGCCAGCTGGCCATGGGCAACCACGCGCTGTGCCTCTGCGCAAGCAGCCAGACCACCCTCTCAGCCGGGCGCTCGCCATCCAGGCCACGGCAGAGGCAGTCGCACGCTCATCACGGCCGCCGCTGCGTGCCGATCGCCATCTCTGCGGCTTGTTTTGCGCGCCAGCCTCGTGAAACCGAACGCGCCAGTCAAGGCAGGGGTCGCGGGCTGCACGCGAGTCGCCTGCGCCCAGGACGGCCAAGCGGCCTTCGCCAGGTAGAGTGCGCACTGCGCAGCCTGCAAAACGGGGTCCTCTGGCGTGGTGTGAGGCCTGCGGGAGACCTTCTTAGCCGTCGACCGTCATTTCGTTGCATCGCGCTGAATCGCGATGCACGTCGTTGCCTCGCGTGTCCGCCGTCCATTGTCGTGCGCCTCGCCATCCAGCAGTCTCCTGTTGCCGCTGCGTGTCGCCGTCACAGCGCCCACCTGCTCGCCGCCTCCCATTCGCGCGTGTGGAGCCCGCATCATCTCGCTCGTGCGAACGCCTGGAACCGCGCGCTCGCGGCCTGCACACTGCACAGTGGTGGGCCGCGACGGCTGCTAACCTGCTCTTTCGGGACTGTGAAACGGCTGGGCCCGCTCCGCACTCCACCATCATTGGACCTCCGCCGAGGGAGCGCCTTACTAACAATACACCCACCTCTGCATTCGACGCCATTCTCAATGCACCTCGCTTCTGCCAATTTGGCAATATCCACCTCCCCATGCAGCACGCGTGCTGCCTCTTTGACAACACCCAAATCTTCTCTGTGCAGATCTGCACCTTCGCTGCTCTTGCAGCACCCGCATCCGTCGTGAGGCTGCCCATTTCATCTGCCCAGCGGACAGCGACCGGCACTCCGATGCGGACTTTGCAGTACTATCGAGCTCAGCCTGATGACATGCCAAACCTGGCATCGTGGCTCGTGGCCGTGGCCTCTCGATATTACCACAATCTATCCGACTCTACCCCACTGACTTCACACGTCGCAGTCGCCTAGTCTTCCTCGTCCGTTGGCACCCTCATCCCAGTCGTGCCTCTTTTTAGACTCGGGTGACTCCAGTCGCGTGGATGCCATATCTGTCGCTTGTCGCTACCGAAGAGCAAGAATAGCTTCGCTACTCGCTTGCATCGTGAATCTCTGCACATGGGTGACTTCCACTGCACGACGACCATGTTTCCTGGCCCGCACGTTCTCCATGCGAAACTTGTGCTCGGCGTTTCCTCGTTCTAGAACAGAACAACAGTGCGGACAATTTGTCGTTTCAGCCATCAATCATGCCGCGATGCTTCATGCCGCAAGGTTTCCCCACCACTACACCTGTCCCAGGCCACCCTTGCTGCTGCGCCAATGTAAAGATATTGAGGATAGGTCTCATGCACCGCTCTCGAGGATTGCGCTGCTTCCATCTTGCTTCATTGGGCAGCTTAACGGCTACCGTCGAAGACTGCAATTCTCTACGCAAAACCCCCGCGCCAATCGCATGAACCTGCTGAATCTCCCCGCGTCGGGCCAACTGCGAGGAGCAGCAGTCGTACGCAGGTGCGCACGCAATTCACTCTGCTCTATCACAGAACAGCCTGCACAGGGTGCCGTCAGCATGCCGGCAGATCTCAATGCGCAATATTTATCCACACGGCAACCCATTCAACTTTCCCCAGCATTACAAAATGATTCAAGTCATCCCAATAACAACAACGCACCATGACCTCATTCCTTATATCGATCACCCTCCCAAGATAGCCATTCAACTATTCCAGTATCACACGCTGTATTGGCGCGGCACAGTCCCGCACCCTTCTGGAGTACACATGCATCGTCTAGCCTGCCTACCAGGATCGTCCGCTCTTACCTTACGCTGCTGACGCGGAGTATTTCCAGATCTCGAGCATGCGGAGAAGCGGCGACGGGTCTCCCGTGGCGCGCGTTGCGCCTGACGGAGAGTACATGTAAGAAGCTTGCGGGATGCTGAGGTCCGTGGTCAGCCCTGTGGGCTTGGGGGACGGAGTGTGGCTGGGCTGGGGAGCATCGGACCGACTCTGCTGTACAACTGGTACTACACTGCCTTTTGGAATGGTATACTAACATCGCGCTCAACTGTGTAGAGGCGTGCCTTTCGCTTACACAGCCTCGATAGCCTCACCACCCTCTTCCCATCTACACCCCAATCCAATCCACATAGTGCTCACACCTCCGCCCCCCCGTCCCATGAAACCCCGACCGGTAATTCGACCTCATCCACGCTACCCTCGGAGTCGTTCATCCCAGCCCATCTCACTCCCGCCTTGCCCTTTTCTTTTGACGATCCACGTGCTTTCCCTGGCCCCAGCCAAAGGGCCCCCAAGGCAACAAATAGCAGCCACCCCGACGGTGATTGGGCCTGACCTCAGGAGCGGCACTCCGTGATGGGTTGATACTATCGCTACCATGTACTTACCCATTGCCCATTTTATCGCATACGACCAGGTGTGAATTGGCGGACCCCGCCCGGGGCTGCGAAGCGTATGGCTTGCAGATTTGACGTTTCCGTGTCGTGCGAGTTGCGTTTTCCGCTCGAGGGTAGGTGGTGCGTGGTTGTTTGACTGTGACTTCTCGCAGGCTCACGCACACTTGCACCAACGTACGCTGTCCAGGAGTCGCAAGACCACAACTTCGATAGTGTCCATCGCCAGGTACGCGACCAAAGGCGCGCATGGGGCAGTGTAATTCATGGAGCAAAGTTGCGCGCTAGCGACATGCTTGCGTCTCCGATACCACTCTCAATCAAGCAGGTCCCCTTGTATTCCTCGCAGCTCGCTTCGCTTTGCACCTAGCATAGCCTTCGCAGTATGTAGGATCCCCGAGATGGAGCTAAAGGCGCGCACGGTCGGTGTTGAACGTTACACGAGGTGTAAAACTGTGGTAGGTAGGGTCAGGAAGGTTTCAAGGCCGCTTACCTTCGGATGTGGACGAGGCTGGCCTGTTCAACGCGTAGGAGATTGGGATCTGAGGATCGTTTCTGTTGATTAGGTACCGAGTCTTGCTGTGGTGAGAGATGCAGGGTTTGATTGCTCCACGTATGGCGTATGGCGTATTCGGGTGTATCTATGGTGCCCCTGGGAGGTGTAGTCTTGAGTCCACTGGAACTGGGAGTATTTGAGGTTTGACTCACTTCCCGATCAAATGACCATGTCGGCACTTTCTATTGGTGAGCTTAGTGTTGGTGATTTTGCGGTGTTAGATGTTTTGGTGAGAACTTCTCTAGGATATCTAGCTATCCAGACTTTTCCATAGCCCAGGAGCTGTACTTTGGGAACTCTTCTAGAGACACGTTTTCAGAAGACATGTATGTATGAGAACTCAGACGCCAACGTCTTACGAGGTAAACTCAGACTCCCCGCTCGCCACCTTCAACGTCTGGCTAAAGTACTCTGTGATCGCCCCGCGATCGTTCGCAATGCTAATAAAATCAAACCCCCTCTCCGCACAATCTCTCGCATCCTTAGGAGTCGTACAATAGATACCTACCTTCTTCCCCTTCGCATGCGCAGCCTCCTTGATCCGGTCAATCGCCTCCTTCAACTCCACATGCATCTCCCCCAGTATCGGTCTCCCGATGTTATTCCCCAGATCAAAGGGCCCAATCAGCAAACAATCTACCCCCTCCACGGCCGCAATCTCGCTGACCTGCTCCAGCGCTTCTTTCGTCTCAATCTGCACGATCGTAATCAGCGCGGCGTTCGCGTGCTGCAGATACGTGGGTAGGTCATCATCGTTGAAGGTCTGCGTGCTGAAGGGGGAGCCGAAGCCGCGGGTACCCTGGGGCGGGAATTTCGCGGCGGACACGAGTTCCTGCGCGTCATAGACGGAGTAGATCAGGGGCACGACGATGCCGTGGGCCCCAGCGTCAAGGGCGCGCTTGATGTAGTGCGGTTCGTTGGCGGGGATGCGAACGAGGGGGGAGACGCGGGCGCTGGCGATAGCGTTGACGGCTTCGTGCATTTGGGAGTCTGGGTGGCTTAGGGTGGGATGCCGGGAGGGAAGGAGAGAGGGAAGGAGAGAGGGAAGGTACCGTCGATGTTGCCGTGCTCGCAGTCGACGCAGATCCAGTCCACGCCTGAGCGGGCTATTGCACGAGAATGGTTTGTGCCGGGGAGCATCTGGTAGAGACTCAATACTTGTATAATCATATGGATGTGGAGGTAACGTGATGCTCGTACCTGCCATGCTCCAAACGTTGGTCCTCCCTTTCGGAAGGCCTGGAATATCCTGCTTGCCTGCTGCAGTGGGTTCGCCATGTTGGCGGTGTTTGAGAAAGATCTATGATAAGCTACTGGCCTCGCGGAACGGATTGATATAAGAAAAGGGAGTCCACTTCGCAAGATTTGCGCCATTGTCATGTGTTCGGAGAGCTGTCCATGTACCCCTCGTTTAATGGTTCACGTTCGACGCTACCCCACACCTTACATCGCGCTATGTTACTTGTACACCGTGCATACACCCCTTCACGTTGACTCGACCTCATCCAGCAGCTTCTTCACCTGTGTCTCGTTGAAGCGATGCATAAGTTTTGCGGAGGAGGTAGATGTCTCGGATGCTTTATCGACGTGTATCTTGTCACTTAGTGTGCGTTCTAGTTCGATTGGCGTGCATATTTACCACCGGAGTATCAAACTCGTAAACATCCCTCCATTTCTCCTGACCAGGCCCCATCACGTTGATTTCCTCGTAGTCGAAGTTGCGCTCTTTGCGAACGTTCTGCACGGCTGTTTTCGCGGTGTCGCAGAGCGAGCAAGGGCTCCGCGTGAAGAAGGTGATGCGACTCTGCAGCAACCGCGACGAAGCTCGAAACATGTTTGTGAAGCAGAAACAGTCGACGATATGCACCGAGAGCATACACATGCAAGGTAGGAAGGGGAGCTCCCTCACCGCCTAGCATTAAGCTCCTTTTCTGCCGGCGCTAGGACCTATGACATACCGCTACTCGACGACTTCCAGAATATTCCAGACAACTGAAGCGCAACACACAGTCCACCCGATTGCGCTTCTGAAAAGCTTATTATTCGCTCGTTGCTCTTACCTGTCGGCGCAGCATTGTTTCCGAAACCAAATCGCAATCATGGCGAAGAAGTGCGTTCATAAGGGCTGCGGCAAGACGTACGAGAATGAGAGCGAAGAGTGCCTGTATCACCCCGGCCCGCCGGTCTTCCACGAGGGGCAGAAGGGTAAGCAGTTCCCAATTCCTCCAGCTACGCGCCTAGAAACCAGCCATAGGTCTTGTACAGTCTCCAATGCTGACACAACGCTTTTCTACCAGGCTGGAAATGCTGCAAACCCCGCGTTCTCACCTTCGACGAGTTCCTTACCATCCCACCCTGCACAACGGGCACCCACTCAGACGTAGACGAAACGCCCGCCCCCGAACCTACACAAGCGCCCGATGTCCCCTCAAACACGCAAGTCGACCTCGGCAGCCTCCAAGAATCTCTCCCCGCACCCGTACCCCGCGTACCCACCGCGCAGTCCGCACCACCACAGCCCGCTGCCTCGCCAAAACCGCCGGAGGAGTCAGAAGACGATGACCCCAGTTTAGAGGTCAAGCAGGGAATGACATGTAGACGGAAGGGCTGTGGACAGAAGTTCAAGGGCGGCAATCGCGAGGGAGAGACCTGCGTGCATCATCCTGGAGCGCCGATATTCCATGAGGGAAGCAAGGGCTGGAGCTGCTGCAAGAGGCGGGTGCTTGAGTTTGATCAATTCATGAACATTGAGGGGTGCAAGACCAAGAACAGGCATCTATTCGTAGGAACCGGAAAGAAGGGTGGAGAGGAGAAGGTCGAGAGCGTGAGGTATGTTATGATACATTGAGCACATTGTTGGTGGGCTACTATACTAACAGAATACAGGAGCGACTTCTACCAGACAGGCACCTCAGTCATCGCCTCGCTCTACCTTAAGAAGATCGACAAGGAGTCCGCAAAAGTAGTCTTCCACGCCGACCACGTCGACCTCGATCTATGCACATCGGACAGCAAGCGCTACGCAACAGAGTTTCCGCTCTTCGGCACTATCAAACCCGAAGATAGCAAACACAGGATCCTAGGTACGAAGCTGGAGTTGACGCTGGTTAAGGCAGATGGCGCGGCGTGGCCTGTCCTGCGCTCGGATGATAAGCTCACAGGCGAGATGATACAAGTTGGCAGGGCGGGTCGTGTATAGGATACCCGGACTGTACTAGGTGTCCTTCATGGTGTTGGGATGAGGATAGCGCATGGGGGTTTGATACGGCTGACGACGAAATCGACGATAACGAAGGCGATGATTCCATTTGTAAGTATGGCACTGGCAATCGCTATCATAAGGGCTTATGAGAGGTTGAGATGATAGCGGAGCATGCCTATGAGAACATGGGTAGATAGGGCCGGGCTACATTCAGTCACGGTATCCAACAAAACCAACGTACAAACGATGGCTTTGTACTTTCTCATGTTCTGATTGTCAGTGACCGACGCAAATGACTGGACTTGGATCTTTTGTCTTACTATCAGGCGGCAGCCATAGTTCATACAGCACAGTAGCTGACAATTGAACCCCGGAATTTGTGACTAAATTTTATTATATTTTTTTGGAAAAGATAATCTGATCTCAATTCTACGAGCGTATTGTGCAATAAGTTTCTACGGCATAAGGTACTCCAGAAATCTAGTGCTTTAATTTCGTGTCAGACCGTGTGCTGGTTCTTGTCTATCACTTGACGGGACACTTATATCAATAGTTCGTGAACAAGACCTGGATCTCTTTTGCATTGGATCTTGCGTCTCGCGGGAAGCTAATTCTTTGTCTTCAAGACGTGGCAGATATCAATTTGAGTCAGGACGAATTATTCAAGAGCACACCTGCTTGACAACTTACGAAGGTGCGAATGAGGCCCGAGTCTTGTGCCGGCGCAATGTGATATATGCGCATGGGTCGTGGTCATGTCATCTTGGGCATGCCTCGTTGATTTTGTATCGTACCTACGCCACGCATAGCCTCAGATTCCGCTCTCGGACTTGTCTGTCTCTTTGACGTGACTGGAGACGTCGCATCTCAATAAAGGCGAATTTCACATGTGCACGTATATCCAGAAAGCAGGGAATAAGAACATCTATAGCCTCTCTGCTTCTAGGCAAGCCCGCATTTTCATCTCGTGTCCACATGTATCATACCCAGCGTACTAACTCAGCGTCCATCTACCGCCCCGCCTTATCCGCAGCTTGTAATTCCGCTTCTACCTCAGCAATCACCACTTTCCTCACACCCTGCCAGCCATCCGACTTTTTCACATGGCTCACTCTTCTCGGCTTGTCCTCCAGACCTTTGAACTCCTCCGGCAGCACCTTCTCCACAAAGTACGCCTTGTCGTCCGGCAGCGCCTGCTCGACGGCGCTGCTGAACTTGGCAGGATGTGCGGTCGCGAGCGAGATGTGGTGCGTTGACGGCGGGCCCGAGACCTCTGCTGAGCGCAGCGCAGCCGCAACACCAATAGCCGTGTGCGGGTCAAGGACGTAGCCCTTAGATGAAGGCGCGGCGTAGGTCTGCTTGATGGACTCAATCGTCTCCTCGTCGCTGACACGATACGAAGAAAAGTCCTCCTGCGCGGCAGCCAGAATCTGTTTGTCGACAGAAAACCCGCCCTTCGCCTTGAGATCGTTGAGCCAGTTCTTCACGTGGTCACCGGCCTGCGCGCGGCGCTGCGACACTGCGTCCGCAGATGTGCTGTACACCTCGTACGCGAGGAACCAAAGTAGGCGTTCGAAGTTGGACGACACGAGGATGTCCATGGCGGGACTCAGCGTCTCCTTGACGCCGCTCTCGTGCGCCTTGACGCCGTCCTCGGCGAACCCGCCCTCGGCCGCCGCACCGTACACGGTGTGCTTCTCGTACCGACCGGACTCCCAGAAGCGGTGCAGGATGTCGTTCTCGTTAGTGGCTATGACCAGCTTCTCTGCCGGCAGGCCCATGCGCTTTGCGAAGTAGCCCGCGAGGATATCGCCGAAGTTACCCGTCGGGACGACGAAGCGGACCTTAGAGGCTGGGAGGAAGGACTGTTGCCGGATCAGGTTGAAGTAGGAATAGAAGTAGTATGTAATCTGGGCAAGGATGCGCGCCCAGTTGATAGAATTGACGGCGGCCAGCTTGTGCGTTTTGTTCATCTCTGGGTCGGCGAAGAGTGCCTTGACGAAGTCCTGCGGGATTATTAGCTGCTGTCCGTAGGTTTGGATACATATGCTACTTGCCTGGCAGTCGTCGAACGTGCCGTCTACAGCCAGATTGTGCACGTTGGCATCCAGTACGGTCGTCATTTGTGCCTCCTGGATCGGGCTGACCTTGCCATGTGGGAACATGATGAAGACGGAGACATCCTTCTTCCCCCTCAGGCCATAGATGGCTGCAGATCCAGTGTCTCCGCTCGTTGCGCCAACGACAGTCAGGTGTTCTCTATCGCGTCCGCTCTTGTTCTCATTCCTCCGGACGAGGAAGTACTCGAAGAGATTGCCCAGGAATTGCAGCGCCACATCCTTAAACGCAAATGTAGGCCCGTGGAACAGCTCTAGCAGGTGTATGTTCTTGTCCTTGTCAAGAGTCACGGTCGGAGTAACGTCATTCGCGCGGAAGGTAGCGTAGCTGCGACGGATGATGTCTTTGAGGTCGGCGGCGGGGATCTCGGACGGCGAGATGTAGAGGGAGAAGATTTCGTATGCGAGGTCCTCGAAGGAGAGATTATGCCATTTGGTAGCCCAGTCGCTGGGAAGTACTGGGATCTCTTCTGGGATGAACAAGCCACCGTCAGCGGCGAGGCCCTTGAGTACGACTTCCTCGAAGGAGAACTGGCGGGTCAGTCTGGGCGTCCGTGAAACGATGTACGGGGGTATGGCTCACATCATAGGACCCTCCCCGGGTGCTCAGGTAGCGCTGGGACGCGGTATGTGAAGCCATAGCGTTGGGTAGTCCAGGTCAAAGAATCAATTGCAATGCGGAAAAGACGTGGAGCCTCACGAACACCAGTAACGTGAAGCGAGTTGTGGTTTACAAAGTGCAGTCCCCGTGGGGGTTCAAGGTCGGACCGCTATCGCAGCAGACTCACAAAATTTATTGGCGGACTCAGCAGCACTGAGCTTCCTTCCGAGCGCTGCTGTCAGCATAAGGACAGTGTCCCAGCATCATTGACAAGCAGCCAGACATGAAGCGGCTTCACAGAATCACCCTGGAGCATCCATCTCTACAGCACCGCATCCTCCACGTTGGTGCGGCCTGTGAAAGGTGACTGCCCCGCGGCTGCTCCTGCCTGCCCCGCCGGCCGTTCCTGCGTCTCTCGCCGGCGAAATCGGCCACCCTCGGCAGGCGCGCGGACCGCCAAGCGCAAAACTTCGCCGCGCTAAGTCACATGATGGGCTAAGCGAGGCGGCCCCTGCGCGCTCCCACGCTCTATAAAAACAGCGCTGCCCTCGGGCTCTCTTTTCTTCTTCATGTCGACGATACTTCATAGGTGAGCAAACCTGATCCAACTTCGCGCAACTCTTTTGCTAACCAAATCCACAGAATCATTTCTATAGTTTACGTGAGTGTAGCAACCAACAGCGACTGTTGTCCAAATACTAATCCCGACAAAAGGTCCTCTTCTGAGTTACTTCATTGTAGCCACAGATTCGCAACCCCGGCTGATGAGTATCAGCCTCGATGTCCCGGAGTGAGGCCTTATTACGTGTGCTTCGGCGTGCGTGGCGATGATCTTCAGCCAACTGGATGTCGGGCTTCGGCCGGTCTGGAAGGCAGGACGTTGAGTGCAATCTGACGGGTTTTCATTTTTCATTGAATGTTTCGGCGCTGCCGGACTTTTGAAGAAGAATTTGTGAGCGACCGTGGGATGTGGGAACAATGGGCGCTGGACAAAGCCGCACTTGCAATGGTATCCACGTTCCACTGCGCTGTGCCCGATAGTAATACGCATTGGGAATTTTTTTTCGCGATTGTAGCATTGGACTTGAAAAATTCTGCGTTAACTTGGGACGCGTATATATCTTCCCAGCTCAACACCACCCATATTTTTCGTTCCCGATCCAGTCGATAGACTCTGCCACAGGCCCGTCATGCTGCGGATACCACTTCAAGCTTGCTATGCTCTCCATGTCTCGGTCAATCAACTTCGCGTTGGGATCCAGCCTGCGCGCTGCGGCCAAAGTCGCAGACGACGGGTTCCAGGCTTCAACGTGCTCCATCTTCCATTCCTCCGCCTGCTGTTGTGCCGCGTAGAAAAGCGCTGCGATCGCCGCGTCGTGGGAATGGTCGTTTGATGCTTCCTCGACGTGCTTTGTACCGCTGCCTTCCCAGCTTGAACGACCCTGGTCTTCTACCACAAATCGCAATATGTGCAGCGTGTTGTCCTTCGCCTGTGTAGCATCTGGGTTGTACCACATGCGCGTCCAGTAACACCACACCCGCTTGCCTTTCTCGGTACCTACGATGGCGCCCTTCACCCTTGGTGCATTTCCATGCAGCTCGCCGCCGACGAATTCTTCACGTGCATGGTGCCATCTGATATTTGCGATATTGGGAACAAGTGCTACAGCGGCGTGGCTGCCTTTCGGTCGTTCTTGCAGGCTTTTGCGGATGAGCTCTTCATCAATCTTGCACAGCTCTGCCAGGTCTTCTGCATATAGCGGCCGCGCAGCTGGGAGACTACCCGGATCTTTGACCTTCGACGTTTCGCCAGGCAGAGAGACATGAGACGATCTGAAAGCTTCCCAGCCAAAGTCGGAGTAGAATTTCTGTGCTAGTCAGTCTACGCCGACGCCAGCGCAAAATTGGAGCGCAAGCTCCACTCACCTTTCCAATGTCAGAGAAGAGCACCGAGAACATGCAGTCTGTTTTCTCGTCTGTCTGGTAGGTCCTTAGGGCCTCGCCCAGCTCCTGCATCATCCGCTGAGCGTACTTCCTGCCTCGCAGATGTGGCGCGCAGAAGACACTTCCGATCCCATGACATATCGTTTCTTTCAATTCCCCATCCTGCCAGACCAGCGCCTTCTTGCGATATGTTTCGCAGCTTGCGAGCGGTAGGCGTGCCGATGACGTAGGGTCTAAAGGATTGCGATTTGCGGTCTTATCGATCAGTATCCAGTAAGAGATGCCTCCATCTTTCGTCTGGTCCTGCTGTGAGAGAACGTCCTCTCGGCGAAGGTACGCTTCTTGAGAAAGGGCACCGCGCCATTCCGCACCATTGAGGTTGAATTGGATGAGCTTCTCTTCCAGGGTTGGATGAACGAGCGCGAGGTCTGGGGAGGAGCCGTGAGGCAGTTGGACAAGGGAGCCCATCGTGTAGTGACGAGCGTTCACGTTGTGATGTTATAACTCTTGATATGACTTTTTCAAATGTTTGTGGGTTGCGCCCAGTTTGAATAGAAAGATAATGGATGCGAAACGTTGATTGCGCTTCGCCCACGTATGCCACTTCCCCAGGTTTGTGGAGTGTGTGGACCCTTGCTCCAGATGTATCTTATATACTGACAAAGACGTTGCTTAGGGCGCGTCTACTCCGTCTACTCCGACGAAGGCCGCAGGAAACCGCCGCGTCTCACTAGGGCAGACTGGTCATGCGGAGACTCCCGAAGGTCGTGGAAGCTGGTTCGCAGATGCTTCGAAGACTATTACATAAAGAGCGGAATGAGGAACTCGTGGCCAAGGCTGTGGCCGTGAATAAGCTTGTTCTTCCCTCCCGCAGCCGTGGCACCGCGTTCATCTGCGTTCATCATCGCTTCTTGCGGCCTGTGCGGCGGCCCGCCAATGATGCAGGCCATGATTGGTATAACTGCATCTTCGAACGAGTTGCAAAGTGAACGGTCCATCATCACTGCCTCTGGCGGTAGCGACCAGAATGCTGTGGCACATGCACGTAACAGCCGCCGTGCCTCGTGTCTGCACCCCGCCAACGTCGACTGAGACAGCGACAGCTCGCTGCGTCCATGCGCATCCGCATCGCCGCCTGCACAGTGTCCTGCACGGTACAGCACAGCCATTGTTTCGCCAGCGAGGTTTCAATTCGTGCTTCTGTCTTTCATCTTCCCGCCTGATTGCCTTTGCTGAGGCCGCCTCGACGAGGCTGCAGCGGTAACTGCGAGTTCACTCGCGCTGCAGCTGCCGTGCTCCTTCACTTTCATTTCTTTCATTACTGTCGGTTCCTTTGCCAGTTCAATATAAATCATGTCGCTGCGCCTTGATTGAAGCATCTGTTAGACCTAGACTTCCTAAAACAGACAGCAATCGGCACCCTGAAACCCCAACCCACGCAAGACGCGACTGCACGGGTACCTGCCCTACATCACACATCCTACAGACTTTACAGGTTGATTCATGAATGCCGGGCCTGAGCAACGTCAGGTCATTGACCTAGTCTCTGACGACGAGGATGATTTATCCCGCTACGGGGACGACCGCAGTTATGAAGTCGATGCCCTTCCAGAATTTGAACTGGGTGGACCCGAGACCGAAGAGGACTGGGAGGAGCGCAATTGGGGTGGCTTGGGCGTGGAAGGCGCTGCTCGACTGGGCCCTCTTGAACAAGATTATGAACGGGACTTCATTGACTTCGGGCCCAACGACTTCGATCAACCTGATCTCGCACCCGCAGTGAACAACCATCGACTCGCTAACGCCGCACCAAACAACCTCATGAATGTCGAAGCCGACATTGCAGAGAGTGAACTGGTCACCGTTGCGGTCTGCTTGCAGATGGTACTTGACATTCTGCCCGACATCTCCGTCGACCATGTGCTCGCCCTGATCGCAGACCAAACACAAGACAATACGCGAACATCGGAGGCTTGCCAGCGCATCGTCACTCAACTTCTTGACGGTGAAGCGTACCCGAAAGAAGAGGAAGAAGCCAGCCGAAAGAGGAAGCGCCAGCGCAGCTTCAGTGAGTTTGAAGAGGATGATGGCGAAGGCCGACCACACAGCTACATGAACGATGTGTAAGTCATCCTACATTTCTATATCCGCACAGTGGAGGACAGCTGGCTGGTATTGCCATTGTGGTTCCATGAATAGCAATCACATCTAGACCGAGATTGTCGCTTGACACGTCGAAATCCCCACCAAGAGACCGATGTAATACTCTTCCAGCAAATCTATCTCCAAGACCACTTACTGCGGAACAAATACTCATATAGTAAGTTTCTGTGGACACGACGGCTAACTATCCCAGGGCTGAATTACTGAAAGACGAATTCGTCTACGTTCCAGTGAGACACATCAACCTCGTCATCAAGCAGCAAAAGACACTTTACAAAGCCTACGGCGTCATCGACCAACAACTGCGCGAATACGATCAGTACGATCGCAACAAGGAACCCTTCAGAAAGGTTCACAGCGCGCGGACCAAGCGAAACATCGAAGCGTCGCTAATCCAACGTGGGAGCCAAGTACCCAAAGAACTACAAGCCGCTAAAAAGAAGAGTGACGAAGCTGCTGTCAAGCGCCGCAAAGCCGAAGACGCCTTACGAGAAGAAGAGAACAATATAAGAGAAGCTGTTCTAGCTGGAGAAATGACCGAGTGCCAGTGTTGCTTCGACGAATTTCCTCTCAACCGCATGGTAGGCTGTGGCGGAGCAACTATGCACTTCCTATGTCGAGAATGCGTCAAGAACTACGTTGAGAGTGAAATTGGCAGCTCGCGATGCCGGCCGATCTGCTTCGCAGATTCGAAGTGTGGTGGCAATTTCACACGCCAGCAACTCCAAGATTGCCTTACCGACACTACCTTCGATCGGCTCGAACACATGCAGCAAATGCAAGACTTGGAGGGTGCTGGGCTGGATCTCGATGAATGTCCTTTCTGTGATTTCAAACAAATCTGTCCATCCGTGGATGAAGACAAAGAGTTTCGCTGCTTGAATCCAAAATGTCGGAAAACGAGCTGCCGCCTTTGCCAAAAGGAGACGCACATCCCGTTGACTTGCGAGGAAGTCAAGAAGAACGAAAAACTCACAGTCAGACATGACGTGGAGGAAGCTATGTCGGCAGCTCTGATACGCAACTGCAACAAGTGCAAAAAGCCTTTCATCAAGCAGGATGGGTGCAACAAAATGTTGTGCCCGCAATGTGGCAATTCACAATGGTAAGCACTCCAAGTCCATATGAGCGGATCCAGTTAAGGGAAGCTGATCTCCTATCAGCTATGTTTGCTCCAAAGACATCAAGGATTACAATCACTTCAGTGATCACAACGTGGGGCGGGGAGGATGCCAACTGCATGATAATGTCGAAGACCGTCATGAACAGGAGGTCAAGAAGGCTGCCGATGAAGCCCTGGCCAAAGCTAAAGCCGAAAATCCTGAACTATCAGAAGTAAGTGTCCTTGCTCGATGGTTTGCCGTTGATAGCAATACAAGCAGTCTTTCTTTCCTCTTGCAACAGACGGTATGGAGTTTTTTTAGAATTTTGCTGACCTCACTTGCAGGCCGATCTCATGATACAAGTCTCAGACCGTGTCAAGCAGTCCGAGCAACAACGGCTTGGTCGCGCACAGGAAGCCGTTCGAGCATTCCCATATCACATGGTTGGCGGTGCACTGATAAATAGAGCACCTCTAGCTGCACCGGCTCCAGCAGCAGCAGCCGCAGCACATCCACAGTATGTACTAGCACCACCTCTTCGGGCCCTTGCAGCCGCTCCGCACCAGCAACGGCTAGCACAAGAACAAGCTCTTGCTGCACGGAACGCAAACCTTGTACCTCCACCCCTTCAACGGCTTCCTGCACGTCTTGGCCAGCCGGCGCGAGTGGGCATGGCGCCATTGCAAGCTTTACAAGAACCCTACCCGCAACAGCTTCCAGCGCATCCTGGCCAGCCGGAGCGAGTGGGTGTGGCGTTGCAGCCTTTGCAAGCACTGCAACTGCAACAGCAGTATGTTGCTCGTCATTTCTTTGCACAACAGAATAATTTTTTTTTTTTGATCGGAACCAATACCAGAACCAGAACCTTCCTGACCATAATCAGCATCAACAGAAACGTCGGCTACGGCCTCCTGGACGCCCCAATACGCCTTTTCCAAGGCCTCGTTCCGAGGCAGCAAGTACAGCCAGCACCGCAACCGCAACCGCAACCGCAACCGCAAAACCCGCCACATCCGGTCCTACACAAGGGCTGGGACGGCGTAGGTACAGGATCATAAGATCTCTAGACCCTGAAGATTGTCCTGAGGACGTTAGGCGTCAGTTCGGCGAGGTGATTGTCCCTGATGGACAGGCGCGTGGACATCAGCAGCCGCCTGCCGCGCAGGGGAACTTTTAGGGATAGAGATGAGCGGATCACGAGTTCACTTGGGATGACGCAATTATTTGGGGCTTCGGGTTCAATAGCCAGGCATTTTATCTGCATGTCAGCATGGCATTTCAGAGTCACTATCACAAGGCTATTTCGATCTTTTTTTTAGTGCCCTGAGTGGTACGGATTTGGAGTATGTAATGTTTGGCTGTGATGATACCATTGCTCGTTCAACTCTGTCAACGTGGCCGCAGCTTGACTCCTATCTTCCGAAGGGTTACCCAATCAAAAATGTATCAGATACTTGGGGCACTTTGTCAAGCCGCGACGAAGTGCTGTACATGGACTCAGCTGGGTGGCAAATCAAAGATCTATCAGCGGTGCCACTACTGCGCCTGTCTCACTGCGTGGATCCACGGTAGGACTCACGAACGCAGAGTCAAGAGTAAGCCTCTGTGACATCGCTCAATGTGACATACATTCCGTAGGCTCTAGACAGATCATGTCATTGTCCATGGTGTTATGGCATTCGATACCTTTCACTTTGCCCGGCCATTCATCCTGCTGAACTATCAATGCTGCTCATCTCCGGCCACTGCGTTTCGAACTTTGCCTTGCCCTCCTCGATCCATGTTTCGAATCGGAACACGCCAGCCTCTACAGTCCTGATTGGTGTGACCTTTGCACCACCCAGATCGCCACCTTCTGATGGGCCATGGTTCTCGTCGTCGTTCAAGACAGCGCCCTTCCTTCCCGTCTTCTGTAAACTAGGCTGACTAGGGACCCACTTCTGCGGATGCCCTATCGGGGGGTCCACATCGGCTTCGTCTTTGAGCTCCATGCTGATATTGAAGGAGCAATCCGGCGGCAGCGGCTCGAGCTGAGATGCGCGTGTGGTCAGGGTGATGAAAGCAGCGCGGAACTGCTCGGACAGATTGACATCGACCTCTGCATCGAGCCCCTTGGGTTTCTGCTTCCCCTTGCCCTTGCCCTTATGCCCAGCGGTTTCTGCCTCTGTCGCAGCTTCCTCAGCGGCGCGTCTCTCTGCCTCGCTTTTCTCCCACTCAATGTCCATGAAGCGCTCTTCGCGTGTTACTACTGGGAATGCGCTTACATCGAGCATGTACCGCTCGAGTATCTTCACACTCCCACTGCCTTCATCGTAGCCCGGATGGAACACCACAACGGCGATGCGCGCGATGGTGCCCTTGAGGAGTTCCTCGCGCACGGCGGCGACGGCGTCTTGGATCCATCGGCAGACATCTGGGTGCCGCGACTGGAAAATGGGCGTGTTATGGAAGCGGACTTGAAGGAAGGACGCGAGCGGGTAGAGGTGTCGCAGGTAGAGGAGCGTGTGCACGTAGGCGGTGAGGAAATCGGTGAAGGCGGCGAGGGTGGTGAGGTAGGTTGTTGGCATTGCGGCGGCGTAGCGTTCCGCTCTTTGCGCGTTGATCTTGGGTGGTGCCTGACGTCGCAGGCTCGAGGCTGTTGGAAGGCGGCTACGGCGACAGGGAAGCGCGCGGAGTGGCAGTAGCCTTTTGTGCGCAAGGAAGGCCCCTCATGCTTCTGGTCGGCGATGCGGACGTGGGTTGCAGAAGGGCGAGGTCTGGTAGAGCACTGAGCTCTCACAGCCGTCAACGCGTTCAAATTATCTGATTGGTAGCGCACCCGTCACATCACACCAGCAAAATACATTTACACATACTTCTTCTCGCCCGTCGCGCTCGCGTCTCTTACGCGCCAAATCGAGCCCAGCTACGTATCCTATAACGAGCATCCGCGGCCTCTCCCGTTAACCCACGACACCGCCTGCCGCGACATTTCTACACCCCCACTTCGCGCTGGTTCGTCGGCAGTGCCCCTCACCTCCGCATCTTCCTCCCAACATCGAACAAACGCGTCGAGCTATTTTTCTCGCCGACGCATTCCTCCTTGCCTTGGAACGCCAACGCTAGACACGCCCCCTAGCTTCCCTGCCACGCGCCTCGCACCATGGAGGACCAATTAGTGCAGCTGCTGTCGGCAACACAAACGGCCCAGGAAGGCCCCCGCAAACAGGCCGAGCAGCAGCTGCAGAGCCTCTACACACACCAGGACTTCCCCATTGCCCTCGTCGAGATCGCCCGCCATGACCGTGTCCCGCTCAACATACGGCAGGCTGCCCTGCTGTACCTCAAGCAGGTCGTGCTTGCCGGCTGGAGCGACAGCCTCGAGGAGTTCAAGGGTACCTTCATCATCACCGACGACGTGAAGGCCAAGGTGCGACAGCTGCTGCTGGAGCTAGCGACCACAGACCAGCTCGATCGCAAGCTCAAGTCGGCGGCCAGCCTGGTCGTAAGCAAGATTGCGAGCTGCGATTTCCCGGAGCAGTGGCCGGACCTCCTCGCGACGCTGCTTAATCTTATCCCAACGGCCACGGACGGCCAGCTACACGGCGCGCTCAAGGTGCTGGACGAGCTGGTTGAGGACAGCTTCAACGAGACGCAGTTCTTCGGCGTGGCAAAGCAGCTCATCAAGGTCGTGCACGACATCGCCGTTAGCGATGCGCGAAAACCCACACTGCGCGCGTTGGCCTGCAGCGTCTTCCGAGGCACATTCGATATCCTGGAGATGGTGCTAGAGGACCACAAGGCCGAGATCAAGGGCTTTGCCGACGAGGTGCTGCAAGAATGGATACCCTTCTTCACCAATATTATGAAGTCGCGGCTGCCGGACCCACCTACAGAGCAAGAGGAGAATGAGGATGCGCCCAATGCAGAGTCATATCGCGGCTTGGTTGCCCTGAAGCTGCAAGTCGTAAAGGTAGGTTGCACCAGCATAACCTGTCAGTACGAGACTAATATATCAAGGTGCTGATGCGCATCCGATCTGTGTTCCCCGCCGTCCTCTCACCAGAGACCCCAGTTCTCTTCTCTGCTACTTGGGAAGAGCTCGTATCACTACAAAGGCCATATCACCAGATGTACATAATAGAGGAGCGCCAGAGCAGGCTCGAGGATACAGATGGACTGCCATACACACTAGACTTCCTCGTTTTGGAAGAGCTTGACTTCATGCAGGCATGTCTTCGAGCGCCGCCGGTCCGCGCCGAGCTCGAGAAGCAGCTTCAGCAGAGCACAGATACAACTAATACTTGGGTGTTCGAGGTTATGAAGCTCGCAGTGGCTTATGCACAAATCACTACGGAGGAAGAGGGCCTATGGAACTTCGACGTCAACATCTTTTTGTCCGAAGAGACGAGCGTTACCGCTAACTACACATCGCGGACGGCATGTGGCGACTTGGTCATCAAGCTCGGAGAATGGCTCACTCAACCGACCCTACAAGGCTTGCTCGCATATTCTCGAACGTTGTACTCATCGCAAGAAGGGTGGAAGGCAAAAGAAGCTGCGTTATACGTTCTCAGCCAGGTCCTCAGTGACTTCCAAGATGTGGACAAGACCATCAGTCCGGATGTTGCCACTGGCTTCATTGATTTCATCAACTATGCTATACAACAAGAGGATACATTCCTTCGGGCGCGTGGCTACCTCGTAGCTGGAAGCCTCGTTAGGACATCCGGAGACGCCTTGCTACAATACGCGCCCACATTTCTCGAAGCGTGCTTGAAAGCTATACCCACCGATGACTCTGACGTCGTTCAGGTCTCATGCATACGCTCTCTGCAATACTATCTGCAGGCTCTTCCACGGGAAACTACGCTCCCGCTGCAACAGAACATCATCTCCGCTATCTCAAACTATCTTCAAGCTCAAGATCTGCAGGAGCTTGCTGACAGCGACGATCTGATGGTAACTCTGGTGGAGACTCTCCGCGATGCGATACTTCTCGACACGCGGATATGTGTCACCGGCAGTGGACTGGATCTACTTTTTACTGTAGCCACTCACGGAGCTAACAACTTCCAATTGACTATCCTGGTCAACGAGACATTCGAGGATGTGACACAGGCAATTGCTAGCATGGGCGGAGATGCCTACGTCCAGCTTTGCAAGAAGGTGCTGCCCTCCCTCACGGGAGCGTTCGACGTGGCCAACTTCACTGAAGAGAACGCTTTGATGAACCTCGCCGCGGATCTGTTGGCTCTCCTTGCTGAATATGGTCCTGAACCACTCCCCGCAGGCTTCGTACAAACCACCATGCCGAAACTCGCCCGTTTACTGCTTCACTCGGAAGACGAAGAGCTGCTCAAGTCTGCCACCACTGCTGTGAAGAATATCATCGCACACGACCATCAGCAATTGTTTGAGTGGCGAAATGAAGAAAGCAAAGCTGGTCTGGAGGTGGTGCTCCAGATCATCGCACGGTTACTGTCGCCGACGGTCAACGACAATGCCGCTGGAGAGGTCGGTGCTCTTGCTGCAGAGGTTGTTGAAAAAGCAGGTCATGAGAGATTGGGACCGTACCTACAGGAGCTTCTCCGAACCGTGGCTGCACGACTCGGGGCAGCGACACAAGCACAGTTCATCCAGAGCCTGACGCTCGTGTTTGCGCGACTCAGTTTGAACCACGCGTCCGAGGTCGTGGAATTCCTGGCGACACAGACTATTGATGGCCACAATGGCTTACAAGTTGTACTCGCGAAGTGGCTGGAGAACTCGATCAACTTCGCGGGATACGATGAGATCAGGCAAAAGTAAGTTCTCCTACAAGCGACTGGTTTCGGCGAAGCCAGCACAAGCATTCTGGAGTGGTCATTAAGTCGCCCTGCTAACATAATGCAGTGTCATCGCGCTTTCCAAACTATACGACCTCAAGGACCCTCGTCTGTCCGCAGTTCAAGTAAAAGGTGACCTCATCCCCAACGCGGACGGCCGCATCATGACCCGCAGCCGCGCCCGCCAAAGTAAGCCCACTCCATTTCACCCTACTCGTTGTCTTTGTCCAAAGAAGTTTTTCGCAAACCTTCGTGAATGGCAACGCAATCGTTGCCGTGATCGCTGGCCGCCCGCACCCTCTTTTGGTCTCTTATTCGATGCTCTTCTTCCTTTCTCAGCTGCTTTCGCCGAATCCATCATACAACCAGAATCAACAGACTTTCTGACCAACCCCTTCGCAGATCCCGACCAGTGGACCATCGTCCCAGCTACGCTCAAAATTCTCAAAGTTCTCATTGTAGAGCTACAATCCGCGTCAGGCACAGGCCTCGATCCACAATCCGTCGCCGACCTCGCGGACGAAGGCTCCAACGACGACGACTGGGAGGACGAACCAAATCCCTTTGTTGACCTCGGCAGTGGCTTTAGCAAGGAACAGCTGATGGCGTACGCTGCCGAAGACGGGCCCGGCACGGGCAGGCAGAAGGACGACGAGACGCAGGCTTTCTTGGTGGACTTCTTCAAGAGAGCGGCGACGACGCAAGGATTCGCGGATGAGTTCCAGGCGCTGACGGATGAGGAGCGTGTGAGGTTACAGGAGAGCGCTGCTTAGAGGCCGAGGTACGATAATTGGCCTGAAATCGTGGGAACGGGATGGACAGGTCAGTGGGTGTAGGAAGGGGAGCGCTGCTGGTTTGTTCTCAAAGGTTAGGTTAGTTTTTTTGTTCACGGTGGGCGGGTTTTGTGGATAGGGGGAAGAATTACATCTCTGTACGGTTCATGTCCTCATTGTATGGACATTGCCTCACGTCTATGTTCCAACTTGGGGCCGATGTCGGCCGGACTGGCTCAAGCTAAGAAATTTGCTTTGCACCTACAGATGTTACTCCCAACCCGTCACACACACGTGATTACAACGCTTATCCTACTTTTACCGGACAGCAGTCCACTTCGTCTACTACTGCTTCGTGGATTGAAACGACAGTCAGAAAATCATCACGTACACGAGTGCGTCTCCAGCTCGAGTTGTCCGGTTTACATCCGCCATGGCGCCCACCACATCCAAAGACGTCGTGATCCTCGACGGCGGCATGTCTCGCGAGCTGATCCGCCTGCAAGCGCCCTTCCGCCAGCCAGAATGGTCAGCCCTCGCGCTCCTCGAAGCACCGCACTTTGTCCGCCAAGCCCACGCCGACTTCGCAGCCGCGGGCGCACACGTGCTCACCACCAACTCGTACGCGCTGGTGCCCTTCCACATTGGACTTGAGCGGTTCCAGGCGCGTGGGGAAGAGTTGGCTGCGCTGGCGGGACGGTTGGCGCGGGAGACGGCGGATTCGGTCGCGGGGAAGAGCGTGAGGGTTGCGGGGAGTTTGCCACCGATTTTTGGGAGCTATGAGCCCGACTTGTACGATCCGGCGTTGGTGCAGGAGCGGTTGGCGGTGCTGGTGAGGGGGCTGGCGCCGTATGTCGATGTTTGGCTGGGTGAGACGCTGAGTCTTGTGGCGGAAGCGGAGGCTGTCAGGGTGGCGACGAGAGAGTCGGGTAAGCCGGTGTGGATTGCGTTCACGCTGGATGATGGGGGTGTAGATGCGGAGAGTGCGCCTGCGAGATTGAGGTCTGGCGAGTCGGTGAACGAGGCGGCTCAGTGGGCTGTGAAAGCTGGCGTCGAGGCGCTGCTGTTCAATTGCAGTCAGCCTGAGTACATGGATGCTGCGATTAAAGACGCGAGACAGATATTCGAGCAAGAGGCTACTGTGAGTGGCGCTCGAGCTCCGCTGATAGGGGTTTATGCGAACGCCTTTGAACCGAAGGCTGGAGACGAAGCTGCGAATGAGGCGATAAGCGACACGAGGGCAGAGCTGACTCCAGAGCTATATCTTGAGTTTGCGCAGCGATGGGTTGAGAGTGGTGCTACAATAGTGGGTGGTTGCTGTGGGATTGGATGCGACCACATTCGGAAGGTGGCAGGTCAAAATCTTATAAGCGTATAGTAGACTGCCCCGAAATTGACTGAATTGCTGAGAACCTCATTGTTGAGAGCCCTGTTCTAGCTCAGTATTCCGGGCTAGGCGCTAGATGCGGACCATTGGACATAGACCCTTATGTAAACTCAAAGTATGGCTTCGAATGACTCTAAGATAGTCAAAGTTGTGTCAACGTAGCCAACGGCGATGGACTTTCAGGTCCAAATTTCAGACTCTCAATACAACTCGAGTTACCCTAGGATCAGTTATGAAGATCGGGTTGGCGAGCTCAACTTCTAGTTAGTCTTCGCTCCTTTTGAAGGTTCCAGTCGACCCCTGCAATTTAGGATTAAAGACGTTCAGCAGGTCACTGGCTCAATCAAATTTGCGATCATCAAATGCGGTTCAAGAAGGCGGGCCGGCCCCGACCACTCCAACAAGTCGAACTACTCCAACAACTTCGGTGCAGATCAAGGCTCCGGTCCAGATGAGGACTTCAGCGCATGTGAAGGCTCAGTAGAAGGGACAGTAACGGTGCTCTGCAAGGTGCTGATAGTGGCACTCGACAAAAAGACCGTCGACGCTACTACTGTGAGGAACAGGTTTTCAGCCAGGCTAGGGCACCCCACGACAAGTTCCCTGGTGCTTCGCCTCCACAGCCCTAAAACAACAAGACTGGTAGTTCTTGGAAAGTTTCTTGGATGTGTAGAGAGAAAGTATAGATTCATATCCCAGCATGTTCATGAAGATGCTGTTGGCGCAGAACACGAGCTCATCAAAGTGCTTTTCATCCTAGAGCACCCAAGCGACAGCGACTACCTGAAGGATCCCCGCTTCAACTCCGTACACGCAAGTGCATGCTCGGCTAGTACATCGCCCAGATATTCGGCAAGATTGATCTGTCATCAGAGCTCCTTCAGAAGTTCACCGAGGAAGAGCTTGAGGGCTGGTCGAGCCATGCCGACGTATTGAGATCCTCGCAGATCGCACTGAAGTCACGACTTAGCTCATGACAAGGACGAATCGAACATTATTCGGAAAGTTATTGATGTTGTCTAAAGCGAGTTGCTCCAGAAAGCCGGGGAAGTGTGTTCAACCTACACAGCTGCCCTGAGCTTGGTTATTTGTGTCCCCCCTTTTTTTTTCCCACGGTGTCCACCTTGAGGAATTGAGACGTTCGTTTAAGTGATTGATTTTCGCGCTCAAGGTAAACTTCCTCTTCTCGGCAATACCTTTGGAAATTGTGATCACGAACAGCTGGGCTGCATAAGCGTTGCCGAGCAGACATTGTTCGCAAGTTATCAACGTGAGGCCTCACTGTCAAAGCGCCTCATAAACAATTGATTTCCATTTCGTATAATATCTCGGAACAGGCTTCAGGTGTAGGTACAGATTAAGTGTTGGTTCAGACAGGGTAGCGTTTTGTCTTTGCTAAGTAGCTTGGTACGAAACCAGTGTGAACTAATCTAAGATGGTCTAGGACCTCGTTTTAGACTCACTCGATCTTCCCAAGGATAAAAGTTTCAGAAAGTACGTGCGCAAGCGCTTAGGCATCAATTTGACGGTCGGCTTCAGCGATAATAATTACTCGCCATTTGACAGGATCTGGCATCAATGTATGAGTCCAATGCGTATGGAAGAATGAGTCACCCCACGCTACCCTGTGGCACAGTGACCAAACATTTGGACGGACTTTTGTCAAATCAGGCGCTGAGCTTCTTGGTTGCGGCTTTGGCCAACCCGAGGGGCTCTACAAAGATGGTGATTCTCATGCAACATCTTCGTGAAAGATGAGCCGTGTCAAGGTATCTGCTGACAGGTATTTGTCATCAGATATCCTGTAGTAACTCACTCGAGAATACTTCCGTAGATTTATGGCCTACATAGTCTATCGCACACACGCACGCAGTGTGGCAGAAATCATAAAGTGCAGTGTTGCAGACGACTATCTGCCTTGTCAAGAGGACTGGTCATGGCGATTAGTACCAGAGCCTTATGCATGTTAATCTTGTGCTTGTGATTGCATCTGCAGTGTCTATATCGGGATGATGCAACCCCACCGCGGCCGGCTCATGAAGGACAGCAGTGGCTGCGATCATGGCAACAGATTGCCAAAACCTCGCGCACATATTCTTTACATCCATTGAATAGTTATGCAAATCAGAAGATGGTGTGCGTCTGTACATAAATAATGGCAAGAGTGTCGAATTGCTCATTGTCCGCGATGGTACCTCGTCTACAAGCGGTGTTGATGTAGCAAACGCAGACACTGCGTAACATGCAGAATCAGCGAATCGAAGGCTCTTCTCGATTTTAAGTACGTCATCGTTCAGCGGTAGATGTGGGCAAAATGAAAAAAGTAAGATGGACTCGAAATGAACTCTTGCTGTTGATAATGATGTTGTTTTCAAAATCACTAGACCAAGGCCGAAAGTTCTGATTTGCATTTGCCCCGCTTCGCTAGTGTTTGTGGCTCATGTGTCCCACTCTGAGTCACCCAACATCGGCCAGGCTTCGCTTCTCTCGTCCCTGACATTGCAAATTCCGCCTTGTACACTAAAAATTAAAAATAAGTGGTATATGATTTTATATGGATGCAAAAAGTCACAAGGTTACATCTGGGCTGGATGGCCGAGTGGTTAAGGCGCTGTGTTTAGGCAACCTGTACTTGTACAGAAGCATAAACCGCAGTTCGAAAGAGCGTGGGTTCAAGTCCCACTCCAGTCAATGGCGCTTATTCTTTTGTTTTTTGGAGGTCGCCGGGCATGTGGGGAGGTCGGAGATGTGGTTTTGTAGGCCAGGGTGAGCTACTGTGGGGGTTCCGCGGGCCAACCTAGCACACACGTACTACGAGCTCCTAGGCGCCGAACTCTTCTTTTACTTAAAGTACGAAGAAACTTCCCAACGCGAGACTGGATTGGGGGAGAAGCGAGTACAGACGTGCGCAGCGAATGCGCAGCTTGTAAACCATCACTGTCCGATCATACGCAGCCTACGTTTGCACACCTCGCTAAACGCATCAGCTACAACTCCTCCAGCCTCCCGCACAGCGATCTAAACCCTTCTACCGCGTTGTAAAAGCGCAAGAGAAAAGACCATGTCGTCGCAGCAAGACGACCTCCTCGCCTCGGTAAGCACACGCCTTTCTCCATAGCCTCGCAACAACTCCAACTCCCCCACCAGCACGGCGCCAAGGGAGGTCTGCGACAGCAGATTATTGCGGTAACAATCAGGCAATCGTGAAGACGGAGGTCAGGTACTATAGATACGTGCATCTTACCACGACGCCGCACTATATTAGCATCACAGATCCTCTGAAGCGTCATATTGACGTTCTTTGCTTCATCTTCCATCTCCACCGCATAACCCAACACCATTTCCACCAGCAGCTTCCGCAAACTGATTCCTCAGCTCCAGTCCTCGTTGCGCAACGCGCTGGCCACCTTCGGCCCCTCCAGTGCGCAGTACATCGGCATCAAGTACGTGGTCGACGAGCACATGGCCAAAGCCGCGCTGCAGAGTCTGAGCTTAGGGCCGCAGCAGGGAGAGGAGGTGCAGGGCCGGGAGGGCAGTGGACAGAGAATGAATCTGGCGTTTCGACCGAGAGAAAATTGAGTGGGCTGGTTTGGGCATTGCTGGTCCGATTTATTGATCGAGATGAGAGATGAGGAATGGATTGCATTGAGGAGTGGGTTCGGGTGAGTGAGGATGTGTTGGGCGTTAGGGAGAGCGGGGAGCCGTTGAGCACGACGCGAGTGAGGAGAATTCTCAGAACGATATGGGTTACTGAGATGAACATCGCATTGACGACATGTAGGTAGTCGTGACAAAAGGTGACTGAGCTACGCGCAGAGACTCTCCAAGCGCATTGCCCACCATAGGATGACTTGGCCCACACTGAGTCTTCAGGTCTACTACGATCACGACAAGCTCACCCAAAACAATCACAAATGGGAATCCTCGACGGACAAGTAATGTTTGGTATTCGCGTGAACAGCCTCCACCCCACCTATATGCAAGCTCCATCCTCTTCGCCCGCTCGATTATACACAAGATCGCCGTCTCTTCCCCAAACCGGTGGAGCCCGCCCCATCACCACTAAGATTAAGCCAAGTGAACGTATCATATCCCGTGCCTCGTCAGACCCGGCAAAGAACTCCAGCAAATGCAGACACACGCCCCAGCGTGCTTGCGGACGCCCGAAACGCGGCGAACCACCAAACATGCACGCAGAAGGATATATACGCCGGAGAAATAACGAGTGCCCAGCTCCCCAGCTCCCCAGCTCCTATGCTGTGGCATGCCAATGGCGAGGTATATGGCCAAGTAGAAGCACGCCGATAGTTAGTTTTCAGGCTCCGCTCTAGCACCGTAACGCCCAAAGTGATCAAGAACCCTCCGGTTTGCACGACCGCATCCAATGCGGTATACCGCATACAGCCTCGTCGTTGGTCTTCGCTGACGTGTAATCGCGCGCCATGTTTTGCGCTCAGCGTCGTTTGCGTACCATCGGCTGTGCCCTCATGCTGCGACGGGTAGTATTCTCTTATACGACCAATCCGCATATTCTGTTCTCATTCGATGAGGGGTTTCCTAAGACCTCCTACTATCGCCATGCCAAGTGCCGCGAGCCCATTTGGATCGTTGGACCGGATAATGGTTGCTGCGGGCAGCATGGGATTGTCCGGGGAAACATGCGCAGCGTCTCTGGCTGCTTGCTCAATCGCCTCCATCTCTTCTTTGCAGCCGGCGTGATCGAACGGGCACACCACGATGGGCTGGCGGAGCAATATGTCCCGTGCCGACGACAATTGTGCCTGTTATCAATTAGCGCGACCTTGACTCAGTGGATATGCATGGGCTTACTTTTACTGTCAGGTAGTACTCTATCTTGTAGAGTGTACCTGTGGTCGTAAATCCGTTTACGGCGTACATTGGAAACTCCTTCTTTCCGCGCGGTATTATGCCGTCTGAATCTCGCAGGTCCTTCGCGGGAAACACCAAGCCTAGGTTCGTAAAGTAGCCAGCCTCGGGCATCTTAACACCGACAGCCTGGGTTGTCTTGGCCAACGTCTTCACTTTCCTGGTTGGTTCGTCGCCCTCGTGGTTGAATATGATTTCCTCGTCTATACCCACAGTAATCTTCTGGATAGTAACCTTCTGCGCCTTCTTCAACCAGTCGGGATTCGGACTGAGCTTGATGTAGACTGATACTGGGTCTAGAGGCCCATAACTCCACCTGGGGAGACTAATTCCCAGGGTGACAAGGTGGTCCGTAACTCTTTCGGCGCTCTCGGGACGATTGTACATGCCAAAAGTGGAGAGTGTGTCGTACCGCTGTATTGGTACAGGAAACGGGTATTTCTTCTGGTCTGTCTGCCCTTGCTGCACAGTCACAACCAGCTCGTAGAACGTCTCAGCTGTCCGGGCTGGCAGCTGCAGACTGGCGGGCGGCACCCTCCTTGCTACTTCCTCGCCGCCGCGGCCATATGGTATGAATATCACAAAGGGCAAGTCCATGGACAGCACGCTGTCAAACTCCTTGCCGGCGGGACATCGGAACAGCAGCATCTCCTTGCCCACAATGTCGGTGATCTCCTTGCGCGGGGCGGCAAGGTGCTTCTTGGTGAGCGACTCAGCAGAGGGGTGAATGGTCTCCCGCCGGTGGAGGGCGATGGTGACGAGCGAGACATGGACGGGCGCAGAGACGCCAACGAGCGGGCGTATCTCGACCTTGCCTTCTATCCGCGGCTGGACAGCAGTTAGCAAAGCTCCAGCATGGCATGGATGGGACGAGACGAGCTCGGCAGGGGTGGCTCGCCGGGCGCGGGCGCGCGGGGAGTGCACAGGACGTACCAATGTCGCCGAGATGCCCGGGTAGCCGACGAGGAAGTTGCTGTTTGGCGGTCCTGAGACGCGCACAAAGGCCGACATGGCTGCTCAGGTGACGGGGCGTCGGCGCAGGCCTGGGCTGTCGGCGAGCACCGCATGGGAGAGGCGCGTGTGGGCTGTCGCTGCGAGGCGCCGGCTGGGTCGCGCTCGAGGAGCTCCAAGCTGGAGCGTGGGCGAGGGGACGTGCAGCCAGGCGGCGTGGAGGTAGCCTGCGGCGGGATCGGTGGGGTCGACGAGCGAGAAGCACCGGCAGAGCTTCGCCAGCAGCGGGCGGGGCAGCTGGCAGGACCGCGGCGGTGCGATGCGATGGCCGGCGCGCGACGGGGCAGGGCAGGGCGGGAGAGCAGCGCGCGCTGTGCGTGTGGGCGTGCGATCTGGGCGAGGGTGCGGGTTGGAGGTGAGGTAGGGCTGCTGCGAAGCGGGCGGCGGAGTGCTTGCTGCGATTGGTCCGCCGTCCAAGATGCGACGCTGTCGTCCTGCGCTGGCGATGGATGAACACGGCGACAATGGAATCGCAGGCGACGGGCGCAGTGGCGACGTAACGCGGCCGGGAGCGTGGAGTGAGTGAGCAGCCGCTGTTGCGGGATTCACCACAGCCTTCTTGGGGGCTTAAGCTTCGCGCGAATCACCTCCTCACCCGCCTGTCGCCAAAGGATGCGCTTTCAGCTGCACCACCATGTCTGTCACCGTAAGTACCCTCCCGCCGCTCCCCGCCCGTCGCCCGTACATGCGCGCGCCTGGGCGCAATTCTCCGATGGCCACGGCGTCATCGACACCCAGACGCCGCGCGCATCTTCTGGCAGCTTTGACAAGCCCCGCTGCCACGCAGCTGCTGATGTCTCGGCAATGTCCAAGCCTTTGTGCTGACCATCCTCGTAGCTCCATACCACGCGCGGTGATATCAAGCTCGAGATCTTCTGCGAAGCCGTGCCCAAGACAGCCGAGAATTTCCTCGCCCTCTGCGCCTCTGGCTTCTATAATGGCAGCCCCTTCCACCGCATGATCCCCAGCTTCATGGTGCAAACCGGCTCTCCCGCCTCTGATCCCAAATCCAAGACCTCTACGTCCATTTACGACACCGTCGACCATCTCTTCGAAGACGAGGTCCGTCCCGCTCTGCGACACAATGCGCGAGGAATTGTGAGCATGGCGAACAAGGGCCCCAATTCAAACGGGAGCCAGTTCTTCATCACTTTTGCGCCCGCGCCCCATCTCGACGGCAAGAACACGGTCTTTGGCAAAGTCCTCGAAGGCGAAGATGTCCTGGACGAGCTCGAGACGCTGGACGTGGACAAGAAATCTCGGCCCAAGGAGCGGGTGGAAATCAAGAATGTCACCATGCATGCCAATCCTTTGGCTGGATGAGAAAGAGAAATGCAAAGACTGTGGGAAGGGACACAATGAACATTAAGCACGACTGGTAGACCGTAACATAGGTCATGACAATGCTCAATAACGGCGGGCGACGCCTTGGTATCTACAGAGACTAAAGACGAAATTACGAGTAAAGGAGAAACAGGAGCCAGCACTATGCACCGTTGACTACCTCGCCATTGGTGGCCGCGCCGTTCGTTGTTGGCTGGTCGTCCGCATACGCCTCTGTGTTCATGTCCCTGAGGCCGAGTTCCTCTTCCTCTTCCTCTGTCCGCTCGTAATCTTCGACCTTCATCTGCGAATCGGGTTCGGGGGCGGCAAAGCTCTGTACATAGCTGCTTGCAAGTGGGTCTGAAAGGATACAGGTGAACTTGACCTCGCCGTTGATGGCGGACGACAGCTGGCCAAAGAAGTCATCCCATTTTGTCTTGGTCCCCGAGTCCATGGAGTCACCGCCCTCTCCGATGTCGAAAATGGAAGACCGCAGGTCATCACGAACTTGGGTGAGGAGACCTTCGATAGTGGTGAACCGGCCTCCCAGTGTTCCAGCCTCAACACTGAGGTTGAGTTCTGGGCAGGACAAGGCGCACGACTCCGCCTTAAGAATGTCCCGCGACAAATCTTCCTTGTTCTCAACAGACACAGTGATGCGACGGCCCTTTTCTGGTACCTCGCCTCCGGTCTTAACCTCGTTGCTCCGGTCTGCGATTTGTTAGTCCATGTTAGAGAATGCAATAACACCCAACTTACATCCGCAATGTTCGCAAACTGTGCTCATTAGCACAACTTGCTTGAAGTGTGGAATGTTGACCATCTTCATGTTCGTTGTGCAAGGATTTGTGCATCCCGGGCAGCTTGCAGGGAACGAATACACTTGGTTTTCTTGGATTTCATCCTCGTCGACATTGTTGACCATGGGTCCCTGCGGCATGCGCGGGTACATCTGATCGGCGTGGTACTCGGGGCGAATCTCTGTAGGCGGCGCATCGCCAGAAGAGCCTAAGCCGAGCGCTGCGTTCTGGTCGGGGCTTCGAGGGTATTCATGGCGGAAGTACTTCGTTGATGTGTCTTGTGTCGAAGGCTCAATAGACGAGTTACCCGCAGGGTCGTCAACCGTGATCTTGAAAGATGTCTTCTTGCCTGCGGCCATCTCCTTCAGCGTCTCAATCACGCCTTGAATCTTCTCGTAGACTTCGGGCACAACCTCCTTTCTCTCATTCTGCTTCTGCTCAAGATCCTCCGCAACCATAGACAATACTCCCTCCACATTTGTAAGCTGCCCTCGCCCAGGCGGTATTTCCAGGTCAATATCTTCCACACGAAATACCGCGGTATCGCTTTTAACAATCTGTCGGCTCAGATCCGCTGCGCTCTCAACCTTCAGTGTGATCTTGATTCCTCGCTGTTGGATCTCGCCAGCTGGCTGCACTTCAGCGTTCTTCCAGCCGCATTCTGGGCACGCGGAGGACATGAGAACGATCTCGCGGAAGAAAGGAATCTTGGTCAAGAGAAGTCGCGTAGATGCCTATACACAATCAGTTTAGTTTTCAATATTCTGGTGGTATTCCATGCATTTTCTGAGTGGCAGTTCATGCACAGAGTCTCAGGAATCTCATCCACAACCCTGGTGCCATCCACATCGTCGTCTCGTGCGCTCGCCTCCGCCACCTTCCGACCCATATCCTCGAACAAATCTTTCGCAAGGCTCTGCTGGGCCATCTTGGGTGTATCTTTTCGAGTTTGAATAAAGTCGGCGTCTTCGAATATTCAGTGTTACAGTGGCGGTGGTTGGAATTTGGGCATGGGCTTTGACGAAACGCGAAAGTTTTTGAGCCCCGCGGTGTCATGGCGGGGTCTTCTAGCGCGCTCTGGTCTGTTCCCTGCAGTAGCAAACGCCAGATCCCTGTCGCTTTCAGCCCTACGACATCCCAAGCTTCGAATGGCGGTCTTCTTTCGCGTGTTGCGTACCACATAAGTCCTCGAGTACTCGAGCAAGTGCGGCTGTTGTATGCACACACCTCATTGCATAAAGTCCATCAGGTCGAGTCCAAGTCCACCCTGTCCCGAGCTTTGATTTTTGGTTTTTTCGAGCATGGCCTGCAGACCTCCTTTGCGAGACTTCTTCCTCTGCTTGCTCGTCGCGTTCGCTGACTTGTTGACTTTATCTTGATCGTGTCCGATCTTCATGTGTACATCCGGGGCCTTCGTAGCCTCAGTCTCTGTGCGGATAGGCTTCGAAATAACATGTTTAGGGGCCCTGGACTGCAGAGTCTGAACTGATTTCCGGTCACATCGTAAGCATGTGCAAACGAGTGTCTTCCCCGGAAGCGTTGCTGGCTTTGGAGGTTGTTTCTGCGCTCTGGCCCGACGAGACAAATGGGAAACAGAAGCTGACCATCCTGGTAGCAAGATGCTACCGCAAGAACCACATACTTCGCGCCGCAGTGTGTCCCACTCCTTCTTCGCGTGTTGCAGGTCGTCGGCGCCAATGACAGATTGGATATAATGTGACGAAAGAGCAGCTGATACAGTTGGCGCGGACGTAGTGAGCTGATATGCTGCCTCTCTTAGGAATCGTAATCGAGCTTCGGACGTATCGGCGGCCATGGTCTTGTTCGGTGTAGACCTGAGTCGAAAACCGAGATGGATCCTCGAACTTTCGATTATCGATAACATTGGCACGTGATCAGCTAGCGTATTTGAAAGCGCCAACAGATCCTTGGCACTTTCACTTTCACTGTAGCAGGTAAGTCGCAATTGCCTTGCGAAATTTATTTCAGCGTTTTGCGCTTCTATGTTCAGTCATCATTGCCCTTTACTTATGCCCTTCACTTGAATCATCTCGCCAAACCGCCAATATGGCAGGACTGACCCAAAATGCAGGTAGCAGCCTGCGCATAGCCGTTGAAGGTTGTGGTCACGGGACATTGCACGAAATCTACGCATCCGTCAAGAAATCCTGCGAGCTGAAAGGATGGCCTGGTGTTGACTTGCTGATAATTGGTGGCGATTTCCAAGTAGGGTACACCGCCAGATCTCCGGATTTCGCTGACGGTATAGGCTGTTCGAAATGCCTACGACCTGAAGGCTGTCTCCATGCCGGAGAAGTACTATGCCATGCACGACTTTCATGAGTACTACTCGGGCGCACGAATCGCTCCTTATCTCACCATCTTCATTGGTGGCAACCATGAAGCCAGCAACTACATGTGGGAGTTGTACTACGGCGGCTGGGCTGCGCCTAACATCTATTACATGGGCGCGGCCAACGTCGTTCGAATTGGATCTCTTCGGATCGCCGGGCTTTCCGGAATCTGGAAAGGGTACAACTACCGCAAACCACATCACGAACGTCTGCCATACAACAATGACGACGTGAGAAGCATTTACCACGTCAGAGAGCTAGATACCCGCAAGCTCCTCCAGCTTCGCAGTCAGGTCGACGTTGGTCTGAGTCACGATTGGCCAAAGGGTATGGAATGGAAGGGCAACCATAGACAACTCTTTCGGTTTAAGCCATACTTTGAACAGGATGCAAAAGAAGGGCAGCTTGGAAGCGTAGCAGCAACAACAGTTCTCGAGCGGTTGCGTCCACCGCATTGGTTTAGCGCCCACATGCACGCTAGGTTTACGGCCGTGTGGGAACACGAATGTTCGCACGATCCTCCAGCATCCGAATCGAAGGAAGTCACTGCCCCGGTCACAGCTAACGAGGATGAGGTTGACCTGGACATCGACGATACACCTGTCATTGAAGCCCCCAAGAACGATGCTGAGATTGATCTTGATTTGGATGAGGAGGAGGAGCCGTGCACGTTAGCACCAATGGAAGAGCAAGTCGCCGATGCGGACGCCCAGGGCAAGCCTGACGATATCCGGAGCCTCTTGCCAGAATCTTTTGCACGCCCGTCCATGTCCTCAAACTTTGATCAACCTCCTACTCTACCGTTTCCGCAGGATATAACAAACAAAATCACCAAATTCCTGGCACTTGACAAGTGCTTGCCTGGAAGACATTTTCTACAACTGCTGGAAGTAGCTCCTCACACGCCAGGGGACCACGAACGACCCCTTAAACTAGAGTACGACCCAGAGTGGCTTGCGATTACTCGGGTTTTTGCGGAAGAGCTGCAGCTGGGTAATCCCGACGTTCGTGTACCCCAGGACAAAGGAGATGTCTACTACAGGCCGTTGATCGAGAAGGAATTGGCTTGGGTAGATGAGCATGTCATCAAGCCTGGCAAGACGGCAATTCCAGAAGATTTCGTGCAGACCGCACCGATCTATGAGCCAGCAACAGGGATTCACGTTGCAGGAGGACCAAAGGAATATTCAAACCCACACACCCAAGCGTTCTGCGATCTTCTCCAGATTCCGAATGCTTTCCACGCAACGGATGAAGAAAGGGCACGAATGATGCAACAGGGTCCCAGGCCAGACTCTGCACGACCCGAGAGACGTGGTGGATTTAGAGGGGGCAGTACCAGAGGACGTGGCCAGGGCCGCGGTCAGGGTCGTGGAAGAGGTGGGTTCAACGCCAACCGTGGTCGAGGACGTGGTCGCGCTCGGCAGTGAGGAAGCCAGTACGGACTGGTGCAAAAGTGCATGACTCAATGTGTACGTCCGCGAGAGAACGTGATAGGAAACCATCCCAGTGAAGCGTACAACATTTGGACAGATTTTCAGCAAAGATGCCACAACGGATGGTTCTTTCATAGTGTACCCAGAACCCTTTCGCCAAAATTACCGAATTCGCGAGCTCCATGCACATTGACATAAGAAGAACCATGCGGTGATGAACGATACAAAATTGCAACCCACATAGCGGACCCTGACTCAGGCTGAGGTGGTCCTTGCATGCGGGTAATAGTGGCTCAAGGGTTCGGATCTAGGGAGTTCGGAACAGTAGTGCAACAGTAAACAACAACGGACTGCACGATGATGTCGGGCAGCATGAGGAATGTGAAGAGCCGGCCAGAAATTGGGAAGCGCACCGTTCTGCATAGTGCCGAGGGCCCTCATTAGCTAGAAGCGTAACCGCGAGTATTGGAAAAATGCTTCGGGAAGTTAAGCCAAGAAGGGCATCGCGAGAGCGCCTACGTCATTGGCTGTGGGGACGTCGGAGCCAGGCGCAGTCGCACGCGCACACAGCAGCGGCGAGCTGTTCAGATAGCAGTGGCTCAATCATAGTGAGTGTACGTGTCGTGTTCGCGGATTCATAGTGTTCAGGTGTTATAGACGGCATTTCGGTGCGGGAGATGTCGCGCGGTGGCTGATCGCGCTGATCTTGTGGCACGTTTACACAGCCAGTTGCGCGTCCGACAGGATATTGTGGCAAAAGGCGTTGCGACGACTGCTTGCCATGCGCAGCGGAGCCCGACCTCGGTTCGCGCTGTAGGATGACAACGCAGCGCAGCCAAAGTCCGTTCCTCGCCTTTCCGTCACGCCCGAGGTCACAATCAGATGGGCTGCCTTCGTCATGTTCGTCCGCGCTGTGGGTTCTATTTTTGACGGGCCGCACTGTGGGACGGGACAGCGCAGGTATTCCCACTGGTTCTGCCCGCCGCGTGCTCTGGGTTGCGGGCTTGTGCGCCGCCTAGAAGCACCTACGTCGTCATCCTAGGCGCTCAGGGATTCGAGACTGGTCGCGATCGGCGCAAAAGGATCTCGAAATGCAATCCTTGCAATGCGGCCCGCCTGTGAATGGTGCTGGCCGCGTGCTCCTCTTTGCACCTTAAAAGTCTGACTATTGCCCCTGCGTTTCTGGGACTCATAGCGTTACTCCATTTACTCAAACCAATCCTCTAAGCATTCCACTCGTCTAGGCCTCTCAGTATCGACTAGTTGAGCCCTTTCCACCCCTGCGTTGTCGCACTATTCTGGTTCGCACATATATCGTCGCCCGAGCCTGGACCGTTGTCGCGTGGTTAAACAGTCTCACAACAGTAACTGTGCCGATCTTTTCGGTCGCACATATTATATTCCTGGCCTTACCCTCGAGAGTGTATATACTTATTTGGTCCATTCTCCCCTACTCCACACCTTCGACAACCGACATCAACCATATTACCTTCACACATCTACATTTACCATGACGTCCACCAAATTCATCGAGATTCTGGAGCCTGCCCAGGCACCAACCTACACTCACCCTCACCTGAATGTCTCTCTGGACGACATCCTCAAGGAAGGCCGCGAACGATCTGCTTCTCAGTCCTCTGAATCGTCCCAAAGTCAAAGCCAGCAGTCCTCAGGCAGCACCAGCCCAAAGTCGCCCACGGATGAGAGCAAATCCAGCAGCTTTCGGCGCCGGGCTTTTACTCTCGGAAGCAAGAAAGGACGCCGAACGTCTGCGTCTTGAGATGTATTCAATCCCGTCCGCCAAGTTGTGCAGCTTTTAGGCTGCAATGACACCCCTACACCTACCCGATCACGACCAAGCGTTGGAAGTGTTCAACACGACCCTCGAATGTACGAGCAGTTCGCCAACGGACATTATCGCCGATGGCACTGGGGCGCAACGCGCTGTTCCCCAACATCTTAACCGTTCACCCGGCTCACTTTCGCCACGCCACCAACACGGTGCACCGTGTCGCGTGGCGATGCCGTGTGACCACTCCACTTCACCCTGGATACGAGCGCTACTCTGATTCCATTGGTCAATCTTTACGGCCGAAAAGTTTGGAGAGAGTTGCAAAGCTGTATTGATAGCACGTATGGCGTCAAAGCGAAAGTAATAAGCGAGCGATGTGTCGAAGCATTCAAAAGGTGGTTATGCCCACTGCATGTATCCATGCGACTATAATTCCAATAATCATCATTACTCCTTCACTCAGTGCATGACCAAATCGTGCAAAGGGTCGTGATAAAACGGTTGCGAAAGACGATCCCGTCGTCTGGGCTGCGTGCGACACTTCGTCAATAGACAGCAGCTATCTGGTGAATCACAAAGTCTGCGATCGGGACCATAGTCTGCGTGAGTACAGATTGCATTTTCTTGTGGCACCGAGATATCTACTGTGTCATAGTGCAAGTGGTTGTCCAGACCTCCGCACAATGTAAGGGCGGTGCTACCCACACTATTCATTTCGTACCCAAACCATACTACTGACATGCAACCCAATATACGTGTAAAATTCGTTGTTACGTTAGCATTCGACGACACTGTTACAAAGTTGAGTGGGATAGCCGGACAAGGCAAGGGCTATCATCTGGGTGCATCGAGAGTGGCGGTTTTCCTGGTCCGGGGCACAACGTTCCACGCCACAGGATACAATCACAAGAGAAAGGTTTCCGTATGAAGCAGACACAAGCTAGGAATACATCCCAAATGACGTATCTTATTCAGTCCACACAGAAGGCATAAGCCCGCTGCGCTATGATAAACACCGTGGTATCCGCATAATCGTTCGTTCAATCGTCCATCCGTCCGCGAACAGATTCACCGTAGCACACTCACTTCTTCTTGCCAGACTTCTTGATGCCCTGACCGCCGGTGTTCAGAGGGCCCTTTCCGCCAGCCTTCTTGGCTAGCTCCTCGCGTGCCTTCTTGTCTGTAATATCGTCAGCTCCGCTCGTTATGCGCTGCACATCGCGCGCCGGCTCTGCGAGTCGTCGAGAGTTGGGTTCATTGCTACGCACCGGCTTGCTGCTTTGCGAGATAGGCCTTGTCGTCTTCGTCAAGCTCCTTCTTCGCAGCCTTAGGCTTCTTGTTGTGAATTGGGTTGGTACCGGCTGTTGCGTGTGTCAGTTACAGTGGGCGGGAAAGTGGGCGGTGGCAAGAGGGTGTGCGCGAGCCGGCAGAGGCGTACCTCCTTGTCCTGAAGGCATGTTGGCGGTGGTGCAAGTCGCGGGTGGTGATCGTGAAGGCGAAAAGTCCGGTGAGGTTTTGCTTGGGCAACGCTGAGGGCTAAGCGCTTGTCTCGGTCTCGAGCGGGCAAGTGGGGTGTGGCACTGTGGCGGTGTGCCCGGGTAAAAGTGGCGCGCACCTGGAAGGGGTCGCCCAACGGCTGAAGCAGACGCATGGAGCCTTACGCATCCACCTCCACAACCTGTCCGGAAAGAAGTCTGCAATCCTCGGTATCTGTATCTTGTTGGTCGGTTCCTTTTCTTCCCTCATACATAGGGACTCGGAAGTGTAGGCAGGAGTCAGGACGAGACGCTGCGTGGTGATTTGACTACCCTCGGCCACTCCTGAAGCTGTCATCATCATTGAAAGGCTTGCGTGCGGTTACGCTACATGACACGTACTTGATGGTCGCATTACATGTACTTGTAGTATTTCTCCGGACTTGTCCTGTGCACGTTCTACCAACACCGCTCTACACCCGCCCATGCAGCCTCCTACTAACAGAGCTCTGAGCAGGCATGCAGCGCGTGAGCATACCACTAGATTTCTCAGAGACAGCGCTATGACAACGCATTGCAATTCGGCAACGTCAACATTGAGATGACTTTGGTCTGCTGCCAGGCCAGCTCATTTCCCACCCCTTTGTCTTCATCTCTCGTCTGGAATTGGAGGACTCTCACCAGCGCATGCCTGGGTGAGGTGGGAAGCCTTCTGGAAGGATTATGCCGAAAGCCAGGTAGATCATATCAGGCCACCCTGGATGTTAGCTGCCGTGTCAAAGAAATCGTGAATTCTCAGCTGCTCAAATAACTGAAATGAGCCGACCCAAGTGCGAGATTGCGCCATCTAGATGCGTTTGAACCGCCTCCGACCTTCGCTCTCGATTCGAACGGAAATGTACATAGCAAGCACCACGGCAGTAATATCCGAATACACGGGCGACTCACTGGGCATGAGGCTGCTAGACAAGATCGAAAAAGCTTTGGCGTGCCGCTTTGCATCCGTGTCAAAGCTTGTGACCTCTGCCACATGTTGGGGACCATTCAGCGGGAGCTCGGTCTTAACTCAATCTAGGCATTTCTCCACACGACCCCAGAACCCCAAGCCGCTATGCCATGCACTTAAAGCTCGCCTCGACGGAACTAACCGCAAACAACATCGATTCTTATCGTCTCGGTCCTCGTTTCATTCGCGGGAAAATATATTCCGCGGCTCCTCAGGGTGCGATGTCTTCGATGGACGCCTCCAAACTCAGGACGCGGAGGCCCGGGGAGCTCTTTGGGGCCCCAGAGCGCCCCAGATTCACCTGTAGCGCAATAGAGTCGTGCGTGGACGCGGCACGTTCGTGACTAGAGGTCGACAAACGCGCTGATTCGTGTAAAATTGATACGCCACGGGCACGGCTATCTCAGAGGCTGGGTAGGTCTACCCTCGCTTTAGGAGCATGCATAGACTATGCTTGTGGATACCTTTTATAAGTATGTGAGGGCGCTCTGCATGCTCCGACTCTCTTCTGTCAGCGCTGCTCTGCGTCCTCCTCATTTCATCTCGAAAGGCTATCGTTTGTCAAGAAGTGTTCCGAGCCTAGTCTGCCCACAATGGCACCCACCGGAAAGACGGTGTACAACTGGTACATCTCGCTTGTAGCAGCCTCTTGTATGGTGCTCTACGGCTACGATGCATCCACCTTCAACGCCCTGCAGAACTCGAAAAATTGGAAGAACTACTTCAACCATCCCGTACGTGCACTCTGCGCTGTATGATTACTTTAATTTATTGACGTTGTCAGAATGAAAACATCATCGGTGCCATCAACACTTCCTACACTGTCGGAGCCGTCGTGGCAGGATTCTTCTTCGGTGGGCCCCTGGCTGATTGGGCTGGCCGAAGAGTTGGTATGGCGGCTGGTGCCATTCTTGTCATCGTCGCAACGTTCATGCAATGCTTCGCGCCACGAGGAAACGTTGGAGTCTTCATCGCCGGCCGTGTGGTCATCGGTTTGGGCCAAGGTTTGGCTTTGAGTAGGCGAGATCGATTCATCTAGCAAGACATCTATGACTGACATCTGGTAGCTGCGGGTCCCATTTATATTGGAGAACTGTCACGACCCGAGGTCCGAGGAACCATCATGTCTTTCTGGCAGATGTTCTACTCTGTTGGATCGTTCATTGCGTACGTTGTTCACATAAAGTCACTATGAACCCTCGTCTAACATTTGCAGGTACTGGGTCGGCTACGCGACGGCAAAACATCCTGCCAAGCTCGGCGATTGGGATTGGAAGATGGTTGTCATCTTCCAATTGCTAATGCCCATCCTCATCCTCGCACAAGTCTTTTTCATCCCCGAGACTCCCCGTTGGTATATCCAGCACGGAAACCGCATAGATGATGCCCGTAGATCGCTCCACAAGGTCCGTGACACCGAGCAGGAAGTGGAGGATGAGATCCTCTCCATCCGTGAAGCTATCGAATTCGAAGCCGAGGCCATCTCCAGCAACTATTCCGCTCTGTGGAAGGACAAGTCTATCCGGAAGCGTCTGTTGCTGTGCATGATCCTCAACGGTGGACAGCAGATTACCGGACAGGGTACCCTCAACTCGTACTCATCCATCATCTACAAGAAGGTGTTCAACGACCCGGCGAAGATCGCTCTTATCAACGCACTGAATGCCACTTTCGGTATCATCTTCACCCTCAACGCTACGTGGACAGTCGATCGTTTTGGTCGCAAGTTCTTATTCATCGTCGGTGGAATTGGCATGGCCTGCTGCATGATTGCTGTCGCCGCCGTTGGATCCGAAACACCCTCGCCTGGCGGAGCTAAGACCCAACCTGTGGGCATTGCCATCGTCTTCCTCATGTTCTTCTTCGCACTCTTCTGTAAGTCCTACCCGGCTACTGCGTTTGCATCATTAGCACAATCTCTAACTATATTGCAGACAAGCCGTCTTGGGGTGCCACCGTCTGGATTTACACATCCGAGATCTTCTCAATGAACGTGCGCGCGCAGGCCGTCGGCATGTGCTCGCAGACCCAGAACGTTGTCAACTCGATCGTGCAGCAGTTCTTCCCCATCTTCCTCAAGAACTGTGGCTGGTTCGTTTTCTACTTCTTTGCTGGTATCAACGTCCTGCTCGCGCTATTCGTTGTCTTCTTCATCCCTGAGACGAAGAGGGTCAGTCTTGAGGAGATTGATACTCTATTCGGAGGAACCAACCACGTCGAGGCGGGTGGAGAGCTTGTTGGCGTGAAGGATCCGCACCACGCTCAGATTGAGAGGGTCGAGATTACCGAGGAGAAGAGGGCGTGAAGATGAGGACATAGCCAAGTGAAGACGCCGGTGATAATGAACGAAGCATGATGGAGCACCGATGCGAATACCTATCTTTGACAGAATAATGGAAACTGATCATTGTACGCTTTCTTGATAAATTCGTACATTGTGCATTGTCGTTCGCGTGCCTGGCGGTGCCTAGCTCGCGTGGGCGAGACGTTCCATGGTTGAACATCACGTTGGGACTTGGCCCGTTCCCAAGGTTCATATTGTCCTGCTCACTTCGTCACGTGTTCATAACCGCTCTACATGTTTGAAATGACCACAACTTACACATATCTTGCGGCGTGCCATTCGCGTATATTATGACACTCCAAGTAATATGTTCATGTCAAGATACATAATTAAGTCAGGACGCAATCGGGTACAGCTAAGCCTGGTATACTGAACCTGCTCAACACCACTATCAGAACCACGATAGCCGTTGAGTTCCACGAACGGTAATGGCGCCAATGGAGCCCTTCTGTAAATGTCTTTTTCTCGCCCAACGGCCATGGTGGCCTCTCTCAGCTTGGAAACCTGCGCACTGGCTCAATACTCGGAGTCAGCCTCAACAGTGATGATCCATGGTATCGAAATGCTTTTTTTGCTGCCTCTACATAAAAGCGGGTTTCGCTTCAGAGATACCTCTTGTCCATCACGACGAAAGAAGATATTCAGAGTACCATACCCGAGATACTCCAGCACTCCCAACCAACACCCCTTGAACACGCCAAGATGCCTATCTCCCTGCTCACCCAAAACATCGAGGCGGCCCGTGCCGCAGGCTGTTCTATTATCTTTGAAGACCAATCCCACTCACTTCCAGCGGTTCCTCAGCATGCGCACTTTGTCGAGGCTGAGATTGGGAACCGTCTGGAAAGGGGACCGACCATGCTACAAGCTTTCCCATCCCCAATTCCCGCCGATTCCTTCCAGAAGACATCCTAACCTTGGAGAGCCCTCCACCTGGTCTTAGAGATCAGGAGACGGGCAGCCGCCTTGTGCGAACCAATGGACTGGGAAGAGACTTGCGCCCAACACGCTCCGAAGACCTTCCAAAATTCAAGCAGAACATTTCAATCTGGCAAGGCCCATTTCCCGCCAAGGAAGAGGAGGAAGATTGGGACCCCAACAAGTTCTATACTCGCCCGTTAGAGGGGAAAGACGTGCCCATTACTGTTCTCCAGCATTGGGAGCACTGGAAGAGGGAACGCGAATTCACCGTCAAAGCGATGGCTTTAGATCAGCTCATAGAAGACCTGTAGAGACCGCAAATTGGAGACCAGGATCACGATGCGTATATGTTCGCCAGCGAGACTGCAGTGTGGGAATTGGGCGAGCACCGGGAGTGGGTGAGAAGGGATTACCAGGCTGAAGAGAGACTGGGGCTTGACAAGGAAGAGTATGATAGAGAGACTCAGAGATTGAAACAGGAATACGAGGAATGGGAGACGGAGTGTAAGAGGATGGAGATGGAGAAAGCTGCCGGGGAAGTGGATCGGGCTTGGGAGAAGGAGGTGATGGAATTCCAAGACGATGTCGATGCCCTGGAGTTTGCGTTCTTGGGGAAGCAGGATCGACGCAGGAAGAATGGGGCAAGGGGCAGGAAGCGACCGTCTAAGCAGAGCCGCGTCAGAGTCTACCATGGCGCAGCTAAGGGCGTCTGTAAATGTATCAGAGCTTGTGGGTGATCGGATCACACCTTTCGCAATACTACCCACTGATGCCGCTCACGTCTGAATATGTACCTGTCTCGTGGAGATGACTCGAGCGCGAATACTCCGACCATGTCTTCATACTCCACGAACGACGCCTACTTATTCGTGGGGTGCGGGTACACAATCGTTGTGGCTAAGGCATGGGGGTGTATGTCTCAGCCAAACGACCAATCTTTCCTCTTGCTAGAAAACACATCCGCTGTGTGCCCGACGGCTTGCTTTTCAGCTTATCTTTCTGTACCCTCAACATTCGCATGTATCGTAACAACCATTGGAGTTTCCTCAGTTGAACGCACACTGAAACAGTAAAGTAACAATTAGAAATGCGTAACACGCACATACACCCCACGATACATTGAGTTAGATCACGCAGCTCCATGGGATGGCATGGTGGGAATAGGAGAGGAGCTCTCGGGTGATCGACACACCCCCCGCAGCCCTATACCTGGCCAGCACGTCATTTGCGCTAAGAAATTTCCCTTCAACAAGGGACAGGAACCACATGGCGCAATGCTAATAACGGCATTCTATCAGGGTATATCAGAGCTGTTTCTTTCGAGTCTTTCCCTCATTCCATTCCACAACTTCAATTTGCATTGGCCAATTCCTTGCACAGACTCCAAGTTCCGCAAACACAATGGCAACGTGAGCCCCACCATACCCCGCTGTCCTCCCCCACGACACAAACTTACAGACGGCAGCAACATCACCTGGCACCCTTCGCTCTCGCGCAGCGAGCGCAACACCTTCCGCAAGCAGCGCGGCTTCACCATCTGGTTCACCGGCCTCTCCGCCTCGGGGAAGTCGACGATCGCAACTGCGCTCGAGCAGCACCTGCTTCACCTCGGCCTCGCCGCGTACCGTCTCGATGGTGACAACGTGCGCTTCGGCCTCAACAAGGACCTTGGATTCGACGAGAAGAGCCGGAATGAGAACATCAGGCGGATAGCCGAGGTGCGTAGCATGCCATTCCGCGGGCGCATTGCGCTCTCTTCGCAGCAAGCACGCCATGCGCGCGGCGCTCTAGGCAAAAAAGCAACCAACTTTCACGGCGAGCTGAGCTAATGCACTGCACCTAGGTCGCCAAGTTGTTCGCTGACAGCTCCACCATCGCCATCACCTCCTTCATCTCGCCATACAAGGCCGACCGCCAGCAAGCCCGCGAGCTGCACGCCGCGCAGCCCGCACACCCGGACGACGAGCCGCTCTCATTCATCGAGGTCTTTGTCGACCTCCCGCTCGAGGTTGCTGAGGCACGCGACCCCAAGGGCCTGTACAAGAAGGCGCGCGAAGGCAAGATCCCCGAGTTCACCGGCATCAGTGCGCCGTATGAGGCGCCTGAGAACCCGGAGATCAAGATCCAGAGCGACAAGACGAGCGTCGAGGATGCGGTTAGACAGATTGTCGAGTACCTTGAGACGAAGGGTCTGTTGAAGTTGAATGCGGCGGATGGGAGGGGATTGGAGTACTAGGTTTGACGTTGAGGAAAGGGAGTGAGAACGAAGAGTTGGACGGTCGAGACGAGATGGTCGATTGAAGTCCGCTACACGAGCTGGGTTGTGGGTCAACATAATGATAAACCAGCCTCCAAAGGAACCTGGCATGTGATGAGAACATGTCTGGATGACTACGTCCACCGGCTCTCTTTCCTCTGTCTCCCACTCGTGAAGCTGACGTACATTGCGACAACACTGCAGATTTCCTTGCCGTGCACATGTTTCACTCACCGAAATTACGCCTACCCCTGATTCGGATACTGCCCGCCCTAGTCTTCATAATGAGCCCAATCGCCTCACCCAAACAATTGAACGGTACAATACCTAGTTTACATGCAGCACAACGTCCTAGTTTCCCAGTGTCCCAGAATGGACTTTGGAATTGTCGAAACTTATAATCACGAAGTACGAGGTGGGTTTGACTATACGAAATCCCTAGGGTAGTGTTCCTATCCTGGTCGCACATCGCCACAGACGTCTAAGATAACTGAGATCCTACAAGCCTCTTAGATCATCGTCGTGGTAGATCACCAGTAATTTCAGCCAGGTCTACATCTACAAGAGCAATGTCCCCACAGTACGCAACTCAGCCTCATTTCCCAGCCTTCCATACTAACCTTCGTCTACAGACAACGCTTTCTTATGGTTCGGTTATCCCATATCTAAGTTTCAGCAAGAGCGGCCCCACTGCCAAAAAGAAGGCGGCAGAATCCCCTCTCAAAACCTGGTTCTAGGCCACCGATCACACCCTAGACGTCGATATCCATCCCAGTCTACCTCCACAGCATGAGCAGAATGAAACTACAAGACTTTAACTTCACTAAAATCCCTCTAAGCTTCGCGCTCTCCAGGTATATCTACGCGTCAAATGCATCCCGTGCTAGGATAGAACTGCAACCTAACTCGCCCACTCTATGCGACAAAGACGTCGAGGAAGACGACAAGGAATCCAAGGAGCCCAAAGAACATAGCGACAGCCATTCACTCGTCAAAGAGGCGTTGAAACCATTCATCAAGCGGGGTTCGCGCCGATTTCGAGTTCATCATACTACTAGTGCCTCACTGTGTGGTACCTTTTTAAGGATCCCGCGACTTCGCCCAAGAGCCTCTGGGCTATGCGCTCTCAAAGCTCATTTCCGCTTCCAATACATCTAGTCGCCTGCGCAAGGTGTAATTGATCATTAAGCCAAACTAGGGCTCACAACATATATGCCTGTGTATATTAGACCCTGAAGTGACTTGTTTTCTCTTACGATAGGCATCCTATTGTAGAATAGGGAAGCCTGCCATCACGTACTTGAGACTTTAGGCAGCGTGATTCGATGCCAGTGGTCCCGTGGTTCGACACTCGGTCTGCTCACCCTGGAGTGAAACAGTGTGCTCAGATGTTTATTTAGCCATTCCATTTTGCATCCATATCACATAGTAAAACCAGTGTACGTGTAGGATTAAACTACACACCCAGGCTCAAGGGAAATTTTGAGGCCCCCCATATGCTACAGCTTCGCCGAGGTTAGGTATGCAAATTTTCAGAGAAAGGGAAACGGTAGTAACGGAAAGTCTACAAAACATGAGCCTGCTGAACTCACCTGTAAGTGTCCACCCATGCACTGTTCTGCGTGAGTGGGGTCCACGATTTTACATCCACGCGGAACTGCTTGACGATGGCAGGTACAAGAACAGCCGCGATACACCAGGAGCCTGGACTTTTACAGACGGGAAGTGGTGCCAGTCATTGTATGATACATCAACTGACACCTTGAAAATGAGAAGCCGAGAAGTGCGTGACAGCCAGTTTTGCGATGGGCGTCGTCGTGGAGCGGTTCAAGGTACCGCATCGCGGGCATGCACGGAACAAGGTACGGCGTGGCCAGGCGTATGCGGTAGTAATGGCAAGAACACGGCTGGTAGCACGTGCTACCTAACAACATTGGTTTACATGCCTTTTGCCCAGTGTAGTGTATTTTAGTGTATTTGCTGTTCACTTCACAGCCTCAGACGGTCCGTCACATCGCACAAGAACCCCACAGTGAACAGTAAGAAAAATGGTATTATACGCAATTACAGAAAACCTACATACAGCGCTACATTTTCACCACGCTCACCAACGCGCCCATACTTCTACTCGCAGTTCCCTCATCGCTCCTCACGAGCCTCCTTCCTTCCTCGAAGCCCCGCTCCGACGCAACGGCCCGGCAATGAAATGGCCCTCTTGGACCAGATAGATAGAGGTATAGAAGCGGAATATACAACATGTCGTCAAGGAAAGTGCGAACGCAGCCAGGGTCGAAAAGCAAGACCGCAAACGCCAGTATACAGCGCCAAATAACGGACGGGCATCATGGATGTAAAGAAGTGGGTAATCAACATAGGAAGAGAGTCAAGGGCGGAGCTTATGCGACCTGCCTGTGGCCCGCGCTCTGGCGCGCGAGCGGCGCCGCGTACTTGGAGATGGGCATCTCGTGATGCATGTCGTCATCGAGCGTCTCGTCGTCCTGCTCGATGATGCGCGTGGGCACGTCGGGCACGTCGTCGTGCAACCGGTGCTGCAGGCTGTGCCTGTCGGGCGTGGTCGACGCGCTGGCCATGGACATGGATGTGCTTGACCTGTGGGTTAGGTCCGGGGTGGGCGGGATGCTCGAGTGGCGGCCGGGACGCAGCATGCTGTCTTCCTCGCCGTAGTCGCTGCCCTGGGTGGACGGCACAGCAGAGGATCTCCGATCGCTGCGGGAGTCTTCCTCAGTGTCGGCCTGCTGGGCCAGCTGGAGACCCTCGACGGCCGCGGCGCACTGCTCCGAGATGTTTCGGATGATGTACGCAATGGCGTCGGTCTTGTCGCGGAGGTGGCGGTCTGCAACATCGATCATAGAAGAGTTGGAGAATCGCTTCGGGTTGCGGTTCACTGGAGAATGGAGTAAGCGCTGCTCCATGTCTGGTGAGACGTCTTCGCCATCGAGATGCTTACTATCCATAACGGTGCTTGCTCTCGAATCAAGGTTGCGCTCCGCACGAGCGACCTCAGAGTGATTCCGTGCTGTGCGCTCGGGCTCTTCGGTCTCCTCCTCACCCTCTTCAGGAACGTCCTCGAAGCCCTCCTCTACGAACCCAGCGAGGCCGGCATCCGGAGCGCCCAAGGACTTGACGATGTGCTCCATGTGGTGGGTCTGGCCGTCGATCAGGGCACGGAGGTGGAGCACCACGCGTTGAGCCTCATCGCGCTGGCGATGGATGGCTTGGTTGGTGTGCTGCAGAGCAGAAAGCTCCTTCTTGTTCCTCATGCGCTCGCGCTCCAGTTCCTCGGCAATTTCTTGCTGGAGAACAAGAGCCTCGAGAGCATCGTCACGCTGCTTCTCGGTGCCAGAGAGGCGCACAGAGAGGCGTGCGGCATCGTCCTTTTGCTGGTCAATAAGGCCAGTAAGGCGACGGTTCTCGCGCTTGTGGTTCTCAATCTTGACCTTGAGATCCTGGGTTTCCTTGGTAAGCTGCTCGGCAAACGCCTGGAACTTGAGGAATTGCTGCTTCCAGCTCTCAAGCTCCTCCACGAGAAAGTTGTTCCTCTTGGTGACCTTGCCGAGCTCCGTGTCCATGCGGCCCTTGAGGTTGATGAAGTCCTGCCAAGCCTCTTGTGCGTCACGCGAGTACTGGTTGCGTTCTCGCACAATCTCGTTGAGGTGGCGCATGGACACCTTGGTCATGAGTGGCTTCTTGACGGAACCGCCAAAGATAGCCTTCATACCGGTGTTACGGCCCTGTGGAACATCGTTAGCACAAATACGAACCCAAAATGGAAAGCTGAGCATACCAGTTTTTCACACACGTGGTCCATGACCGTCATGATGGCGTCCTGATTCCACCACTCCGGGTCCTGGATGCTCTCTACTTCGCCACGCATCACGATGATCTGGCCAGCTGGGATGAGCTTGCCGCCGCCGTACGCAGAGCGCAGATGCTGCGGGACTCCAGTAGGTGCGATCTCGCCGTTGAGCGCCTGTGTGAGACGAGTGATCATCTTCGATCGCTGGCCAGCAGTGAGGGCAGTCGGCGGGCTGGATGTCAACACAAAGTTTCGGTCCAGGTCTACCACCAACGCATCTGTGGGGGCGGTGAAGAGAGAGCGGCACTCTGAGGTGACACCGAGAATGTATGGGCCTGGCTCCTGGACCAGATCTTTGATGTGGCGTGCATGGACAACGGGCACGTACAGACCGCTCCACTCGTACACCCTGACGCAGAATCGCACAGTTTCAGCCGCAACGGTCAGCATTGCCGGGTAGTGACTGGTGAAGATGATTCGTCGCGTTGGAGACACGGCGGCTTCCATTACACCAACTATGTTGGGAATGGAAAGACACGTGAACAGCGGCCACATGGCGAAGTTTTGGAAACCGGTAGGCGAAGAAGGAAACTGGTAGCACAGGGCGTAGTCCTTCATGTCGATGCGAACCAAATCGTTCAAGCGAGGAGCGGGGAAGCTCAGGATGCGCGACACCTCCTCGGCGTGGAACAGATTAGTGGCCTTGTTCCAGTGAATCCACATGCCACGAAGGTAGTCCCCAAGGAGGTTGTACAGGGGATACCGGGAGAGGAAGCTCAGGCAGTACGGGATCCAGTACGTCTCATCGGGGTTGTCGAAGAAATCGGGCTCGATGCGCTTGCGAAGGTCGCGGATTGTTTCAGCCCTCTTCTCGTCGGCGCGCGACCAGACACGCAGAGCTATGCCGTAGAGCGTGTGTGACGAGTCCTGCTGGAGGACAAAAGAGTGGTGCACACAGTGTGGCTGGCTGCGACCGGTGCAGATCTCAACGTCGTGGGGGAAGCAGGCCTGTCCATGTTAGTTAATTCAATGGTCGGCCGTTGCGAAAAAGCAAACCTACCCGCATCGCAGCGTGGAGAGACCTTGCAATCTCGTTGTCCTGCTCGAGCCTCGGGCTGCTTCCCAAGATCTCTGGCAGCCAGAAGGTGCCCACCGCACCCTTCATGTGGCCAATCTTGCCCTGGCTCGGGGCAGGCGCCTTGACCCATTGTGATGGCTCCCTTCCAACACCGCACACCATGTATGCGTGGGTCAAGGTCTTGGGGCTCTTTGCGCCTTGTCGTACGTTCAACGTCGAGGGCAGAGGCTGGGTGATTCTTGAATGAAGGGACGAGGTGCGGCTCGGGATGATCAGACTGTGGTCGCCATGGTCCCTGGTTGGCGGGCGATCACGGTCGCTGGTCCGGGGACGGAGACTGAGAGAAGGTGCCATTGTGGGAGAATCGCAGTCTATGCGCTCAGATTGGTGGTTTGCGGTGGTGGTAGGTGTATAGCCGGTACACCCAGGGGATTAGGAGAGCTCCTATGGCAAAGGACCGCAGGCACACAGGGACTTGCAAAGGAGTGGCAGGTGCAGTTGTCAGAGCACTCGAGTACGGGACGTACTGGCGGCGGGGAGCTCTGGGACCTTGCTGCGGGACGCAGTGAGGAGTGCTGCAGCAAGGAAAGTGGATTTATCGAGGCGGGCTGGCGCTTTTGGGGGAGATGCCGCAGCACGCTCGACAGGGCAAGCTGGGCCAGCTAGCGGCAGTGCTATGGAGAAGTGGCGCTACCTGGGCTCGGTTGCACGACGAAATGAACGTCGAGTAGGGTCCGTTTGGGCGCGACCCCCGGCCACTGAGCCCGCGCACGGCGCGTTCAGGGGCGCGTCCGCGAGGAATCTGCGTGCTTGTGCGTGACAGGAACATTGAACTTTATTGTGCCTGAGCCTGCTTGCTGCACACAACGGCCGTTCTCTGCACGGCAGCGCCGCACATGCTGCATGGGCATGGGCCGGCCAGGGGGTGGGCATGGGCGTAGAAACAACGCCGGACAGAGACAAGCCCACGGTGGACGTGCTGCGTCAAGTGCTGGATTGCACCACGACGTGCTGGTCGCCAGCGCTATGTCCCGCGGCCATTGTGGGAGCGACATCCGCCATCCCCAGCAGCCCTGAATCGCGCATCCGCAGCGCACCCGTCGCCGTCTCGTGCACGTCGCCGGCGCCAACCTTCAAAGTTCGTCCGGACGGTGCTTCTGGTCCTGGCGTGCGTTTGCTGCAGATGCTTCTTGGTGCAGCTGCAGCGTGAATCTTCTGCATGCACGCGCAACCGCTGCCTCCCACGCTGCAGCGCGGTCCCGATGGGCTCCGCTCACGCCCGCCCCTCCTGAACATCACTGCATGCTTTCAGATTGCGCGGCCCGCCCAGCGCTGATCAGTTGTGCTGCGTTTGGTCCCTAGCACGTCGTTGCTGGCCGACTGAAGACCCGTTGAGGATTGGCCGACGCGCGGGTCGTGTCGCATCCCTTTCCTGCATTGCCCCATCGCATCTGGTTCTTCATGCCGTTGTCGATAGCGGCCTGCGGTGGAGCTGGCGGCTTCCATCGAAGCCCTTAGGAAGCTGCGAGAGGGAGCAGGATGAAACGCGCCAGCTTCCCAGCGGCCAAGAGACGTGCATATGCGCTAGCCGGCTATGGGCGATAGGCGATAGGCTTCCCTCTCCACCGGCGCCCGTTCTCCGCCGTCGTCGAGACGCGCTGTAGCCGCAGCTTGGAAATCGGTTCAAGCCTCTCGTCTCGATGGAGAGCAAACTTAAAGAGAAGTCGTTCCCAGAGTTGGGGTGGGGGGATTCGTACGCCTCCCAGCTGCTCAGAGACGCCTCCAGATTGATCCACACCTGGATATCCCCGGTTCAGACCTGTCTGCTGGGCGCCCCTCCGCGCGTCTGTTGGGGACTCCCGGCAACACGGTGGAGAGGGACCCATTGGCATGTCTTGTCTTTTGGTCGGATCGCACGCCTATTGCCTGTGTATGCAAAACCGTATGTATGTCGATCAGTCCTTCCTCTGAAACATCGTGGCTAGCAGAAGACAGCCGTGGTTCACAGCGAGGCCTTGGGGCGTTTGAGTGGCTGCGGCGCGTGGCTGGCCTCGACCCTACGCTTGTAGTCGTCGAATATCCTCCCGCCTCTTTAGCTGCAGTGCCAACAGACGTTGACGTCTAGATAGTTTTATCGTACGACCGCGGCAGTAGTCTCAGTGGAGGCGCAGAAATAGCCTTCGATGGTGTATTGGGCTAAAGGAATCTGAATTGTCGGGGCCTGCCAATCACAGCCTAGCAGTCGCTTTTTCGCGCTAGGACGAACCTTCGCTCACAACCACACTCGACGTCAGGACTATCACCGCCGCACGCACTACTGCCGGCTATCGTACCCTCGACTGTATTCTACTGTGCCGTGGTCAACAGCATCGTGCATATCGCCCACCCGGCCCGCCCCTCAAATCTCAACCCAAGATATTCCCCGAGTAGTAGTCTGCGAGATCTTGCGGGACATCGTGCATGCGCGCGCGAATCTCCGGTTCCCACTGAAATGTCTGATGACGCTTTGTTGAGCGACCTCTGCAGTATATGGTAAGTCTTGCCTAACGGTGTAGGCTATAGGCGTGATTGTACCGCCTCTTCTCAGCGTCGCCTGATTACCTCAGCATTTATTTTGTATCTCGAGTCCACCACTGACTCAGCCATCAGCAACACAGCCCAGTTCAAGTATCGCTGCCCGGGATGCTCGGCGCGGACTTGCTCGCTGCCATGTTATAAACGTCACCAGCAGTGGGCACAGTGCAATGGGAAACGCGATCCAACCAAGTTCGTAAAGAAGTCGCAGCTTGCGACGCCTGCAGGTATCGATCATGACTACAATTTCCTAACGGGCATCGAGCGTGGACTAGAAAAGGCAGAAAAGCAGCTACAAGGCCAGGGTCTCGGCAGCCGTCCGGATCCCCGCCGCCATGGTCAAGGTCGCCTAGCATCCGATGAGCACTTCGCTGAGGCTGGCGTTACCGTGATTCGGGCCCCTAAAGGGCTGAGTAGGCAAAAGGACAATAAAAGCCATAGAAACAAGAAGCAAAAGTAAGTCACTTGTGGATATCGAAATCGCGTTTTTCTAAGTGGTACACCAGACACATTGTCTGGACGGTCGAGTGGATCCTCGAAGACTCCAATCGCGTTTTGACGCAGAGTTCATCTGCAGACACTGTACTACAAGCCCAACCATTCAAGGCGAAAAAACGGAAACGGGCGGCTGAACAACCGACGTCGATATTGATATCTGAACCAATCAGGCAAGATGTTTCGCTGCCTATCAAACTCAATGAAGCCAAACCTCCTGTTGAGGCAGGACACACACAGCCAGAGCCTGCTGCTACTGGCGGACCTGGACCAGAGCGAGTCGACGCTGGTGCCGCCGGAGAGGATGAAACCACAAGGGATGTGTCAGCGAAAGAGGAAGAGGGCAAAGGTGCAAGCGATCATCACGGGAGCATTCGTGTCGATGGCGCAGACCCCGAACCCGTATCTCCTAAGTACGCTTTCTACCTACTGAGGCCAAGGACAAGCTCCAATCGCGTTGTGCTCATCCGCCTCGAACCTCAGGCTACACTCGCCGAGTGTCTCCGTGGACGCACGGTCCTTGAGTTTCCTACTATACACGTCTTTCCTGAGTCAACCTCTCCACCACCAGAGAAGTTCGTACTCGAAGCCGAGTACCTCCAGCAAGAGGACGAGGAGCAGAAGGAATTAGACGAGCTGCTCAAGCAAGTCGGTACCGAGACGCTACATGCGCTAAAAGAAGAGCATGGTGAAGACAGCATGGCAGGCGAGCACATCGACAGCGACAGAATATTGGATGTGTTGAAGCAGGACATGGGAGCATGAATAAGCAGATAGCTTAGCTTTCCCAATCGAGCTACGGCTGCAGCGTACCTTGCTTCGCTAAGCGTGATGGTAGCCACCCTCAGGTTCCTGCAATATCGAAACCATAAAACACGCCATATGGCCAGGCATCCTCCACTTTTCGTCAACGTCGAGTCGTGGTGCTCGTAATGCAATGTGTATGGCAAAGCACCCTGCGTCAACGACTCGACCCCCACGCCATTCCTCTCGAAACGTGTTGCTAGCGCCTACCTCGGTGTTGGGTTTTAATAGTACTGGAGCAACTCTATATTCGAGCATCGTGTCCATGCGCCGCCGCGTCCTATTACAGCACCTCTATTTCCGCATCCAGTTTTCGTGATGACGAAAAGCAATTCCGCGTGCTGAGCCCCGAGGCTGTAGCGGCCGCCGTACGAGTCACTGTTTCATATTCCTTCTTGCCGTTGTTGCCGTCGCCACTGCCACATCCACTGTCTCGCTAGCTCATCTCCACACTCCAACCGTCTCCCCGCCCACCATCATCCCAGTGCCCAGCCGTCGACTCTTCGCCCCAGGCTGTTTCTGCATGTACTCTTGTCACTGGTGCGCCTCGGAGATTTACCGGGCCCGCGACGCTACAGATACCTCTAGTTGGGACTACCAATCTAATGATGCAGGGACACCCTTTCTCCCTCCCGGAACACGCAATCGCGGGACCTGGGTTTCCCTTGAAGTGTCACCAAGGCTCCGCTTGCTTGAGGAGGAAGGACCACGTTATTTCCGAACGGTTCGTCAGCGTGTACCGCGCAAATCAGATGTGGTTTTGCATGGAGACGGGACTATGCCCAGGCAAGGGAGGGGCGGAAATTCTTTCTACAGCAGTCTGGGCCACGTAGGACGACAACGATGACACTCATACTTACCACGGAGGAAAGAGCAAAATTTTGATAGTGCGGTGGAGACTGGACAGACGCTGGGTTTTTCGCATCGGTATAGCCATGGGTTTCGTATATACCGACAGTGGGCCGGGCACGTGGTTGGAAGAGCAACAGCGTTGGCGGCGGATAGATACGTAAGTACTATAATATTGGCATGGTGTCCGCGTATACCGCGGTGAAGCTGTCCCATGGTTGCTAGGAGTGACAGTGGGTGCGGTACGCAACAATTGCCGCCGTTAGACTATTGTATGTATACACATGGAATGGGATGTTGGATCCGCGCGTGGTAATGGGTGGTTGTGATGGCTATTGCATTTGCTGGCCGCCGTTGAAGTTGCAGGTTCTACCTACGGTAGGTGAGATACCATGGTCAAGGAAATTTGGGTGGATGTGAAGGAAGGAGGGTTTGACTCCTATACTATTCACCAGTCGATTGCAGATTCCAACACCTAGTTGAAAGCATCATAGCACTTCCGTGGCTACCACGCATGTTGTGTAGGCGCTTCTTGAGCGAATCCATCCGACTCCATCTCGCTGCAGTCACACTCTGTGTGACGTCGTACGATGCCTCGAATTGGACTGCCTTCGACGGCAGATTCCGTCCCTATGAAGCTGACGCCGCTCACTACCCGCCACACATCGCATTTCCGGCCAAGAGCTAAGAGCATATAGTGCGGTAGCCGGTACGCTCTCCCTGACCGCTCTACAACTGCGATGACAAGCCTTGATTCGCCACGTAACATACAACTCCAACATGCAACCCGCGCCCTTTAACACCTGCTATATCTCTCCACTCTCCATGCATTGCCTACCACCTCCCCAATCCAACATCCCATCTCCGCAGCACCCATACCTGAGTTCATACACACTCGGCCCACGAGTCATGCCCCACGTACTAGCCGTCGATCAAGCACTTCACTCGGGCGCGGGCATGCCTGCCGCATTCTCGCGCTAGCTACTCGTCAAAGTCACCGTGAGTAATGCGTGCGTACGTATGCCGACGTGACAGTGGCAAAGTTGAGTGTGATGCGTCTAGCCTAGCAGTGATACCTTCGGCGTGGGATCGTGCCGCAGTCGTTACTTGGGCGGCGTGGGCGAGTGCGTGCTGCAGTTGATTTGGCGCCGGAGGAGGTAGCAAAGAGCTCACCGTTGAAGACCAAGCGCTGGGCTGGTGCTATCCTCCTCTCCTCGCCTCTATAGTCCGAGAGCGCATAGCCTAGACGGTGCGGTGCGCGAGAGAAACAGGGGCAAACGACCAAATGGGTGGAATGACTCGGGGGATGCCGAGGTGTCGTGCGTCTAGGGAAAGGGCTTTGTTCGAGGGGAGCGGAGGGGTAGGTGTATGTGGTCTATTGTTTTGTGGGGAAGTGTGTTGGAAAGAAGCGAATGCACGGCATGGTATAATACGGTACTTCTGAAGTCAACGTACCGAAATGACATGGCAGTGAAGCCGTGCTCACAGGAGGACGCGGGTATGGCCGTCTTATTCCAAGTATATACAGATCACAAAAACAATTTTGTTCTGAATTGAGCTGTCATAACACCAATCCACAGGGTAATCATCGCCAAAGTCCGGTATTCTCCAACTAGGGATACTTTTCGTTGAAGGATATCTTGGATGCAAAACTAGCCGTGCGTCATTACCACAGGTATTGCCCCGATGTACTGCTAAGCTATAGTTTTATGTTGGACTTTAGACTCTGTATGATAATCCAAGTTACCTCATGGTACACAGGACGGCGCCTACACTTTTTTCATTGTATCATTCCTGAAAACGTGTTAACATGTATCCGCCTCTAGACCTTTTGCGAATCCAGAACCGTGTTATTACTAACTATACCTCTTCCTAATTGGGAGGGAATTAACTACGTGATTCGTATGCCAGCTCTCGGCATTCAATATTATCTGTCCGGCGCTCTGTCTTTGTTCAGTGCCCACTTTCGCGCCGCGTTTATGACCTCCAGAGCAATCGTCTCGAACATGAGATTCCTATTTCTTGCAACCGGATGGTATTCGGATAGGTGAAGTCTGAACATGGAACGACATCATTGCGAGGTACACCAGTGGACACGTTTACGCCACGTCTGATCCTCGAGCAGTCCAGAACAGTCGCTACGTGGAAATCGCCGCACGCTTCATATCGGCGACTGGGCAGACCGGAGAACATGAATACAACGATTGCGAGACGGACTGTTGTCTTTGGGCGCACGGCGTACAGAGGACACTGCAGCCGTTCCCCAAGATGCAGCTGCACACTACATCCACGAAGCGCCTAGGTCCTCAATCCAAGCATCACACGGTGGAAGACTATCTGTCCCGACAAAATGTTTACAGTCTACAAGTACGGCAGAATATGGGGTGCATTACCGGGATGATCAACGCGGCACCCCCAATGATAATCATCGTCCTGAAGGGAAAGATGGAAGACAGGCGTGAAGCCCCCGTGCTTGTCCATTCGATGATGAGCGACCGCTTGCAACGGAATTTCCTGCGCCAGGTGGCATAAATCATCCGAGAGGATTACTAAAGCCCGTCTAGTGCTGGCGTGGTAGAAGATGTCAGTGTTGTCAGGGTATTGCACCGAACTTTGCAGTCATCGATCGGAGTGACTACCTCCGGAGCCTGCTATGAGAAGATATAATGTCCCAACGCTAATAGCTCCACCATCCAGACGTTAACGCGGCACACCATAGGAATGTGTCGCAATCACGGAGCCTCGGTCGTTTCCTCATTGGGGCTGTTGCGAAGACTAGGGGTAGATGGTGTCTCCGTCCCGTCCCGTCTTGACGAAATTTACTGCAAGAAGCTCTATGCTAGAGGGAGGTGCTCGTGTAGTTAGGAAGAAGATTAATCATACAGTGTAAATGCTTTAGGATATGAAGATGCCTTGAGTCTCAACCTCGTTGGTGTTTGCGTAGCATTGCAAACAGGTAGTGCCAGCCCAGGCCATGTGCGATATATGTCAAGAGACTCATCTATCCTGCTTTCTGTGGTGGGGTTCATTTAATGCTTTGCTATGTCAGTGCAAGGTGCATACCCTTCATCCGTCGATGGGACGTTCGCTTGAGACCATCTACTCAAACGTCGAGCTAACTCCACTGCATTCCGTATATCGCTTCCTCTCGGATTAGTCGAGTCCCGAGCAGAATTTTCCAAAAATCTATCCACACATCTGCTAGATACACACCCATTTCAGCCTATACCAACCTCCCAACCGCCTCACGCGCACGCGCAACCTGCGGTGAACATAAGGTTTGATCCAAGCTTCTCCCTGGTCACACTACATTTCCCCGCAAAACATCGTCTGACATTCTTGCATGCTGCGCGGTCCGGGTTGAGCTGACGCGGATAAAGAGGCAGTGCGGGGGCTTTTGTAGCCTGGTATTTGGGAGACTAGCAATTTACCCGCCCTAGATGGCAAGAGATACGAGGTCTGCGCGAGCGTCTGGCGAGATGCGGTGTAGGTGGTTGGGGAAGGGTCGCTGCACGTTCGAATGTCATGGTGGCATCAGGAGTGCCGGTAAGCAAGTGTGTTGGTTGAGCCAGTATGCGTCATGGAGATGCTGCTGTGCTGGACTGTCGTGAACAGCACCTTGGCAGCCTAAATACCTTCTGTAGCTTTGGCTATCCAATTGTACAGTTGGAAAATGGTCATATGGTGGACTGCATGTCGGCTTTTGAGCTCCCGAACTGCACGCGCTACATGTGCGGCGTTCGGCTATACATGTCTCGGGTCTTGTACATTGCCGGACCAGAAGACTGGTAAACGGTTGGTATTTGCTTGTACAAAGCTCGACGATGCTGTGAAGTGGAGCTGTTGCTGATTTATATGCGCGAATTGAAGTCCATCCATCTTGTACGGTCCACACGGCTTCTGCCTAATTGCCAAGGTCTGCAGCCAGCTGTGACTGTCACGCATGCAGAGCAAACTAAGTCTTATCGCCACTTCGAAAATACGTTCTAGGACAAGCGGTGTCGTTCGTCTTCTTGTCGCCACCATGCTGGCAGACTCGACATGTACGCTGAGTGAGATAGCGCGACATAAAAGGCGGGGAATGCATCTGCAGGCCAAGCACAATAATGAAC